CCTTACGAGTCTTAGGATCTTTCTCGACCTACTCGTAGAAAGCTTAGAGGTACTACTTCCTCGCTCGCTCCTTTTCCTAAGTAATAAATTCTTTAAGCGATAAGAATATCGCCGAGCTTAACTTATAATCGTTTACATTAGGATTAATATCCTTCTAAATATCGAATTACTCGGCGTAATTCTAGAAAGTAATAAACCATCGTAAATATTCGTCGAAGTTACGTAGGTTAATATTAATAGGTAGCTTCTTAATAAAGAAGTCTCCGTTAGTATCCGTTATTACTATAAATATATTACTCGAAAGAAAAACGAAAGCGATATTTAAAAAAAAAACGATTAATCGAAAGATTAAAGAGATAGAAATAAATAATAAGATTACTCGGAAGCTTATATAATAAAACCTTAGTTAACTTAGCTCCTTAGAAAGGCTACCGGGCTTATAATTAATACGTAAATTAGGAGAGCTACGTAGGTACTAAGGTTACTTCTTAGGAATAACGGAAGGTAGGAAGAAGAAGGTAAATTAACTAACTATCTCAAAAGGAAGGAGATTAACAAAGGAAATACGAGCTACCTATATATAGACGATAGGGAGCTACGAGCTATATTATATAAGCGAGCTAGGAGCTATATTAGGTAAGCGAGTAACTCGAGAAGGAGTAGGGAGCCATATACAAGTGGCTCTCTATGTAACATATTCTCTACGATACTACCTTCGCCGTTATCGCTTTAATCTCGTTATAATCGATACCTTTTCTTTATATAAATCCTCGGGCGTAAATCCGTACCTTTAGCTTATCGAAATCTCCGTTAAATAGGAACTTCTTCTTTAAGATTTATTTAGCGTCGATAAAATAGCCGTTAATTACCTCGCTCGGTTATATAAACTTAAACGTATTACGTTCTAGGTTCTTTCGGATCTCCTTAAAAACGGCTTAGGTTTAAAGATTACGCTTTAGTTCCTCTATTACCTCCTTAAAGAGCGGTTCGTTCTCGTTTATCCTAAATAAGCCCGCCGCTATTAATATTATTTACCTATAGCTTTACTCTTACGGTACGGTAGTAAGCGTATTAGTATAATATAGCTTCTCTCGAGGCGCGGTTTTAGGCGTATTTTATTCGCCTTTAGATATTCCTTCTAACTCGCCCTCTTACGAGCCGCCTAGCGCTAAGGCGGAGCGTACCTTATTTAACTTAGGTAGTACCTCTAATATATAAATCTAAGGTAGTTTCTTTTTCGGGCGCCCTCTCCGGGGGCGTATCCTGCCCTTATCTTCGTTTATAACGTCTTCGTCGACGATATTATTATCTTTATTACGAACGTTAATCGCCGCGATCTTCTTCCGATGCCGTAGCCGTTTCTAAACGTACTTAGGTAAGGACCTAACGACGTCCCTTAGGTCGGGGGCTCCTTCGGAATCTCTTAGTTCTTCGTAAAAGATAACGTAAGGCGTCTTTAAGAAACGACCTCCTTCTACGAGCTAAACTAAGTAATTATACTCCCCTTCGTAACCTATAAAAACGGCGCGGGCTCTACGTAATTCTATCTTTTCGGAAACGACCCGATAACTTTTATCGATATAAGCTACGTAACGGCTACCGACGATACGTAAATACGCGTTATTAGGTTTATAATTCTTTCCTAGCTCTATGTCGTTTATAAATCTTTCGTATGGCGTAAGTTTTTTTACGAACGAAACGTTAATCTTATTAATCGTATACGTCGTTACTACGAGGACGTAGTCCTAAAAGTAAGTAAGGATCTTTATTTAAACGTAAATTACTTTAGTATCGTTTTATAGGAAACGTATGTTCCTTTCCGCTACGCCGTTTTAATATTAATTATCTAACGTAAAGGTATTTAACGTAATATCCCTTTCGTTATAGAATTACTCGATAGCGCTTATACCGAACTCTCGGCCGCCGTTAAGGCGTAATATTCTTATCCGTCGCCGGCTCTTATCCGGGGCGCTCGGTAATGCTTCGAGTAATTAATAAACTCGGGTAAGGTAAGTTATTAATACTTATTAAGCCTCTCCTTTAAACTTATGCTAAGTAAACTCTTTATTTCGGTTATCGTCGTTTACGATTAATATAAAATAACGGTAGTTCTCGATTAATAGAGGCTATAATTCTCCGAAGTCGTATTAAGTAATCTCCCTAGGGGTTTAAATACGCTCCTAAGGATCCTTCGAGGGTATCCTAGTAATCTTTACCCGATTATACGCGTAATAAGGTACCGTTTTTATAAGTACTAGGTCTAGGTCGATTCCTATCGACCTTTTAATAATCTATATAAGTCTTTCCGTATTAAGGTAATAAAGGCGGCGATATTATAATATTAGTTATTTTATAATATTATCGTCTAGCTATATTAATATCGCTTATAATATCTCGCTAAGCTTACCGAATTAATACCTTAGCGCGCCCTCTTAGTATCGTTTAAAGGGAAGGAGTTTCGGCTCCTCTTTCTTATATTCCTATAATAGGAAACCTCGTTTCTTAGGGTTTAAAGTCGTTAAAACGGTCCCGTTAGGATTTATAATGTTATTCTTATCTAGCTAGCTTCCGTTACGATAAAATAACTCTCCCGAAAAGATCTTAACTAAAAAGGAGCTAATAAATAACGTATAATTTAACTACGTTTAGTTATATCCCTCGTCGTCGCCGGTAAGGTAATAAATAGTTTTACTTATCTTCGTAACGTTTATAAGGCCTCCTTTCGTATTAATAACGTAACCCGGTAGTAACGTTACTACCGTTCTCGGGTTTAGATCTTTTAAATCGTTTATAACGTAAACGTTAGTTCCTATATCGAAGAATAGGTAATCCTTATAAGCGTTAGCCTCCGTTCCGTAGTTAATTCTTAAAGGCTTTACGGGCCGCTCGTCCTTTAGCGGGTTAGCTATAGTTAGGTTATTACCGGGATTAATAGGGATAAGCTTTTATTTAAGGTCCTTTTTACGGCGTAGTTCGTCGTAAGCGCTTACTAGCCTAAAAAGCTCTACCGTATTTATCCTCGTTCGATATATCCCGCCTCCGTTATCGTAATAACCGAATTAAGGTAACGTATACGGTACGTACGTAATATATTACGTCGACGGTTATTTCGAACCGCCTTTTAATCCGTCGGAGGCGTTATCGCCGTTACCATTACCGCCGCCGTTACCCTTGCCCTTTCGTTCCTTTAGCGGTTTCGGGTAGTCCTTAGCTTTATACCTATACTCCTTATAGTTAAAGTAAAGAGGCTTTCCTTATTAGTTCTACGAGGGCTTCTTCTTTTTACCCTTTTCCTTACCTTAGGCGTTATTAGCCTAATTATTATTACCGTCGTTACTTTTGTTATCCTTATATTTATTAATCTTATTACGGAACTTTCCGCGGAAGCTATTAAGTACGTTTAGTAGGTTTATAGGTTTCGTTTTAATTATAGTATTTACGATTTTAACCTAATTAGCTACCTTATTTTATATATAGCTAAGGAATATCGTAATTTATTATTCTTCGTCGATTACGAAGCCGGTATTTATATATTAACGAACGGTTAGTTATTACTTAAACGTAAATTCTATCGGGTTCTTATCGTCGTATTTTATTTTAATAAGTTACTTTTATAACTTTTATTAATAAGCCTTTCCTATAAAGGCATAAGTTTAATCGAATATCTTTAGTATCTTCGTACCTAAACGTACGCCCGCTATTAATTATAAGGGTTAATCCCGGTAGGTTCCGGCGATTACTTTCGCTAAGGATATTTCGTTTTATTTATCGAATTCTATTCCTTTTTTATATCCTACCTCCTTTATAAAAAGTATAAATATATCCCGATATAAGCTTTAGTTCGAAATTTCCTTAAGATAAACGTCCTTATCGGGATTAAAGACGAACTTCTTCTAATTAATCCTATCGTTCTTTCTAAACGCGGTACCTTTATTCTTATTCCGTATTCTCCGGTTACGTCGTTTACCGTAATCGGAGTTACTATCGGAAAAGCTTCCTAATAAGTTACTTAGGCTACGGCTCCGGCGGCGGTAGCTCTTACGCTAGGCTAAACGCGAGATACGATAATAACGGCTATTCTCGCGGCTCTTACGGTAGTCCTTACCGTAGATTCGTTAAGTCTTTATAGCCGATTTATTTAGTTTCCTCGGAATCTCTAGGTTTTTAATATAAGGTTTATTCTTACCCTCGTTAACGTCGGTAAAGTCGTCTTCTTTTATTAAATCGGCGACGTTTTACTAGGGTTAACGATAGCTTCCTTACCGTTATTCGCTTATTATTTCTAGCTTAGCTATTATTTCCTTAAGGAAATACTTTACGGTATTTATACGTTAGTTAATATACTCGGTCGTTTTACGCGAGCCCTCCTATAGCTTCTTACGTATTTCCTTACGGAGGTCCTTTAATACGATATCTTACGTAGTCTTTTATTCGGTTCCTTCCTCGGCCGCCTTATTTTATAATCTCGTAGCTATCCTCGTAATTATCCTCGCGATTTAATCGTTTAGCTTATCGATAACCTTTCTTTACCGTTAATCGTAATTATACGGTTATCCCGGGCCGCTCGTTTATCGGAACTTTCGTTACTTAATTACCTCCGTAACGTAGGTAGTTAAATAATAATAAAATAACGTAATAATAAGCTTACGAAATATATAAGGTATTACTATATAGCTATTTAAGGAACGGGTAAATAGTTAATTAAATTATAATTATTTACGTAGCCTTTTAAAGCCGTTTTACGTGCCTTTTATATCCCGATTAGCCCTCGCTAGGGCAGGGCTTACCCTATAGCTATACGTAACCGATTACGTACTTACGCGCCTATAGGTCCTATGTATCTACCTACCTTAGGGACTTATCTTCATACCTAGAGGTAGGTACCACTCGTAGTACCTACATCTACCTAGGCAGGTACATACATCACGGACCACCCGCTCAGTATCCGTCTGTCCTCCTATTTAGGTAGGTACTCATAAGGTTATTAAGCCGCAAGTGCGCACGGCACAATAGAAAGCCGACTCATCGGGAGATTTTCAGCGTTGCTCCAGTTTCATGCCAGTCATGATATTAGAGATCCACCGGATTCGTAACGCCCAGCAGAACGTTGAACAGACCCTGGGCAAGGCCAGTCGTGCCATACGCAGAGACATCTCGCTCCTCGGAGTCTTGCTAATATACCTACGGCTCGCCTTGTTGTCCGCAGACGCTGTATTATGTGATACGCCACGCGCAAAATAAGCAATACTATCTCCTCTCAGCTGCGCACCCGGTTAGGATCTACGAACGTAACACCTCGGCAATCATGAGTATATATAGAGGCCGAGTGGAGGGCTTCGTTAGGGTCCACATTCCAATAACATCCAGTCCACCTTGAACCGCCAGCACCACACTCAAATTATTCAGCGCAACGATTCCATCTCATAAAAACCTGCTCGCCATCGCCGGCCCTCGTAACTTATCAGTACTAGTTTGCCATAGCCATACCGAATATGTCTAAGCCCTCTATTCTCCTTGTTCCTGGCTCCTTCTCTCTGCCGGAGTTCTATGACAAAGTTATCAGCGGTGTCGCAGCCAAAGGCTATGAGATCAGGGGCCTGCATTACCCCAGCGTTGGTTTTAAGACAGGACCCCGCCAGGGGGAGCCGGCGACCATGCTCGACGATGCCGCCTTCATCGCCAAGGAGGTGGAGGCTCTCGCGGACGAAGGCAAGGATGGTAAGTGGTTGCATCTCAAATTGTACTTTGGCGATCCCAACCGTCGTATACGACTATCAGGCTTTACGTATGAATACCAACAAATGATATGAAGTGATCCTCCTCGCCCATTCTTACGGGGGGGTTCCGATCACCCAGAGCGCCAAAGGGTTGTCGAAGCAAGAAAGGCAAAAGGAAGGGAAGAAGGGCGGCATCGTCCGGCTCCTATACATGACGGCCCTGGTTGTACCCGAGGGGGTTTCAGCAAGCGGTATCCTCGAGACATTTGGTGACGGGTTCCGTCTTGAATTCGGGCAAGATGTTAGTGAACTCCCACTTCCATTTTCTACGGTTTGCTACGGAGCCCGAGACTCTCGCTAACTCCGCCGCCACAACGATAGGAGAAAGGTTGGCTCCAATTCAAGGACCTCTCGGCGGCGGCTGCGCTCACATTCTCGGATATGCCCGACCAAGAGGAGACCGAAAGACTAATCAGCCAATTCCCGAACCACACTGCCGCTAGCTTCGCCACGGAGTTGACACATGCTGGATATAAAAACATCCCATCGTCGTATTTACTCTGTGAGGAGGACCGGATTATCCCCTCCAAGAACCAGAGGGATGCCGTTGAGCTGATCGAGCGGGTGAGCCAGAGCCAGGTCGAGGTTACTACCGTTCAATCGGGCCACGCTCCTCATGTCACGAAGGCCCCAGAGGTGGTCGACTGGGTTTTGAAGGCGGCGGCAAAACATGAGAGCAATTAGTTTAAACTATTGCTATAGGCCCCAGGCACTTTTAACGAGAGGGGTGTTTTTCTATAGTCAAATCATCATCATTTAGAACCTGATTGTCTAGACAGCATTTCCGAGCTAGATCCTTTATTCGTTATATCATTTAGGAAGTTGTGCCGTTTCTTATTCTTTAATTAGTGCAGGTCCGTTTCGCTGTGCTGTATTGGAACACCGCCGCTTAATATGGTCCGGTGACACTATGTGGTTATGTCACACGAACCAGGCGGTCTAATCAGACCTGAATATTTCTATGTTTCTCTTCGAATATGCGGAAGCTCTCAAAAGGAACCATACGCGGTTAGCGAAGACGAACTGTACCAGGCAGCTAACGTTAGCCCAGTATTACGTCTGCTATTGACATAGGAACAACGGGGAAAACATGAGCTACAATTAAAACATCGCCAGGCTTGTTGTGCTAGGTCTCGTTTTTTATCTTGTTATACATGTGCTCCGTCTATTATTGGTGGTTTACTTAACTCACACCCTACTCCCAGAGTTCCTCCTATCCCTATTCTCAGCAATGGTCATGAGCCTCGAGGGGCTGAATCACTGTCGAGACGATGGCCGCCAATACGTTAGTAGGAAGCAACAATCTAACACACTGACACAGGTCTACTATACGGGAATGGTCTCCAAAAAGGCGCAAGTATTGTTAGGATCCATATGCAGAAAAGCAATATGTAACACACAATAGTAGTAACGGTTTAGCGCATAATATATTTTATTGCATATTACATAAATTGGAATTCTCGAAAAAGAAATAATCGGGTTAGTGGGGTACCTGGTCGTTTCCGGACTAGCTCCTCAAAACACGACCTAACACGCTTCGACGCGTCAAGCTCATTTATCATTTCTTTCTTACGCTTTCTCCTCTCGGCCTCTTTTCCTTCCACATCTACGTCCACCCGCCATCTTCCCGTGACGGTACCCCGACATCCAATTCCACCGCCTCTGTAATCGTGTATCATGTGGTAACGGATTGGCACTATTGTATTAGTATAATTTTTATTCGTTCGCCCCATATCGTGGTCCCCCGCAACAAGTCATTAGCCATGCCACGCCCGAAGCGAACTCGCGTTGCGTCGACTCGAACAACAGCCAAGGCACACGGCCCAGTCGTAGCCAGCGGGCCGCCAGAGCAACCAAAGCCTGCCCAGTCAAGCTCTGATCTATACGATGTGAGCGATCGCGAGAAGGCAAAAGTAGAGCGGAAGCGCAGATCGACGCGCTCGAAGCCAACCTCAGCGTCACAGCAATTGCAGTTGCTGGAGACTGCGCGTCAGCGACGTGATTCGGCCATGGACAGACTAGAGAATATGATGTCTACACCAAGCAACGAGGCAGGAGAGCCTGCCGATGAGTCGGATCTTTCAGTTGAATTAGGACGCCGTGTCGCTGGGACCCCGCAGCATAGGAGAATGGCCGACTTCTCAGGATTAGACCTAGACGATGCTGATTTCGACGACTTGAACACCACCTTTAACACTGCGGGCCCAGCTAGCGCGCAGCGGTCTGCTGAGACATCTACCATGTCTGCTAGCGTGTTCCGGAGGCGACCTCGCGCGGGGAGCTTTCTGAGCCGGGAGGATGGCTACATCCGACCCAGCAGCCGCGGCGGCCCCAACACGCCCGGCCTTAGCTCAACTTTCAATATCGGCGTGTTTAAGAGAAGGGCGCGGGAGCCCAGCATTCTCGGCACGGCGCAAAAGCCTCGCTCCCAACGATCGGAGCCCGAGCCCGAGCCACCATCGTCCCAGCCTGAGGACGAAGACGAAGATGAAGACGAGGCAATCGAAGAGGATGCATTCGCTCCTGAAGAGACATCGACTCCACTCAGGCGTTCCAAGAGGCGCTCTGGTCAGACCGACGCCAGCCGAGCATCTCCACAGGCTTCATCTAGCGTCAAGACGCGCAAGCGAAAGTCTTCTAAAGGTCACGAACGCCGTGCCCGATCCTCTCCATTCCAAGATAATGGCGACGGGCCCGTAGAAGGCCCTGCATCACCGCAATCGGAACCAGACTTGCCTCCTCTACCATCTACCCCCCCTCGAGGACTTAGCCGACCGAGGACGCCTGTCATGGACGAGGAACTAATGGCGCCCCCCATGAGCAGCGGCTCCTCGGCGGGTGACCCGGAGGAGGGCTGGCCGCCGCTGCAATTACTCGGTCGCGGTCGTCCGCCGCGACGTGCCGCCTCGGCGCTGCAGCGACGGACGGCAACATCCCAAGACAATCTGTCTGATATGTCGTCGCCACCATCACTCACCTACTCGCCCAACTACCGCGACGCGTCATCGCCGCCCCCGCCCCCGCCGCCGAGACAGGCTAGCAAGCCAAGGCGCAGGGCCGCCTCCCGGCCGGAGAACGTGCAAGTCACCACCGCGGATCTGGCCGGCCTGCTACCACGCCGGCGCGCCAGGAACGCACGTGTCGGCTCCGACGGTTACGACGATGAAGAGTCCGATGCTGAGGTCGACGCCTCGGGGCTCGGAAATGACGACGACGAGCTCTCGTATCTCGACGTGCGAACCCGTAGGCGTCTGGGGCGGTCGGCCTCGCGCGGGGCGGGTGCAAGAGCCAAGTCGAAGCAGCGCAGCGGTAGCGGCGGGAGTAAGGCGAAGCAGCCACAGACGCCCGTCGTCAAGTCGAGGTCCAAGCGGACCACCATAACGTACGGCCGGGTGTCTGACAACGAGAACCAGGAGGAGGGTGAAGAGGAGGAGGACGATGTCTTGGGCTCGACAGGGGCTGGCGGGGAAGGCGTGGGCCCAGAGGACAGCCAAGCGATGGTGACGCGTGTGGGCGACGAGTTGAAGCGGGCGGCGCGCAAGTTCCAGGAGGTGGACAAGTGGCAGCTGGACTACGAGGAGATGACGCAGAGCAGCTCGCCGCGGGACGCGCGCTGATGCGTAGACGCATCGAAGCTGGGGCTACGTGGGCTCGCTGCCTGCTTGCCGCCCGTCTTTGCGTCATACTATCCGGAGGCTTCGGGTCAGAGGAGAAATTCGAGGTTCAAGGTGGTCGGTTGGGTTAGAAGGTGTAGGGGTGTGGGAAGGAGAAGGAGGAAAGGGTATAAGGATATATCCATGCTTGTTCATTCCATGATGAGAGAAAAATTTGCCGCCCTTGGCTCTCCCCTTCCCGTCCCGTTCTCTACATCCACTGGACGTGTTATCATGGATATGTTCAACAAGTCGTTGGCTGTTTGCGTCTCATGTCCGGTTTATCTGTCTGTCCCATCCGTCTCGAAGGGAAGCATATATACTACAGAAACCTTGAAAGTGCTCGAGCTGAGGGCTTTCATGCACCAAGGCACAGAAATAGCTGTTTTTGTTAATGGGATACGGCACAGTGCGGTATGGTGTGTTGTGGTAAGAGGTGTCGCCGTAACCCGATACCCAGGTCTCGGTCAATACTACTATCTACTGCTTTCGACTAGGCCTGCTACGACCCTCAATCAGGAGGGAAGAATACAGGGATGATCAAGCGAATAAAACAAGTGTCTGACTCCCGTAAACCGTAAATTATCAAGCCCCACCCCTAAACTCCTGCTCTATGCGTTATCGTCGACCTCTTGAGGAAGAGTCCGGTTTAGTCGAGGCCCATCCCTATCTCCCCCTCCGGATTGCTATAAGCCCCAAGTCCAATGGAAAGCCGAGTCCTTCCAGCCTCTCTACCCACTCGTTCGTGCTATCTGAGTGGGTGTAAGGTTCTGCCTAGCTCTTCTAGGACTTTAACGAGACGCTCTCGAGAGTCTGTTCGATGGTGGGAACCAGCTCGGCGATCCTATTTGCATCACGTAGCGCGATCGTGACGCCGTCGGGCGTCAGTCCGGTCATTAGCAGTTTCTGCAATGCCCACACACATTAGCCAGAGTGGTCAGGGACACGAACACGTCTTGAAATGTGAAGCAGTCTCCCCCCCCCCCCCAAAAAAAAGTTCCAAGAACCTCCATTACCCGCCATTCCAAGGGAAGGGAAAAAAAAAAAATTGAAAATGAACGTACCCTCTTTACCTCTTCGAATGCGAGCTCCTTGACAGTGTACTCGCGGATAACCTCCTCGGTCTCGAAGTCGACGTAGATACGAGTGTCGCGGACACGGACGACGACGCCGTCAAGGCGCATGAAGAGGCGGCAGAGTAGCAGCATGCGGCGCTCGTGCACGCGTACCTTGGCGCTCAGTATGCTGATACCATTGTCGTCCAGCTCGCTCTCGTACAGCATCACCTCGTCGAAGAACAGGATCGGGTCCCGCCGCTTCAGCAGTTCGATCGGGATCCCCCGCGTCGTTGGCGCGAACTGTCTCGCCGCGGGTGCTGTGACGGGCGTTGCGGCTGGCGGTGGCGGTGGCGGTGGCGGGATGAGAAATAACGGCGCAGACGTCTGGTTCTCGCCGTTTTCCCGGCCCCCGCTCCCGTTATTCTCGTGCTCGTCCTGGGGAGGGGTGGAGGGAGCCGGCGGCGGCGGGCCGGGGCGGCCGAGGTGCACGGTGCCGCGGTAGGTGGTGCTGTAGCTCCAGTCGTAGGGCTTGACGACGTCGCGGATGCCGGCGCTGGTCTGCTCGCGGCTGGCGGACCACTCGGAGGCATAGGCGACGCGCAGCATGTCGCGGCCGGTCTTGTCGACGGCAGCGAGCGCGTCGCGCGCCGTGAACTCGATGGCCCAACCCGTCGGCGCGTGCCGCACCGCCACCGCGTTCTCGCCGAAGATCATTTCCGGCACCGGGATCCCGAGCTCCCGCTCCATCGCGTCGATCGGCTCCGCCTTCGAGATGGGCAGCTTCCGCGTCGCGATCTCGAAACGCCCCTGCCGGTGTGTCCGCGTCGCCCGCGCCACGTGCTCCGCCCCGTCTGCCCGCGGGTACGCCTCGTACGTCGAGGCTATGTGAGCCTGCGCCATGACGCACGCCGGGTCGAGGAGACGGGGAGAAGAGGAAAGGAGGAAAGGTAGAGACGGTAAGGTAAAGCCAGATGCCGCAGTAGGTTCTCGAATAGGGGGAGGGCGAGTCGTGATCCAATTAGCGACAGCAGGATAGATAGTTGGGGGTGAATAGAGCGGTTGTCTGATGTCGAAAAAGTTGAGGCTGTTATACTCGCTACCCCAGATGGAAGTCCTCGAGACAAGTACTTGTTAGGTAAGCTTGGGTAGAGGGGCAATGGCAATGCCACACAAGTACCTAATACCTACCTACTGTACCTTTTAGCGCTAGTGTACCAGTGCGATAACTCAAAGTCTCATTAATTAGCCAGCCTATTGATTATCGCCGATCAGTCTCATATGTTGGAATCATCCATAACGGAAAACATCGTGAGATGGATTTCAGGGAAATTAATCAGGCAGTGGTCGGCAATTGTATTTGCTGACACCAGTGCAATCTAGTCGGCGCAGCAACAAATGAGACTCTCAATTGTCGCGCTCGCGCCCTTGCGCTAAAAGGGGTTGGTTACGTCCAATGCTTATTCGACATGCGACCTCCTAGAGCTGAATAGAGGACGTCTAAGTGTATAAGTATTTGCGGTGCTCTGTCTCTGTATTTTTATCGCTTCGAACCAGGTCAGACTTGAACCACATATGCATTTTTCCTATACACGTATATGCTACACCTACTCGTCTTATCACCAAGACTAGAGCCCGGAGAGCTCGGGGTAGATCTCGTAGGCGTCTTATCTGGTCCTCCTTCGAGGCATACCTCCTTCCTAGTCTCTGTGTAGTTCTTGAATGTGACCATGTACGATTAGTTATCTTAACAGCTCTCTATCAGGTGCGATAGCGTGTCCGTAGACGCGAAGCAGAAGATAGCCCGAAACCCAGATATGGGCGCTTATGCACGTGCCTTTCGGCACCAAGCCCGGGCGCATAGATGATCCGAAGACACCCAAGATGCTGCATCATGCATTCTCCCTCCTGAGCCTAACACCTTCGTGATTCTCGGGTCGGACGGCTAATCCGACAGCGACACACAAAAGATCGATGTCGAGGCGATACTGAGCCGCCTTAGGCGCCGAATAGGCACCTATCTGTTCCTAAATGTGACCGGGTCTCTAGTTGTGTAGGCGATTTGGACGGGTGTAGGGGCGGAGAGCAAACCTAACAATACACAGACCACGACTGTCTAGCTCCTCTGGTTAAATTTCGTATGAGGCGGAATTGAGGGGACTTTAAATGAAATTATTACTGAGGCTCTTAAGCGCGCCCGGAAATCCTAGCTCTCCTGGCCTCTTCCTCTTTGTTGGCCGCGACACGGGCCAGGAAGTCTTGTCGGTTGGCGTAGGACTCCTTCGACTTGCTAGCTAGTTCGAGCTCGTCCTTGATGCCTTCCTTGTCAACAAAGCCGGCCCAGTCCATGCGACTCTTCTCGACCACGTTCAGCTTTTTGGCCTTAGCCTGTTCACGTATCTGCAATCTCGCGTTCATGCCGAGGTTGAGGTCCAAGCGTGGTGTGAGACCCTCGATCACGGGTTCGAAGGCAGATCGGAAGGCTTTGCGGGGCTTACGCTTGGGCTGGCTATCGTCATCGATATCCTCGGCCGAGTTCGGATCTTGAGACACGAGATACAGCCTCGCTTCGGCGGAATCGCGAGGTACCATCTTTTCTTCGGTATGGACCTTTCCCGCGAAGGTGTAGGCGCGCTTGATCTTTATCATGGCCGGCGGCTCGACTTCTCTAGGCGCCTCCCCTTGTTGGTTTTTCTTCGGGCCTGCGGCTGGCCCAGGTAAGTCGCCTTTCCCAGCGCGTTCGTTCTCTGTTTCCGTGTCGATATCTTGCTTGGACGATAGGAGGGGGGCTGAGATCATCTCAGCCCACAAGCTATCGACGTCAATGGTGACTTGGCCGGCCACCACGGGGGTCTTTCGCTCGGCTTTTTCGGCTGCTCGCATGCTCCGGGTCCTGACGAGGTCGATGTCACGCCCGTCATCCTTGCCGGTATTGTCGGCATTGCCACCCCTTTGCTTATCCCCCTTTTGTCGTTTTCTCCCTTTCTGTATAATGGCTTCGTCGCCCGAGTTCTCGAAGTTTTCGTCGACATCTTCATCAGTAGTACGCTTTCTAGTGGGAGAGGCTGTGGGAGGGACTATTAAATCGACGGGTTCATCATCGGAATCCTCAGCTTCGGAGACAGTATCCGTGGGCGCCACGTCTGGTGCGAAATCAGAATCATCGTTCGAGGCATACTCATCGTCCACATCTGGCTCTAGGGCCATGAGGGAACTCATGTGCGGAGTTTAGCGTAGTTTGTAGGTGGTATCCGTACCATCGAAGGCATGCGGTAAGCGAATTTTCGTGTTGGGTCGAGGTTTGGCGGTTTGTTGGCAGCTTGTTAAAACGGTCCGAGCTCTACACGTAATGTCGCGGTAGGTTAGAGGTACAATAGTACAAATTACAAACCCCTGCCACAAAGATTAAACGGGTACCAGGTACCTACCTAGGTACCTAACTTAACCTTACCTAACCCAACCCAACTCGGCACCAAACCTATCCTCCTACTCTTCTTATCAATTCCCAAGAATTTTTAGACATTATACTGACACGCAAGTTTAGGTACTCGTACTATCCAATTAGACGAGTTGTGTTCACAATACGCCGTTACCTTCCACGGTAGCACGAAGTAGTACCAGGTAGCATGCCACTCACGGCGGCGTGGCCTACCCACCTACCTTAGGCAGGTAACATAGCATAGGCATAAGTAGGTAAGTGCCTAAGTTAGATGCATCAACTAACTATCTATGCAGAGAGGTTATAGCCAAGTTAAGGGGCATATTATCTCAGCAACAAACAACTGTTCCATCGTCTGGCCAATCTAAGAGTTATTTTTATTATACCTTCCGTTTTAGAGCACCCACCACCGATCCATTGGCTGTGTGAGATCTTCGATGCCAAGACATTGACTGCCATCATAGTCTACCAGCACAAGTCCCCACAGGCTCTGTTTAAGTCAACGGACGTGCCCGTTCGTGTAGAACAAGGTTGTGCCATCAAGCCCACTGACATCATTAATCTGAGAAAGCTGGAGAAAACCCCGAATGGGAGGAAACGAGTGCTACGTAGGAGTGGCTTTAATAACTAACTGGCAGGCAGGCATAAGCCTGCTAAGTTAAATAGAGGCTCGTGTCTCTATAGCCACGGCCCTACCCTCCTTTACCCGCCAAGCCCGCATATTCTAAGTCGGGGAGCGCATACCCACTATCACATCATGACGAAGATATAAAAAAGCATAGTCAGAAGGTAGGCCAACCATTTAAGCCGGCTGAAAGCCCCACCGTGCTGTCAGAGAACAAGAACCAACAATATGACCCTCGTTCGTGGCAGGTCGCGCCGAATACATCTAAGGTGCCACTGAAGTAAGTTGGTTCAATCCCCCGACACCATCCTATCCCTAGTCTCTTAAAGGTCGTCGCACCGACGTGCCTTAAAATAGAGAGGGCCTAGGCTAGACCGCCTACGCAGTTCACAGCCGGCAACACGACCGGCTCACATGCGTGGATACCTACCTTCCGGGGAGTAGGCCGAGCCTACGCTATCGAGGTTATGAAGGCTGCCGACGAGCAGCGAAACCCCCCGTCCTAGGGTTTCGGTAAGGTCGAAGAAAAGCTGGGCGAGGCTGCAGACTGCGTGGGTAGGGTCCAGGGCGGTGCCGCTAGCGAGAAACCGAAGTAAGAAACTAGAGTAGACGAAGGGGCGCGTGTGTGCGGGCGAAGAGAATTCCCGCCGCTTGTCCCGGAATATTGAAGAAACACAGAATCACAAGCCCACAAAATTAAGACCTGGCGTGTTAGACGCCCCCAAGCTCTCGACTACGATATGTGTTCCAGCATAGATCAGGAGCGAAACATATGCAGAATGATATGACTATCAGGTCACTCGTACTAGTGTAATAGCAGGTAGAAACGAGCTAAGTTCACCGTGGGAAAATTGGGCAATCTAACACCCCAGGACTATTTATCCGCGGCGGTAGTCTTGAATCTCCGTCAACTATTGGTAAGCGCCTCACGTACGTACCTATAAGTAGAGCCACAGATCTACGCGCGATAAGAGAGGATTCCTACATCAGAGGTTGACGGGATAGATGGGTAGGTGTGTTGACTGCGGGGTCCACTGGAAGCGTTGCTGCGATTTCCAGTGTCGCATCGCAGGGAGCCTTCGCAACGACCTTACATCACATCGTTCGAGATGGTGCTCGGCTTCGACTAGGGGCCGGTTCCGAAGTCGTCGATTGGCACGATCCCAGTACGCAGTTACATGCCTAGATGCACGCCTACCTCGGTTCTCCATGTTTCACGATCCCTATGCGGAAACCCGAGGTGTCGTGTGGGCGACCATTAGTAATCCATTATTGGCGTAGACAAGAGACACAAGCGAGTCCGGTAGTGGCCTGGGCAGTTGTAATGCGCAAGGTAAAGAGATGCCGGCTGGCTGAAAGCGTTCGAGGGGACGCAGAGGACGATAACGCGTCGGACTCGAACCTTTAGTATAGGGTTCTCGGGGTTTGTTCGAGTGATTACCTAAGCTAGCAGCACTAATAGGTACATCTAGAAGCCACAGCAAGTGTTGCGCCTCCTGCCATGCAACGAAGCATAGGTGGATGTATTATGTGCGTATAGTCCCGTCTCTCGCCCCCAAGAGGATATGTACCTAGGTACTTAACACGGTGCCCTTAGGGCCTCTAAGAGGTTAGGTACAGGTAGTACCTAGGTAGGTAGCTTGGAGAGAGGTGAGCACTGCCCTCTTACTGCGTGAATATCCCGGCAGATCCCGTCAGGCCGTCCCGCCACGAGACTGCCTGCCTATGGGACCTAGACCTATCTGATCGTAGGCGCCTGTCTAGGGACCTGTCTGGGGGGGGGTCAGCATTACATCCCGGGTACCTCCTAGAGATGGCCTAGGCCTAACTGCGCCTGCCCACAGGTGCTGTGTATACCTAGGTACCTAGACGATAGGTACCTACAGGTTGTGCATAGCACCGAGTGAACCCTAGTGAGGCGCAAATCGGTAACTCGCCTGCGCAGATGTCGTAACTGTTAGGTATCCCCTAACGTGCAAACAGCGCGTACAATACCATCACTATACGTAGATAGTACTTGAGTTCCGAACAGCAAGGACCCTGAAATTAATATTTTTTTTTTCGTGGGAGGCAGAAAGAAGCACCAAGGGTCCTTCGGTGATCGGTCCATACACATTTTCCCATCTGCTCCGCATCTGCTCCCCCCCAGAGTTGTCACATCTTCCATACATGGCTTGGGCACGCTTGGAGGGGTTGATCGGTCCTGTACAGCATCCCTTTTATATGGTTGCAGTGATGATCCCCAGAGCCTAGAGCTTTCCACCCCTTCAAATCATCTCTTCTAGACCCGCCTGGCAGCAGAATAATCTCGCCACCTATTCACGCCCTTCTCCTACCCTCCCACACACGCCCGTCTAGCATCTGCACTGCATAGTGGCCGTCAGCCGGCCCAGTCCCAGAACTCGCCCACGGCAACGGTAGCGGGAGCGGGAACGGGAACTAGAAAAGAGAACCATAAGGGGGTTAGAGGCACCGCACATCCCTTCCCCCCCCCCCCCCTCTCCCCAACAGTGAGCCGTGGTTCCTTGCACGCTGCCCACTCCCTGGTAGGTATACTCGACCTACGCTGCCGAACCCCTAGAGGATCTCGATCTGAGGGAGCGTTGCACCTTGTGCTCGCTACGCTGATCTATCACATAACCGCTCCCAGCTCACCCGCTGCTCGAGCAGCTCGCCGATGACTAGGCGTCGTCATGTTCTCTTGATCAAAGTGCCGACTCGCACCCTACCCCGTCGCCCCGGCCGTGCCCATTCTGTAGCAACCCTACCTCGACCCTCCAGAAGCCCGGACGGCGCGCCATAAGATGGACGATTCCGAGGAGGAGGTCGACACTCGTATCGAGTCGCTCCTAGACCAGCGCCAGTCCCTGACGGAAGAGCTGCTGTCCAGCCCCTACGACCTCGTCCTCTACATAAAGCGTGCTTTGGTGTACTCCGATCTAGCCTACCCCGATCTAGCCGCCGGCGATGCCTATCGAGCACTGTTGTTGACCGACGAAGTCCGCGATGAGAACTTCGAGTACCATGACCAAGCCGTCGCGGCCTTGTTGGTGTACGCTAATGGCCCTATGTTAGATATCCTCGACTTCGGTTCGCTATCCGGAAGTCAGTCTCGCCTACCCGAGTTGGGTGGGGCGATTGATATCCTCGCCTTTGCTTCGCTTGCATCTATCCGCTGCTACCAGGTCCTATCCCTGAGCCTCCTCCTATGCGGCTCTCTGAAGAGCGCCTCGACATTTTGCGAGCGAGGGCTCGCTTTGGCTCCGGGCAACGCAGACCTCGTCAATACCCGGGAGCACATCCAGACCGTCGCCGAGCGCAGAACGCGTAGGCGAATCTCCAACACGAACGACCTCCCAGATTGGGGTACGGTACGTAGGGAAGTCTATCCTTGGAATGCCTACGAGCCGGATCGGTTTTCGGATGAATCCCTGACCTTGCTAAACACCGAATTGGCCAGGATGGCACCCAAGTGTATTGTTGAGGTTGCCGAGCTACCGGTATTGCTTGGTTGCCCTAGCCGTACAGATGGGTACGACATAATTCCGACATGTTATCAGCTCGGCGTTTTTGCCAAGGAAGATATCGCGCCGGGAGAAGATGTCCTTGTGGAATATTCGCTGGTAACAGCCAACAATCGTCTCAAGGACGCAGTTTGTGATGCCTGCGGTAGCGAGCTCCCGTCTCTGGGGAGTGAATCGACCGCTGTTAGCTGCCCGGAATGCTACGACACTGTTTTTTGCGACCAATTCTGCTTCGAGCAAGCTCAGGGGCTTTACCACCCAGCCGTCTGCGATAAGGATGTCGATTCGATCGCCAAGGACCCCAGTGCCGACGATGCCGACGCAACGCTTCATCTCTTGCTCCTAGCGCGTGTTTTGGCAATGGCGGAGCATCAGGATGTACACCCGCTCGACGTCAGCCAAGTCAAGTATATCTGGGGCGATTTCGTGTCTTCGCAAACGAACGAGATCGATCTGTCACCTAAGGCCGGGCCACCCCCAGACTGGACTCTTCCTTTCTCTTTTAAATATAACATCGAGACGCCTCTTCACATCCTCGAGAAAATGGACATCGACATCTATGCCTCGCTCGCTCGCTACGACGTTTGGGTATTCAACACCCTCTATAGCAAGTTCCGCGGCACGGCGTCGGCTCGCAAGAACATAAGAGATGGACGGCCTGACGTCGCTGCCGTCCATCCCTTCTGGTGTCTTGCCAACCATGACTGCAACCCGAATGTCACCTGGGAATGGGGCGGTCGAATGACGTTAAAGGCGCGCGAAACGAGGGTCGTCGGCAATACACCAGGTGGCATCAGGGCTGGAGAGGAGATCCTCAGCCATTACTGTGACGTGAACTTGCCCGTCCAGCAGCGCAGAGAGTGGGCTCGTGGTAGCCTCGGCGGCTGGTGCATGTGTCGCAGATGTCGCGAGGAGTCCCCCGAGAATAAATCTCCGGAGTGACATTTGACGGATAACCTGCCGGTTTTTCTCCTCGGCTGAGGTCAAACCAACACGTATCCTGCGGCGATGAGTTTGGTTCTCTCATGAGTATACACGTGTCATGACTGCCGACTCAACCGCCCTTGCCGCTCCGCTTCTAGGCGACCTGCTTCGCAGAATAGGCCCCCTCACCAACCCCACCCCTTTCTCTCATCCTCCAAAGTAGGTGCAGTATCCTATGTGTAGGGAGACTTCGGCGATAAGGCGTTCCGGGCTAATATGTCTAACTGGCGATAAGACTCGGGCTTGTTGCAATATCGGATATTGCATGTTGAGTACGAATCCCGCGTCTGCCGTCGACCCAAGTCGGAGTACCGCATTCGACGTGAACATGATGCGAGGATTACACCCACGCTGTCTCCTTCCGAATCGTTGCTCTTTTGAATTGTACCCCTCTCTATCCTATTTCCTTTCGCACACGCGTGACTCATCTCTCAGTAATCTCACGAATAGCCATACATACCGCATATCATGTCATAGAAAGGCATTGAACATAAGGTAGTAAATGAAAACGAAGGAGGCGCGGATCTTACATTGTTTCCTCTTTTTTTAGTCTTGTTATGTCCGTTGTACTCCCTCGATCTTTGGGTTTCTTGACGGGAGACTAAGTGTTGATATATGCAGCAAGCTATATACGGTTATCTCACAAAAGCGAACAGCTATAACCCGAAGCCAACCAGTAAACGAGGAGGTAGTAAGGAGAAGAATTTTAACGTTAAAACAAATTGGAGCAAAGAAAAGGAAACTAGAGGAAGAAAAAAGGTCGGTGTGTAGTGATTCTGTTTAAGGACAGGTGGTTGGGCAGCCGTCTTATCTACAGTGATCGATCGATCGATCTATCAGTTACGTGGGGTGCGAGGGGATATCACGAGTGTAAGGGATCCCCTCGCCGGGGGGTTAGTATATATATCATTCACGCTACCTGTCCGGATATTTTATTCTGGCTCGCGTGAGGATGTAGGTAGAGACACTGATGTCTTGGAAACCGGCTGCCCAACTACTAAATACTGGTCCAGGGAACCGGTGGTGCTATTCCGAAGTAGAAGAGGCACGTTTTATCAACAGAGTGCGCAAAGACGAAAAGAGAGGGGAGGAAATACTGGTCACCAGGGCTCCTCGCTCCGGCTTTCGCCTATAGACCCCCCCGGGCTGGACTCAGGTCGCGGGTCTCGATAGATTAACATGTTTCTATGCATCTGAGCCCACCGCACACTGTCTCCTCAATGCACTTGTACAATATACACAAACATATACGCTCACACTCGTGTGATTCAACCTCGACCCTATCGCCATCACGGGATCGACCGATCGATCATTCATCACACATCCCTTCTTGTTACAGCAGCAGCCGCAGTATCACATCGCAAGAGCAGGCAAGCCCATCGTCGGCCGAAGACTCTTATCTCGCACTTTTCACCTTGCATTCATACACCTGAGCAGACAACGTCAGCTGTGCCCTCCTGCCTGAGAGGTGGTCGACACAGCGTTCCTTCCCCTGAGGCCGACATAACTTTGATAAAGCCAGTACGAGAGACCCTGGAGGATAAATAGGCCAGAATAGATATATATAAGACGACAACAAGGTAACTAGAAATACTAAAGACGGTGACGAGAGAGAGAGAGAGAGAGAGAAGGAGGGGGTCGTGCGACCCCACTACTTTTGAAGAGTGATGGAGAGAAGAGTGAAGGGGAATGAGAAAATAAAAAGACGTGATCGCATCCATCCATTCCGTCCAAATCCTATCCTAACAATCCATCCTCCACATGGTCCAATCCCACAACGCCAGCCGTTGCCATGAACCTATATACACGTCGGCCTCGACTTCTTTCCTCTCATGTTGCTTCCTTCCTTCCTTCTCTTTCATCTCTACCCTCCTTGTTTTGGGGGAACGTCGTTCTTTTCTATCTGCCCTTTTTTGGCTTGTTTATTCCTTGCTGGTCTTTCCCCATACACACCAACTCTCAATTCACCCACCGCCTACACTAGGGGCAACGCTGGGTACGCTGGCTGCGATGGCGGCCGCGTTGGGGAGTCGACGTCCATGTCGCTTGCAGCGCGAGCTGAACTTGGGGCCGACGAGACGGGGCTCTCAGAATCGTAGTCCTTGCGCTTGATGCGATCAATGACATACTCACGCAGGTACTCAATGACGCGCACGTGTTCGAGCCAGGCCTCGTACGCCTGATCCTCGCGGTTTTCCGCGCTCGTCTCCGACTCAGCTGACGGCGAGCTGACCGCCGAGATTGCGGGCTCAACCGGCGCCCGCGGCGCGCTCGTCGGCGGGTCCGGTCGCGGGCCGGCGCTTGCACGCTGAAGCATCCCGCCTGAGTACCGCCGGCGCGGATCGCTGTCAAACGTTGGCCCGAGTGTCGACGTAGCCGACTGTCCAGGATAGCCCGACGTGACGGCCGGTAGGGTTGGGTACAGGGCTGAGGTCGTCGAGCTGTGTCGTGTCGATGGGGACAGACCAGAAGACGAGGCCGTTGGTGAGTGGCCGGATGTGTAGGACATCGAGCTAGAAGGGGGGGTCACAGCCGGGGTTCCGTTCGAGTGAGTCGAAGAGACAGCAGTTAGGGGCGATGCGACATGTGCGGCTGAGTACGCGCCGGGGGCCGCCGCCATTGATGCGGGTTGTGCGGGGGCAGCGGAGTGCGGTGGAGACTGGCTGTGGCGGAAGTTGAGAGGAAGATAATGCGATCCAGGTTGGTGGACCCCGGCAGCAGCTGCAGTGTTGGAATTCTCGTAAACGGTACTCTGCATCTGCTCGAGAATCTGGTCGATTTGAATCAGGTCGCTCTTTGTGCGGATATTCGGCATCGGTGGCAGGGAGTAGTGTTGTTGGTAGGGCCCGTGGCCGGCGGGGCCGTCAACGGTCATTACGGCAGGACTTGGTAGGTACTCGGTGGCGAGGGAACCGGAGTGGATAGGAAGGACGCCGTGGAGAGGAAGAAGCCTCTGGCCAACTTGGGCATAGGAGGCCGGGTCAAGCTGGCGGCGCTTAGCGTCGCCGAAGAATTCGTTGAGCACATCGTAGGTGCGCTTACGGTGGTCATAGTCAGCAGCAGAAGCCTGGTAGCCCATATGGTCACCACGGCCACCCATAGGCTGGTAGTACATCGGACCGCCAAACGAAGGTTGGGGATGGTGCTGATAGTAGCTACTTGGGTGACCAGCGGGGTGCGGCGGCTGACCAAAGGCAGCCGAATTAGTACGGATCTGACCATTATGATCATAATAGCTTGACGGAGCTATGAGGCACATTAGCCTCCAATAATGAGGGAATAGGAGGGGGTTAGAACGGAGCGCAAAGATACATACCTTTTCCCTGTGCTCGGTACGCGCCGTTCATGCCGCCATGCTGATCCGGCGACCGGACCAGGACAGAGTCGTCGGCATGAGTCTGAAAGAGCGAGTTAGCAGCTTGTCCAGGATCCTGGAGGCTGGTCCGGAGGGGGGGGGGGAACTACCTTGACGTGCTTCTTCAAGTCCTGTGGACGCTTAAAAGACTTGCCGCAAAAGTCGCACTTGTGCGGTTTCAGAGGGACGTGGACGCGAATGTGCGAGGTGATATGGTCACGCTTGACAGTCGTGGTTCGGCACTGGTTCCACTGGCAGGTAAGATTCAAGTTATTCGTACTCTTGCGACCAACATGCTTTTCGCAGATGTGTTCCTGAAAATACGCGTCAGTACTCGCACTATCGAACGAGCAGAGGAAAAGGGGATCCCAGAGTGAACACGAGGCGGGAAGAGAGAACTTACATAGAGTGCCTCGGCAGAGTTGAACTTCTCGGTACAGTTAGACCAGCGGCAGATGAGGGCATCATCTTGGGCTGGGGCACTTGATTGCGACGTCGCGGTGGTCGCAGTCGAGGGCGCTGGGGTGGTGCCGTTAGAAGCGGAACTCTCGCCGCCAGAGGTGACGGGGTTGCCTTCGGGAGCGGCCGACATGATTCCGGATTCCGAGGTTGTAAACTCTGGACACGTGACGCAGAGAGAGATTCCAGGGTCGGAAAAAACCGCAATCGGAAGGGGAGAGCAGACGGGATTTCTTCGGAAAACCTCCTTCCCACACAACGCTTCACAAGCTAGCTTGGGTGACACGTGACCGGCAGCGGATACAGGATAATCCCAAAAGGACGTGTGGCAGCAACTAAGTATTCGCAACCAGCACGAGCCGTATACAGTCGTTGGGTTGCATACAACGTTGTAAGCCGGCAGGACCTCGGAGCTGTGCTTGCGCTCGGTGCTGCGCGCGTACTGCGACGATATCGGGAGGGGGGCTGACAACGAGAAGGCTGTTGTATAACAAGAAAAGGATAAGAAATACTAAGAAATGCTAAGACTTCGAAAAAGCCAAAGACGAGAAAAGTCAATAGTCGTCTGAGAGAGAGGAAAGGGCAGTTTATGTAAATCGGGCACCACAGCTGCTCCTTATTGTGGGCTTTGGACCTTGGCGATATCCAGGCGGAAAGTCTTGGCGATAGGCCCGGTCGACGTCGGGTGATTGGCCCAGCGCGCAGGGGGCGAGCGAGTCAGGTACCTCACGGCGAGGAGTGACTTGTAGAACAGCGCACGGCTGCTGCCAAATCCAGGTCACCCCTCCTCGATCGCAACATGCGCCCCAAGTCAATGCCAAGGCCTTGGCGCGGCTTGGCATTAGATGATTGTCTCGAGGAGTCTGCCCAGAAATGCTTAAACGGTTGCTTGAAAAAACCTTGGCCGGTCTTGGCAGGGCCTTGGCACTTTCTTGGCCGCCGGTTCCTCCTGTGCCGAGACTCGACTGCGCCCACTTTTTTCTCATCAGCACCCTGCCTACAGGTTTCTCGCTCCTGCTCTCTCCCCCTCCTGCTCTCTCTCCCTCCTCGTCCTCCTTCCTCATTCCTCACCTCATCGCCCGTTCACATCGGCACGAGCAACGCAGCTGCCCGCTGATCAGCCAGTGGCCAACTTCCAATCGCCTCTACGAGTACACACACTATTACGTACTAGAGTACCGCAGTACCTCCTGAACCCACGCGCGCGCACGCATTCGTTTGTACCTGCTGTTGTAGGTACTTAGGTACTTCTTGTAGGTACCTACACTTACTACGTTAGGTACCTACCTACCTAAGGTAGCATGTACCGTAACTTCGCGTAAGTGGTCGTAGAAACAGAGGAAGCTGTTGCCAGCCATACACGTACAGATTGAATAATCATTCGGACCCCTACGTGATAACCGTAGGTATTGGACTCAATAGGGGAATGCTCGATATCTCTCTCTCTCTCCTCTCTTCGTTTCTTCATTGTCTCCCCTTTACCCTCCTCTTCGCTGTCTCCCCGTCTCCTCATATAATGCTTTTTAACAAAAACAATCCAACTCATGCCTGGTAATTTTAACCCCCTCGCCAAGGAGCAGCACACCATCCGTGCCTTGATATCCGGTTTGCTGCAATATGCTAAGTTGATCGTCAAGGCGCAGTATTGATCTGTAACGCCCGCCACCCCTCTCCCCTCTATTGGTGATACGCGTGTTGTGTATTGCCTTCCCGTATCTCTCGCTAAGTTGGAATCCTCCGGCACGCTATGCGATGCTAATAACTATCATAATCACTTCGAGCCGACTTACCCGAATGTGAAGGGGGTATAAAAGAATATGCCACCTACACCTACCTATACCGCCATCACCGCGGCGCATTCGCGCTAGCCGTCCGCTCCCTTAAGCCGTCGCTTAGAGTGATAATATATCTCTGCTCCTCCGTCGTTACATATGTCCCACCGGCCTTGGATATTGCGCGAGCGGAAGGAGGAGGTCTTGGGTCTTGGTATCTCTTGGTACAGGGACAAGTTCAGCCCAGCCAGCTTGTTCTTTCAGGAGTAATCAACGTTCCGCCGGCCAAGCCTTGGTCTTCCTCTCCGCCCGCCAAGTACTTGGCCCTGCAACTGCCCAGCACGCTCCTCTCGTCGGCAGCGAGTCGAACCCAAGACCCACGGAGGACGAGGGAGGGAAAACGACCTGTCAACTTCCTACCTTGGCTTGCGGTTGAGATTGCCGCCTACGGTCTAGGCCCTCCAGCTATTTATTTGTAGGCGGTCGCGCCACCCGGTTTCTTGGAACAGGATCCTGAAGATATATGCACATGGTCCTGGTGTCTAGTTTGCATCGTCTATCTTATCCTCGAAAATAGGGGTTGACGGAAACAAAGGGCGACGAACGCGGAGATTGGCTTCATCTCCCCTCATAACAGACATTTGGACTATAAACCACCCAATGCTCCCAAGACAACATACACTGCTTACATTATACTTAGGCACAAGCATGTCTATCCTTCGTTTAGTGGGACTTCCATCCACACACACACACTCGCTAAGCCTAGGCCGGAAGAGTGAGCAGTGAAAGCTACCCGTATAACGCCTCCCGTATTCTTTTCATTCACCGCAGTCGAGTAATGCTACCAGCGTCTTAGCAGAGCCGCCGGACCCGGTCCTGATCTGACTCAGCCGTACTCAGCCGTTATCTGCGCCGTGATCGCCTGCATACAGCACGCACCCCTACCTACTAAACTTCTCAACGTCACCAAACAGCCGCCAATGAATTCCCCGCTCACGAACAGACAGCCTTGTGTCAGCAACATTCTGCATAGTACCGAGTTCTCGCCAGACCAGCATTATAAGTTCTATATTAGACCCAACCTTGCCTTTTATCGTCATCATTCGGTCAGGTCGATAAAGCTGATAATAATCCCGATTAGTATCATCTATCCACACAAGTCCCGGTGTGTAATACGTCGGATGCTTTCCACGTAATGAGAGAAATCATAACAAAGCTACTATTCCCACAACTTTTTTAATACTAAATCAACTTACGCTGCGCAAATTACGTCATTATATTCCCACCTCCTTGGAACACATTTGAATTCTTTAGAGACACATGGGGAGGCTCACACAAGACCTCGTCACTTGCATAAGTGACGGCCTGTATTTATCTTAAAGCAACAAATCCTCATGTCCAAACCGGTAATCTAGCTACTTGTCGTCTTGAGAAGAGAGCTTAAAGTTTATCTTCACCCATTGTTAAAGAGAATCAGGTTATCTAAATAAGTAAAGACGGCCGAGCCTCCATAAAGCTTGCCCCAAGTATCTGAGGCGTTCGACCTACCGTTATCACACCACATTATAACCGACAACCAGCGCAGCGAACAGGCTAGGGGGGCATGCCGATGGATTTTATACCTATCAAGTTACGTTGATGGCGCCGATTAGCCGCCGTTTAAGCTCGGCTCGTCTAACATGACACTTCTAAATTACGGACACGGAGTCCTACGACGAATTTACTTGCCTACTTCTTCCTACCTCGGGAGTACGCACGGTTCATGTACGTCGAGTTTGCTAAGTGCCCAAAGCCAGGCAAATCAAACACGCACATGAGTCTTAGTAACGAGCACGACAGCGCGGAGGGTTAGATGTCCACGTTACATCAACGTGATGGACTAATTAGCAACGTGCTCCCTACCATGTAACTAATCTCTGTTACGGTAGAACGACTCCTCTGGAACGAATAGGCGTTTCGAGTTTCCAAGTCTAGCCAAGCATGCCCACGTGTATAATGAAATCTCCTCTCTTTCTAAGTAGAGCCATACTGAGATTGATCCATCCACCGGGATGTTTATACCCTAAACCCAAGCAGGGGTTTAATAGAAACCACCCTTAGGACTCCTCACCCCACGTCTTAGAGCTAGGCACGCATATACCACCACACATTATCGCATTGCATAGAGATGAGTGTCTTAGACAGCAGGTGATTGTCGCTAGATTCAATATACATAGACTCCAACATGTTACACCTACGCCTAAATAACTCACCGAGGATATATTTAAGCCGCTTAGAGATTCGTTTATACCACGAACATGTGCCGCTGGATCCTTTTTACCACCGCCTATTCTGTCTTTTCCCATATAATACTTTTCCTGTTTTCTGTACGCCCATCATCAACCTACTTTCGCCCTTGTTACTTCATAGCACACGAGATGAGATTAAACAATTTCCCGCATGAACCAAAAGCACCAGCCCGTTGGCGCATCTCAGCTCCCGAACGCATTGGCAGTCCGGAGGCGAGAATTCCTATCTCGTGACCACCTGCCCCTAGGCCCCCCTCTCTTTCGGGAACTACACGTTCGCCACGACGCATATACCTAGTGGTATGGCGTAGTTAGAAATCCATACAAGACAACGACGATATAAAATATAGTTATGCTTGGCTCGTCCGTCTTCCTCCTCCTCGTCTCTCTCTCTCTGTCTATCTTCTCTTCTGCGCCCCCTCCCCCCTCCCCCCTTTCGCCTCTACCCCTCCACACTAACCTGCTAGGTCTACCTCCTTAGCTCCCACTCGGTCTCCTTACCCCCTACGGCGAATCGCCACCTACCTCGCAACCTGCTCGCCAACAACCATAACCCAAACCTCCATACGTAAATCCTCACCCCCCCCCCCCCCCCCTGATTGAAAACAACCAATAATCCAACACGAATCAACCAACCCGAGCCTACCCTACCCTAACCCAACCCGACAAGGATGAATCTACCCCTCTACTTGCCTGCCGGTCCGCCCGCACACACCCCTTCTCGACCGACCAACCGGTCAGCTAACCAGGTGACCTACCAGCCCGCGCGCCGTCACGCGACGAGGTCCGGTACCCAATGGCGGCAGCAACCTACGAGGCGCAAATAGCCACTGGGGTATCTCCCCCATCTCCTCCCCTCCCTTTCTTCCATTCCCTGTCCTCACCCCCCCTCGCCCCTTATCCCTCCTCCTCTCTTTACATTGGCAGGTCGGTAGGCGCCTAAGGTATACTAAGGCAGGGCAAGCCAAGGAAGAGGCAGCTAGGAGGAACCCAATACTAACATTGACTAACTCGCCACGTGCCTGCCCCCCCCTTCCCTTCCCACCCTTCTTCCATCCTAATCGTCGACGACGTCGCTGTCGCCGCCGCCACCTCGAAGCTGGTGAGAGGGGAAAAAAAAAAAAAAGCAACCTAGAACGCCGAGAGGGCTGAGAAAAGTTGCGAGCCTCTCCCTTTTGCCTTTCCTATTCTCGTGGACGTTCCTTTTCAATTTTCGCTCCCCGGGCCACGAGAGACTACGTACCGACTCCTCGTCCCCATCTCCGGCCTCTCTTTCTTTCCTCCCGGTTCTGTTCTGTTCTGTTCTTTTCTCCACGTTCGTCGGTTCCTAGACGACGCTGGAGAGTAGGCCAAGGCACGATGGAGGGCAGGTAGGCAGATCCAGAGATCCAGACATCGATGCTCATGATATTATAGTGAAGAGAGGATTAAGTAGGTAGGTACGTAGATAACACAGCTTAGCTCTCACAGCAGGGAGTTAGCTCTCGTACCTGCGTCTCGGCATCCGCGCATCCCCGCCTTTCTACGACCCGCGCGTTCGGGATTTTCCTCCTTCACTTCACCTTCACGCTTCCCTCCTTCGTTGCCCGATATATTCGTCCTCCTCCGAACGCGACTGCGGCAAGGATGGTGAGGGAGAGGAGATAACTAGAACTACCAGGTATCGTCTGTCTAGGCAGCTATAAGAGAGCTAGCCCGACACACAGGAGTCTAAAGTCCCGTCTTGGTCCGCTTCTCGTTGGCCTGCTTGCTTCCTTCCTTTCTTCCCATCTTGTGTCCCCTCCCTCCCTTGAATGACGGGGTGATGATACTCCACATCGTTAGCTTTGCTCTCTCGCCGAAGAGCGTGCCAGATTCTCTCGGGTAACCCTTACTAGCTGGCTAAGCTAGCTTTACACGAGAGATAGTAATAACAAACGACAACATCGGCCCTTACAAAAGACACCCTGGTTAGACTCCAGGTTAACAAAACTACTTGGATCACTCCTCCTCTCCTTTCCCTCGCTGACCACTATTCCCATTTACCATCCAATTTGACCACTCAAAACCCGGCTAACTCTATGCCAACACATCATGCCACGTCCTCTCTCCTCTCTCATCTTGTCTGTTTCACCTCCCTCATCACCGCAGTTTCGCAAGAAGAAGAAAAAAGGCTCGCTCGCCGATTAAACGTGATCGAATGTGGCGCGTGTGCACCTCTATCAAAATAACAAGGGGGAAAACAATGCCAGAGCGTCCGTCTTTCGATGTCGGCCAAATTACCGAACGAGTCGCGTCTGCATACGTGTATGATTTCTGGTGTAGGTGCTCGAACGGGTGTCTTTCCTTTCCGACACCTCCCCGCGATGTTGTTGAAGCAGGGGAAACTGTATATTTTCAGCCGTTGGAAAACAGCCTAGAACTAACCCCCAAAAAGAGAAAGGGGGAGGGGCAAAGAGATTAAAATTCCGCGAAATAAGTACGTTCGCAATGAGGGGGGATAACGTCAAGTGAAGACGATAAAAGATGTGGTCGGAGGCGGCTGGGACCGAGCGCACGAGGAATATCCACAGGCTCAAGGTCATCCAAATCCCCCTCCCCCTCCTTGCTGGTTCGGTAGTTACCCATGACTTTCTAATCGGGTATCCCGCCAGTCAACTTTGCCGTAAGACTCGTAATTCGTGTAGCGATGAGTAGGCGGCTGGGGAGGGAATAAAAAAAGACGCAGGGCAAAACTCCGAACCGCTCGTCAACCGCGGGAGATGCGCCTCCCCTATCTCTTCCCACATCCAGGATTGAGGGAAATGCCAATGCAGATTGTAGATCATCCTTTGGGAGGGCGTTGTTCCGAAACCGCCGAAATCTCCAGGTGGGAAAGGATAAAAGTCGTCCAAAAAATAATACTCCCCAGAAAAGCAACCAGGGACGCCAGGTGTCGAGAATAAACGATGCCGGGTTATGCCGGATGATGACGATTTATGATAGCGGTGATCAAGATGAACGCCTTGTTGACCAGAGAATTGACACAATAACCAGCCCGGCCAGGCCGACCAATATCAAATCGCCCGGAGTCGGGATGTGCCGAGAAAAAAAAAACGCCGCCATATGCTAAATTTATTATACAGAACCGAGTTGTAAAAGCGCCTGGATAGCCTCACGCTCTTGGGCATCTGATGAAGCGGCAAGTGCGGCCAGGTCGATGTTGTCAAGGCGTGGTTCCCGAAGCATCCCGGAGGTTGCCGAGAAGGACCGGATGCCACAGGAGTTATATACACGAGAGGAGAGGTAGTTCGTACTTTGGCGGGCCTCGGTTGGACTAGAGTACGACGCTGCCCGTAGTGCAGCGGCTCCGACGGCCGCCCAGTCTTCGTCGTCGGTGGCATCTTCGGGGTCGTCATTCATAATCATATCTTCGTCGTCTGGCGCCTCCGAACAGGAGGCGGAGGCGGGCCCGTCGAGGGAGTCGAGAGACATCTTATCCGCCTCATTCTCCATCATGCTAATGTCCCGGTCGTCGTGCGAGAAGGTAGCCGAGTTCCCGTTACTAGTAGAGCGCGCGTTGAGCCGGGATCGGTCGGCGTTCCGCCCTGCGCCTTTTGAGATCGGTATGCTGGTCGGAGCCAGGTCGGAATCACCTTCGCGCGCGAGTTTTCGAGACGTGGCGCCTCGAGTGGGTTGACCGCGTCGCTTGGCGTCCCAGCGACCCCATCCGACCTTCTGAAATTCCACGTCACCATGAACTCCACCGCCCTCGACACCGTGTCCCTGTCCACGTCCTTCCAACGCTGCCACGACTAGCCTTCGTGCCTTCGGTGGGGGGATTCCGGCAAAGCCGGGGACCGAGGTGGTTAGGTAGCCCATGATGTGGCGAATAGCTAACGGCCCGTGGTTTAGCAAGATCTCTGGCAGGTGAAACTTGGCTAGGAGCGCCGGAGTGATGGCGCCGGTAGACTCGAAGGACGGCGAGCCTAGACGGTCGGGCGCGACGCCTTCGTGGAGGTCCAGGTCCGAGTCGATGGCGTCGAGCCTGGCCTTCTGCAGTTGGGCCTTGAGGCCGTGAGGCGGTAGCGTAGGGGATATGGAGTTGGGGGGAGTCGGGAGGGAATGGGTTCGTGTTGTCGCAGGGACGCTCCGAGCGGCCGCTACAGCAGTTAAGTTGTCGCGGCTGAGAGAGGAGGTCTTGAGGATATCGCGAGCAGCAGATGCCGATGCCATGGTTGCCATTTTTGATGCAGCTGACTTCGAAATGTGCCTACGGAGGTCAAGCGATAGAAGGTTAGACATTTATCTGTTGGCGGAAAAAAAAAGCGGTGTGATGTGACGGGACCTGACCGACTATTGAAGGGGACGAGGAGGGAGAAAAAAGTCGGAATGAGGATGTGTGATGCCTGCTAGTATGTGCGTGTCCGGGGCCATGGGTGAGTCACTTACAAAGACAGTCCGAAGTAGGGAGAATTGCTGTGCAAATAGCGACAGATTGATCAAACCAGTCTTGTTCTCGACGGGAAAAGGCGAAAACAAAAACGAAGTTAGGGCAAGGCGTAAATGGCAGTGCTGACGCGATTCTCTTGACTGCGACAAAGGGTGACTCTGTGAGTACAAAAAAGGAACCTGGCGATGTTGGATTCGGCGTTGTTGATGTTATGAGACGGAGGAAAGAGATCAACAAGGGAAAGCCGGCGACGACGAGTGACGAGCGATGACCTTCTAATAGCAAATGTACCGTATGTAATCAAAGTACTCTAGTATATACTGAAAGTAGAAAGAGATTCAAACTAGAAGAGACCAATCAGAGGCCTCCACTGGCCGCATCTGAACTAGGAGGTAGGAAGTACTTACTCAAAGTACTTAGGTAGGTATGTACCTAGGTGTACGGGCCGTGAAGGAGGAATCAACAAGGGGGGGGTGTGGTTAAAGAGCAAGGGGTGAGCTACATAAGTAGGGGGGGTGGACTACACAAGCACCTTATCTGCCTAACCTACTTGGTATTGATCTCTGTCTGAATAAGGTCGGCAGGGGAGAGGGCGATGCCCATGGCGCTATACCATGCGGCCAGCTGATAAGTATTAGGTAGTCACCAGCTGATCATGAGAGAGAGAGAGAGAGAGAGAGAGCCCTAGTTAGCAACAGCCACAACGTGGTCTTAGCTCATTCAGGGTGGTGCGCCTAATAAAATGAATACTACTCAGCATATATCTCATAGTAAGGCGCAACATAAAACCGGAATGAGAAATAAGAAGGAAAGAAGGAGACGGCTGAAATGGAAGCCAAGCGAGATTATCGGCCAATACCTTGTGCACGCTCCAGCTAAGTACGCTTGGGTGACTCTGTTAAATGCTCACGCGTGTAGGTACCTACAGGCACTCGGGGTCAAGCCTTATGTCAATGTTACCTACTTTAGCCAGGTTGTTAGACGGGCAGTAGGAACGAACTTGGGGTCCGCCATCGCACCCTCTGTCTGTTGGTGAGCATTACTACCTCTATCTGCCTGTAGATAGTAGTACCTACCTAGGTAGGTAGGTAGGTAGGTAGGTAGGTACCTAGGTATCTACCTACATATCCGTACTGGCATATAAGTTAGTACCTGGTACCTAGGTAGGAGGTATGTAGAGTCGGGGGGCCGCAGCTGATAGTGTACCTATACCTATCAGATGCCTGAAACTCAGCATTGATAACTACCTAAACTCGCATCAACTAAATGACCCATCTACCTGCCCTCTCACTACATGTACCTACATCTTCTGGCCTCCTTTCGAAAACCTGTCGACATACCTACATCTTCTACTCTATGAGGTAGACCGGTTACAAGGTATCGCATACATGCATGTCCTACGTTAAATATGTTCTTAGCAATTCATATGGTACTACTTGATAGTGTGGTTAACGTCGTACCCCGTGGCGAGTCCTGGCCTACGCACACAAGTAGTCTTATCTGTGAGAGGGATACCCGGCTCAGCCAGCCATCGGGATGAACGAGCCTTGAAGATACTGGGTCACGACAGATATGAGCTAATCCAACTCCTCAGCCTGTCAACTCTTGACAACTCGTGCTGCTCTGTGCCGTATGTGCATATATGCCGTGTCTGCCTCTGGGCTTCATGCTGCTACGCTGCGTCCACGATGAGGAGGGAGTAGGAAGTATTTGCCTAAAAGGCGAAGGCATGCGGCCTCCTCGCTGGTCTGTACTGCCCTTCATCCTCGTGTCCCTAGCATGTTTGTTGTCGTGGAGCCTTCGGCGCATTCCCGACGGAGGCGGCTGGCTTACCTACTAGGTACCTACGTAGGAGAGACGGCCTACCCTACCTGAGGTAAGGTATTCCTCACCCAGACCCGAGAGGACCTGTGCGGTGTTTGTCCTCGACCTGCTTACCACTCAGGTAATACGCGTGATATGCTCATACAGTAAGGTACGATTCGAGATGTAGGCGGATTATCTAGACCTTTTCACCCTCCCTCATCCTCCTACCTCTTTCATACCCGACGGGTCTCTGGGGTATCCTGTGCACTAAGCTCATAGGGCGTTGGTGCCAATCTGCTTTGGGGGATGGTCAGCCGAATCAAAATCCCCCCAAAAAGAAAGAAAAACATCCTCAAGCCGAGAGCAGAACAGTTATCTATCTAACCCCCCCTCCCTAACCCCGGCTATCTTGCATTTCGTGGGATGGACCGGCACTATCTCTCTGCAGGAGGCCATTGGGCCTGTGTGTGTGGTGTGTCTGGAGGGAACTCCTTGGAGCGCAGTCCGAGACCAGAATCCGCATCAACAGCAGGCAGAAAATGCAGGCAAGAAATCTTCCCTCGGTAGGTCGGTAGGTACACTCTTTCGAGGCACACCCTGTGGTCCAACAACGGTAAAACCGTTACGGGCGGGTAGGTAGGTGGGTTGGGAGTTGGTGGTCTCACACCCATCCATCGAATTGAGAGACGCGTGCGAAAGATTGTACATCCTCAACCTCGCCTGTCCGTCGGCTATGCAAGTGACTCTATGCACCTACCTTGTAGGTAATGCATTCGTTCGCTCATCCCTCCCCGGTCGCTAATCGTCGACGTTGCGCACACATCAAACCCGTCTCCGAATGCGCGAGACAGCGAGAGTGGCTAGATCCCGGTACCGCATGATTCCCGAAGCTCAGAGAGCCGTGGATCTAGGAATCCCCCCCAAAATCGGGTTTTCCCTCGTGTAGATATGGGCTTCCGTATAGAATAAGACAAGCCAATCAACCACAATCGCCTCGGCAACACACCCCAACTACCGTGATGCACCCCAATTTCTGCGCGCATTCTTCACATTCGGCCATTCGGGAGTCGCGCGGCCCGACGTGTCTATGACCGTGACCATGAACGGCATGACTGATCAGGCGGGCGAGGAGAGACGGTCATTCATCCAGGATCTACTTCAGGAACATTTCCGACGGAAGGTGAGCACACTTCAGCTTCTCAACTTTTCCTGCTTAAAATCGTTCAGCGTCCATCTGACTTACTCTTCATAGGCAACCGCTATCAGCCGCCTTGGCCGAGACTCCAACAACTTTGTTTACTATGTCAAATTATCATCAGAGAGGATTGATAGCGTGTCGGAATTGCTACCGCTGCCGACCCGATCGCCGGGCACGATTGCTCTACCCGCAGACGTGACGGAGGTCGTCGTCCGGATTTCCAATCCCGAAGCCATGGTTAATGAGGAGGTCCGAGTGCAGAATGAGGTTGCCGCCATGAGCCTGGCGAGGCAAGCTCTGGCCGGGTACGACCAGAGTCTCGTCCCCCTCGTGTACGCCTGGAGCCCCTCCTCCGGAGGCCGTGGATGGCTCGTGCAGGAATACAAGCGAGGTCTGCAGCTTGACAAGGCATTCGGCGAGCTTGACCGTGAGAAACAGCAGGATCTCATCGGCCAGATTGCTCAGGTCTACAAACGAATCCAGAGCTACCCGCTCCCAGACTCGGTCCAGGGGTACGGCGGGCTTGGGTTCAGCCCAACGACGGGAGACATCATCACCGGACCTACGACGATCCCGTGCGGTGGACCCTTCGCTTGCCTTGATGAAATGTACTCTCAGATGCTTCGCAGGCAGCTCGACGAGTCGGACACCTCCACGCTTCTCCAAGGGTGGCGCGCCGACGGGCTGCGAGACCGGCTGGAGCGCTTCGCCTCGGACGGGATTATGGGGCTGGTGAGGGCCAATTCCCTCTCATGCCGGACCCTCATCCACGGAGATTTCAGTGAGCCGTTTCTGTTCATTCTTGTGCGCCGCGGTTCCTCGGATTCGCCTTGAAGGACTGCTAGCCATTACGACCCACCACTCCCTGTAGAATATCGCGCACGCTTCGATGCTGACTCGGGCCAGACTTGTTCAACATTTTATATGATGCACCCTCGAACCAGCTTACGGCACTACTCGACTATGATTTCAGTCACATTGCCTCACCGGCTGAAGAGTATTTCTACTCATTCCGTACAATCGGCGCTCTACTGACCGGTCCTTTTGAGGAGGGTGACGAGGGCCGGCTCCGCAAGTGTCTGCTCGAGGGCTTCGAAGGCAACACTGGGACGGAGATGCACGGCCGGGGAAGAGTAAATTGGGAGGTCGCCCTCATGACGGACTACGAGTTCTATCGTGCGGGGGTACTCAGGCCTGCCGATATTCCGGGCTGTGGGGAGCTTGCCAGCCTGAAATGGTTCCTCGAAGATGTATCCCCGCCTTACTTCTATATGTCTCGCTGGCTGGCCGGTAGGACACCGGAGATATTGGGCGGAATGAGAGAAGAAATACGAAGTAACCTCGATAAGTACTTGCTGAGATGGGGCTTCTGAGGCTACCACTTCGCAATCTCTTGTCGCATTCTTCACTGTTTCTGACAGCTCGCTGTCTCAAGATTCTGATAGAACCAATACTCAGGAGTCTCCCCAAGTAGCTGGCCGCAGGGTTTGAAGCTATTGCCAGCTGCCCGACTTGTAGTTTCAAAAGGTCTTGATGTCGCCCGAGGTATGGGCTCTTGGTGCTCGAAGACCCATGAATCAACCCATTTTCAAAAAGATGTCGTCATGATGATTAGAGCCTGGCATAGGATCTTGAGGCTCTATAAGAGCATATATAGCTTTGCCAGGGAGAATCTTTTTCCAGCCCTGACCTCGCCATGGTCACTTTATTGGCCGTGGCGATTCATTCTAGCCGCAACACGAGATGCTGCTATCCTCCAACGGTGAAGAGAGAGGTCTGTCGATGTCAGACGTAAGCGAATCTAGCTGAACGGGCGAGGGCCGAAGTCGGCCAGTCGGAACCCGGATGTCCTGTCCTGTTGCGGTCTACCTTGTTGCTTACAACATTTTTGTGTCTATGGAGCTAGTAGGTTGTTGATCAATGGTCAGACTTCTTGCATGTTTGTCTTCGTCTGAGTTATCAGTAACGGGTCTGATCAATGGAGTCTTGTCGTATTTAGTTGTTTTCCCTTGTCTTGCTGAAGGAGGGTGGGGAAGGGGGTTGGGAGAGGGGGGGGTTCGTCCCTCCTCCTCGTTGTCCCCCAACTTCCACCACCTGAGGCCATAGAGCTTCAACCCCGGCGCTTCCTCTCAGCCATCTAGGCATAACAATGCCAAAACCCGCGGGGCTTCTCTTGCCGCCCTGTCTTCCTCTTCAAATAGGAGTTGCTCTAGCCTAGAAGCCCAGGTGATCTAGCAAGCTCACAAGCTCTCTCTCACCCATTCTTCTCAGCGCCAATCTCTGATCCTCATCCTGGTTCATTCTCAAAAAATCATCATTCGTTAATCTCCAGGGTAACAGAGAGCCCAGCACCCCATCGACATCTGCAAACTTATCGATCCCCTGGATCGTACTAGGTCGTTTCACATCCAGTTTCTGCAACTGGTCTTCCCACGCCTGTGCCAGTTCCCAGTCGACCCCTGGGCCGTTCGCGGTCGCAACCGGAGCTGGAAGAGGCGAGGGAAAGCAGCCAGAAAGTTTAGCGTGGCGAAGCGCGGCCATCTCCTTCTCCTCCGGAGTGGTATCGCCTAGCCAGCCAGTCATCTGGCCTCCGTTACTAGCGAAGGAGCGAAAGAATTCGTACGCAGGGTGTAGGATACTACTGAAGTCATAATCGAGGAGCGCCGTAATACGGCCCGTAGTAGGGTCCCAGAGTAGATTGTCGAAAGCTTAGTCCCGGTACTTGTCAGTGCTACGTTTCGCGGGAAAGAGTAGGGGAAAAGGCTTACTAAAATCTGCGTGTATTATGACCCTATCTTGCTTCGACGTTAAGTTGGAGAACTGTGCCGTTAGTCCATGCTCGATGAAATTATCGATACGTTGTCTGACGCCGTTGGCGTACCAACCCTGTAGGTATATATTCTTATCGGCCCTAGCGAGTGCCAGTCGCAGACGGCTTCGGTAACAGTCCTCAAGAGAAGACCACGGTCCGGCACCGACGTAACTTACTGATGCGCTGACAATGGTGCCACTGTCATCAAAGGTCACACCTCCCCAGCCCTCGATACTCTCGGGAAGTGGGTAGTCCTGCAGAGCCTTAAGTATTCGCGCCATCTGGGCCAGGATTCCATTCTCCTGCTTTTGGAACGTAGTTCCCCTGCACGCCAGGGACAGCGGCACACCGGGCATCATTTCTTGCAGGACCCAGCCCAAATTCTCGTCCGTAGCGCCACCCCAGCCGAAGACGCGGGGGACTACGCTGGGCTTGATGTGGCGGAGTGCCGCCGAGGCTAGTGTAAGGATAGCGACTTCGTTCTGTACTCGCGTCTCTTGGTGCATGTCCTCGGCATCTGGATTACTGAGTCGTAATATGAACTCGCATGTCCCCAGCGGAATGGGCACGCAGCCTGGCTGCTGCTTGTTGAGCTTGCATCCGCAGCTGCCGCCGCCGCTACCAGAATCTCCCGTGCCAGCAGTGCCGCCAGAGAATTCAGCAGGAAGCGAGAGACGGTAGACAAAGTTGTTGTACCTGAAGGGAAAGTCGGGCTCGTATTGGATCGGCGTGACCTCGGTCTGCTTCAGGTCCTATTCAGAGGATATTCAGGAACTTGGTCCGAATGGAGGTACGAGCGAGTGACTCGACTGGGAGAAGATCTGATGATGGTGATAACTGCCAGTTCTTGGGCTCGAGGGCGGAGGGCAGAGGGCAGCGGACAGAGAATACAGGAAAGACTGTGTGGCGAGTTGCGGACTCGTCTACTCACTTACCTCGCTGGAGAGACCTAAATGATCCACAAGTATTTGCTGGATGTAGTCAAGGCGAGCTTGATAGTTGACATGATTGTGGGAAACGGCTGCCATGCTGGTGTAGTAAGGTCTACCTCGTAACTGCCTAGGCGAGGAAGGTTGTACTCCGTACTGTCGCGTCCTTTCAACCTTGTCCACTTCCTCGTCCTCGCCCTCGTTTTTAATCCAGTGCTTGTTCTCGTCTTCGTCGTCGTTGTTGTTGTTCGTGAACCTGCACGTCCACGGATGACGGGGCAACCTATCGCCGAACACACACGTGACGTGTTTTCCTAGTCAGGTATCTCTCCAGGCACGGGCAGTCATGGAGGTACATAGGCACGTACGACTGGATAAGTTGACAGGGGACGCAAACCCGTCCGGTTTGCCCAAAGGAACCTTGAGGAACGAAAGGCAGAGAAATGCAGCACGGAATAGCTGTTGTACGAAAAGCAGCAGCGAAATTTTAATATGAGGGCAATATGCAGCACAAAAGGTAGGTCAACCCTAGCCAGATGCAGACAGCTGATGGCAGCTGGTCGCCTAAACCCAACATTTCCCCTCGCCCCTATTTTTTAAGAAAGCGAATGCGGTGCGCCGAAGGTGTAGACTCCTTGGCATTAATGAACCGGCCATCCGCTCCGTGGTGCGATGGTGGCGATATTGGGGCTGCACCAATGGCCTCAGGGCTCACAGTTATTGAGTCAGCGGCCTGAGAAGCACACTTTTTTTTTTGGATGTAGTGGAAGGGCCGTCGCAAATGTCGGGAGGAAGGGGCCTCTTGTGGGAAAGCGGCCGTGGACTGACGGTGTGAGAAGAAATGGTCGATGGTTTCGAACTATCTACCGTGGTCATCAGCGGAGCTACTGTTAGGGAGAGGAGCGGGACGTACCATGACCTGACGGGGCTGGGTCTGTGGGAGACCAAGCAGCCGGGGTCGTCGGTGACGAGGGAAGCAGATGTGCTAATGACGGGGTTAAGAAGTTCGCTCGGCTGAATTGATCCACGGGTAAGTGCTTGCTTGGTGTCCTCGGTGTCGACGTAGTTGGAAGGGAGTTTCGAGGCTCCTTATCGTGGAAAGTCCACGTATCTGGCACGACGATGAAGATGTAGTCCTGGGCAAAATTGCGGTGGATGGGTCATGACTTGGTGGGCGAGGAAGCCTGCTACCTTCCCAGTGCAAATGAAGAAGGTATTCAGCTGGAAGTGAGTATCGCGCTTCTCAACCATCCTCTTGCAGAGGGAGACCCAGGGATTTACGAGGATCTGAAAGATGATAAAAACTTGGAAGGGGTGGAAACCTTTGAAAGGGGTATTTTCCGGGGTTCCAGGGGCAATGTAAGTAGACAGCTAAACGAAGCCGCAGCACTTTTGTTGAGCATCGCCCAGTCCTGATGTGAGTTCCTCTCGAAGGAGAGTGAGATCGGAGCTGAGTACAGAGCCAGCGAAGGAGATGAAGGGTGGAGTCATAGGGAAAGCCCGTGGTGTGGACAGCAACCTCGGGGTGATCCTGTGCAGCATTGTCGGATTGGCCAGGTAGAAGAACAAGAAGACGGGCAAGACTGACGGTTGGTAACCCCGGTCACGGATGATGAGGGCAGGAATGGTGTACTCCTGTAGGCAGGAGTCACCGCTCGCATCACCCGAGTGTACTTCTCAGGTTAAGGCGTACGGATGCACGCGGCCGTACATGACGTACCAGACGTCGTCCCAGTCCGAGGGATCAAGAGCGTGGTCGTATGTGGACATGTTCAGACTGAAGAACACCGAGGGCGAAAGGTCCTGGTGAGGATCGAGACGGAGGCACTCATACTCTAGTACCGTGATCCAAGACGGCAGGGGGAAGGGAACCTTGGCGATCGACTTAACGTTGAGACCTCGGATGTGCTGTAACTCTGCGGAGGAGAACCTCTTGGGCAGGCCGGCTTGTGCAAAGAACCATATGGACATGTCGCCGCCAGAGTTCCTCTGACTATCAAGAGGCCGACGTGGGGCAGGCTGACGCTGGATTGATGGTAGTGTGGCGGCCATGTTTGTGGGTTCGGGACGGAGGAGAGTGGTTTGACCGGAAGATGAGATGGGAGGGTCCCGGTGGTGGATATAAGAAGACGAGGGTACGCAGGGTCGAAAGTCGGAGACGATGATGAATGGCGGGACAGGCGGAAGAAGAAACAGGAACGTGGAGCAGGGAGTCAGAGACGATAGGGTAGGGAGAGCCGGGCGGCGGTGGTGAGTCCGTTAAGAGCCGGCATGGCGAGCCAGCCGGGCCCTGAAGAGGTTGGTGATGCAACAGGACAAGGAACGGCGTCCTAGGTAAAAGCAAAGGCAAATGTTTGGTGTTGGACATGCGGCTTGGGATGATTGGTCGCCATTTAAGGACAATGTAGGGTCTGACCCTGCAAAAGGAAGTCGAGACTGTGACGGGAGGTAAGATAATCCTTTCAAGACGAAGCAATGGAGGATCTTTGGGGGAGCCAGAAGCTGACACAGAATGAGGGGCAACAGAAGAAAAAGAAATGAAGGCGTGGGCGGTGAACATGTTGCCGAAGGCGAGGGTAAAGGCTGGAGGAAATTGGGCGGCATTGTCACGTTGTCGCTGCAGACCGATCATGGAGAGGCAAGGCACAGAAGAGGAGAGTTTGTCGGATCGGTTTCGCCGGCTGGGCGCCCGGAATCGTGAGAATGTGGCGTTGGCCGGTCTGAATATTCGGACGTCTGCGGATATCTTCGAGGAGTGTCAAGAGTAATTCAGAGCAGCGAGGCCAGAAAGGCGGACACGGCATAGGACTTCAAGAACGGCATCCGAGTTGACGCCACGGACTGACGAGGGACAGAAGCAGGGCGAAGAGGGCACACTCGAGACACCACGCGGGTGGTTACCGGGCGGACAGGGAAGTAACCAGGCCGCAAGGCCGGGAGACTCGTTCCGGACCTTGGGGAGAGCACGGAGCAGCGGCGGAAATTCGGTCCCAAGAGGTCCTGCTAGTTCCGTGGCTAGCACTCAAGGCCAGTGCGATGCGGCGAACGTGTCGCCGCTCGCAGGCCTAGGAATCTGCCCACTTGCAGCAGAATTTGGGGCTAGGCGGCGGGAAGGCGAAGAGGCGAGGAAAAACGCGGTGACGAGAGAGACTGCGGATGCCTCAGCGTTAGTAAATGTGGGAATCAGAACATGGGAGGGATGGCAAATGATCGACCAGAGGCCGAGAGGAGCACGGCACCGACAGTCTCAGTAGATCGCTCGGTGCTCGCGAGCCTAGAGATTCGGACGTCGGCGGACATCATAGAGGCGACGGAGGAGGAGTACGGAGAGGACAGGCGACGTATGGGTTACCAATGGCAGATTCGGAAGCCGCGAGTGGCGCCGCTGGGCCGTCCGATCGACGAGACTGGGAATGGGGGTGCGGACGTTATTCCTTCTGTAAGGCTGAGCACGCTGCCGGACCCGAAGAGAGTAGGTCCCGGTAATGCTAGCCAGCCAGCGCCAAAGCGGAAGAGAGCCATGGTCCGTCGAGAGAGGGACGAGGAAGAACAGATGCGGAATCTAGCTAGTGTCTTAGGAACCCTCGAAGAAGAATTCGCCGAGAAGAAGCAACTCTCCTACGGATAGAAATAAGTTAGGATACCGCTCCACGGACTACCCCTTTACGGACTACCGCGTTTGGACCTACGAACGCGTTTTTTAACGCGATACCGTTACTTAAATAACCTATAATTTCTCGATTAGTTTTAATCCTCCGTAACTTATCTTATTATTAATTTATTCCTAAATTCTTTTTAATTCTCGTAATACCTTTAAAAAATACTTAAATCCGGGCGAACGCCGCTATACGTATGGTTTTATGCGGTACGAATATCCGTTAAGCTATCCTTAGAACCTATATCTTTCGTTCCTACTTAATGCGCCGTATAGCTAATAAACCGATAAAAGAAGAGCTTAATAAGAATCGTTAGGCTTTATTACTTATTTAAGAAGCCGAATTAATTCGTTAGGCTATCGGGTAGGTTAAGTTAGGCTTCGCGCCGGCGTTTACGTAGTTTAGGTTCATAGCCTAATGCCTATTAAACGCCGACGGCGGTTCTCGAAAGCTAAGAAAGTATTAGCATTACCGTTTTTTAGCTCGAAACCCGGAGGTTAAGTCGTTTAAGGCTACGGTCGTCGATTATAAGCGGATTAAAGGCGCTACGGCGGTAAATATTAACATTTTTTTCGATAGGTTAGAGGCTCCTTAGTTAATAGCTATCCCTAACGAACGCTTCTTTAACGTTAATGAAATAAGTATCGTTAAAGGCGTTACCGGGAATCATTAGGTAATTACCGATGTTAATATCTAAAGGGTACTTAAGAAAGGCGTCGAAAAAGGCTAATAGATTATTACTTTTAAATATATAGGTTACGGCGGAAGGCCTCTTCCTCTCGTAATACTTTTTAGGGGTATCGACGTTTAAGCGTAGTAGTTTTCTAACGATACTCGCGAATTATAAAAGGATTAGCGGTTTTAGGTATTACCTAAAGGATAAATTAATAACGTTATTACGTTATATTAGCTTTAAAATGTTTTTATTTCTTATATTCGGGCCCGTTTCGGTAATATATAGGTAGTTTTAATTTACGACGGCTACGAATCGTATATTAACGACGACTTCTTTTAACGCTATCTTTAAAATAAAATATAGCTCGTCTTTTATTAGCCTTATTATAATTACGTCGTTTAGGTCTTAGACGTAAAAGTATTCGGGTTATTAAAAAGAAAGCTAAAAAACCTTATTAGGAAAAGCTAAAACGTAATTCTTAACTTATGCCTATCGAAAACGGATATTTTAAAGGCATACCGATTAACTAGGATCTAATCGATAACTTCGCGAAATATTAAGAGCGCCTGGAAGACCTCTAGAATTATTCCACGGGATCGTAAGAAGCCTCTTTCGTCGAGATTCGTAATTTTAAAAGATAAGGATATCCCTCGGATATAGTCGGAGCTATCGGAATCGGTTACGCGACTTAAAATACCTAATTTTACGATATTATTAGTTCTAGAGTATATTAAAACGCCTTCTAACGGTTAGAAATTACGGAATGCTTTTCGGAAAGAAATACTTACTACGGTTAGGTCCGAAATCCCGGCTTTAAGGCTATTAATTTAGAAGGCTAATAGTAATTAAGATCGTAACTAAGGTAAAATAGCGGCTCTAGAGATATAGGTTAAGTATGCGGTAGTAAAAAACGAAAGGAGTACTCCTAAGACCCGTCGGAAGGTCCTCCCGGCGCTAGGTAAGCGCTTCGTACGTATAGTTAATATACGGCGAATAAAAAGGTCGTTAAGAGGAAGGATCGTATATAAGGACGAAGTAAGCGACGAGGAAGTACCTAACGAGTAGGAAACGGCGTAAGAACCGGCTAAAAACGAGGGATCGTAAGCGGAGGACTATATTAGGGTAATAACGCCGTAATCGGAAGGTTTTAATTAATTTTAATAGTCTAAATAGCTTTAATTACTTACGTAGTAGTAGTAATAGTAAGGGTTTTTTAAGTAGTCCGCGAAGGGATGGTCCGTAGAGGGGGGGTCTAGCTTAGTATTTACCTATACCCTCCGAGAGAAAGGTAAAGACGGGTTAAGACTTTTATAAGGTATGTCACAATGCGAGGACGCTACCAATACTTACTTATATATTCTATTATTGCAAATATAACGAAGTAGAACTAAAAGAAATTGAGTAAAAAAAATAAATAATAAGCCTTATTAAAGAGCGCGACGAGTTTCCTTATAAGTATATTTAGTATTTTCTTATAGGAAAGAATATTACAAGGTATATAGACTGTATAAAATATCTCAAGCGAAGAGTAATATTTCTAATAACGTAGCTATATAACTAATTAAAATACTATAGTAGTGCAGTAGGGCTAGGCTACGTAGCCTTTCCAATAAGTATTTATATAGGTTTCGTACTCGGATTCTCATCGTTTAACCTTAATTCTGTAAACCTCCTAGTAGGCCTCTATAATAGGAATTTTACTCTTTTCAATGTGCCTTCGATTGCCATCCTCATCTAGTAGTTCCCATTTCTTTTCCCAGCTGCCATTTCAGCTGGCTGATCAACTAATTACAGCTGTTTACAGCTGTGATCTAGTTCGATCAGCATCGGGCTAGTTGTAGGCAGTTGGGTACCTAGGCATTACTATACAGGTCTCCTACAGTGTACCCACGCCGCTCTTCTTCAATACGTAAGGAATACGTTTCTTTAATTAAGATAAACCTTTTTCTGATATGACAACTACGTACCGAACGTAATGCAAAGGTACGAGCATATAACTGCTTAATTATATATATTGTACGTGCTAACCATACCCCTTCCTACCCCGGGGTTTAGCTATCCTAAAAATCGGGGTTTTCCCTCACGTAGATATGGGCTTCCGTACCTCACGTTGCGCGTGCGCTCCCTCGTGATTGGTCCAGAGCAAGTCAATGTGATATGGATGCTGCCCTATCCCACCAATGCCTAGCCTAGTGATGGTGCGGGCTGGCGACGACGGGGACGCAACAAGTTGGCGTATTATAGGTCTGGTGGGGCCGTTGCATATCACCTCGAGAACCTGCTTCTGGTGTGGACGTAGTGAACCAGTCGCGAGTAGCTTCATTCCTAGAAGGACAGGAATCGTGCCCGGGATGGCCGCCTACCTGCATGCCTGTCCCTTCTCCATAGGCACGGGAGTCAATTGCTCCTGCAAATCCGCACCGCTAGGAACCACCAGCTTGAAGGCTGAGGAAAAGGCGCCGGAGACTTCAGTGTGCGGCCACCCGGCAGCCGGAAGCGGATAGGAAAGCAAGCCAGCGTCCTCGCGTCGGGAGAGGCGCGCCGGCAGCAATGGTTGGTTCTTGCTTCAAGAGGGGCTTAAGATCTCTTGCCTACACCTCCCCGACCTTGTAAAGTTCGCTACCCCGCTAGGGTTGTTCCGCGAGAACGACCCATCAACCACTATCCCTCCCCCACGTTTTAGAATAACGCGATCCGACCTGACTCCCCTAGCTTGGTGGCAGCCAAGCTAAGTTGTCTAGATGACGGAGCGCCTCGAGTCGCATTTGTGAATGCAAGCCCATTTTGAATACCCCCAACCAGTCCAGCGTACCACGGGGGGGGGGGGTTGTCTGTTTGGCATGAAGCAGTAGGTTTCCATTGGCCTGTCATCCACCTTCGTGAAGGTGATTGGATGGACTGATGCTCGGGGAAATGGGACGTCGCGAAAGTCACGGACTTTATTTCCCTTCCACGAGTCGCGATGGTTTTCTAGGAAGAGCCGGTCCGGGAAGGCCTTATCCCACATACTCGTAACACCGCATCGTGATAAGATATGGGGAGGGGGGTTCCATAGCGTGAACACGGCCCCGGGAGACTCTGGCTTTGCTGGGAACACTCCAGGGTTTCTATTTCGCGTTCCTATAATAGCCGACTAACCAGACCAAGAAGAACTCAACCACCATTTTGGAAGACGTATTGTCGACAAGCCTAAATCGTTTGTTAGCAAACCCCCTAGCTTCGTGGTGAAATACGAACTTACCGCTTTAAGAACGCTCAACTTCTCCTGCGACTGCATGTAGACATGACGATATTGTTGAATGCTTTCGCCGAGAACGACCTCCTTGGTCGTACGGCCTTCGCAGATGGCCTTCATCTTCAGCTCCATCTCCTTTCGTAGAAATGGTTTGCCAAGACCGGTGTCGAAGTTCATCCTATCGAATCCCTCTATCAAAGCCACCCCTAACTGGGTCGGGATGAACTCCATGACTCCTTTCCTGCCAGAAGAGGCATTTCCCCGACCCCCTCGGCTCCCGCGCCCCCCCCGGCCACGACCGCCGCGCCCTCCTCGTGCGGCTGGGGTAGCTTCTTCTTCCCCTTCCCCGTTGTCGGCTGACGAGACGGTTCGAGGCACCGTGCGGACGTAGTCTCTTTCTTGGATTTTCTGTATGTGCTCGGCCATAGTAGCGTCTGTCCCGATCCCGTTGGCATCCATGAGAGCAATTAAATCTGCCTCAGTCAAGTAATTCGGAGCCGTGGTCTTACCCTCGGTCATCAAAGCTTCGGTAGGTTCGAAGAACTCTCCAACCGTGAATTTAGGGAGTTGGGCGGTTCCCGTCCACTTCTCATACACATACACGTCCAGGTAGTTTCGTTCTAGTACGACAAGGCCATGTGCATGGAAGGCTTCTTCTCCATACTTGATGTGAACATCTGTGGCAACACCCTTGGCATCTTCGGAGCAGCAGGCAAGGAACCGCCGCACGACGAACTCGTAAACCCTTCTTTCTCTGTCGTTAAGGGCTGATGGTGCTGCGTAGGTGATGGGGTGTATTGGGGGGTGCGCTTTGTCGTCGTTTCGTCCTTGGCGTGGTTGTTGGAATCCACCGTCAACTAGTTTCTGAGCGAAATCGCCCCAGGAATCCGAAGGAGATTGCTTCTGGACCAGCGCGCGAAGATTCATGCCAGGATCGAAGCGATCTGTTTCCGTCCTCGGATAGCTGATGAACCCCTTGTTGTATAGGTTTTCAGCAGCTTCCATCGCTTCCTGCCCCGTCATATGTAGGAACCGCGTCGCCATCTTCTGCAATTCAACTGTCGTCAATGGCAGAGGTTTCCATTTTTTTGTCGGCTTCTCCTCGACCTTCGTCACTCCGGCCGTCTTTGCCGCAAGACACCTTTCGTAGAAGATGATAACCGACGCCCTATCAAAAAGATGATGCCGTGCCCAGTTGAAGTTGACATCGATGCCTTCCCGTTTGTGCATAATCTTGATTCCCCAGAACGGTTCTGGTTTGAAGTTCCTCACTCTGAAATACCGATCTACCACGAACCCCAAGGTTGGAAACTGACATGACCCTGAGAAGTCAGCGCAGTGATCGCAGTAGAGGGCATCGGAGCAAACAGACCGTAACTTAGCAGAAGCTTCTCGAACGGCCCTCCTAGCGTCCTCAGACTTATGGTGAGAAACCGGGTGAACGCATACCCTATCCTGAGATCCAGTTCAATCCGGGACGCCACGGCATTTACTTGCTTCTGGTCGAGATTGATGAGGTTGCGAGATGCGTTCAGTATGTGCCTAGAAGATGTACCTTGGTTTTAGCTACGCATCCAGTCTGAGTAGCCAGATGGAGGTAATATGACCAACGCTCTCTCGATGTTGCTAAACCTGGCTCTCTTGATGTCCAAGGTCCTATTCCCTTTCCTGGCTGCCTCGCAGATTTCGTAGCCTATGTGCTCGCCTTCTCGGTCGCAATCGGTCCATATGCATAGCGCGTTGGCATACTTTGCCTGTTTCTCGATATTGTCCGCCACCTTCGTTTTGTCCTACACATCATGTTGAGATACGGCAGGGATCGGTACGCCTCCTCACGATTAAGATATACGCACCTCTGAAGTGACGATATTTACGGGAGCGTCGAATAGGCGCTCAGGTGGTGGGTACTCCCATTTCCTATACTCGGCAGGGAAAACAGCAGACGTGATATGACCAAGCACGGAGGTCATGGTAACATGGCAGTGGCCCCAGGGGCGTCCGAAGTCATAGTCAAACACGTAGTTCTTGATGTACTTTTCTGGTGTATTGTGCTAGAACTGATATTAGCATATCCGAGGTTCGCTGGGCGGTTGGCCGAGGTCCCGCGAACGCACACTTTGGGCCTGACCACCAGAGAGATGGGCCGCGACGGCCTTCGCGATGGATGGCTTTTCGGCGACGCAGAGGACTCTCATCTTGGGCTGAGAACTTGTGGGGACGAAGCTTCGAGACTCTACCTGTAGATATATCCGTCTTTCGGCTAGAACTTGGATGATTGGGCAAGCGCTCGACGAGTAGCATCGTGTGGTCAGTTAGGGACTTTTGGGCGCGAAGCATCTCCGTTATTTTCGAGGTTTGGGCTTCGCTCCATGGTTATTCCGCCTCCAGCGCCAGCATCGTCGTCGGGAAACACTCGATCGCTTGCTCCAGTTTCTGTGCCGAGTCTAGACGATACCTCACCAGGTGTTAAGTTAGGCACCTATATAGGTGTGTCGAAGGGTTAGGTTGCAAATGAAGTTCCTAGCTTGTCGTGACGTTGGGTTGTCCTGAAATAGGCATCGTCTCGTCGAGTGCCCAAGCGGAAGTCGTGTGCCTTCCCGACTTCTCGGTGGTCTTTTTTCTTTTCCCTGTTTTTATTATTTATTATTATTATTTACCTACCCCTCCAGCCCCCCCCTCTCCCCGGAGCTGGACATGAGTACCCGTCGTTGCTGCTGAATCATCTGATTGGCCATTATTCATTCGTATCGGTACCTGCGTAGAACTTGTCCCCTTCCACTTACCTAATAATATGGGTTGTTGTTGAGAGTCGAAAGCTAAGGGGGAGCTTACGAATAGGTCTGATAGGCTGGGAACATCTCCAGCACCTGTGATGGACCCTCTTTTCTCGCCAGGTAACCGGCTCGTGCAGCATCGTATGTACTCCATGGTAGTACCTGTAGGTACGTGGACTCATTAGGTACCCCTGACAATGGTTGGTCTGTGTGGGCAATGCCGAATTGATCAGCCACTCCAACTCAGCCTCCGACATTTCTACACAAGGTATTTTAGCTCTACACACCAAGGCTATGACGTCCTCCAATAACACGTAGGTATATTCAATACCTTCATTTACTTCACCCTCTTGGACACGGCCGAATTTTTGAAAATGGAACTCCCTTCTCCCGCCACGCTCGAAGCTTGCGCCGACTACGATCTGACTATCGAACCCTACCTATCGAAACTCGGCGAACTACCATGGATGGTAGCGGAGGTCGTGTCGAGCCGAGGATCCCTCGTTGAGCTGTACAAGAACACCAACCCCTTAGTATCAGGACTCGGTTTCTCTATCTTTCTCGGTGCCGTCTTCCTTGTCGTATCTGAAGTCAACCGGAACTACTCCCAGGTTGATCGTATGTGGAGTCTACTACCCACGATCTACAACGCCCATTTTGCTGTCTGGTCTCATCTCAACAGTCTCCCAAGCCAAAGACTCGACCTAGTGCTGCTCTGGAGTGTGATTTGGAGCGTGCGTAGTGGCAGACCCAGTGCTTTTTTCAGTTGCTCGTTGCTGACGACACTAAGGCCCGACTGACCTTCAATTACTGGCGGAAAGGCGGCTATAATATTGGGTCGGAGGACTATAGGTGGTACGTCATCCTCACCTGCCTATCTTCAGACCAACGAGCCAACACAGAGAACCCAGGGAAATAATTCGTGGCTATTTGCCCCCGGCGCTGTTCTTCATTTTAAATGGAACATTTATATCGTTCATTCAGAGCATATTGCTCTTCCTACTAGCGGCGCCAACGTACATCATCTTGCTGGCTTCGAAATTCGAAAAGGAAATCACGGTGGCAGATTTGAGCTTTGCGGCAGTCCAGCTAGGGCTCATCCTCTCCGAGTGGGTTAGCGACCAGCAGCAATGGGGTGCGTAGTAATATTGCCACGATACCTGCGTGAGCTGATTGCTGATAACGCTTTAGCTTACCAAAGAGCAAAGCGGCAGTACCAGACCACTGCCAAAGTGCCCCGCGGATGTGGATTCACGCAGGAAGACCTCGATAGGGGTTTTGTCACATCTGGGTTTTGGGCATACAGTAGGCATCCTAACTTCGCTGCCGAACAGACGATCTGGATTGTTCTCTACCAGTGGAGCTGTTACGCGAGCAAGACTCTCTATAGTTGGGCAGGTCTCGGCCCACTATTTCTGGTCTTGTTATTCCAAGGATCGACTTGGCTCACGGAACTAATCAGCTCGGGGAAATATCCGGAGTACAAGCTCTACCAGAAACAGACCGGAGCCCACCTACCCAGCTTTAGCCCGTACAAAAAACCCGTGGTGACGCCAAAGGTGATTCGGACGAGTGAGTTGGCAAGGCGACAGAAGGCAAAGCAAAAGTAAGATGGAGATGGCTACCCGTTCGCCCAGCGACATAGATGTGGTTGATACACCCACATGAGCAGTGCGAGGGGGGGCGACCCATATTGCTCGGGTCACAACTCCGACCTGCCCGCCTGTCTCCGCGCATCGCCGTATCGTGGCGCAGACGTGCGGCGTTACCTCGAACAGCAAAGCGCTTCATGAAAATTCACCTGCTATGGACGGATGTGGGGAGGTCCTCGGTTTATATATCTGTTTGGATCTAAGAGCAGTAAGGCAGCCAGCTTATGAATAATATTTCCTCTCGAGTCAAACTTAGCGTATACCTACATACACAAATGAATGAAGCGTGCGTCTTACTGCATATGCATGCTGTTGAACGAACCTCGCTACCATAATCTTACCTAGCATCGTCACAAACGTAATCATGTAGGCGTAACCTCGGCGGACGTTAATTGATATACACATTAGTGACTACTAGGAATATCGTAGCCCGGTGTGCGTAGAAATATCGTTTAATAAATGCCATCCCAGGGAAACGGAGCAAATCCGGTACACTTGTGGATCGCTGTGCCCCGCGAATACACACCCCGCCTTCGCCATAAGCTGACTGGGTCACGTATAAGACGTTCAAGTGGCTGGCGAGTTCGTGAGCCCGCAAACCTCACTCTCGTTAAATTATCGGGGGATGCTTTCGGGCAGTTCAGAATGAGCGGGTAGCAACTGTTGTTCTGTTGTTCTCGAGCATGACTGGTACCTACTATGAGGTGTATCCGTATTGCTGTGGAAGAAGCAATCGCGTGCTCCTTTTTTCGGCACAGTTTCCGTCACACCGCGGCGACGGGCCAACCGAGACCAGGCGGGAATCGTCCTGGTTGATAATCATTAGGTTAGGCTAGTTGCTGATACGGGAGAGAAGAGGAGGATCGGTCCGGTGACCGGCGATGCCATGCCAACTTTGTAATATGGGACGCAACGGATTTACAAGTGGACTATGTAAGTGCAAGTAAGCCAAGCCAGCTACTACCTAGGTAGCCAGCCCCTACCTAACGTAGCGCCGTAGGCGGCCGAGGAGGACATGGAAGACCCATCCCGGCATCGAAGGGTTGCCATCGCACACCCACCTACCACATCCACTCCCTATCAGCCTCCACGCAGCACAGCACACAAGCACGGCATCCAAGCACACAACAAGCTGGTTTGGGTGGTATCCATACACCGTGCAAGGATATACGCATGTATGCGCTTGCATGGTATGTGTGTAGTACACATAGTAAGACAGGCTATCCCTCGGGCACCTAGGTTACCTACCTTAGGTACCTAGATACTCTGAGGTACTTCTTAGATATACGTCGTGGTGTTGCTTGGGACCGGCAAGGGAGGTGGGGTTGAGGACCCTGAGTGCAGATGAAGTGAAGCTAACGCGTTGGGTTTACAGGTATATGTATACATACTTACGAATAACACTACCTAAGCGACCTCCTCGATTAGCACCCACCGCAATATTAGGCATATTAGGTTAGGTACTTGCAACCTTGGGACGGCCGTGAACGTGTGTATGAGTATGCACATATGTATGTCGTGTGTAATTGAATTTCGCCATGGACTCGTGGGCCTGGACGGGACCGTGGCACCGCCGACGCTGGCAATCCCTGCCCACAGGGGTTGTCGACGGTATAATAAAACGGGGCGGTGAATGCTAAACGCAGCTGGGCTGGGACTGGCATGCCAAACCGGAATAGATGTGCGCTACGACGTAGTATAGTGTGTGCGTCGATGTGCATACACACGCGCATACCTTGCCTAGATGTCTTCCTCCGAGAGGAGACAAGTGTGGGGGTTCTCGCCGTAAATATCGTATGCTTACCTCGGTACCTCCTCATATGTTCCTCCACATATGTTAGCAGAGTCCAGGCAAGCAAGAGGTACCCTAGCTGGTTAGCTACCTACCTAGGTAGGTTAGGCAAGAGGTGTCCATCTATAACATGTACCTATGTGGATGTAAAGCAGAACTCTTAGGAGGTAGTTGAATTGCACCGCTTACATATGACGCAGCATTATCCCGGAGAGGCATATTACATAGGGTCTCGTGTCCCTACTACTTATTCTTCTGCTTCCGACTCTATTTTTGCTTCTTTCTGTTCTTGATCATTCTTCTCCCTTACCCCTCTTAGGTCGCTCGCTCTCTTCGTCTCTTTCGTATTGTTTCTGGTCTCTTCTCCTGTCCCCTTTACTCATCATTATCATTACTACTAAAGTCTAAGACGACAGATTTGAGTAGGTACGGGTTGTACCGAACTGGGCAGCCCTATTATTCTCACGACACTGATATATTATCGTACCAATTCTGCAATTCTCTTTCTGGGCCTTCTTGCATATTACCGGAGGTTCACTCATACGGACTGTGTACACGTTGTCCGGAGGCTGCTACACACACCTCAGGCCCACCAGTGACCACCGGTGACAAAGCCTGAAATTCTTTCACCACCCTTTCCTTTCACCATGGGCAACAACCTGACATACATCCGGGCAGCCTCGGCTGAGGAAGACGCCCGAGACATCCGGACGGCGGACGGTGCCTCTCACGATGAGACCAACTACCCGCCCTCTCCATCAAGCAGCCGGAGTACCTCTTCCTCTTCCGCCCACGACGACAACATAGCACCCAACCCGACCGCGCCGTCGCGGCCGCCGCACCACCACAGCCCGATGGTTGGCCTCAACTACCCGATCTCGCCGCTAGAGCGGCAGTACGTGGCGCCTACGGGCGAGCTCGACGTGGCGGCACAGCTTGAGCGCGAGCCGCTCCCGAGGTCGCTGCACAGTTCGCTGCGTCGCGCGGCTGCGGGCCAGACGACGCGCCGCGTTGCCGCCGCTGAAGACGACGAGACTCGCGCCCGCAAACTCGCTGACGCGAAGAGGGAGCTGCTCGTCATGGCGGGGCAGATCTAAACTCGAGACAGCGCACCGGAGAGAGAGGGTGCGAGTGAAAGAAAGGCGAGGGAGGGGAACGAAAACGAGGGGTGGGGATTAGCCCGTCGTCTGTCTGACCTTGGGGGTAGACCGGCGCCTATTCCGGGGATATCTCCCCCCCGTCCCCCATCCAGGTGATGCACACCTACAAACACGGCACGGACGCTTGCCTGCATACGAGTGTACTCGTTCACGCATCCATATCCATTTACCTTGCCATTGCGTATGTACCTACGTACGTATTCCGAGATCCTGAAAAGGGGAAAGCGGGCAGTGGTTGGTGGTAATGGCGGGTGGGGGGGCAAAGGGGACCTGGATGGAGCTAACGGGGATTATCGCTTACTTCCATGCTTTATAATGTGTGGGGGCGGCGAGCTTCAGTCATTTCGCTGACTGGGGTTGCCCACGGACACGAGGGATTAGGGGAAGGGGGAAATACGTGCGGAAAGTAGAGAGAGGCGGAGGAGATGAGGCAAAAGGAGGGAGCAGGAACAAGGAAGGGGAGCAAAAACAGACTTGACCTTGCCGTCGTCACATCGCATCACATTGCATCGTATTGATTTGTTTGTTATTTTCATCAACCTATTCCTTTTCATCTTGTTTTTGGGTAAGCTCCGGTGTAGTTCTCTTGATTTTTTATTTAAAAAAAAAAACACACGCAATGTTCTACCTTGTCCTCGTCTACTACCTCCAAAGCTAGCCGCCGGCGTTTCCCTTGCTACATATCCGTAGATTCATTGGTACCTATACCCGGAGGGTTCGAGGGCTCGGGCGTAGTCCAGATACGCTTGCTGTTTCGGGTGTTTTGGGTAGCCCTCGGGACTTCCGGGGAGTGGTTGTGGGGAGAGGAGAAGTGTAGACGAAGATATACCTAGATCTAGGAACTAGGAGTTTTATTATGCCGTTTCATTATCCAGTTACATGGTAATGGATCAATAAGCCAAGCCAATCCCTACCGCAGTTAAGCCCCGGTTCCATAGGTTCGAGAATGGAAACAATGTTAAACAGAACGCGCGTCTGGTTTGCAACAGATCTGGCTTGATTGACGGTATTTGGCGTTTCATCCGGTTCATGTGCACGGGATTCATACATCATCTCTAGAGTAACCAGCTGAATCCCCTCTCCCTCATTTTGCCCCTTGGCTCATCTCTCCCTTCTCCACCCCCATCTCCTACTCAAATCGAGAAGATAGGTTGACGCCGTAGAGAACGGTGGCGATGAGTGTGATGAGATTGAAAAGCGACGAGATTCCGTGCAGTTTTCCGAATTGCTTGTTCAGCGCCGCCATTTCTTTCGAGTTCTGCCCGCCGTCCTTCTTCTCTGGAACGGCGATCGCGTTAGCAAAACGGGGCTCTCCCATTCAGTATCGACCGGCGTTTCCATTGCTCTTCTTCTTCTTCCCATGTTACGGTAGCGGGTGGTAGGGATACGTAACGTGAGGCTTACCTTGAGCGCGCCTGAGAGCGGTGATCTTATTCGTCTCGGGGAGGAAGTAGATGAGGTTGACGACACCCGTCAGAGTCATCAAACCGAGCGGCAGAAGCACACCCCAGCGGTTCGATGCGTGGAACACGCCACCGAATCCCCAAGCCGTTCCAGCGCTCCGGTTGCTCGGGTACGTCAGGGCGAGGACGACGGGCACGGCAGCCTGGATGCCGAAGTACGAGGGGAAGACGGCCCGTTGGAGGACTGCGAACTGAGGGCGCTCGAGGACTCTAAAAGCGGCGATGGAGTTGAAAAAGGTCTAGCCATATTTTGTTTTTTCAATATCAACTATTGGTAGGCCCCATCCTATTCCCACGGATACACAAAGTAGGCACACGAAATCGACGTGACGGCTGAGGACGAGAGAGCAGGCTGAGAGGATAAGCCACTTACGTGGAACACTTGCGTCCCGAGTAGGGTGCCGTACCTGTGCAAGGTGATGTAGACGTTAGCGCTCTGAACTCAGAGCTCTGAGAGCTTTCCCAACACATCCACCGCCTAAGCGGACCTACGATAGTATGTGGTACGGCGCTAGGGAGAAGAGGACGGAACCGTCGGCCATGTTGGGATTTGATTTCAAAGTGACCCGCGGAAATTAGATAGGTAATTTGGAAGCTCCAATTCAGATAGCGCCTACGAATAGTGAGCTAGCTTAGAAGCCTAGAAGCTCGTCAGGTGAAGATGAAGATGAAGATGTAGGCACCTCAACCAAAACAACTTTGGGAGCCGTTGGTGAGGGTGGAACAAATGACGTTGAAAAGATGTGGTTGTTGGTCTGGACCCCAAAAGCCTCCTCCTCCCCCCCATCAACGCTCGGAGGATCGGTGGTGTCATCCCGGCTCATGCCATGCTAATATGCACATGCCTAGGTACATAGGTAGGTATCTATAGAGGTACCTATAAGGATAACATGTAGGGAACCTCCTCATTGGCCTGCGACAAATCGGGCGCATGTGCACACGGTCAGGTGTTCTCGCGCCTGCCTGGCTCCTAAAGCGGTCTTTTGGGGGCTAATTACCCTAAATTACTAGGCTTCGGTGCTACTAGTTACGTAGAAGTCGCGTCTTGATGGCCACACGAGTCGGCGTGCAAGCGGATGCCCCCTCCCCCATTGGCGGATGCCTGCCTAGCAGTGCCTGAACCCTCCAACTTCCTGCTCGCGTGCCTAATCAAGCCCATACGATACCTACACGTAGGCATCAGCCATGACTTGATTCACCCCAATTCCCTTCTCCATCAGCGCCATTTCGTCTTCCCCCCTTTCTTTCCGTTGCCGTCGCCTTCTGCTAGCTGTCGAGTCACCATTTCGACCAACTATGGCGGACAAGGAGGCCACCATCTACATCGTCGACCTTGGGTCGTCGATGGGCGAATGCCATAACGGCCGGACCGAATCCGATCTGGACTGGAGCATGCGCTATGTCTGGGACAAGATCACCACCACCGTTGCTGCGTCGCGAAAAACGTGGAACGTGGGGGTCGTCGGCCTGAGGACGGACGATACCGATAATCCCTTGCAGGAGGACGAGAGCTACGGGCACATCTCGATTTTACAAGAACTCGGCCCCATGAACTTGGAGTCATTTCGGAGCTTGCAAGGCCGCATTCAGCCGAGTGATGCCGAATATGGCGATTGCATCTCCGCTGTTGTCGTAGCCGTGGAGATGATCGAGGGGTTCACCAGGAAACTCAAATACAAGAGGAAAATTATATTGGTTACCGATGGCGAAGCGCCCATCGACCCCGATGATTTCGATGAGATAGCTGCGAAAATCAAGGATTGCGGGATCGAGCTGGTTGTTTTGTAGGTCTTCCCCACGCGGCAACGTTGGGTCCTCCATTAACTGAGCCCTTTCTCCTTACCATTAGAGGCGTGGATTTCGACGATGCCGAATTCGGCTTCAGGGAAGAGGGCAAGTCGAGTCTGAAGAGGAAAAACGAAGGCCTCCTTCAAGAGCTCACGGAAAAATGCGATGGCCTGTTTGGGACCATAGCGGAGGCCATCGCCGAACTGGAGGCCCCCAGACTAAAGCCCGTCAGGCCATACAAGACCTACGATGGCGAACTTACTCTGGGGAACCCGGGAGAGCACAAAGATGCAATGAGCATCAACGTAGAGCGGTACTTCAAAACCCACAAGGTAACAATACCGCCGGCTAGCAGGGTATTTCTCGAGACCGCGACCCGCCCTTCCCAGGCTGCTGGCGACGAGGCTATGAAAGGCGTAGAAACAACCGACGCACTCAGCGCAGTGAAGAATGCCCGGACGTACAAGGTTAATGACCCCAGTGCGCCCGGAGGAAAACGAGACGTCGAGTTCGAATCCCTGGCAAAGGGATACGAATACGGAAGAACTGCCGTTCATATTAGCGAGTCAGATTACAACATCACCAAGATTGAGATGGCTAAAAGCTTCACCATCTTGGGCTTTATACACCAAGAGAAGGTAGATGAGCTCTAGACTCCAAGTTCTGCCTTTCTCTTATCCGCTGACGGTCCCAACTAGTACCAACCGTTCCTAGCTATGGGGGAGTCCTGCGTGACAATCGCGCAAAGACACAATGACGCAGCTGCGTTGAAACTATCATCGTTGATACACTCCCTCCAGGAACTTGAGACGTATGCAGTAGCACGGATCGTGCTGAAAGAGGGCAAGGATCCCGTCCTCCTTCTCCTTGCACCCCACATCGAACCAGAATTCGAGTGTCTATACGACATCCCGCTGCCCTTTGCGGAAGACGTCAGGAAATACCAGTTTCCTGCTCTCGATAAGGTGATTACCGTTTCTGGCACTGTAAAGCATGATAACCATCGACTTTTACCCGATAAGGGGCTCTTAGAGGCTATGGACGACTATGTCGACGCTATGGATATTTCTGCATGGGAAAAGGATCAGGAAGGGTTGGTATTCCGAATTGGTCGGGCATGTGCAATCGAAACTAACGCTCTGAAAGCAATCGTGGTCTAGAGTACGCAGCAGTCGAGGACGTGTTCTGTCCCCCGCTTCATCGAATCAACCAAGTCGTTCGACACCGTGCCATTTATCCCAGCCAGCCGCTGCCTCCGGTGGCCCCAATATTACTCAAATATTCGCACCCGCCGGAGGACTTGGTCGTCAAGGTTAAAGCCAGACTTGAAGATCTCGTCGAGGCGGCTAATGTCAAGAAAGGTAACATCTGCCGTTGCGATAAGGACTACGTTAGGATTCGTACTGACGTTCGAAAAGTTCCACCTCGGGCTAAAGGCAGGGTCGAAAAGGCGAATAAACCCAAGCCAATCTCAGGCCTGGACGTTGACGCGCTTCTCGGCCAGCCCCAGAATAAGCGCAAGAGGATCGACTCGAAAAACGCCATCCCCGAGTTCAAGCAGATGGTCGAGTACGCTAGCGAGGAGGTCGAAATCGAAGACGCCGCCAAGCAGATGGGCGATATCGTCTGCCAGCTCATCACCGACAGTTTCGGGGACAGCGGATACGATCAAGCCATTGAAAATCTCGGTGTGTTCAGAGATACGATGGTGAAATGGGAGATGCCGGCCCTGTACAACTCGTTTCTAAAGAACCTCAAGAAGCGCCTGCTGTCCGGGGAGCTTGGCGGGGACAGGAGAGAACTGTGGTGGCAGATGAAGGGGGCCAGAGCCGCGCTCGGTCTGATTGATAATAACATATCTGATTCGTCCAACGTGACACCGGTGGAGGCGGCCGAGGCAAGTTCTATCAATCAGTTCGCCGGGGGAAGACCTTGTACTGACGATGTTTTCTAGTTCTTTAAGCAGTAGGCACCTGCTACCATACGACACCTACGTCGTGGGGATAAGGCGAAAATAGCCAGGCCTAGCATTGCGACCCCGTTCAGTAAACGGTAGTCTTCTTACTAGCAAGCCCTGGCAGCTTTGTTGGCCTATTTCGTCAATGGTACCGACAAATGGCCATGTCCCTCAAGATTCGTGCGGGAGGTCCTTGATGGATTCATCGGGCGGGTGGCGATTGTGCGACAGGACTTAAGAACGGGCGCGGCCCCTTAAATCGAGCCATCCGGCTTCATGCCATTGCGAAGTCTCACAAACACCGACCCAACTTCGGTCCGTACCGGTGTGCCCGCTGGGTTTACGAGGACGGCTATTTCCAGGAAGGTATCCTCCATTTACACCTGCAGTATACCCATGTTACCTTGTGTGTTTCGACGCAGGATGAATTTGTCGTAGTCACGCACATGGCCGCTACATGTGAGTCAGCATAGGATTTATTATTATACTGCTCCGATTCCACAAGCATTGGGCCTTGGACGTATACCGCGATACATCTTCAGGCTTGTTACCTGAGATCGTAAGTCGCCGTCTCCGTAGGACAGAAGAACTTGGCTATGTTGGATGCATGTTGCTCGTACCTGCCTTGGGCACCTATCCCACTGACCCACTGACCTACTGACCTACTGACCTATTGGAGACTGGCTTACGTCCTCGCGTACCCTCGTGCCTTCTGCCATCAAACCCGTTTTGAGAAGTACCTCAGTAACAGTCAAGTAGCAGGAAATGAGGATACACAGGGTTATCACGGCTTCAGAGGCTGCAGTTGCTACCCGGGTGAATGCGAGGAAACATAGAGGAAGGAAAACTGGATTCACTTTCCTTCTTGTACCTATAATCTGTCATCGAACCGCCGTTGTCTCTCCATCCTCCTCCCCCCCCCTCTCCCTTCCTCTCCCTGCGTCCTCTCGAGATCTCTCTCTTCTCCAACCGAATATACCCACCATCACCAACTCGCATCACCGCCGCTGCTCCCACGCAGCACATTCCGAGGACTATAAACAGACGTAATCTAGGGATATCCTACGTGTTCATCTCTCGGCTTAACTTACCGTCACGACCTCCGCAACCGTTCCCTATAGAGACACAGCCCCTACTGCTCACTGGGTGCTCAGTCCTGCGCCAACAGTCATGGCCCATTATACTGATACCGCAGACGAGATTCTGAAGAACTTGCGCTTTGCGATGCGTGCTCGCTCGCCGGGGGATCCTAGCATCACCACGGACGATCCTGCAGGTAATTCCCAGTTTTCTATTACTTTTACGGACTGGGCACCCATGTGAATCCATGAAGGAAAGCTCCCGTCGAAATATTTGCTATGAGATGATGTAGATTTTGTCAACAAAGCGACAGCCTCCTCCCTCCGTTTACCCCTAACCCCCATACCTGCCAGTCCGAAATGGCATCCACGAATAGCATATTGACTCTCGTTATAGACCATGAGCATCTGCCCCAGCCTACCCAGTTCATGCCGGGTAACGTCCTCCAAACATCGCGGCACCGTGCCTCTGCTTCTTTTATTCATCTATCCGCAGGCGAGCAGGCGGAAGATGGCACAGCTTTCTGTCCCTTCAAGCTTATCCGGTCATATCCTCATAGCCTAACCAACCAGAACGATCGGAAACGTGTAAGTATACGGGTACGACATCATTTTCCCTACTAATTCAACCCCAGGTGGCAGACGTCTTCAAGGCTACCTTGTTTGAGGATCGTTTTTGGGACTTGTGCGTAATCTTCCAATCTCTACGTTCGGGAGCCTGATAAATGACAACTGACGCTTATTATAGCTTTTACCTGCCAGACCCAAGCCCAAACTGCAGAGATCCTCTTCTGTTGGTTCCCACGATGCAGTTTGAGGAATACCTTGGTGTCGTAAATTCCCAGCTGGACATGAACCTTCCCATTCTGGAAAGTGAAGCGAGCAAGAAGTTCGTTCTCACGTTCGGCGAAAGCGGGACGCCCGCCCCCCGTTTCCTAGGAAGAGCCGACAGTGATAATGCCCTCGGAGCTCTAAAGCCACAAGCCCACAAGCTTCCCAGAGACAATCTCGGCAGCCTTAGCGACAAAGATCTCTTATATTTTAGGGACAAGATGGATGTGATATACCATTCTACCAGATCGAAGAATAAGAATAAGAACTCCGAAATGGCTAGACTGAGGAGAATTGAGCGCCAGAAGGACTGCAGCAGAATGGTCAAGCGGGTGCAACGATATCTCGGGTTTCGTGGCCGCGTCGGCGGGGGCGGGGCGGTACCGCTCGGGTCCGTACGATTTGTCTGTGTCGATATCGAGGCATGGGAGAAAGTACCGAGCATTGTTACGGAAGTGGGCTTCGCGACTCTCGACACTCGGGACATTATAGATACTCCCCCGCTTGGTCGGGGTGGGCAGGGCTGGTTTCCACTCATGAACTGTTATCACTTCATCATTCACGAACATAGAGATAAGGTTAACTACCGATACGTCAAAGGATGTCCCGACTCGTTTGACTTTGGGTACAGTCTGCTTGCCTGTTCTACTAGAGACTCCAGCTAACGATCTATAGCGATTCTGAAGTAGTTTCCTTGAGCAACATTAGGGAAGCCATCCAGAAGATCATCGGGGATCCTGGATCGGGGCAAGAGCGACCCGTTGTCATGGTTGGACACGGCCTTGGCAATGACCTCAAGTACCTCAAGAAGGTCGGATACGATATCCGGCGTGTGAGTCATCTCTCAGACGAGGTCGACACTCAGTCGATGTTTCAACGCCTAGAAAAATCACACAATGGGCGTGGCCTCGCAAGTGTCTGTGAAGAACTAGGCATACCCGGCAGGAACTTCCATAACGCGGGCAACGATGCGGTCTATACGTTGCGTGCTATGGTCGCTATGGCGGTTAGGATGATCACCCAGGGTCCGGGGATACAGGAGAGCATGGATGATGAGTCAGAACAATCACATAGGTACTATATATTCATTGGCTGGAGCCTCATAACACCAGAGCCATCTAGTTTGCTAACACTTACTCCCAGTCGCGGCGACGATGACGAGTGGAGCGACGGCGAAATGGACGACGGAGGCGAGCCCAGGATATCGACAACGGCCTCTTCGCACTAATGGAATCGTACCAGTAGGTAAAACGAAGATTTAAAGACTTAACCTACATAGGGACGTCGGATAATAGAATGGTACGTTTCAGGGAACCGTTTGTGTTGACGCTCTACACGCGAGATATCCTACCGTACTGCCTTGCCCTTTAATATTTCCGGATTCACCTACCTCGTTGCCGAGTAAAACCGACAGCTAATTCGCGCTAGATGAGATCGGAGCCCCGAGAACTGCTTCCCCCGACTGGTTATTCTCACGACCGTTGTCTTGGCGGATAGACGAGCAAGTTGTTGGGGTTTTCGGGAGGCAGATTGTCGTGTTCTCATGTTTCCGGTTTGGCAACGTTGACGTGTAAGGCGACGCTACGCCTTAGGGTACTGCTAGTTTCCAACGATAATGTATATGGTCGGTGAACGTCAAGTCTCATCTCCCACTTTAGGGTACTTGTCTGGGTTAACTTGTTCATATTGCCGAGAAGAGACTTTGGCCCCCACCCAAGGATACGGAGCCCCGAGAGGTATTATTACAGTCGGGACGTACAATCAGGATGTGAGTCGACTGATTATATGCGAATACCCCCGCTCTTACACCCGTTTTCTTTTCCTAAGTCGTGCCGACCCCCGAACCCGAACGCCGTCGCTCCACGCATGATGCGGTAGTGTAATGTGCATATCTACATTCCTCCTTCCTTCTTCTCTCGTACACTTCCTAGAAACCCTGCCTTTCCTTCGAAGGCCCGGTTTCCGCGGCTGTCGTTTTCTTCGTCGTTACTATCGGCCCCGGCGCCTCCCTAGGAGGCGTGCTTATCGGATCGGTTTTGGGGCTTCTAATCTGTCTATCTGTTCGTCCGTCTATTCCTCTAGTCGATGAGAGGAGGGGTCGATGGGCGGGGAGTTTTATTTCGAAAACGGCCTCTCGGCCGTGGGGAAGCACTCTACGCGGCGTTGCGCTACGCCGGACCGTTACCACCTGCGCCTGTGCTCTTCTCGAGCAGCTCCTTGGCCTCGTTGACTTTAGTGGCGAGGTAGGGGCTACCGCCACGGTCCGGGTGGTTCAGCAGCATGAGCGTGCGGTGGGCCTTGCGGATCTTCTCTTTGGTGACGGCGCGCTCGCTTTTCGGGAATCAGTTAGTGTGGGAAACTTGAGGGAAGAGGAGAGAAAAGGGACAAGCTTAGAAAGGGAAAGGAAGAAGCCCTACTTGAGAGATAAGATCAACGAGGCCTCGCGCTTCGTCATGCGCGGCTCGAAGCCGCCCTTGTAGAAGGCCTTACCAAGGGCACCGACGCCGCCACGCGAGCGCCGCCACGCGACGAGGCCAGCACGGCCCTACAGATTCAGTAGTTAACAAAGCTGTTTTCGCGCAACGAAAGACGACGTGGCGCGGTACAACATGCGATATAGGGAGGGGAGGGGCCGGTGGTTGTTGGGGAAAGAGGGACGTACAAGGAATGCAGCGACAGCGATACCAGTCCCGATAGCAAGAGCTGAGGCCATGGTTCGCCACAGAGTGGTGGGTAAAGAGGTGCAATGTCAGATTGTTGTTGGCCGGGGAATGAGGAGCAAAGACAGGAAGAGAGGGGATGAAGTGAGGCCGTAGAGGCAACGGATCGGAAGGTTGAAGAAAGGTGAAGATAGAAGAAATGATGGCATTGGAGCAAAAACGACAGGGTTCCAAATGTCTGCGCCCCGCTGGGACAGATGCCGGGTAGCTTAGCGCAGCTGAGAGAGTTACTTGGGTATATAGTACACATGTTAGGTACCAATTATCAAAACCTGTAAATTCCTCGTTAGTTAATCCGTGCCTATCGATAAGGGACAAGCGGTGGCTTATTTAAGATTTTCATTCATGTTCTACGGAAGAGAGGCGGGCAAAGACAGTTTGGACGAACCAGCAAATAGCCAACCTACGACACAACGACACGACTACATAAATACGGCTAGTACATACACATACACCGCTCCGACTACGCCTCGTATTTCCCATAGTATCGAATATTGCGCATAAAATTCGTCGAGTTATCCAGAGCTGAGCTAGTCGCTCCTCTGTCAAGATGAGGTGAGTTCTGTCGCCCACAATCTCGAATCTTGGGAATATCTCGTAGTAGATGGCCCTCTACCAAGGTGGCTTCATCTCTAGGGCTTCCCTAGAGCTACGGAAGAGCTTGGATCCCCGTTCGGAAATCCAAATCACTCGGCTAACTGGGTATCTGTTAGGATCGAGACGTGCTACTTCTGTAGCAGGCCCACCTATCCGGGCAAAGGAATCGTGAGTTCATCTGCGACGCACTCCCCCCGCACCCCCCTGGGCCAAGGCAAAAAATATTACCCTTGAAGCAAGGCCACACTCCGCCCCCCCCCCCCCAAAAAGGAGGCTGACCAACGGGGCTTGACCAACCGACGACAGACCTTCTGCCGCAACGACGCGAAACAATTCCGCTTCTGCCGGTCCAAGTGCCACAAGAACTTCGTCATGAAGCGCAACCCGCGCAAGCTGGCGTGGACCAAGGCGTTCCGGCGCGCGGCCGGCAAGGAGATGACGGTGGACGCGACGCTGCAGTTCGCGGCGCGGCGCAACGTCCCCGTGCGCTACGACCGCGACCTGGTGGCGCGGACGCTGCGGGCGATGGAGCGCGTGGCCGAGGTGCGCGCCCGCCGCGAGCGGGCCTTCGCGCGCCGCCGCCTCGCCGGCCGCCGCGCCCAGCGCCTCGCCGAGGACCGCCGCCTCGTCCAGACCCACGCCCACCTGCTCCCGCGCCTGCGCGGCAGCGAGCGCCGCCGCCTCGCCCTCGAGCGCGGCGTCCGCCCCGAGGAGATCGTCGACGAGGAGGAGGAGGAGCAGGTCGTCCGCCTGGAGGCCGCCGCCAAGGTGTTCGGAAAGGAGAAGGTCCGCAGGAAGGTCCGCGTCGACGGCGCCGTCGAGGAGGTCCCGGACGTCGCGGAGGCCGGCGGTATGGATGTCGATTCCGAGTGAGCGGAGGCGCCGCGGCGGTGCTGGCCGTTGGCACGGCGAGGGTTTGTTTCAGCGAGAAGAAGGAAGAAAGGCGACAGATTGGGGCAACACATGAGAGGTGCTTTTTCTTCTTGCGCATATGTGATTTTCCCTTCCCTTTTCTACGTAGCTACGTGCATGTCCTGGCGTTGGGAACGGGGAGGAAAGGCCGGAAAATTCTACTGGTTTATTTTCCCCGAATTCAAAAGTGTGATCTGATGGGACTCATCGGACGATTGACTCTCCTGGTCTAACCTGCTCTGGTCGGACTCCTCAGGGGGTATGTGTAAGATGTGAGACTTCGCCTACCCCCTTACTACCTTCTCCCTATCTAGCGTACAGACCACACAGACAAACGGCTCGTGGGTCTATATCTACACATCCACACGCGTCAGCCAATCTGCCTGCCACCGACAGAGCTCACGAGCAGGGCGAGTTTTAAGTGCAACTCATCTCCGATTATTCCACCTCCCTTTTCCCTCTCCCCCCACCTTCCCTCCTCTTCTCCTCATTCCCTCTTCCTACATGCTCACCCACCCCGTTATGCCGCCCTCGTTCTCGCGAGAGGCCCTCGGATGAGTCCTGGAGGGAGGGGGCCACATTATTACGCTGGCGGCGGTGCATTAGGCCTCCGCTCGCGGCCCGGGCCGTGGGGATAATGGATCCGCGGCGGGAGCTGCGGCAGCGCCGCCTCGAGCGCCGCGTGCCGTTGCTGCTCTCCTCCCGTCTCCGCCTCGGCCCCCTCTCCCTGGCTCGCCCCCTCTGCCGGCGCCGGAGAGGACAGGGCAGCCCAGTTGCCCGCGCCGCCGCGCCCCATCAGCACCCCGCTGCCGCCGGTGGTGCTGCCGCTAGGGGCCGTTCGCGCGGGCGGGGGCGAGGGCGTCGGTGGCGGCCGCGGCGGCCGCCACCGACGCCGGGACAAAGTTCCCCGCGCCGCCGCGCCCCGAGCGCGCGTACGCCCCCGCCGCCGGCGCCGCCGCCGGGGGCGCCGAGAAGTAGGCGTCCCCGGCCGCGGGCCTCTGCGCCTCGAGGTCCTGCTGGCCGGCCGCGGCGAGCTCCTGCGGCGAGTAGAAGTTGCCGGCGCCGCCGCGGCCGCTGCGCGCGTACACCTGGGTGCCACTCCCCATAATAGGTCCGGGGGGGGGGGGGGGGGGGGTTGGTGTAGGGGCTTCTGTGTTTTTCTTTCCCACCTTCTTTTTCTTCGAAACACCTCGCAATCTCGGGTGTGTGCGATGTTATATGTGCGTGCGCGGGGTTGTACGTAATATACCCGGTGCCTCGATTGTTATATCTATACGGGCGGACAGCAGCCGATAATATGCGCCTGTCCGTCGGTTACGGGAAGCGCCCACGACGTACCCCCAATGTAGCACAGAGATATAGGTAGCGCGGCTTGGCTCAACCAGGAGCAATGTCAATGGAGGTTGTAATGGTCGTAAGTAGAAGCCTGAGGGTGTACGTAGGCTACTACGGGGTGTGTGTGTGTGTGTGTGTGTGTGTGTGTGTGTGTGTGGTGCAGAGATATGTAGTGTGTAGGGGAAAGGAGGGAACGCTGGCAGGGTGTGGTAAGCAAGGAGGGGAGGGGGGGGAACTACGATAAGTAGACACCGACTTATCAGTTTCTCATTACCCATTGCTAATTAATATGGGTTAATCGAACTCGACCCGCGCGTGTAACGCCCGACGTGAACTGGCGGGGGGGAGAGCAAGAAGAAGCTCATCCTAACGCCATCTAACCCTACCCGCTTAATAATGGGCCGAATCTCGGCGCCTGCGAGCTCATTAATACATCGCCATCAGGAAGCTGAGACAAGGCGAAAGACGGACTGTAAGCAACTACCTAGGTAGTATCAAGATGTACTAGAGACAGCAGATATGTAAACTTGGCCCCGGGGTGGGTAGGCATTGTCAACGGGTGAAATCAGGTTTCGCCAGCACACCATTCATCTAGCACACTCACCCAGGTACATGTGCCACGGTCTGATGGAAGGAAGGGATTAAAACCCGCCCTAACGGTGAGGAAAGTTGGCTGTCTTCATCATAAGCACCACGTACGCTACCTGCGAGTTGTGGTGACGGTGCCGTCGAGGGGGACACCGCATCTCGACCCCCCCCCTGACTAACACCAACAAGGGATGCCATGAGTAATGGGCATATCCCATAAACAGATGATTCGGGTGAGGGAGGAGGACGCCACTGGAATGTTTGTACGGGTGATCGAGTCAGCGTATCCACGTATTCGCCGTCCGTTCCCTGTCTCGTTCCACGTTTACAACTTCGCATAACGCCGTCGTTGCGATTTGGTGCTGGGCTACAGGAGCTCTGCCGTGGCACCGGGATGCGGAAAGACTACAATAAAGAAAGCCGACATCCGTCCACAGGCAACACCGTCTCACCTAGCCTCTTGGTTATCGGAAACAACACCGTGGCACTATTGAGCTCTCGGGCGGTCGAGGGTCAGGCACCGAAATGTCAAGTACCCGGCCGAGGCATCCGGGCTTGCTCGTACCTGCGTTGGATGGAACAGGACGCCGGCTTCCCATGCATGCACCATCCCTAAACGACACCGAAACCAGGTTTCCGGGCGATCCGCAAGGCGTTTTGGCTGGCTAACTCTTGGCCGGTCTGCGTGCCTGGGACGGGGTTCGTTACGCCGCACGGCGACTCTGGCGGGTGGCATCCTGTCGGTACCTACATGATATAGGTATAGGTATGTCCTCTGAAGGTTCCTCAAATGCTGTATCCCTAACTGCATATGATCAATGGGGCACCATATCGGACGACGATAGAGGGTGGACCTAGAAGGTCTAGGCATCGATATCTGCCCCCGTTAGGCGTGGTACCTATGCCACGACGCTACGGATGCCTATCCGCCGAGGCGCTGACCCTTGAAGCCGATGATGACGGCAGACCGTATGCGCGTGCTAGTACTGTCGTCTGAGGCGGTAATAGTACCGTCGCGAACGATTTCTAGGCACCACATACGGGGAGCGGGAGGTCGATATCCCCAGTTTACTGCAGGCTTTTTTCTTACCCCGAGGGTCCGGCAACGCCACCTTGAAGTGGAAACTGGAGACAGGGACTCTGTAGCTTGCAAGGTAAGGCTGCTTGCTAGCAAGTAGGCATTATTACGGCGGCGGACGGAAGACAAAGCAGAGGCTTACAAGGGATATGACGAGGCACGTCGACTCGTGAGCTGTTGTCAGGTGCTCTGGCGTTACCCTGATGAGGTATAGCATTATCGGCTGGTGTGGTCACTTGATTGTTCGAGCCTGTGGCCACATCACCGCACAATAGGAGGCTATGCCAGAAGACCGCTTACACTGGATGAGGTCAGAAGGCACCGGAGCTCGAACTTGGAGTTCAATAGCACTTGCTCGTTGATGCTTGATGCGGGGGATTCGTAACGACGTTGCCGTTTCTAATCGTGTTCGTGGTCAGCGTTCTGCATGCAGTCGCTGGGTTCTAATCACCAGCTGGAAGGTCTGTTAATAGAGCACCGAGATCGAGGTCAATGGAGAATCGACACAGACGCGGTGGGATCCGTAGAAGAGAGTCCTAGATTGCGCCCAGGTGTTGTTGATTCTCGGGGGCCGACGTGATGCGATGACTTATTAACCGGTCAACCCCGGTGACCGGTAGTGGCCCGGGGTACATCGTTATAGAGGCAGCATGACGCTTGACCTTGCGGGCGAATCCTTTGCCCGCTCAGCTTCACCTCGACTAGAGATAGACGATCCTGAAAATCGACGGCTTCATTGGCGATGTTTCAGGCAGGGTTCTACATCTTCTCACACGTAAATCTGAAATAGCTTATCACCGAAGTTTGGGTGCGGCATCGTTCGCTGATAGCGGGAACGACTCAGACTAAACCGCCTCAGGCCAAACACGGGTATACCGACGACGCTGCCTATTCCTTATCTGGTGGCCCGTCGGTACAGAGCCCGACGACGATTGAGAAGTTCCAGATAGCAGCACGTAGTAAGTGTCATTCATCAGTGGCTGACTTATAAAGCCCGCGCCAAGTGGACGGTTGGGGAATGGCTTGGATGGTCATATGGGAATGGCGCTACAGTTCACTTGAGACGGAGAAAACCGTCCCATGACCTGGAAACCCACGAATTGTAGTTCGGATCCTTTTCTTAAAGGGATAAGCTGACATTTTGCCATTTGTCCCCTCCCTAGACCCAACACAAGGAGTGATCGTGTGGAAAGGAGGACAATTTTGTGCTAATGTTCTGCTTCGGATACTTTCAAGGTGGTTAAGTAGGTACCAAAGTAGGCATGCCTCGGCACGCTGTTCGGAGATGATCGACTTCCACACGGGAGTCCGAGGCCATCCTCCCTTGCTTCACTCATGCTGGTCGATATTACCCAATTGCACAGCAGGAGGTAAATTGACAGACCAATACGGTCGAAACCGGTGGAAGGAATTGGGGTAGACATGATGGACAGCCGCCGACCTTCGGCCACGGAGCTATTTACGACACGAGCGCGGTGCACAGGCAGAATCCGGGGAGGGGTGGCCAATCTCTGATGTGGGCATGTGGTAGTCCAGAGTAGTCCAGCGAGGGCTGTCCAATGGGCCAGGCCCAAGAGGATCGTGTAGGTAGTGTAAGAAGGGGTATGGGAGAGGCGTGGGCGTAACGAAAGCTCTCCAATTTCTGCTACCTGCCGGCGTCCAAGTAGAAATGCTATGCGAGAAAGCATCTGCATCCGGAAGAGTCAACTGGCCTGCTGATCTCGTGGAATTTTCGTTTTGCGTGTCTAGGCTCAGGTCCGGTGCTACCACAGCGGCCAGGTCCGTGACCAGCAAACCAGGAATCCCCGTTGTATTTCTCGTCCGTCGGCGACAGCGACGACGACGACGAACACATGGCAGTTGAGAAACCGAATGCAAGTTGTTGCTTCACATCACAGAGTTGAGACGAACCCGCCACGATTGGGTGGTCTGGAGAAGTTGTATGTGGAAGAAATGCATTGATGGAGAAACTTGGGGAGTTAGAAGGGGGTTGTCGGTCTCAGAAGAAACAGCGCATATGTACCAATATGGAGGCATGTTAGGTATTAGGTACCTCCTTCTTAGTATCCTCGATCTTGTTAAGTATCCTTTTGGCATGCATTATGCAGGCGGGTTAGCTAGATCGGAAGGTATGTACGAACTAATGTTGCCGCAGTACTACCTACCTACCTCTACCTACCTACCTAAGTGTTAGAACCTGGGGTACCTTAGGTACATGTAGATGTACATGCAATAAGGTCTAGCCAGGGAACAATGACCCCTCTTTCCCCTACGAACAGGCCGAGAGACAGATAGGTAGGAGGTAGGTATCTGCGTACATACATGATGGACGTGTTGGATGGGACGGCATCGCAGTTCTCCCCATGCCAGGGCCGCATCCTTAGCTTGCTGCGCCTGCCTCTCCTTCCGCGTGGCTATCTACTCACACACGTGTTAGTATGTGCACGTATTAATGGGTTATGCCGGAATACTTCTTATATATAACGGCATTTTTATGCAACCGTACGTGCTTCGATGTTCATGTAGGTATCTTAAGTACTGCGGAGTACTACACATAATTCATCTCTGACCACTTTTACGAGCTAGGTAGGTACCTGTCCTACGCCGTCTGGGGTACCTGCCTGCCTACGTGCCTCGAATTAAGGAACAACCTATAGGTGAAGCCATGCCGGATGATGAGAAAGGATTTCATCGAAACAAAACCAGAAGTCGGAGGATGCGCGAAGAAGGGGGGAGGGGACAACTTGATCCAATCATTCTTAGAAGCCCTCCCGGTTTAAAAAAAAAAAAAAAAAGAAAGAAAGCTGGGTATGACTGTGTACTTTCAAGACGTCTGGGGTCAACCCTACCCGCCCAGTTGGCGCGCTTACGATCGTAGCGTTGATCCGCCTGGTCCGGGGTTGGAAGTTGAATTGTCCTTTGACGGATTTCCATAGTACAGCTACGGCCCGGTCGCAGGGCTGTGTGATGTTAGTCACCGGAAGGGGTTAAGCCTAAATTCGTCACCAAGTTGGCGGAGACGAGCATGTACTTGAGTAGATAACAGATACACACAATGTGTTAGGAGGTAGGTAGGCACATGAACCCGTGTGTCATTCGAGATGGGATTACGATGCTCTCCTTTCATAAGGCTCATAGTAACAATGTGTGGGTAAACTTGTAAAAAAAGTCAGAATCCGCCTAGGCGAGATTATTTTATTATGTGTCTGCGTATGCCCTGTTACCTGTGGCATCTCTCTCAGCTTTCAGCTACACGGCCTTGTAGGAGGGGTGGGTTTTATTTTTATTTTTTTATTTTTTATGTACCTCACCCTTGATCTTCTTCCTCCTTCCTTTCCTTTCCTTTACGCACACACCCTTCTGGAGGCAGCCCTCGGAGGGGGCAGCGTCAACCTTCAGTATTACGAATCAGTTTATTGTTCTCGTCTAATCGAGGTAGGCGAATGGCCAGGATGCAATGCCTTGTTTCTAGGTACCGATTTAGCATGAGGGCGCTTCCTTTAATTGCAACAAAAAATTTTAATCATGAATAGCTCCAAGATGCCTGCCTCTGCCACGTTATCCGGCCACATGTCAATTAGTACGAGCAGGCTTTGCATACCTGCAGCAAGGCGTCGTGCACATCTCAAGTACCTACCTATGGAATATCACGCCAGCTACCAGAGGGCCAGGTTCGCCCTCGTCCTCAACGAGTTTTTTTCAGGCTGTTGAGGTTCGAAACCGCCGAGGGCATTATTTATCGCAGTGCACGTTTTCGTTATCACTCTCAAGTCCTACTCAAGTTACACATGTGCAATCGGCATGTAGGTTGGGTTAGGGGGTTGAAACTACCTGCCTTTCAAGTTTCTCGTTTACCTACCTTGATACCATCATGAGGATGGATCTGTCCAGATGGGATCCCTCTCAAGACAGCCGGCTATCTTTCTTTTCTGGCTCTCCTTTTTGGAATTTCTATGGTGCCTAATTAGGACCATGCCTGAGATATATCTACTTGGTGGCTTGTAAGTGGTTACACGTCTAACAGCCTCGGCCGTTTTTATGCTAAGCGTGTTCACAACAACGGTGTACCTGTTGATTTTACGAGACATAAAACATTATATGCATACTTTTTGGACTTTGCTGAGCAACATCAGCCCTCACCTCTTATGACTAGGCCATGTAACGATGCTGTCCAATGTCTTTGAAGTTCGCTAGTGCAACAAACTTGAGGGCAACAGCTTAACCGTATTTGACTTACGGCTCAGATGGGCCTTTTCTGCTACTGGTGTAATAACACGGATATGCTACCCGATGACCTTCTAGGCCCTGACTAAAAGCTACAGAGCAACCTTGTTTATATGCGGTGTCTGCTTAATAAAGCAAGAAACGCAGGGGCAGGCTCGGTCTGGACTGAAGCCTGTCCACCTCACAGGTCCCAGAGTAAGATGTAGGTACGAGTATGTTGTTATCCCGTATGTCTACGTATAGGTATGTGTGCGTCCGGTGTAGTCCCTATCTAGAAGCCCAGGGCCATGTGTCTGGTGCCGCACGTCAAGTGCATTGTGGGTGCATATCTCTTCCGTATAATGCATGTGTTTGGGGGATTTCGTCTAACAGGCTGGGTAGGGCAAAGCGGGACAACATAGATGGGAGGGAAGGGAAAGGTGAGTGAGAGTGCGCGTGAGTGTGAGAGAGGGAGATGAGGGACAGGCAGACCCAACAAGGACCATAGTGACCACCAGAACACCACCACCCACACCACACCACCCAACACAACACACCACCTACTCAATACCTATCCTCGTTCCTTGGCTTTTTTCTTCTTCTTCCACTTCAAAATTTGCCTCTAAAGATGGTAGCTTCCAACTACTAGTAGCTTCCATATCGCTGTTACCACACACTCTAGACATGGGTAACTTGCTAATATAGGTACAGACCATAACGCATAGATGTCAAAACGTCACGCACCCACCATACATGTGTATCTACATATGAGTATACACAGCAGGGCACGAAGGTCGAGTAGTCTAGGTACCTATCTTGTTAGATTACGTAGGTATGTACATCCAATAGGTTGGGTACCTAGAAGAGGGGTGGTGTCCAGATGTGATAAAGGCCAGGCACGTACCTCCTAGCCTTACAGTGATGTATGCTTCACTCACTAGTACTTCACTTACTAATTGAACGTAATAGTGGTTAGGTACCTATCTACATACCTACATAGGTGAAGTTGGAGCAGGTTGGTCGGTACGGTCAGTACCTCATCTAACGCCATTACGTGCTCAGGCATATATGTGTGCGTGTGTGCGCGTGTGTGGTGTGCGCATAATGTCACTGTAGGTCAATGGGAATAATAGACCGACCTACCTACCTAGGTAGTACCTAAATGGAGGACCCAGTTACTAAGGTCTGGATGGGATGTCATCTGTTGCCAATATCCAATATCCCGTTATTTACATACATGGGGCAGTTCCAGTAACAGGCACCTGATACTTTGGGTACATGTATGGAACATATATGCGTACACATACATACCTCATACACGCGTGGATAGATACGCATACATATCTGTACATACCAGCACATGGACATGTCTGCACTGCAGCTCCTCGGAGGCATGTATCTACCTTAGGTAGGTACGTATAGTGTTTCATGAGCAAGTACTTTAATCCTCCCCAATACATGCACCTCGTGGATACATAAGGTCCATGTAGGTAGGTACATTTAAGCTGACTGTGCCTCTGTCCCTGCCTAGAGGAGGTAGGTAGATAATGTATCGGCCATTGGTGGGCAGCCAAGCTGCTTTCCATGACCATTCATAGAAATTATTATTCTGCTACTTCGCCCTCTTTTTTTTTTTGTGCAATTGCATTCTTATTTTTAGGACGCCTTTGTTGTTCTTTCTTCAATTCCTTAAGGCTAAAGAGAAGAAGAAAAATTTCAGTATCATTCTGTTGTTACTGACTGACTTGCCTACCTCTCTCCTCTTGACTGACCATCGTTTCTTTTCCTTAACATCCACCCTACACCCTCCCTCCTCCCTACATCCCGGCCCTGACCAATACATATCCCATTCTACCCACCACCGCTGGCGAACCTATCTACCTTTGCTTTTTTGGATTTTATACTTCCTCTGTTGCCCAGCTGTCATTTTGCTATCTTCTTGAGCAACAACAAAGCCCCGGCGAGAGGGACACAAGCATAGGAAAGAAGGTGTTATAGCGAACAGGCCGTTATTTTGTCCTCCTCTACCTGCGTGTTCGGCCATGGCCTCTTCTAAGGTAATCCACAAGTTGCATTGGCATACCCACCTTCGCCCTCCTAGACCGTCGAGGGGAGAGGAGTTAATGCTGATTACTTGTTACCTATCACTATAGGAAATGCAGACATTAGCTAGACCATTGACCCAACACCGCCAATCCATCTCTTCGGGCTCGATGTCTTCCTTAGGGCCTGCGAGGCCGATGTCCCATTCACGCAACAACTCCCATGCCTACTCCACGCTGTCCGGCGCTATCAATGCCACCCACCGCGTAACCCGTCGGAAGAGCATGACCAACAGTGCCGCCAACGCCGCCGCTGTCGCTGCTGCCCTGGAGGAAGCTGGCGACAAGGTCACCCCGCTACCGATCGCCGTCAACTCGCGTCGCGGTACCATGTCCAAGTCTGCTCTCTCCCGGTCCGCTATCGTCGGCAGTCTACCCTCCCCGCCCGCGAGCCTGCCGACACACAAATTTTCGATGAGCATGACCTCCGAGGGCCCCGAGAATGCAATTGACGATGACTCGAACGATATGTCGGCTGATGAGGGCGACGCGGAGCTTCAGAAGGCTCGCATTCGGCGGGCAAGCGACGGACAGCCCCTTACCAAGGAGGGTAAGAAGAGTAATCGAGTGGAACTCCGCTGCGATAAGTGTGGGAAGGGATACAAGCATAGCAGCTGCTTGACCAAGCATTTGTTGGTGCCCTTTCTTTTGCCCACTGCCTCTCTCCTGCAATCACTTGCACAGGCCGTCGGATGATGCATTCCCCTCTGCCCCGGGTAAAGGACGCACTGGCCGAGAACCCCCAAGCCTCGGGTAATTGAGCGTGAAGCTTTGTTGACGAATTGCTTGCCAGGTGGGAACATACACCCGAGTGGTCTCTCACATCCAAGCTGCTTATATCCAAGCACCAACAAGTTCAACTACTCGAAGCGGCTTCGGTGCTCGTCGCCATGAATAATAAGGATGTCACCACGCCTCCAGACTCTGCGAAAGACTTCACCAGCGAAACTGATTCGGTTTCTCCTACCACTTCGGGTTATTCGGATCCACATGATAGTCACGGATCGGCCGATACCACTCCGCCGCCGCACCCAGAGGCCTTTGCAGCCAATGCCTTAGCATATCGCACGGCGCCCAAGAGGAGCAGCAACGGAAGCGTATATTCCCGTTCCTACCAGTCAGCTGCGTCGGGCACGTTTTTGCCGAGCAGTTTTCCAAACGGAAGTGGATTTGGTCATTATCGACAAGCGAGTTCGGACCGGCGTCCCCCTTCGTCGGGGGCGAACAACACTGGTAAAGACGACCGCGATCTGGCAGCAGCTGTCGAGTTGCTCAGTTGCAGCATCAGCAGCAACGGGGGCTCCCGAGATGTTAGGCTACCCAACGACGCTCCCCCGGTGCCGCCGTTGCCCCCGCAATACCTTGATCATACGGCTTTTGCTAGCACGAGTTTCATAAACAGCTACCAGTCCGGCCAGATGCCAGAAAGTTTCACGCGGGGCGAGCTTCGGCAAACGGAGGACGTGAAGATGGAAGATAGCGAAAGCAGTATCATGGACGAAGACGAGGGCGACCGACGCTGGGGAGGGCGCAGCAGCGAGGAAGACGACGATATGATGTTTGGTTGTATGGAGGATTGAACAACACGGTGACGGTCTTGGAACTCGCTCGACTCTCGAGACGACACGAAATGATTGATGGGTTTTTGGTTGTTTCCTATGTACCGCGCGCGGGTATAGCAAATTTTGCAAACAAGGTGGTTCGCTCCGCGGCCGAAACCTCAGCACCGAAGAATGGGGGAGTTTCCGGAGAGGTACACTCCGGAACAGCGTCCAAGAGGTTAAAGTGAGGATCGGAGGGAGCGTCGAGCGAACACCTGCCTAAGCAGTGAAATTCCAGGGAGAAGGAGGAATTCATGGGGCAAAGAGCGTGTGATGTCTGATATAGGACCTAGAGCGCCTTATTGTTCTTTATGAATGAAAACCAATCCAAATGGACGCCTTTTTGGTGAGGGGAGGGCCGCAGTCGGCTGAAGATGGGTGGCCCGGGTACGAACAAACACCAACGAAGGGGATCACCCAACAATACAGACTCGGTAGTAGGGGCGGGTTAGAGATAGTCGAGATTTACTTACAGCGCAACTCGCTCACACTTGGGCAGAGAGGAAGCGGAGTCGTGACGGCTACGATGCTGATGATCTGCAGATAAATATACCTATGCTGGACGGTGCAAGCGTTGGGGGTGTCTGCAGGTAGGATACCGTTTGGCCTCAGCCGGCTGGAATAGCAACGGGGGGGATGGGAACGTTTCAGGACAATAGGCGAGTAGTGAGAGGGGCGAGAGGAAGAAGCTGTTGACCCAAGAACAAGAAATAGAGAAAAGGGAGAGGAGGAAAGGTTAAAAGCCTGGATTGAGGGTACGGCCTCCTTTTTGCTCTCTCCTGCCACAAGAAACTCGGTTTGTTGTCGATCGGCCGAGCCCAGGCAGTAGCGGGGATGCTGGCACGAGAGGCTGGATGGATGTACTCATACAGGCGATGAGAGGCATGTCGAGACAGGCCAGCCCAGCCCAGCCGGACGGTGAGGAGAGGGGGAGAGGGGAGGGGGATGTCATCATTGGTGTGCTACCGGGATGATGCTGCGCATGATGTACCTACGTAGTATTTAGGTATACAATAGGGGGGAGGTGGTGGTTAGGTACCTAGGCACCTAATCTAGGAGGTAAGTAGGTTAAGGCAGGTAACCTAGGTACGGGTAGGTAGTAACACCGTGACCCAGGTACAGCCTAGGTAGATCGGGGTACTTTTGTTTTTGCGTAGCAATCGCCAGTGCGGAGGGTATTGGGGGCTAGACATGCGAGTACTACCGCAGCGCCCCCCCCCCCACCAATTCCCAAGCGGCTGCCACTGTTACGTACCCGAGCTGGTGCTGGGGCGCGCACCTTCGACAGCATGGCGGTTTCCCCACACCGAATGGCCAGTTATGTACCTGCCCGGCCTAACCCAGGTAGCCTGGTAGCCCAGGCTCGCTCCTCACCTGAATCTCTCTGTCAAGCACAGGTTACTCGTCGTTATTAGGTAGGAGCTTCCTGGTTCCAACTCAACTGTAGCTTCCGCCCGCTCACCCACCTCATAACCCACGTACATCCGTACGTACCTCCCTTCCTACTCGACTCTCTCCCTTGCCGCGCTGTCCTCCGTCCCTCCGGGCTTCCCCCTACACGCGATAGCTCACACCCCGTCTATCTCTTCTCCCCCCCGTGGCCAGCTGCCTCCTGCTCGACACACCAGATCCCTACATACCTCGTAAGCTGTCGCGTCGGCGTGTGTGTGTTCGCAGGCATCCCTGTCTCACGCCTCGTCTTCCGCTGCAGGCTCCGGCGAGCTCCGCCAATTCTCCTGGCACGCGAGCGCGTCCAACGCTTGGATACCAGGGCTACTTTCATCCTACTCTATATACCCCTACTGCATTGATATTTTCTCCATTGCCATTTCCGTTTGTCAATCGCCAATTCCGGACAGACACGATGCGAACCAGAAAACAGACCCGTGCCGAAGAGGAGCATGCCGCCGAAGCCATCTCCGCTAGCCCTACTTCTGCTACCTCGCCCACCGTCGCGTCCACCAAGATCGAGGCGCCAACGTCGTCTCCGTCTACGAAGCACAACGATACCCAGTCTAGTGCCGGTCGCCGGTCCAAGCTCCCCACGCCAGTCCAGTTCCCCCTGGTCGCGATTCTAAGCCTGTCGCTCTCGGCTCTGGGTCACTCGCTGGCATGGCCCTACACCAAGGGCGCCCTAGGCGCGTACTCGAGGGTGCTGGAAACCTGGACGGAGGTCGGGCTAGTCACCGGCTGGAAATTGTAAGTGGCAGCGGCTACCCATCACGTCTTCGACGAAGCAATTCTAGCTCGCTCTGCTTCGTGCATGCTACTAGCTTTCGAAGGCGTTATTGGCGACGTAGTTCTAACAGTGACTTTTTTTCCTCCCCCCCTCGAACAGATTTGAACTCGCACTTGGATGGTTCGGTGACTACGACGGTTACGATATCACGGCCTTAAACTTTCTCTCGCATGGCCCTTTCGTAAGTAAATAGACGAACCAGCCAGACGGCACGGTGCTCCGCAAAGCCACCCTGCCAAGCTTCGGACTTGGCTATTCCAACAGAACGCGCGGGGTGGGATCACCTACTAACACGGGGACGCACGCAGCTTTATCTCCTCTTCGCCTTCTACCAGATTCAACCCGCCGCTCTCGTCCTGACCATCGCGATCGAGACCCTCGCGACCTACATCCCTTTCCGGCTGCTGCGCCCGCTATCCACCGCGCACGCGGATCCGCACGCTGCGCCCAACGCCGACATCGTTACGGACCGACCCATCGCGGTGCTCACAGCGCTACTTGCCGGCGCCATCTACAGCGTCGCGCTATTGCTCGCGTACGCGATTTACCTTCCGCAATATCTCGTCGTCTACTTTGCCGACCTGCCGTCCGTCGCCGCTGCCCACGAAACCACGTACGTCAACCTGTTACCAGTGGCGCTCGCCCTCGGGTTTGCCGCGCGTGCCTTCGTCTTCACGCCCGCCGAGGCTACGGAGCGCCCCAACGCTGAACCCTTTGACCCTGTCGTCGCAACGCTCGCCGAGACCATCCGCTGGAACTTCTGGGGCTGGTCCGCCCCCGCCAAGGTTGTCATCCTCCGCACTGCGCTGCTCGCCCTCGTCACCGGCGCAAATACGTTCCTCCAGACACGCTTCACGCTCGAGGGTGTCGAAACCCCCGGTGCGCTCGCCTGGACCAGCGTCTGGGTGTTTGCCGCGACCGCGACGGGCCTCGGGCTCGGCGCCGTGGGGAGCGGGTAGGATTCCACGTGAAGAAGGGGAGCAATGACAGTAACCTACCTCCCACGCAGGCTTACGTGTGGGAAGAAGGGGCGATGATTTGTCATATTGAGGGAAGAGGACAGCGGCAGGGGGGAGATGAGCAGTGAGATCGATTTTTATTCGGTGTCTTATTGGGATCAAGAACCCCCTCCGGCCTAGATTTAGGGGGACAGCAGAAATGAGACCAGATGTAGGCGGGATGCGGCAATCACGGACCGGTGGGGCAGGTGGAGTTCGGAAATGCTTGTCTTTTTTTTTTTGACAATAAAAACCCTCCCCCCAACCTCCCCAAATAAAATAAATTCGCAGCAGAGGAGTATGAGCAATACTAAAAGGCGAGGGGTTCAGGAGGTTGGGGGGTAGTAGTCAGGAATACCCCCTTTTTTCTCTTCCGGGGTAATGGTGATATCGTCCCTGGTATAGGAGTGATTACCATGTCGTCTCGCAAGTCTAACAAAGGGGCGGAGGAAAGGCCGAGCTTAAGTTATACAAGGTTACCGAGTCTGATGCGATTGTCACATCATGGAGGTGTCGGGCGCGTCGATTGTGAATCTCATATTAGAAGCTAATGACTGGAAATGAAGATTTTCCCTCCCTGTCTTAGGTATCTCTGGTCCTGCCTGCCTGACCCATGTTCGCAAACATGATCTCACCTCGCTCGTTTAATACGATATTTTGCCTTTATGCTTCGCTGGATTTTTATTTACTTTCAATCAGGAGACACGATAATGAAATTATGAAAAGCTCTAGCAGATGAGGGCCTGATCAAGGGTTGAGCATCTGAGGTAGATGATACGTGATCATGAGCGTCAGAAATAGCAAGGTTATGGCTCCGACAAATAGGTCTTCGACCAAGATATAAGAATATAGTTCGGGAGACTTGGTATAATATATAAAGACCGGAGATGCTGACACGATGCGCCGATCTAGGTAGCATTCCAGTAGAGGGTTGGAATGATTCTCTTTTATTGTGAGAACATACATGTTGTCACGTACGGGATCCCCTTATATGCCTACATACGCAAAGTCGTAGAATGTAGGCGTCTACGTTTTACGTGACATATGTGGTAGGCGCGGTAAGGGCGTTCGCCTTCTTCTGTGTCATTCCAGACAGACGAGGCAAGGGACTGATATTCGACACTTTAGGTAGTTTACCTCCCGCAGGCCTAGCGCCAACTCAGTGTAGCCGTATTAACACTAACTGTTCTTCTGCCCAAACCGATATATATAGGTATAGAGAAGGGGGGGGCGAGGGAAGGGGTTATGTCTTAAGGCCTTGAGAATTGTAATAATAAGATGCCCGTATAATTCGAGGCTCATGTTATTACCAAAACAGTGCCTCATAGGTGAATAGATCTCTAATATACTTATGAGTTAATAGTAGCAGGATATCGAGGCTTGGATCTAGTCATAGCTATACGTAGAAATTACCATAAACAGTGAACGGGTGATAGCAGAATATCTATGGCTACTGAGAGTCCTATCTGACCTGCTTGTAGTCATATAGACGGGATCAAACAGCAGGAGGCAGAGGCTGCTAATAGGTTTGAGGGTGTAGAGGATATGCGTAGCTAATTAAAGAATAGCATAGAGAGTCAGATTTAGGTCGCCGGAGGACTCCCTCCTCCCCCCCGCAACCCCAAATAGCCAACTGGTATGATACTCCGGACACACGGTGTGCGTCTTGATATATATATATATACCTATAATAGAGAAGGGTGCCTCAGGCACTGAGAAGACCAACCTCAGGCTCCAAGCCGGATTTACGCTGACAGGAATTATACCAGTGGCCGGGTTATGAGAAGCTCATTATTATACACGATTCGCAGATTGCTCACCCGAACGATTGCCCTCCACCCCGAGCACCATCTCGATCTCGGTTCGAGCTGTTTACTGGGCTGTAAGTAGCTGAGATATCTTATTGGAGCGCATCTACCCATCGTATTCTCTTGGTAATCATCATCCAATATTCACTTATACTGGCTTGATGTACGTTCCAGAGAGCCAGTAATAGGTATGTGACCCGACAACTTCTTGTAGGCTAGCTAAACGAGTTTGCCGTCCCGACTATGTGTAACTCTATAATCATCTTGCGTATTTTAGAAGCGTCACACTACAGTTTCGTTATATTCCGACTAGTAACTACCAACATTGAAGTGTCAAGTGGTTGAAGTGTCAAGTGGTTGAAGTGTCGAGTGGTTGTAGCTTTATCGTCCGTATGGACAACCACCTCCGCGCAAGAGGTTGCCCCGACATCGTTGTCCTACGCACCCGTGCTGAGAAACGCCACGCACCCGAAGTCCTTATTGCCCGACCCATTCCTCCTTGCGGACGGGACCCGGCTGAGCATGAAAGAGGCGTGGGCGTGCAAGAGGGCCGAGATCAGGGGCAAGATCGAGCGGTACGAGCTAGCGCCGAAGGCCCCAAAGCCGTCATCGGTGGGAACGACGATTTCTGGGTCAACGATCATGATCACAATGTCGGAGGGCGGTAAGTCGGTCTCCTTCCCAATTACCGTGCAGAAGTCGTCGAGCGGGAGGCCCCCTACCCAGCAGGGGGGCTGGTCGCGTGGGCGTGGGGTGCGAGCCGGGTGGTAGACGCGCTGGAGCTGCTCGGGACGGAGGCGACGGGGATCGACGCGAGGCGGCTGGCGGCTGGCAGTGACGGGGTGCCCGCACAACGGGAAGGAGGCGCCGATGGCGCCGGCGTTCGATTAGCGGTTTGCGCCGACGGCCCCGCAGGAAGGGGGTTTACTGGCGAATATTGGGGGAGATGAAGCGCAACGGGACACGAGTGGGGGACGTGGTATAGATCGTGACGGGGACGGGTGGTTCGCGGACGCGTTCTGGCGCTACGTCGACGGCGTAGTGGTACTCCCGTACGACCACCACACGCCAGAGGCGTTGGTCGCGCGGCGCGGCCTGCTCGCGGTCGAGAACTCCGGGACCGACTACATCGACCCTATTAGCACGTAGGTACGACTGCTCCGTGACCGGCCGCCGTGTCTACGAGGCGCTCGGCGTGCCGGGCCGTCTCGGCTTCTCGCAGACCTCCCACGGTAACTCCCACTGCCGGCTGCCCGCGTCGCAGAACGCCGAGGTCGCCGCCTTCTTCACCAAATTTTTGCTCGGCTGCCAGTCGGCCGCTACCGACGTCATGAAGACGGATAGTAGGTTCAACTTTATCCCCGAGAGGTGGATCGACTGGGAGACGCCGACCTTAACTTAAGCCGAGAGGGAGAGAAAGGGGGGTGCCCACAGGTTTACGATGTTAGGCTAAGGCCTGCGTTGCCTGTGCGGTGATGTTATTATTTGTCAACTGCGTCCGCTTGGCTTCCATCATCTAGGACTGGCTCACCTGTACGTAGTTGATCATTGTTCAGGTTGCAGGAGAGGAAACAAGTTACGAATGCTTGAGCAGTACGCTAGTCGAAGCGGACCATGATTCCTTCTGCAGCCTACCGGGACGGGAATCGGGAGGCCTAAGGAGGACCCGGTCCTGACGATCTTGTATTGCTTAGGGGTTTATAAGAGTTGATTGAGTTGTCGGTTCGGGTTACGCTGATCAGGTACCTAAGGTATTAGAAATGATGCTCTTAGACGAAATGTACCTAGGTAACGTGACTGAATCATTCAACCAGAGAGGTCAACAGCGACTCTCCCCTCATGCTCGCGTCCTCTTCGATTTAAATAAGCTATACGTAAGATGACGGGCACACCTAAGGCGAAGTCACGGCAGGATTGTTCCTCGGGATCAGCCCGAGGCTTCCACTTTAACGTAGGGCGATTTAGGTAGATTACGGATTCCTTAAAGAGTTAGCTCCATAGGTAGGGCTGAGTAGCGTACGTTAGGTACCTCCTACCTTATGTTGGTACCTAGCCTTTTCTTAGGTACTTAGGTACAACCTACAGGTACCTCTTAGGTTATGTACCTAGGTACCGCTCTACGTTCTTGAAGAATCACGTGATATGTAGATAAGCATCCTCTTATCTCGCCGGACCTAAAAGGCGCGCGATGCACCAGTCTTGGTAAAATCTACCTACCTTGATGATTTGTTGTGCACGTCACAGCTCGCGACGCCATCCGCCAACCTCGCCAACACTTCATCTCCTTCCACTCATCGGTCTTTACAGCAATCCCCATCATTCACTTTTGTCTTCTAGTGCTTCTACTTTATTTTCTTTCTGCTCCACTCTCCTCCTGCTACGCCGGATGTGGCATGTTGATGGTTGCCGATGTAACAGTCCTCCTAGCCGCAGACTGAAGAGCCTCCGATGGTTGATAGCCCAACGAAGACCATCATGGCGTCCGAGGTGGACAACTCGGGTGGGGCGCTGGATGGTGATCTTTCACCTGCCGACAAGGACGTCGGCGGCTCCTTGACGGCACCAGTCGTCCCGTCGCTAGACAGCCCCGATAAAGGCCTTGCGTCCTTTAACATGCGTGCCGATCCAGATGCCCAGGCCACTGTGACAGACTTCCTCGACTTTACCGAGTACCTCCCTTCCGACATGGTGCGATCCCTTACCCTCATAGGCAAGCTCGACCAAGCATACTCCGACGCCTCCACCAACATAAACGACCTCACCACGACATGGGGGAAGCTGCCTTCTCTGCCGGTCGACGGCCGCCCCAGCTCGGTACAGCTCCGTGCGGACATATCCGAGAGCCTAAACCGCGCCGTCAGTTCGCGCATCTTCTCCCATGCTGAGGCGGTTCGCATGTATGAAAACGTCACCCGACATTACCATAGAATTCAGACCATCCTCTCCAAACTCCAGACTATGCGCGATAATTATCCTTCTACCGACGAGCAAAAGAGTCCCATCCAGGTCAAGTCCCCGCAGATGGTTCGCGGCCCCAAGCTGCCGCTTCGTCTCGATAACAACGGGCAGAAGATCCGGGGTCCGCCCCGAATCACTGTCCCAGGCGAGGTACTCGCGCCTTACGAGATGGACTTCAACACGTATAGTTCTTTTAGCGATGTAAGCTCCGATCATGGCGACGAGGACGAGGTGGAGGAAGCAGAGGAGGAAGCGGGGCTAGAGGAGGAGAGGCACGTGTCTCCTAAACGAGTCGTGACGCCATCGACTCGTATCAAGGTGGTCAAGCCCCTTAAGACCCCCAAAAATAAGACTCCTAAACCACCGCGACCTCCTCGGTCTGCAAATAGATCATCGGACAACCCGACACCTATGATTTCTACCAGCACTGCGCTTGCTCAGCTGAAGCCCCCCCCCGAGAATGCGGTCCCCGGTAGTACCGATGCCCCGTGGCTCCAACTCACTCCCTATGAACTCGCGAAGCTCCGTAAGCGAATGAAGAAGAACGCTGTTTGGAACCCGAGCGATACCATGATAGCTCGCGAGCTGAAGAACCTCGGCCGCGGCGTGGAGGCATACAGGGCAGCCCAGAAGCAGGCTGAGGAGGAAGGAAAACCGTTCGACGCAGCCCTACCTGCACCGGTAGTCGATGCCGAATCGGGGACCCAGCACCCTCCCGAAGGGGCCATCAGTGCGGAAGCTCTGACAGCAGACGAGGTACAGTTAAGCAACCGCGGCATGAAGCTGAATGAGGCCAAGAAGCTGAAACGTGAAACCTTGGCAAGGATGGCTGCTGAGGAAGCAGAAGAATCGGCCAGAAAAATGGCCGAGGCTGCTCGAATGTTCTTCACCCACGAAGCTTCACCGTCCGTAGCCGGGAGCGTACCGGACAAAGCACCTGAGCCAAGCCAAACCCAGAGCCAAGGTCAAGGCCAGAGCCAGAGCCAGAAGAGCGTTCCGAGTAAACCCAAGACAAAAAAGCGAAAGCGCGAGTCGATGTCGGAGACTCCTAGCATGGGAAGACCCGAAGTAGCTGAAAGTCTGGCGAACGCATCGGCGAGCCAACCACCCACACAGGTGGAGAAGCCCCCGACCAAGCGTAACAAGACCGAGACGCCGGTTCCGTTGCCTCAGCTGACGCCCCGCCCCCCGTCGGTGCCCCCTGTACCCGGTGCGCCACCTGCTGCCGGCACCACTGCTGCCCCTGCAACGGAGACTCCCGTTCCCGTGCCGCACCTGGGAAAAACCTCTCAGGTCTCAATCACGTCGAAGACTCCCGTGCCAGTACCGGTTCCGGTCTCTTCGGACGGCTCCATGGTGGCTACGAAGTCCGCCGCGTCTTCGGGCGCGACAAGCCCAACCCCGCCATCTAGTATCACCACGACAATCCCTATTAAGCCGCCTGCGGAGGCTCCTGTTTTGCATCCTGTCAAAACCTCCACCACGCCTATTCCCCCGCCAGTTCGGGAAATACCGAAGCGAGAAACGAGGCAAAACTTGCAATCGTCGGCTACGGCGAACCCGAAGCAAACGAACTCGCGCGGCAATACTCCCGCGGGCACGCCCGCTCCCGAGTCGCAACCGGCCGCTTCTCGCCGGCCTAGCTCACGTGGCCAAGCGGCAAGCCAAGAGCCTCCTTCGACACTGGCGACCGAGCGATCTCGACGAACCAGCACCGCTCGAAACACCCCCGTCCCCGAACTGCGCCAAGCGAGCAAACGCGCCAAGCGGCCTGCTCCAGGCGTCGTGACGACGAATTCGGGCGGTACCAGCGCTGTCGGAAAGCGAAAGGCGGCGCCTCGCAAGAAGACTCGCAACAGTAACCCAAGGAAGGAGAAGGGCACAAGCCAGCAACCGGAGCCGGAAGTTGAGGTGGAGGTGGATGACGATGGGAATGTCATCGATCCGGAGGAGCCGAGATACTGTCTCTGTAACAGAGTCAGCTTTGGCACCATGATACAGTGTGATAATGTCGATGTGAGCGCAAGAGAAACCTCTGTAACCCCAGCATGTGAAGATGACAAAACACGCAACAAGAGACTAACAGCTCCTCGCGTACAGAACTGCAAGCAGGAATGGTTTCACCTCGAGTGCGTGGAACTGTCCGAGATACCTGCCCGCACCACTAAATGGTATTGCCCTGACTGCCGTGTCTTACTCAATATCGGAGGACGAGGCGAGGTCAACTCTCGAGGCGTCAAATTGTGATGACAACACAACGGTTGTGCCGGAGGAGGAGAGCAATTGCGCCAAAGTAGATGACGGCGACGGCAAGTACTTGAGGCGAGGAGTCTGCTAGGGGAGAGGAGGTCGATTGTTGAGGAGGATATAGTTAAGCCTTGTCTAGTTGCCGGAAGGCAAGGAGAGGATCTTTCCTAGGCGTGTGAAGCCCCTGTGGGGGTTATTGATTTTACTGAACTTGTTGGTACGGAAGGCAACGCGCGACTTTACAGATACCCAGACCTGGTGTCGAGATCCGGCAAGGCGTTTGCACAGGAGAAGGGGATGTTGTGGCTGTTCTTTGAAGCCTCCTTGCATCACCATTGCCTGCATTGGCGACGGCGCAGATACTGCTGCGGCTCTCGATACCTGTTACGGCTATGCATGGAATCTTACCATCTTCCGCCTTTTCGTATGTATACGTCATGTCGTATAGAAAGATTCCCCCCATTGCTCGCCCATCTATAGCCTAATGCGAAGTGGCTTTGTAAACCGGACTGCTGCTGTTTCTCCCATCCGTAGATATTCATTACTGCGTGCCATGCTAGATGCATCAAATCACCTCATAAGACAATACCTAACCTACGTGCTTATAGCATCCAGGCACACGAAGACCCTACTACAACTAGCATAGAGTTGCGCACAGCATCAGATGTCGGTGCCACCTTAGCTGGGAAAATCGCTCGTGGTGTTTCCCGGTTGTAACAGAACTCTTGTGCTATCCTGCTCAATCGACAATGGTTTTCAGCGGTTAGTGCCCTCACCCCATTTTAAGAGATATACACATTTTCACTAGTTGCAGTGGTAACCGCTCGTCAATATCTGTGTATCTCAAGGCTTAGCACACCATAGTATGTTGCTCGATTGCCTTGCTGGCGGGAGGCGTTTCCCCCCCTAGCCTACTTTTCCATGCTGTTATCCCCAGATAACCATATGCATACATAAAACCAACAATATCTATCCCTGCCCTCCCTGCTATTCTCAACACCTACGCTCCACATCAGGTCATAAACCCTCCAGGACCTCTTATTACGTCTATATACTCACTCGCACTTTTCGTCCCCTCCTCCTCATCTACCATGAGTACTCATATTACTGCTACCGTCGCCCCCGGGGAGGACTACGCCGTCACACTCCCGTCCGAACCCGGCCGCGCGACGGACCCGCGGGTCGTCGACTTCGTCCGCGGCTTCTACGCCGTGTCGGACGACCCGGCGCGCGACGGCGAGTGGGTCGCGCACTTCCTGCCCGACGCCGAGCTGATCATCGGGGGCGCTACAGCCCGCAGCACGCAAGGCACGTTGCCGTCTCTCCTTAACACTCGCGTGCTCGTCTCTTCAGCAGATTTCTTTTTTTCTTTTTTCTTTTTTTTTCCGTGTACTATTCTTTTCACGTCCCTGCGGAACCCCCCCCCCACCCCTTCCCTCCCTATCCTCAAAAGAAGTAAGAGGAAAAGAAAAAAAAAAGCTAATAACACTGGGGAAACAATAGAGATCCGCGAGCTCCGGCAGTCGATGTGGGCGCAGGTTGCGGCACGCAAGCATGCGCTGGGCAAGCTGTTCCCGGCTTCGTTCGCGGCGCCGCCGGCCCGAGCCGGCCCCGGCACCGATATGCTTACCCCGGACCCGGAGGGAGCGGAGTTCATGCTCTTCGGGACGGTGGCGCGCGACTGGAGGGGATCCGGCCGCCGCGACGAGGTGCCGTGGGCGGCGCGGGCGGTGCTGCGGGAGGCACACGAGGACGAGGGCGAGACCCAGGCGGGAAAGGGGGGAGGGGCGGGGAAGAGGTTGAAGTTCGCCTTTTATCAGGTCTACATGTAGCTCGCCCTTGACGCGTCCCCGGGCAGGATTGGCGAGGGGTGGACCGGAGGAAGAGAGAGGGGTTTCTAGAACCCATATCTAACCATCTACTTATCTCTTCTGTCCCTATCTATACCCTCTTCTTCTCCCAAGACATCCCCATCCGGATGCTGTCTTCCGCTGTGATATCCCACGACCGTGTCGCGCGCACTGCCGATCTACGGACGTGCCCCTTTTCTCATGTGGGCGTGACACTGGTAGTGGCGGTGGGCGGGCTAGCAGGTCGCAGGCCAAGGGGCCGGCGGTCTACCAACGCCTAGCCCAGCCCAGCCCAGCCATCCGATTGCGCCTTACGGACGGAGGGTGGCGAGAGGGGGGGAGAAGACTGCGGATAGGGGGGTCTAACCGCGGAGGAGGAGTCGATGTCAAGGGCAATACGACAGCTTACTTTCAGCACGAAAAAGCCGTCGAGGCAACGGAGGTATCGAGAATATCCCAGTACGCTGTGTTTTCCCCTTGGCGGAATCGTCCGGGAGAAAGCTAGAGCTTAATCTTCTTGAAGACTTGGCTACAGCCTTCCCGTGCTGAACACACCGGGTTGGGATAATGAGAAGGGTGCATTGCGATAATGTAGGTACCCAAGGTATTAAAGGGACTCATCATGAATGCCCCTGGGCCTTTACGACCTCCGACCAGCTAAGCGAAAGTACCGAGGTAACTTACCACGCGGGCTCACGGGTTGGACGGGGTACCCAGAGGTACCTCCGTAGTATCTGTAGAATTTGTGAGTCAACCCGGAGAATACCTCGTAACGGTTCAGCAGTGTTGGGTGCAAACGGTTTCACTGTTCCCGTGGTCACCGTTTGCCCCTCTTCCCGCTTCCCTCGACCTCCCCAGCTTTCGGCTTAGTAGTATGACAGGTAGATAGATATCCAGATTGCGCGACACTCAGCTTCTCGGTACAAGTACCTATCTGCCCGGGCGAGTTCTCGAGGTCAGTTGCGCACCATCAGCTGACCTCAACGGCGTCGTGATATATAACCCATAGTGCTTGCGGCGTCAGGCACCCTCGGCCTTACTCGCGACCGCTACGAGCGGCCGGAGGAGGGATACATGGAACAAAGACTGTCACGATCGCGATCAGGATGACGGGCGTGGATAGAAAGCCGCCGGGCGCAGTGCTGGACAGGTGGCAGGCAAGCGTGACAGGTTGTATGATTCGGCTGAGTTGGCGAAAGGCAGGTTGCAGCTAGAGATTACTCAGTGAGGTCGCCCCCCTCCCTAGGGTTCGGCTCCTAATGGTGATGACGACGAGGTCCCGTGATGAATCATCTCGAGGCGCGCGCGGGGTTGCACGGGATCTGAGGCGGCTGCAAATGCCCGATGTGATCCAGGCAGTAAGCGAACGGTCTTAGTTATTACCAATGTATATCCCGTATTGGCATGAAGGATGGATGGGTGGATGGGTGGGCGTTGGCTGTTGGTGTGATGAGGTCGGCGTTGGTATGCAACTATGCGTGATTCCGTGCTTGATGTGTTTCTGTACCTGAGGCCTGCGGCCGCTGCAGGCCCGTTTCCCTTCCGATGTTTGTTCTGTGGGCCCGAGACCACCTCGTAATAGTCGTTCTCGTCTAGTAGAGCTTCGAGTTCCCAGCTTCAGGTTTCCTCGAGAGCTGATGACGTAGCTTTCAGCGCCAGACAGACACATAACACTGATGTATCCGAGAGTACCACAAACCCCTCAGGAAGCATGTACTATAGGTAGGTAGGTACCTCCTCCTGATGACCTCAGTAAGACAGCGAGGTAACACCTGGCCCCAGGTAAATACATCCGTAACCGTAGGTATATGGGGGTGCGATTTGCTGAGACGGGAAACTGCCTAGGGCTGTCTCACATGAACGCAGCCTGGTTACCTAACCCGACTGCCCCACATCCTCTCAGCCCCCCTGGAGGTCTCGATGTGGTGATTACCGGACTCTTATCCTATCACTCGATAATTGACAGCGATTAGGGGATTTTACCCTGGTGTATGCAGTTCTATGGAGGTCCAACTCAGAACCCAGTCGCTAATAGGTTCCAGCTCAACTCGTTTATCCACCTCTGCCAGCTATTATTGGGTAAGTACTTACATCCACAGATCCCAGGGGAGGGGGCATGGCGAGGGGCAGGCCAGATTGTGCATGTGCATCGTTTAGGAATGACCGGATGCGTGGAGCGGACGCGATTGGAGAGTGGACCTGTCCGCCTGTTCCAGCGAGCTGGCTGTGTTGTGTCTTATGTGCATACATATACATATGTTATGTATACATTACGTATATATATTCCATTGGCCCTGCCTTTATGCATTTTTATATCAATTATGTATACGTATATACATACAAACGGGTAGTACAACATTTAGCCAGCAGAGGTCCTGCATCTAAGTAGGTACCTGTTCCTTAGGTAGCTTAGTTATGACCTAATTTGCGCAGATAACCCCCTGGATAGTACTATTAGGAGTTGTGCAGAGGTGTATGATGTGTACCTATATACCTAAGGTATCTGTATGGCGTACTACCTACTGAGTACAATGCAAAGGCTAGAATAGGTTGATAAGGAGGGAGGTTACCCCCCGACCCTGCAGGTAGCGTTGGATTCCAGCTACCTCCGCATGTTAGTTGTGATGTCTCTATACATATGAAATGAGCTCATTATTATGTTAAGCAACGCCGATGTTAAAGGAGTATATAATCTTTACGTACATGAAATCATAACCGGTTCACACGATATAGCCGAAGATAAGAGGAACGCGCTCGTGGATGCAGAACAGTTGTCCGTACATACATATACCTCTTATCCCCATGTGAGCTGGACGTTGATGTAATCTCCAGGTATGACCGGGTGACAGCGGTTCCAAGGCCAGGACATTAAAGTTATATCCACCCATGGATGCTGATCCCGTCTGCAGACCGGGGAGGGGCGTACATGTATTTGGGTACGTTAGGTACATGAGTGCCTAATCTACCTACCAGGTACATACCTCCTCCTATCTAAGGTACTTACCTCATATATTCATGAACCACCTCTACCTTTAGGAGGAGGAGGCTCCCGTGTTGTTCTGTATATATACCCCTCTCATAGAGCTAGGTTGGTTGAAAAAGGCATCCCTAAAACGGAGAGTGCACGTAGAGGTAAGGCAACCATAAAGCATGTACGTGTAGGTGCGCAAGGAGGCACCTAAGTTGCGGAGGTATTCTATTGGGCAGTTATAGTGTGTACCTGTACAAGGTACGTAGGTGGCATGCGTGGATGTACCTAGGTACCCACCCAGGTACGTGTGCGGATTGTGCAGATGGATGGTTGCAATTTACGGGCGCTCCTTGCTCTCTTCGAGAAACCGCCCACCTAAACTCTCCTCCACATGGCGCCTATCATGCCTATCTACAGGCTGACCAGTGGGAGGGAGGTACCTGGTATGGCAGGCACCTAAAATAGGTACTACCTAGGTATGTCGTAGCGACCTCCGTACCTACATTCCGCCCTATCCCTGTCCGTCCATGTCGCTCTAGGCAGCCTTAGCGGGCCCATCCCACTAGACTCCCCTGCCTGTGGACGCTATGAGCCGCTATGGGCCGCTAATAAACCTATGTAAGCTGCTACCCTTCGTCTGCCGTGGTAGCCCGCCATCGTTATTGTACATGGCATTGTATATGGCATTGTACGTGCTGCGCTATGTACCTAGAGGTTGCAGTATGTATGTACCTACCTACATACCTAGGTAGGTAGGTATGCAGGCAGCTGGGACACCCATTCCTATCTCCACGTACCGATATCTTGCCCCGCCTTCTATCATCTGGAGGGTCCCGACAAGAGAACGTGCCTCGTTCCGACGAGTCATACACCGTTCTTCATGGGTTCCTGACTTCCGCTGCTCACCTCACACACGCCCCTCCCCCTTCAGCGTTCGCACCTACCTAGCCCTGCCAGCCTGCCACCTCGCCTACCTATCGTCCCCTCTAGACCAGGGTGCCGCGCTCTCTTTCCCTCCTCCCTCCTCCCTCTCCCTCTTCCTCCCAACAAACTACAACAACATCGGCGAGGACAACAACCACCAGCAAGATAAACGACAACAACACCGACACCGCGCCCACCCATCCACCCACCACCACAAGTGCAAACCCAGCTAGATTCGATACCTTTCTGTGTCCATATACCACTTCCCTTTCCGACAGCGGTGCTGCCGTAATCTTTCTCGCCTGTTTGTAAAGACTCCCTTACGATATATCATACCTAATAAACCCTGCCCCTTCCGACCCGGCCGCCTGCATCTACCTCTTGTGTTTCCCCTCGTCGAGGCATAATCTTAGGAATTCTCGGCGTTCCACTCCTTAGCTTTAACCTCGTACTACACGTTTGTGTCCCTTTGTCCCTCCGCCTCCGGCTCTCCGTTGAGGCAGACCTGCCGACTGGGAATATTGATAGACGCCTCCCCTGTTATATATAATCATTGCTATTGCTTTCACCGTTACCGTTTTTGTAGTCCACGATATCGTCCGACTCTCCTCCGCCTTTCCGTCCTATTCGCCCTCGGTATCCCTCCCGCAACTCTTGGGTCCGTGAGTCGAGAGAGCTCTCCTTGTTGAGCTCCTCTGCTCGCCAGCAGGAGACTACTTCAGCCACCCTGCTAGTTCCATCCTATGCCCGGTTCGTCCGTTCGCGAGACTTCCCCAGCCGCATCTTCCTCGGGGAGGAAAGGTCGTGATAAGCGAAAGCAACAACTTACTGGAAGTGACGCGGCAGGTACCAAGAAGAAAGAGAAGAATGTCAAAGATACCGGTGGAGTTGTCGCGGCGGTGACTAGACATGGGGCTAAATTCTCGTAGGTTCTCCGGACTCCCCTCCTTCTGCTCATTGTCCAGCCTGTCTGCCTCGCTGCCCGATCCCCCCTTTCGAATTGATGGGACGCGACGTTGATTGTATTGTAGCCAAGGCATCAACACTAGAGATGTGTCCCCGCCGCTTAACCCCCCCATGATCCGGTCTCCTGAGCTGAAGCCGACTGCTCCCGCGTCGATCCCTACAAACGGCAAGGCAGCGGTATCCCCTTCGTTAGACGCCGTGTCAACCACGTCCGCCTCTGCTAGCTCAGCCAATGAATGGACCCGGGCCATAGGGCCCCTAGCTGGCTCACCTTCAAACTTGATTAGCATCATGGGCGACTCCCCGCCGACTCAGCCGTCCTCGTATGAGGATTCGAGGGCGATGCCGTACGCTTGGAGTACGCAGCAGCAACGACTTTTTACCAATCACCACACATATTCTGCTTCCCCTCCAAATAGTATCAGGCGCCCGCTGAGCTTCCAGCTAGACTCACACCACCCCGCGAACGACGTCCGGTCTCAAGCATCATCGCCTCCAGGGGTCCGAAGAAGCTCCATGCACTCGCCCTTTCCCGCCCCCCGTATCGGATCTCACCCGCCGTTACCTCACCAGCCTCAAGCTCACTTCTATGGAGCGCCGGATATCGACTTCGATTTGAACTCTCAGACCGGCCTGAAACCTGGCGAGCGGGGCTTCTATTTCGGCTTCGATTCTCTCCCGAATCCAAACGGGACCCATTTCCCGGGAGGCGACAATATTGTTTTGGCAGGTTACGAAGGCGGCTTAGACATCTACAGCGTTGGGAAACATGCGGTAGAGCCACTCGCCAGCTTGAAAGGGCTGCGCGGCGGTGTCTATGACGCGAAGGTCTTGCCGTGGAATGGCGCACCAGATCCGTATGGTATTTTTCCCTTGGTAGCCCTCGTCGTCCACGGACCGGCCGTCCCTCCGATCGCTCCCGAGATAGCTGTTGACCCACATTTCGATGGGACGCCGAGTCCCCGCCTAGACGGCATCCATACGCCGCAATCGGACGGCAACCAGAGACAGGTCAACGTTGGGAAGACAATGCCAATAATTGACGCTTACCAAACCTCCGTTGAAGTCTATTCTCTAACCACGAATAGGCTGGTTGATGTGCTTTTACAAGCGCCCAAGACGACCATCAAGACCCTCGTATCTAATCCCATATTTAGAAGCCCTCCGCCGACTGGTGCTTTTCAGATTCGCGCTGATAACGGGAACGTTGTCGTCTCTTCCGGTGCTACGGGAGAGTGTTGGGTTTACCGGCAGACCAAATCCGATCGAGAGCCCGGGTTTCAGTTCTACTGCGTTGGCAAGATATGGACGAGTTTACAACAAGGACCGATTGGCGACTCGACTGCCGAGGAGGAGCGAGGCCCAAGTCAAGCACCTCTTCGCAAACGTCCGCACATGCCGATTATGGCGCTCAGCGGACGATGGCTGGCCTACTGTCCGCCCGCGCCATCCTCGCAAATCGCACTCAATGCGTCCATCCCGGTGCCGCTGGAAGGCAAAGCACCCGGCTTGACGACGCTCACATCTCCCATCTTGCCAAACGAGAGTGCCGAGGTTGACCAACCCATCACAGACCCCGTCATGAATCGAATCATGAGAGAAACTACCCAAGAGTTCATTCAAGGAGCTCGCTGGGTTAGTAAGCAGGGCATGCAGCTTTGGAACAACTATTGGAAACCCGGCCAGCAAGCGCAGACGCGACAGCCGCAGATGGGTTCTCCGCCTTGGAGTGGAGGGTTCTCGGGACGATCAGATGCCTCGCAATTCCCTCCGACGTACGGCATATCCGGCCAAGCGGTGACCAAGGAGCCCGGCTTGGTATCAATCCTGGATCTGCATAGCTTATCGAGCTCTGCAACAATCCACCACGTCGCTACCTTCAAAGCACCACTCGGCTGCAGCTTTCTCTCATTCTCGCCAGCCGGCCTGTCTCTCTTCACGGCGAGTAGCAAAGGAGACGTACAGACAGTGTGGGATTTGATGCGCATTCAATACACGAAATCATCTGCTCTGCAGAATCCCCAGCCGAACACTGGTCACGCGACCCGTGTAAGACAAATTGCCCAGTTTTCGCGGATGACTGTCGCCCGAATTGTTGACGTCTCGTGGGCGAAACCGAACGGGGAGCGAGCGGCGATGGTGACGGAGAGGGGCACCGTGCATCTGCTCGATTTACCACCGAGCGCCTTTACGTGGCCCCCTCCTCGCCGTCGTGTCAGGACGCCGGACGGGGCACTAAACGGCTCGGAGAATACTCAGTCGGCGGTTTCTCTGGCGTCAAATGCCCTCAGCTCTGCCTACGGTGCTACCCGGCCTCTCATCGCCCGCCACCGCCGCACTAGCTCAAATTCGCCTGCGACATCCACTATCATAGATCACGCGAGTTATGGGGGCAAAGTACTTGCGGCGGGAATTACCCATTCTTTAGGTAATGCCGGGACCGCCATCAACCAACTACGCCACACGGGCGAAAACCGTGTCGGCCTGCCACTCGGGAGCATGTCGCCCAGCCCGTTCTGTGCGACGTGGGTCACAGGCAGGAAGCATCATACACTATTTGTGCTAGGTGATGGTCTCGTGAGGACTTTCCCGGGTAAAAGCAGAAAGCCAATGCCAGGAAAAGATAAGCCGCGACTCCATCGCAACAAGTTCAGAGATTTTAAGTTGAAGCGCCTGCCTGATGACTTGATTGCCCCGTCCATCAAGCTGATCGTCGACCCGATCGAGGACCTCGACCTAACAAACCAGGACAATGACGGCGGCAACACCCTCTTGTTCCACCCTCGGCCCCGTGCTGTAGATTCCGATTACAGCCCAGAGGCATCCATCCCGCAAGCTGAGATTGAGTCCAGTGCTCCCTATCAGCCATTCCATACCGACAGACGCGTTGGTCTATATGTGTATGGCGACGAGTCCACCACAGCTCCTCTAGTGACCCTATCTTACCTACTTGGCTCTACGACGTTAGAAGACGCGTCCAAACGCGGCACAGGCCGTCCCGAACCCCCCTCCTCGCAGCATGATTGGGCTTTTGGACAGGCGATCGACATGGTCAAGGTGGACGTGGGGCCGGGGAATCTGATGGATGAAGACCTCGGCAACAGCGTCGACGACCACCGAGCCTTGCCAGTTTCGGCCATGGAGCGAGTCTTACAGGTTGGCGAGAATGACGAACAGATCGTAGTTACGACCCGACGACGCAGGGGTGGGAACAGGGCGGCGGACGCTGACGAGGATGGGTTCTTTGAGGATGATTGCGAAGTCCTCGATTTTGCAGACCAGAGGGTTTGAGGTAGATGTCGATATCGAGATAGGTTGACAGACTGCCATCATTAGCGCAGGGGTGCCCTTGTTTTCAACACGGAATTGGATGTCCAGAGGCACACATGTCACTCGCCAGGGCAGCTCGCGGGAGCAATACCACCTCGCGGAAGACCCTCATCCTACCAGACTCTCGCTTGATTTTGGATGGGATTTGGGCGGAACGAACGGGAAGTGCTGTGGATAAGGGAGTTATTGCATAGATCATGTTGCATTACTAAACCAACCAAACATACGACAGACAGGTGTCGAAGGTCGTTGTCGATACCAAGTTTCGCGCAACTCAATTAGATACCATCCAAGTCACCTTGGCTCCTTCATCGAATAGTTCACACGTGGTCCCTCTTTTATCTCTCACTACGTGATTATTACTGTGACCCCTTTTTAGGTACTGGGGGATACGATGTGAGCCTGGTGGCATATATATAGGAAGTCGAGCATAATCTTTTTTCTCCCTTGGTCCTGGGCAACAACCGTCAAGGAGTTGCCCTATAGTACAGCGAACCTGCCCCTCTAGTCTCTCCCCGCGGACGCACACATACACGTGCGCGCGCGCGCATCGACACCCGGTAACATAACAATGATAGAAAACGGCCTCTCATTAGGCCTTCTTCTTGCCGGCAACGGAGGAGGAGGAGGAGGCGGCCTTGGCCTTGGCGGCCTTCCTGCGGTTGCTGCGGATCATGACGACGCTAAGGAAGGAGCCGACGACAGCGGAGCCGAGGAGGACGAGAATGACGGGGATGCGGATCGCCCAAACGCGCGGAGGGAAGAATGCGTGCAGGGGATGGTCGGAATCGACGAAGGGCTATGTTTTCCAACGTTTAGTGTTTGTGTTCAGGGAAGAGGGGGGGCGAGGGGGCGGAGGGAGACGAACCATGGCCAAAGTCCAGATGGAGTAGTAGAGAAAGACGACGGAGGCGGCCACGAGCATGGCGAGGCCAACGAGCGTGCCGAGCTAAGTGAGCGTCGACATGTGTTAGCAATGGTGGTGATTCTGCGGGGCGGAAAAGGAGGAGGGGGGTTCGATGGCGAGTTAGGCCTAGGCGCATACCATTGTCGATTTCTAGGGGAGGAGGAGTCGTGGGAGAGAAGGAGTCTCGACGGTAGGAACGGCGGCGGCGATCGTCGTCGTGTTAGGGGTGGTGGTCGCGGTGCGATATACACAGGTAGAGACCTATAGGTATGATTCGAGAGAGGGCAAGAAGGAAAATGAAAAAGAGGCGGAAACGCAATGGGCGTAAAGTGTGGTTGATTGCATGTATTTACTACGAGCGGCTGCCGAAGTCTCGTCACGAATTGAAAGCTCCTTGCAGCTCCTTGGTCTCTCGGTGGTTAAGTTGGTGGTTGTGGTTGAGAGGTGGTGAGGTTGACCTGGCCTTCTATCAGTGGATAGGGTGGACGAAGCCACGGGTAACGAGAATTGGGGAGACGCGACTCAGAAAAGATAGAGGGCGGATGGTGGCTAAGCCAAGGCCAATTGTGGCTGTCTCCTACTCTGTACCTACATTTAGGTACATGCAGTGTACAGGTACGTACCCAAGGTACCCCTGCTTGCTTCTGCACGGTACCTGCTTACATAGTCACCAACCGAAACAGGCCAATCAACTGCGAGATATGGCGCCCGACTTGGAGGAAAGTAGGCCAGTTTCGTATCCAGCCTCGTCGCGACCCTGTTGGACTTTTTTGGGGGGGAATCCACTTCCACTTCGCCTTCTCACCTCACCTCTCACGATGCCAGCCTACTGAACTTTTACCTCCTTCAACATTCTCTTTCATCTTGCTTCACCCGCCACCCCCAAGCAATTTCAAATTTCGCTCACGGCCGAGCCATCCCCGCCTCATCGACAACGTGTCTTTCGATTCCTACTCTCGTTAGATTCTACCTCCGTCGCGGAAAGTCCATTAGAGGCTGATCCGCCATGGCCGAGGTCGAGACTAAACGCCACCTAGGCGAGCCGTCTCCGAGCCCCGTCGCGCTCCCTCGCTCTCCCCGTCGCGACGACCGCGCCCGACCCCGAGATGGCGCCGATAAATACAGACCTCCGCGCGATCGCCGAGCCGAGCCTCCGCGTCGACGATCGCCGCCTCGTCAGCGCACGCCTCCCAAGCTGCCCACCGAGGAGGAGAAGCAGGCCGCGGCCAAGGCCGAGTACGAGAAGCTCCTGACCATGCGGTCTGGAGGCACCTACATACCTCCCGCCCGCCTCCGCGCCTTGCAGGCTCAGATTACCGACAAGACAAGCAAAGAGTACCAGCGCATGGCTTGGGAGGCCCTCAAGAAGAGCATTAACGGTCTCATCAACAAGGTCAATGTCTCCAATATCAAACACATCGTCCCCGAATTATTTCAGGAGAACTTAATCCGAGGCCGCGGTCTATTCTGCCGCAGCATCATGAAGGCCCAGGCCGCGAGTTTGCCCTTCACTCCCGTCCTTGCCGCCATGGCGGCCATCGTCAACACGAAGCTGCCGCACGTCGGCGAGCTGCTAGTCAAGAGGCTAGTCGTCCAGTTTAGAAAGGCATTCAAGCGAAATGATAAGGCCGTTTGCTTATCTTCCACCATGTTCGCCGCGCACTTGGTAAACCAGCAAGTCGTCCACGAGATGTTGGTTGCGCAGATTTTGATGCTCCTGTTGCAGAAGCCGACAGACGACAGTGTCGAGATTGCGGTAGGCCTGACCAAGGAGGTCGGCCAACACCTCGAGGAAATGAACCCCGCCATTTCCAACATTGTATTCGATCAATTCAGGAATATCCTACATGAGGCAGACATCGACAAGCGGGTGCAGTACATGATTGAGGTTCTGTTCCAGGTGCGAAAGGATAAGTTCAAGGACAACCCAGCGATCAAGGAGGAGTTGGATTTGATCGAGGAGGAAGATCAGATCACCCATCAGATCAACCTAGACGACAACCACGACGTCCAGGACGGCCTGAACATCTTCAAATTCGACCCGGAATGGGAAGAGAACGAGGATGCATACAAGAAATTGAGAGCGGAAATTTTGGGAGAGGATAGCGACGACGACGGCGAGGAGGAAGACGGAGACGAGAGCTCGGAGGAAGAGGACGAGGAGGAGAAGGCGATGGAGATCAAGGACCAGTCCAATACCGACCTAGTCAACCTCCGCAAGACCATATACCTCACCATCATGAGCAGCATGGACCCGGAAGAGTGTGTTCATAAGCTGATGAAAGTCAACCTACCGGTCGGCCAAGAGCCCGAGCTGCCGTCCATGATTGTCGAGTGTTGTTCCCAAGAGAAGACGTATTCGAAGTTCTTCGGTTTGATTGGAGAAAGGTTCGCAAAGATCAATCGGATGTGGTGCGATCTCTTCACCACCAGCTTCGAAAAGTATTACGAAACGATTCACCGATACGAGACCAACCGGCTTCGAAACATCGCCAGGTTCTTCGGCCACATGTTTGGTTCAGACGCTATCGGCTGGCACGCCATGTCTGTTATACACCTGAACGAGGAGGAAACGACGTCCGCGAGCAGAATCTTCATCAAAATCCTATTCCAGGAGATATCCGAAGAGCTCGGCATGCCGAAGCTGCAAGCGCGTATGAAGGAGGAGGAGCTCCAGTCTAGCCTTGCGGGCCTCTTCCCCCGGGACAATGCGCGCAACGTACGATTCTCGATCAATTATTTTACGAGTATCGGGATGGGCGCTCTGACGGAGGCGATGAGAGAATACCTGGCAAATATGCCGAAACCCACTCTCCCTGCACCACCTGCTGCCGAGGATTCCGATTCGGACTCGGTATCCAGTTACTCGTCGTACACCGGCTCGTCGTACTCGTCGCGCTCGCGATCCCGCACACCGCCGCGAAGGGCCGTCGAAAGGGGCCGCTCGCTGTCAAGGACGCCACAGAAACGAAGGTCACCTTCATATAGTCGAAGTCGGTCCCGCTCTCCTTCCCAATCGCGCTCGCGCTCGCGCCCACGCGCCTACAGCTCATCCCGAAGCCCACCGCGCCAGATGAAGAGGAAGCGCAACTATTCTCCCAGCCCGCCGCGTGACCGGCGGGACTCTAGTCAGTCGCGGTACAGGTCACGGAGCCCCCGACCTACACGAGGCGCCGGCGGACCTCGCTCGTACGGCCGCGACCGCGGCTCGACACGGTCCCGCTCTTACACGCCGTCACGAAGTCGCAGCCCGCCGCCTCGCCGCGCACCAGCGAGACGAGATTCATATTCAGCTAGTCCCCCTCCTCGTAAGGCGCGCCGCGCTAGCTTCTCGCGATCCCGGACCCGGTCTCCTTCTCCCCCCCTAGCGCGTGGACGTGGTGGCCCGCGAAGGTCACCGTCGCCGCCGCCTGCCAGACGACGCGGGAATACGAGCTCCGTCAGCAGCACCCCCCGAAAGCGGCCTAGGTACGACGAGAGCCGCTCGCCGAGTCCGGTCAGCGTCAAGAGGAGGCGGTACGGTTACAGCTCTAGCAGATCAAGGTCGAGGTCGAGGTCGAGGTCGCGATCGAGGTCGCCGCCACCGCGTGCAAGGCGGGATAGCAGAGGTTAGGGGCCTCCGTCGAGTCACGGGACCCCACATCCAACCGATTGCTCATCGCGGGGGTGTATCGAATACAGGCACAACAGGGGCGTATCAACAGGCTCGGGCCGCCTCGGGGAACCTATCAGACGCGGTTGAAGTCGTTCACCGAACCCGGGTTATAGGAGGAGTTCGAAGAGTTTCTGTGTGGAATGCGGTTGTATCTCAAGCCCTCCCCGGCGATCGGGTAGACTGAGGAGAAATAGGGCGTGCAGGTGTACCGACAAGCGAGAGTGAAGGAGAGGGTGAGAGGCAGTGAGAGATGGCGACAGACGCCGCGGGCCGGAAAGGCAGAATAGTCATGCTGTAATCGTGATGAGAGGGAAAATGCATACCAAGGCGGCGAGAAGGATAGAGCGAACCCTGTCAGTCGGTCCGTCGATTGCATTGCGCACATAACACACGTATAAGTCCTGTTTTCTTGTTTGTCGGCACAGTCACATTTTCAGCTATTCGCGGGCTAGAACTCGGCCCTGTCCGGCGCCGGCCTCTGCCTTCGTCGACCCGACATCAGGCCTAGGGGGCTGCGCTTGTAATAAGCGGCTATATTTTTTATAAAAACACCTTTTTTTACGTGTATCAGGGGGGGAGCTGGGGAGCCTAGGCAGTTAGCAGCCGTGGTAGCTTAGGCAGCACGGGCGGGTTTGCCCCGATGCACACATAATGCAGACAGGCAGTATATGTCAATTCTGCGGGACAGTCGCAGCGAACAGTAATACTACGTTTCCTGCTTTCCTGATTCCTACCGCGTTGAATAGAGGAGGGTGCGTATGTGGTCTCGTAGGATTTGGTTAGAATATACGTATATAGCCTAAGACCCCAGGCTCAAGAGAAAGACTCGATCCGGCTATTCTTTCTCTTAAGACGGTCAAGGCGAGTATGTTTCTGCTACAAATTGCGGACCACAGAGACTAGACGTTGGCAGTGAAAAGGGGGGGAGGCAACGGGCGAAGCTGAGCCCACGATGGCGGGTCCCGCTTTTGCCGGGCGGGTTGGTGAAAGGGGGTCTCTATCGGATGTTATATGGTCGGGGTATGGGGCCACCGGCGGCGGTCCGTTCCGCGCGCGGACACGTCCGACCTGTCTCGGCTACGCACGTAACTGTAAAGCCCTTTCGCTCCCCTCCTGATGACGCAGAGACCCCATGCATAACCCCTCACGTCTTTCTCCTCCTCCCACAGTCCGTTCCCCGCCGTTCCGTCCATCCGCGCGGGACTTTCGAGCCTCGAGCCTACGTACGATCCGGCACTCTGCCACAATTCTCAACCCCCTCCCCCTTACTATTCAGCGTCGACGTCGGCATCCGAACACATACACACACACATACATATACCCCCGCGCCAGAACTCGAAACCAAAGCTAGGCTTAGCTAGGCTTACCTACCCGCACGCCATGGCCGGTCACACGCGGGCCTCGCTGCTCGCGGCGGCGGCGGCCTTCTGCGACGCGTTCGCGCGGCAGGCGCCGGTGGACGAGATCCTGGGCCACTTCGCGGAGGGCGACGCGGCGGCGGCGGTGGCGGTGGTGGAGCACGGGCACGCGAGCCTGGCGCCGTTCCTGGGGCGCGCGTTCCGCGGCCGCGGCGGCGCGCGCGCGTACCTCGAGCTGGTGGGCCGCCTGCTGGCCTACGAGGAGATGCGGTTCGACGGGTGGGTGGTGGACGCCGGCGGCCAGGAGGAGGAAGGGGAGGACGAGGACGAGGACGAGGGGGAGGGCGGTTGCGTCGCCGTGCGCGGCACCGCCCGCTTCGTCTGGCGCGCCACCGGCCAGGCCTGGCGCGAGTCCTTCGCCTACCGCCTCGCCTTCGCCCCCCGCGGCGGCAAGCTGCTCGTCTACGAGATCTGGGCCGACTCCGGCGCCGCGTACCTGGCCAGTCGGGGGGAGCTCCCGGCGGAGGAGGAGGAGGGAGAGGAGAAGAGGGGGGGGGAGGAGGAGAAGAGGGGGGGGGAGGAGGAGAAGGGGGAGGAGAGGGAATAGGGAAAGAAAGGAGGGGATGGAGAGACGGGGCGAGAGGTAGCGCGAAGAGGGGAATTCTTGGTAGCTATTAGTTGTCGAAACGATACGGAGACGGATAGGTACATTCGGCCGCATCGTGCGCGTATCGGCCTGGAAATGCGAGTCGGTTGCCTGTGGCCAGGCCTGGGCCGTATACGATCGTGCCGTCGGAGCAGTATTCAAAGTCGCACGTTGACATGTAGCTATACCTACACCCCGCCCGCCTACCTGATGAGACTGTTCTCTAGGTACTATACAGGTTTGCGGCAGTTCAGAGTTCCAAGTGCTGCCAATGAAGTCGACCTACTCACCAAACCGTACTAAAATCAAGCACAGTAACTTTTGCATGTTTCGCACGCCATTGCTACACTTCCCTCTATGTATCCTATCCTACAACGTCGAATCCAAGTGAGATCATCTCGTCAAGACTTTGTTTCTAGGCATGGGTGGGTGTGCATATCTACCTACCCCGTGGGGGGGGGGCGACACCCCACTCTTCATGTCCGCTTCTTCGTCTCGTCCTCCTCCTCGCCCTCCCTCACGATCTCGTCCCGCTGCCACAGCAGCGCCAGCGTCGCGGCCGCGGGGCCGCCGACCAGGCCCCAAAGCGCCGTCGTGCCGAGTGCCCGGCCCCAGCCGACGCGGGATCCGGCCGTGCTGCGGTTGAGGTAGAAGGCCCACAGCAGCAGCGCCGCGCCGCCCGTGTACAGGTCGTACTGCAGAAAGCGCACGACAAGGGGTGAGAGGTCACCGGACCCGTAGGCAGTCGGGTCGATGGACAGCGGCGCCGAGACGGCGAATGCCCGCGCGAAGGCGACCTGCTCGACAACGGGGGCGAGCCGCGGGGGCACCGCCGCCGCGAGCGCGGCGCGCGCGCCCGCGGGGAGGAGCGAGATGGCAAGGAGCGGCGCGTGAGCGGCGGAGGACACCGTCAGCCCGAACTGGTACACACCCGCCGTCGCCGTCAAGAAGCCCTTGCCTAGCGACGTCGGCCTTCCCGAATTGTCCTGCGGGCTTAGGCTCCCGAACAGGAAGTAGCACGCGTTGTGCAGGACGCTGAGGGTTAAGATGGTCCACTAACAACGTAGGATAGGTTAGGCATGTGTTATGTGCTGTGTCCTGCCGAGACGCGTGCTAGATAGAAGAAGAGACCGGGAGCGGACTCACCACTGGGAACGCTTGCCAGAACGCAATCAGGTTATAATGAGTGGCAGCGCTGTGTCCTAGGAGCCTGGGCAGGCTCATCGCGATGGTGGGGGCAATGAACGTCAGGGTGACGGCGAGCGGGATGAGCGCGAGGTCCCAAAGATACACGAAGAGGGCTTTTCGGGCCTCGTCGCCCCTCTCCCTCGCCGCCTCACTCCCATACTGCTTCTTGCCCTGGCCCAACCTCGCGACCGGCGACAGGAACAGGTGGGCGGCGAGCCACAGCGGGACGATCAGCGTCCACGAGAGGATCTGGAACAGGACCCCGAGCGCGGCGATCCACGAGACGACGGCGCGGCCGCGGTTCCCAGCCCGGCGGCCCTCGAGCACCAGCGCCGTCCAACCGGCGGCCAGCTGCGTGGCGGCCCAGGCGTACAGCGCCCAGGCATCCCATCCGGCGCCTGGGTCGTCGATAAGCGACGCGAAGAAGCCGACGAGTAACGAGAGCCGCGCGTCCGCCCCGGCGTATCCGGTGAAGGAGCGCTTGAAAGGGGCCGGCGCGCCGATGCGCGACGCCCAGCCCTCCACGGAAGCGGCGGAGGAGGGGGGAGATGCGTTCTCTCGGAGCACCTTGCCGAGCCCGTTCTGGGCCATCGGTACGATGGAGTTGGAGGCTCCGAAGAAGGCGAGTCCGACGAGAGTCGCCGCGACGGCGATCTTGCCGACGGGGGGCGCCTGTGTACGTTTCACCGCGGCGTTACCATCAGAGTAGGTGAATGGGGAGAGAGGTGGAAAGGAGGCTAGGGAGTTGGTTTCACTTACCATTGGAGCTTGTCTACGAGGTTAGCCAACCGAGCGTCCGCACACATACACGCCCTTACAGCCACACCCAAGCGGCCCGTTCAGTGTCGAAAACGAGTTGAAAACGAGTTGAGTACACAGGTGGCGGTCCTAGGTCAGAGAACAGCACATCGACACCGAGATGGGAGCTTGGGCTAGACGACAAATGTGAAGACAAGAAAAGATTCGACAGAGGGAGAAAAATCAAAATAAAATAGAGCCGGGGCTGCAGATGTTGTATAATTTTTATTTTTATTTTTTACATCCCGGTATGCAGGTTAGTGCACGGTTAGGAATACCTAGGTAGGCTGAGCTAAGCCATCTGACGCTGGGAGGAATCAAACGATAGCTTAACCCGTCGGCGACATGATTAAATCCGGCGCGACGACGGAGGAGCTTCGGTGCCCTTGCCTCGGCTACTATGCAGCAAGCCCCCTGCTAGAGATTGCCGGCCCCCTTGTTTAGGGAGTCGACTTGACAAGGTACATGCCTCCCGCGTAGTACCTCTCGTCTATGCCATCCTTCAAGCAAAAGACATCAGGCACGGCGCTCTGCGAAGAAGGGAACCTTGGTGATGTGGCCCAGCTTGCGAAACGAATATACCTACCTACCCTCTACTATGGGAGGTAGGTACATACGCTTGGGCATGATGTATCAGTGAGGTGGGTGTGCCGATTAAGGCGGGCGTCAGTCTAACCGATGCTATGCGATCGGCGAATCGCCGTCGTAATCGGCTTTGCGCCGGAGGCCGGATTCAGAACATCGAATGTTTCTTCCCTTCTTTCTCTTGTCCCCCGTCTCCTACCACCTATTACGGTAGGAGGGGTATAGGCGGGGAGCCGGACGACGCCATTGACGTGGCCTCGCATGCGACGCCATGAATCCATCGTCTTACATGCTCCATTCCTTCTGACCCCATCGGCGTCTCTATCCGCAGACGAGCCCGCTAGTCGTAGCCGCCGGCTTCCCCATGTTTGCAGTAGTGTCCTTGATGCCCTCTACGCTGCTGCTGCTCTGCCTCTGATCGATCGCATCGACCTCCGTATGGCCATCTGCATGCGCTGCCGCCGCCGCCGCTTCTTCCTGTTTCCTCTTCTCCTTCTTGCTAAGGCTAATGCTCCCGTTCGCCAGAGCCTCCTTCGGTAGTGGCCGTACTATGGGCTGCGCGACCCACCACGGTCGCTTACATTTCTTGACCGTCGCCACCGAGCTCTCGGGGTCGTGGTCCCTGCCGCCCACATCCCCTGTTCCCGCCGATTCCGCGGCCAAGTCGCCCTCCACTTTGGGCTCGGGCTCAGGCGTTTTTATGCTCTCACCCCCGGTCCTCTCGTATTCGATCAGGCCCTGGGCTACTCGCCTCTCTACCATATCCAAGATCTTCTCGATGGTGGGGATATCACCCACATGACATCTAGCAAGAGCGTCGCGGATATCCGTGTGGATCGAGATAAGGTGCCGCATGAGATGGAATAGGTGAGGCCGCATGCCGATGACGTTTGGCGAGGTGCATTTCTCGTTCTTGCCGCCGCCGTCCCTCTTCCGCTTCTTGCGCGCCGGGCCCTCTTCTTCCTGCCCGCCCTCTTTCCCGTCCTCGACAAGCCAGCCCTCATCATCCCCAACCACAAACAACGGCCGTCGCGTCGGCGGCTCGCGTTGGAACGCGTGCCTATGTATAATGTCCATGTAGCGCCTAAACACTGCGTCTATTCGCCAGCCACCCTTGCCGTCTATTCCCCGCCAATATTCCCGGCCCTCTTGTCCCGGCGCCGGCGGTTCGGCAAAGATACCGGGGTCGCTCAGGTTTCCCTCGGCGCTCATGACGGCATCGGCGCCAGTTGCCTCGAGACACATCTCCAGATCACCGTGCTGGAGAACGTTGCCATTCGCAAAGATCACCGTCTCCTTCGGTAGGTTTTCTCTTAGGTATCGTAGGTATTCCCAATCGGCGAGTCCCGTCATATGTCCCTTCTGCTCCCGCCTTCTTCCGTGTACGGTGATGATACTCGCGCCGGCGGCCAGGACGTTTTTCGCATATGCCAGGGTGTCCTCCTTAGTCTCCAGTATCCGGATCTTGGCCGTGACGGGTACGGGAAGATTCTTGTGAAGGGTATTAATCAAGTTGTATATAAGCTCTTGATCCTCCTGGAGAAATGCGCCATAGTGGCCTCGACGGGCAATGCCCTGAGGACAGCCCAGATTCAGGTCGACGGCGTCGCAATAGGGAGCGACTAGCCGCGCCGCACCAAGCAGGTGTTCCGGGTCGTTGGCGCAGAACTGCACGAAAAGAGGTCTGTCCAGGGCAGGATTGCCGTCGAGGAAAGGCACGGATGGTTCTAAGCTCGGAGCGGGACTGGTGGCGCCGGGGTGGGATTCGGGGGGTCTGGTTGCTTCGAAATGCGATTCTCTATATTTCGCCGTCTCCTCATACAACCGGGCGTGTAACATGGGGGTATAGGCTAAGAGTTTGGCGTTCTCGGCAGGGGTGAGGAACGATCGGGTGAGCATACGCCAGGCCTAGTGTTTGAGAAGCATTCGTTAACAACGACCAATCCAATGGAGAGCCATAGCGGCGAGACCCGACCGCGACTGCGTAGAGGCGACGTACGAACTCGGACTGATCAACCATCGGCGCCAGAACGAATTTGGGGCTACCTATGCTCTCGTAGAATGCCCGTCCGTGCAGCTTGGCCCCAGCAAGGCTTCCATTAGCCGTGCTCGGAGCCATTGCGACGCCGCTTCTGGTTGACAGCCCCCAGCCAGAGCTAGGAATCTTCCAGAGCGCCCGGCGAATCCTTGCGACGATATCCAGGTTGGTGAATTTTCAAGTGTGCAGATCTCACACTTTTCCTCCGTAAATGTGGATTGCATGACAGAGTTCGCGACGTGGTATCCGGAATTTCTAGAGGATGCTTATTCGCGGGGGGATGGAGATGGTGAGAGAGGTTCAAGACAATAGTGATCGAGCTGGTAGCAGAGACACACAACACACGCCATAGTCGCAAAAAATATTTGGTGGGGCAGGTAGTCCGAATCTCCGTCTTATGTAACACCTCTTTACGCATAGGTATTCCTTTAGGTACGTAGTGCGAGCACGCATAAGTGCATGCCTAGGTACCTATGGGCAACTGGTGCCAAGGCACAACTACGTAGCGCAGTGTTAGCAGGCGGAATCGAATCTCAAAACGACGAGAACAGTAGAGAAAGGGAAGGATGTAAGGAGATAGACTCTATGTGGATAATCTAAATACCTATTTATAGCGATGCATAATAAACACCGTAGGTACCTACCTAGGTACCTCCCTGCCCTCTTCCCCATCCCCTATAACACCCCTTATCATACGCCCCCCACTAAGATTATCGCGTCCAGAGCTGCAACTAAGAATACGAATCGAACATACGTACAGCTCGGGCACATCCGGTGGCTCGTTAGCAGATAGTAGACGTATATACAGTCATCGCTATCACGTACCTCTCCTAACTCACCACCCCCTTATTTTTTTAACCGGTGCAAGTCTCCCGTTCAGCCCCATCTGACTCTACAGTAGAACATGACAAAGAACGCGTATCCGACACGACAACCTCGTCCCACTCCCCACTTCTCACGGGGACTAACTAAAAGGGCGGAATGGCACCGGTCTGGCCTTAGGTGCCGCGTCTTAGCCGTAACCTCCTTATTTACGTATGGTGTGCCCGCTGCCGCCGCACGCGTCGCTCTGTTGGCTTACTGCGCCTCGCTCGCCTACCCGTCCGCTTCCTCGTATTCTAGGGGTTCAAGTATCGTAGACCACACAGATACTAGGTACCTACCTAGACCTACCTATATATATGTACATATATAGAAAAACGGATACACATGTACAGAGAGAGACGCCCCCCTGGTCCCTCTTGGCGCAAACTCGCCCTTAACCTGTCCCGCCTTTGGTCGATAGCGATAGCTGGCTTCTTCTTCTCTCTCTTTTCCCCCCTCACACAAACAAACACCCTCCGCTCGCGGAATCCTGATACTGACATACTCGGCCGAATTACGTAGGCTTGCTCGGCGGCATTACGAACTTTCTACCGACGCCATGCTAATCACCACTCCGGCTCTTCCTGGGGAGTGGGGTGGGTTTGCCTTCCTATCTCTTCTCGTAACTTGCAATCCCAGTACCAACCGGGGTCCGGAATAAAGGCGACGAGCCGCCGGGTACTACCAAGCGAATTGTAGCAACGTTGATATCTTTTACTCTTAACCCCACCTCTGCAGCTTGAGATGGTGGCTCACATCACTAAGCTGTCGGGAGCGACATACATCAGTACTTCGTTTTCCCCGCGGCGGAATGCGTCATCGTCATCATGTCGAGGTCGTGAACGATTATAACACAATGTATTTTACTCGTTTTTCTCGCTCTCATACTGCAAATGGCTACCCCATCGCCCACCCTGCCGTCCCCTCCCCCTTGGCTTAGGAAAATCGGGTTAGCGTTCCCGCCCTGTAGATACCTGCGTACACGTCTATGATTGCTTCAAAAAAAGAAACCATCTCTTCCCCTGTTTTCCCCTCTGCTTTCTGCTCAGCGGTGTGCACACAAGGCCGAGGTCGGCTTAAGTAGGTGAGATAAGGTCCTCCCGGTACCAACCCAGCGACGGATCGAGAAGCGATCTTTCAGCTCCTCCTCTCCCTCGCAAAGCTGGACTCAGAAGCGGCAATATATTCCTCCTCTCCATCCCGAGGGAAACTATGCTATCCATCCGCCATTACGTAGGATACATGGTACACGCACATGCACACGCACATACACACTTCTGACTGGTTTAAGGCGTGTCCCCTTTGAATTGTTTTGACCGGGTGCATGTATATCACTCCGATGGCGTCCCCGTCCACGAGGTTGTAGCTTGGGAATCATCTCGGGAACATGCTGTGAACAGTTTTCTGACAAGACGCGTCCGGAAGGACTATTAGACCCCCCACTGTTGCCGACAGCTCGAGTATTACACAGCAACATCTTTTTTTTTGCTCGAGAAAAGAAAAACAGCATGATAATGCAAATTCGAAACAACGCCTTGACACCTTACTATGCTGGCCGTACAAAACGCCGTGGAGTCTAGGAATGTCGAATACATGAGCGTAGGTCTTTAAAAGCCTTCGATCGAGGACGAAATGATTCTTGCTGCTGAGACTTCGTCGTATAGCAAGTGTCATCGTTAGAAAAAGTGCGTGTAAATCTTGGACGTCTCGTGAACTTCCATTTCCTACATCATAATATTAGCTATGCCAGCATCCAGGGAAGCTGACTCCTGAGGGACTGCTTCCGATCTAGGCTTACCATCTTGAAACTGTTCAACTCCTCCTTGATTTGCTGGGCAAGCATCGGTGTCAGGCGATTGCACGTGGCGATCTCGCCGCGGCGATCGTACTCTCCGCTCGGCCATGTATCGTAAAACACGATACGCGGGCTAAAGGTAGCAGACCGTTTAGCGCTGACACCTTGAGGCGTCGTCGGCGCGCTCTTGGTGTCTTGACGGAGACGGAGTGCCGTTACGAAGTAGTCCTCGTTGCCGATGCTAACCGTTTCGTTTCGTTTCTGGATCTGGGCTTCATCATTCGGCGTGCTGGGAGCGGTAGAGCTGGGAGAGTTCGAGACGTTGGGGACCGTCGGTAGGTCGAAGATCGGGCCCTTGGCTTCAGCGCCCCGAGCCGGTGGGCTTGGAGAGTTACTGCGAGCTGGCACTCCGTTAGAGTTTAGTTCCGGACCGTAATATGACCTCGGACTTACTCTTCAGAATACCCTTCCGAATAGTCGCGAGCACTTCAGCCCTCTCTCTCTCGCCGCCGACGATGCTTTTCCTTGAGCTCGAATTGTCAGGGCTTGAGTTTCCCTGGCGATCCGACTGCAGGGTCTCGGCCGCGCTGGGGTCCATCGAATTGGTCTCGAGGGGTGCGCCGGTGCCGCCAGCGTGCTGGCCCTGTGAGTCAGTCGTTGCGTTGACCCTTTCACGCTCGGCCTCGACGGTCACCATGGACACGGTGGCTTGCGAGGCCTGGGGGGGCTTCGCGTCCTCCGTCGATGTCCCAATCATCGACTTCGGCCTGAACAATCCCACCAAGGATCTACCGCCTTTCTTCATCCCACGTCCCATTTTACGGAGCATGATCGATGCGGAGGACGCTGTCGACGAGACCGACAAGTTGTCCGTTGACCCCGAGAACAGCTTGGTACCAGAGTAAATACTACTCCCAATCCCACCCTCTTCCTGTTTCTGCGCAATTCGTGCCTGCTCCTCCTCATACAGGTCTTCAGCCTTAGGGCCCTTACGCAACCTTCCAGCGTCATCCTGCGATGCTTTGGCGTTATCCAACGTCGCGTCTTGTCCCGTAACCTTCCGGAGCTCGGCAGCGCTCCCAAAGGAGAAGGCTCGCCGGAGCCGTGAAGTTTTATTCTTCGACTTGGCGCCTTTCTCATTGATGGCGGCCAGGTGCTTGGCTGCAGGACTATCCGTCACCGAACTAGAGGCCGTTGCTGGTGGCTTGGCCGGGGATGGTGCCGCCACGCCGGTCGGCTTTGCCGAATCATCGGCCGAGGACCCGGAAGCCATCGTTGCCGGCCTTGATAAGGGAGACGGATTGATCACACGCTTTCCGTCGGCTGACGAACCCCGAGACGGTACGTTCACCGACTTCGGCTGGTCTTGGGCAGACTTCTTGTCTCCGGAGGTGGACGCCGTGGACCCGGGGCTGGCCGTGGGGGCAGATGCATTAGAATTCCGATTGGTAGACTGTAGAAAAGACAATTCGTTAGCACTCATCACATTAGTGAGGCGGAGCCGTCCTGCCAGCGCCTGATTGGGCAATGTATGGAGAAGGGGGAGAAGGGGGAGAAGGGGGAGAAAGGGGGGGGGGGGGAAGGGTTTTGCGTCTTCTCTAGGATAAGTCCCATTCATGTTTCGACTCAATAGAACTAACTCACCGAGGATGGCCGGGAATTGCTGCTTCCGCTCGAAACTAGACTTTCTGAGCTGCCATTTCTGGCTTGCACTGCGTTCTTCTCCGCGGGGCCAGCAGAGGAAACCGGACCAGGCCGTGTAGTATTCCCCTGGTCCTTATCTAGACCACTTCGTTTCTTCGACGCGGCTAGCGCCTCCACGCGGAATGATTCTTCCGCCCGCTTGAAGTCCTGCGGGGACAGGGATGTGGGGTAATCGGTAGAATTGATAGAGTGTATGCTACGCCGCCGAAATCTCTTGTTAGATTCCTCTTGGGCAGCGTGTCGGTGCAAGTGCATGTCATCCATCGCCATAGATCCGTAAGCGCTGTGCGGTCGATTAGCGAGAACTGCCGCGTTTCGAGGTATTCTGGTTTGCTGGTCCGCCGCGGCCCGGGGATTGTAAAGATGAACGACGGTGGCCATGCCGGATCCGGACGGCATCGCCGAACCCTGTGGTTGGGGTGCTTGCATGACACTTGGTGACGAATCTGTGTATCTCGGAGACGGCCGTCTATACCGCTCGGGTGATGATTTCGCGGCGGCAACCTGCGCAAAGGTCGGCTGGTTTGTCGAAAGATTCAAAGGCGGTAACGGGGGCCGCGTTGTAGACGGAGGCATAATCCGCGAGTCGTCCTGAGAGATCCCCACCGCCATCCCCGATGGGACAATGTTGCTATTATTGTTCGAGGTATTGGGGGGATTTGAAGCGTAGCGAGGGCGAGCAACCGTCGAGTTCGGGTCAGTCATCTGCATTGCGGCCGTAGTCGATGGACGGTAAGTCCCGTACTGTTGCCATTGCCCGCCATTAGCCAGACTAGGCGTCGCTGTAAAGGCATAGGGCTGGACGGGGACGGCCGTGCTGCCTCGATAGACAGCAGAACCACTAGAACCGCCACTCGGGAGGCCGTGATAGCCGCCCCTTTGCGAGTTGGCCATGTACGCTTGGCTAGGCTGGGTCCCTGACGGGGTCGGCATGATTCCTGAAGACGAATTTGGCCTGGTCTGAAGTATTGTTACTGATCCAGCTTGCTGAGGGTATGTTTGGACCAGAGCGGCCATATTCGAAGACATGTAAGGCCCGATAGGTCGGCTCGGAGTACTCGCGAGCGGATCTCGATTTGCTCACTAAGCCTATCAGCTATCGAGGAATGTGAATGTCGGGAGAGAGACCAGGCTTCGTGTTCTAGGTGGAACGAGGGGTCCTGACTACTTCCTGTTAGCCAGCGATGATCCGCGAAGCGGGCTGGGTCGACTAGGAGGTCACGATGTTGGATCCAGCTCCAGTTTGCTTCAGCGGCCCAACCCAGGTACGGTATGTAGGAATGTCAATATCCACCTTGAAAGATCGCCTGTGTCTGACGAGTGGTGAATACGCTCGGCCTCGAAGCGATAACGGTTCCAAGTAGCAGCGAGAAGGAGAAGAAGGGAGGACAGCTATGGGAAAGGTAGGTGGAAGAAGGGCGCCTGCGACCAGGAGAAAAACGAATGATCTCCAGAAGAAGCCCTACTATTACCGTAGGTAACCTCTGCAAGACCTATTGTCGGGTGATCACGACAAGCAGTCTGGTGGAGAATGGCGGGTTCGGACTCGATAAATTTCGGTGTCGCGATTGACACGAAAGGGGGATGAGCGCAACGCTAGAAGAGAGACATGGGAGAAGATGCCACAATGACCCCCCTCGCCGCACTGCCAGCCGAGAAAGAAAACACGGCAAATATTGTGGTTGTGTTTTCTTCTTTTTTTTATATGGTTTTGTAGATTTTAGGAGACGTCCAGGCCACCTCGTCTGATGACGACGGGGACGAGTCGAGAGGGGCACGAGAGGGAAAGAGGGCTCGAAGGGGGGGGCGGGGAGGATGCTGGTGGTTTGTTGTTATGAAAAGGAGATGGGGCAGGAAAGAGACCTTTTGGCGAAAGGGGCGACGTGGGAGGATTACAGCAAATGAAATGGAAGCGTGTTATTTTTCCGGATAACGGTATGTACTGGGCAAGTAAATAGAGAAAGAAAATATGACTAATGGGCAAGAAGAAGGAGAGGGAGATGGGGTGTAAGGGGAGGAAAGAGAGGGTGAGAGAGAATTGATGTTATTCAGAAGTGCATTGGGATGGAAGAGGAAGAGAGACGGGAAGTTTAGGATTCAAGAAATTCCCGGTCTTTTCTGGCAGGCGTGGTGGTGGTGTGGTAGGAGGTAAGGTTGGGTCGAGCTAGGAAGAAACCCGCCGCATGTACCTAACCTAACCTAGCCCGCGTGCATTAGATATGTAACTATTATGCATGTATTGCTGCTGCCCGCCGTGTGCTTTCGCGCGCGCGCTCGTCAGAATCTTGGGTTGAGAGGACTTATTACTCCTGGCTAGCAAATTGCCTAAGGGCAGGTAGGTACATGGCAGTACGCTAGACCTAAGGTACAGTACGTCACATAGGTACCTCCAGCGGAATCCCGTAACTCTGCGTTAGGTACCTGATGTACCTAGTCTACAGACGGACCAGGTCAGGTACCTAGCGTGGCTAGAAGGGAAGGTCAGGTACTTGTTTGCTAGCGTTGCCGCGGGAGATACCCCGGGTGCCTCTGCTAGTAGGCGCTACACAGGTACCTAGGCAGGTACCTACCTAGGCCGCAGAAACCTGGTGGGACCACAACTCAGGCCAGATGGAGACGGCTGCACCAGAACCAGTTCTGTCCGCATAACGACCTTCCGTAGCTGTGGGCCTCAGCAATGCTAACTTAACCTGGGCAGATTGAGTGACTGGCATGCCCACAGCAGCCAACCCTACTAGGTAAGAGTCTGTACAATCCAGGGCGGACGTATAGCCCCTATGATTAAAGCGTACCCCAAGCTAGCCGCAAGCAATTCCACCTCTACAGCCCGTTAAGCGCACGGCGTAAGATACCTCGAGATGCTGAGATTCCTCCTAGATAACATGCCTACGTAGGTATGTACATTCATACGTTCCTTGCAGAGGAGCCGGGATACGGGTGCACAGTGCGAAAGTGCGACGCCTAGGCGAGACATGTATTTTTTAGTGAAGAAAAAAAGATCTCTTACTAGGAGGTGATGAGCATATAAAACAAAAAGAAGGAAGGGAAAAAGCGCAGGACTTGGAGGACATCAGACGCTCCCGGACTACGGTTCCTATCTACCTCTCTCGAGCCTGCCACCCATGCAGGGAGGTGCGTACATACCTATGTATGGAAATATACATATATATTGATAGATATTAAGAACTCGACCAAGAGGCAGATTCCAATATTGATAGAAGATTCGTAGAAGCAAGGAGCCTCCACACAGAGTGTATGTAGGTATGTAAATACGTCCCCTCGTTAAAGTGCCTACATCGACCCTCCCTAGCCTACTATATTCTCTTGCCTCCTTACTGGACACCCCTCGGTCTGTATCAGATGCATCGATAAATCCTCTCCGTTAGCGGCGCCCAGGTTTGAGGTTTTCCCCCTCTAGCTCCGTACGTGAGTCGCATACGGACCGCCGTGACGGACTGGGCTGTGTGGCTCATGCACCGTTAGTCTTTTTTTCTCCCGCTTTCTTGACGCCCGCATCGTGATGTAGTACGATCCGGCATACATAGAGTTATGGGCTGATATATCTAGGTCGGTGACCCAGCTGCATAGGTACTACAGGCTACGAGACCACAGCATATCACCTCCTATACGTACGGCACATTCTGACACCGCCTGACCACCACTTACATATGTGCGTGCGTGCATCGGTTACATCCCTCCATCCTCGCGTTCGGGTTGGACCACTTGCTCACCTCCATGCGTTGTGTAGGGATGTACATACCTACCTACATGCACACACTTGGGTATCGTCGTGGGCGCTTCTCACGCATACCACATTAGGTACCTACCTACCTACGTACCTAGGTAAGGTAGGCACCTCCCGTCATCCAGAGATGCTAGAAGGTGACTACCTGCCTACCTAGGTATATAAGGTATATAAGGAGAGCTCTGTAGGTACCTAAGGTACTACCTAGGTACCCAGGCATATACCTGTGTTATATGTTAGGCAGGTATATGAGACTGAAGCATGCACTTACCTACTTAAGTAGGTATCTAATGCATTGCATGCAATGTAGATTGTCAGTAGGTTAGCAGGTGACAGGGACACGATGCCAGGCGACGAAGAAGCTTGTTGTTATTGTTGCCGTAGCGAGTGCTACAAGTACGTATACATCAGCTACACCTGCCTACGTGTCTCTCCTGCAGGGCCCAGGTACCGAGACATAGCCACAGCCATCCCTTGCGCTGAGATTGCAGGGCTCGCCGACTCTCTACATACATACATACTCAATATATGCATGTGTACACTCTCCTTGCTGCGAAAATCGCATGCGTCTCTGCCAGACCATTGGCCTCCACCCCGGCGGGATTGTTGATGAGGCAGAGAGTTCTACTCTACACGATTGGCTGCTTTGTATGAATGTACGGCTGGGGATTGGCCACGGTCCACGTCGCGTTAGGTAAAGCACAGAAGGCATCGGGGATGACGCTTCACAGTATGACGCGACAGCTTAGGTACCGACGGAGTAGGTACGCATACATACTCATATACTAATACAACACACAGACATGGAGATATACCTGGGAGCAATGGAGACTCCCCGGAAAGAATTCACCGCACACCATCCTACGTCCATGGTCCGATCGCTCTCGTCCTACAAATACTGCTGAAATATATGTGCGTACATAATGCGGGTGGCTATACCGCCGTCCTGGGCCCTGTCGCGATCTTGGGGGGCATGTATAATTGCGAACCGAGTCTCGTTGATCTCTGGACGTCGGTAAGTAAGTGTGTACCTATGTCATACGCCTCCTACAGATAATCCTATCCGGAGGATAATTAGGTATATTTTATATAACGTACCTTGTATATACCCATAAGATGGATCGACTCCCTACCTACCTCCTCTACACGTAGGTGACATGCCTCCTAGAAATCGCTTAACGAGCTGCTAAATGGCTCCTCGAGTGCATCGAGTGCATTGATGCCTACCTACCTAGGTCCCTAGGTAGGTAGGTACCTACGTCCCTCCTATACATATACATACCTGCATACCGAATGTATGTATACACACGCGAAACTCGAATCGATCTGTGTTACAGACGTGCAATGACACCTTGGGTATCTGTAAACACAGAATAAGGTATGGGTTTAAGCGATACTACCTGCCTACCTTAGGAGGCGCCTAGATAACGCCCATCATTTGCCAGCACCTACATAAATACCATATCATTGAACAGTACGTTTGTATGTATATGTCTGCCCAGGTATGTATATAGGCATATATACGAGTATATAGATATATTTATTTATTAATCAGCTAGGGGGGGGGTGTCTTGATGTTAGCAGACTGGATATTATTGTCCGTAGCTTCGAGCCGATTCTCGAGCCCGCCCTCGAACCCACCTTTCGGGATGGGCTTGCACATATACCTTTTATGCGCCTCAGCTGATTCGGCCTCGAAATTTTTTCGATGCCAACCCGCGAGGCAGCGAGGAAGGCGAAGGGATGAGCATCAATTCGGCGGCAGCGGCGTGAAGGTTACGAGTGCGTACTGCACCGGCGCCTACATAAGAGGTGTGCAGGTATGTGCATGTAAGAGAGGTATGCCGTGTCTACCTTAGGTACCATGGAAGCCAGGAGATACCTACCTTAGATTAGACGGTCCAGACACCTGCTCGTGCATTGTACATACCTAGGTACATACCATCATACATACCTCTCATCATACCTCGCACGTAATCGTTAGTTGATCACTCCCTCCTGAAGCAGGCGACACACATCTTGATAGATCGGCAGTAGGAGGAGATAAGCGGTTAGGACAACGCATAAGTACCTGAGGTGCGTGTAGATATATACATCCATAAGTAAAATGAGTAATTAGGTAGGTAGGTACGTGTCTAAGGTCAGGGAATATGAGGTGGCGGGTATCCGATGTACTAAAGCTATCTATCTCCCTTTACTCATACGCTGCCTTTACAGAGGCACCTCAATCCTGAAGGGTTCCAGATCATACACCTGCAAAGCACCGGTAGTTCGTCCTACGTTGCTAACGCTGGCTAGGAGACAAGTAGGTAGGTACTCGCGCCTGTTATGCTGTTGATTTATTCAGGAGTGGCGGAACTGGCGGAGATTTGTTCCCTCTCCAGGACCTCTAATGAAAGGGGACCATCTCGCCAGGCGTCCCCCAGCCCGTCCACTACCATCTCAATTCATACTGCGGATCAGCACAGCCAGCTCCCCCATTCTACCTGCGTGATGAGTAATTGTGCACGCTGTTTTTGTGGGTGCGGGAGAGGGAACACGCCAGGGAACGGAAGAGAGTAGCGCGCACGCCACGACCAGCTCACACCAATATCTACGAATAGAAAGGCGATGGCGCACCAGATAGAGACCGTTGTTGGCAAGAGATCTGGGGGAAGAGAGGCCAGGGTAATGGGGACCCATGGATAAAGAGCCGCTCTTTTATATACCTAGGTACCTCTGTGTGATGGAATCCACAAAAATACATGAGTACTTATAAAATCCAGGAAATCCGACGATACACGCGATGTAGCTCGGCAAGTCCCCGGTCCAGCGACCGCCGGATCTCTATTATTTATGCAGCAAACCGGGCACGAGACTTGCAAATACATCACGATACACGCCTCAGCCAACAGACCTCGGGCGGGCGTGGTATGTCATCTACATCGCTTACATACCTAGGTTACCTACATACATAATACATACATACATATACATATACACATATACATACACGCTGGCACTTTATGGCTTAGGTACCTAGCTATGTGTATGCATAACGTAGGTGCCTCTCATACATATTAACACTCGGTGCAGGAAGCGTCTGCTACTTATTGCTCATCGGTGTACGTGTACCTACGTTAGGTACCTTAGGTACTTGGGGGAGGTGTAGGTACCTAGGTACCTCTTCTCTAGGCGTAGAGCCTTGTCAAGAATGCAGGTACCTTAGGTACCTGTTGCCCACAGCGCGTAGGTCCCACCAACACGCACATCATGAGGATCATCGATCTGACGATCTGAGGAATTTGAAGGAGCAGAGGCCAACGACTTGTTCCGAACGGTGCAACAAGTCAGGCTGGCATGCAGAGACGGGGAGAAAGAGCGTGAAGGAGAGAGAGAGAGAGAGAGAGGGGGGGGGGGGGATTGCGCCAGCAAAGGCGGCAATTAGGGGGTACCGTCTCGACTTTCAATTTGGCCATGGCCGAAGATCCTGGATATCTGTGGAGGGACTACCCCCTTTTCCCCCACGCCATCGCCTCTTTGGTTCCTATTATTGTTGATGTTGCCGGGATACACATTGTACATACACAGTGGCCCTGTCGGCGCTCCGTATTCAGGCTTCCCCCCTTTTTTCCCCCTCCTATCCAGGAGAGATCTGCGAATTCGTGCGAATTTTAGCAACGTGCCTACGTGTAGTTATACAAATTACGATGGCACGAGCCGCTATTGGAGGCTAATTGCGTCCTCCCCTCCCCCCCCCCCTTCGCCGCCATGTGGGATCAAGGACTTACTCGAAAAGGTGAGATGAGTAAAAATCAAGGAAAGTGAAAATAAAAGGAAATATACGTGTAGGGCAAGAAGAATTGAGATGAGATAACATCGAGTGAGAAAAGGTCGACCATCCCGTCCGGTTAACTCTACTGTGCCGCCCTCGCTTGCTTTTGACAAGCCCTCCGCTATCCGGGCAGGGAGAGAACTGGTAATAAAGTGGTCGGCGACACGAATAAGCAACAACAATTGACACCCCCTTACGATAGTACGTGCCATGTCATGCATACGGCATACATGGGCTGCTAGAACGTGCATCGCCTACGCCAGCCGGCAAAAGGGGGAGGTGTTCTTCTCTAAGCTCTCGCGGCCAGAACTCAGATTGAATTCCGAAAAGATCTCCCGGTCTTTCTAGTGACCGTCTTCCTAGCGCTGACGTGGAAGCTCCTGTCTGGAAAGGGAAGACGGTCAGAATGATTGAAAGCGTCACCCCGCATCGCCAGGACGGGGGGGGAGATCAGGGGTCATCTCAAGCTTGGCGATACGAGACAACGGTCGAGCACAGTGCGCACTAATACGTCTACGCATTCATGTTGCACATAAGTATGCAGACGTCTATATACATAGACGTCTGCCTACATAAGCAGGTATGCATCTACACCATTCAATCAACATCAATATCTTGAAACGCAGGCGTGGTTCTTGGATATTGGACTGGGGAGACTCGAGAATGGAGAGAAACGAAGAGAACTTGCGAAGTGAACTCGCGCGCCCCTGGAAGAAGCGTGTTTACCGATAGCCCCAGTCTACTTATAGATATGCAACCTGCGAGACTCACAGAAACCTGTTTTGTCCAGATCCCAATAAATATCTGCCAGCAAAGCTGTCGCGGTCGACGATGAGACCGAATCGTTTTTGAGCAATTGCGGATGAGCGGGTCACTCGGGCGAGTCTCGACGGCGAAACAGCTTGTCACCGAATCACCCGCTCTCCCCCTTGCCCGAAAAAGAGTTATCGTCGTCGCCCCAGGTGTTGGAACCGGCTTGCACAACACCTTCTTCTGTTTGGATCGACAAGTTAGCCAGCCAGCAAACAGCCCCGGGCTGCGCTTTGCAGAAACCGACATCTCAACCAAACGAACTTGGAAATCGGTCTTGGTATCATCTCAGGATGACCATTGGCGTCCGCCTGCGTCTGCATCACGGGAAGTCGCATGCCCGGCGCCCTACAGCATGGAGCTATAAATGAATCTGAAATTTCACATCCTAGGCCCCGGCCGCCTTTAGACCACACGCCCCGTCGATTTCACGAGTCGCATTCTCGGCGTCCCTATCGGAAAGTGCCATACCAACCACGGCTTGTGCCGGTCGAGCGCGCTGAGACAGCGGTGGACACAGGGCCGATGCGGCCTGGGACATGTTTCCTAGGCCCATGACACCGAGCCACGCATTCGTCATCCCTTGAGACACGTCTTAGATGTACTAGAGCCCCAGGAAGCTCTCAGGTTTCACGACAATACGGGCGAGATTCCTGCCCATCGTGTACGGCTCTATGTAGGCTCTTTCTTCTACCGGACGGGCTGATATACATTTACATGAGCAGCACATCTTTTCTCTACTGCCCCTCCTTCCCTCCTCCTCCCCCCCCCCCCCTCTCGGCGGAAGCAAGGTAGCTCGCGAGCATCGAGCCAGGTTGCCCCGGGCAGCAGGAGCACCAAGCATACATTCCCAGGCCGGCACCTAGCTAATCAGTTGGCGAGCAAGTCATTTCGCCGAGACCACTATGGGATTAGTCTAGACCTCGACTACGAAACAGCACCTTCGCCCTCGAGGTTCGGGATCGTGTGCTCGCGTGACAAGTGGCTTGCTTACTTGCTTGCTTACACCCTCTTGCATGCCTGTTCGATACTTGGTCTTCCTGTGTTATTAGGCGTTAGTAACGTCGAAGAGAAAAGGGGGAGCATGGAGGGAGGAGGGAGTGGAAGTATGTAGATAGATTTCATATACGCAGTCCGTTTCCTAACTCGGCCCGCGCTTGCCCTCTAGATAGAAGGAAATAGAAAACATAAATCTCCAGGCCTGGAGCCACTGTATCCTAGCCATTCAAAACTTTCAGACCAAAGGCTAAAGGCAGAGACAGTCGTTCTAGGCGAGGCCTACGCAAGTAAGGTAGCTGTCCCCCTGCTTGTGCTACGGACGGGCCCTGGAGGCCAGCAACCCGGACCTTAGGGGAAGAAAGAAAGAAGGGGGGGGGGGGGGGGGAGAGAAACAAAGCCGCCCCGGGTGGCTGACCGTGGATGTGATCCGTCTGGATGCACCGCATGCGCGCTGCATGCGATTTATCCGACACAAGCTCGTCTCTCCTGACCCGAGGAACACACATGCCTGCATTGACGCATACTACGTAGACGTGGGTACACGTAAAGATTTAAGGGGAAGGCTTGTGTCGAGGCGTTATCCCCGCCTCTCGCGGCGTGGCCTCCCCCCTGAATCTGTCTACGTATACATGCGCCCTCGTCGTTCTAGGCCCTTCACTTCTCGCCCGTTTCGCGCGGATCTGCAGCTCCGGTATACGCGGCCGGGGCTGCTCGACTCCTGCCGATCTCGAGACCGGCGTTCAGCCTGCTTACCTTAGGCCGCCGATATTCCCCGGATTCCCACGATTCCCCCGAGTTTCGTTCTAGTAGGCCTGGAGGCACACACATACGCAGACACAGACACACTTACTTACTCACTTACTCACGTATACATACACACATACATACATATATGTATGTATATATACCTTAGAGAGAGAAGGGGGGGAAGGGGTGGGAGGGAGGAAGTGAGGGAGTGAGTTGACTTTGCCCATGCCGGGACTCTCCCGCTCGCACATGTGCGCCGTGCTCTGCGGCGCCGTGCGTCGCTGCTTGAAGTCTTATCTACCCGCCTGCCCGCCTAAATCATCATCTGTCTCCCTTCTTGCCTGCTTGCGGCCCCCAGGGTGCCGGAACCTTGCGGCTCGTGACATCAGCATTAAGGATACGCACACACTATTAGTAGGCTACATACCTGCCTACCTACCTACCCCCCCTAGACCAACTCCTGCGCCAGAGGCAGGCGTGTAAGGCGGCAAGTCAGATATTAAAGGCGACGCACGCTGCGCTGCGCTGCTCGCGGGGGCGCGCACACGCATCCACGCACTCGTCCATCCACTTACCGTCCGCCCAAGGGAGGTCTCGGCGCCCCCTCCCCCCATCTCCGGGTCCAATCCAACGTTACCGAAAAAAAACAACGACCAACGCGTGCAGGCGGGCGGCGTATCAAGTAGGGACATGTACTTCGGAGATAAATAAATGCATTTCATGCGGTGCTACCGCTACCTACCTCGTTGCTCCTGTGGGGTGGAAGGGGGGGGGGCGAAAGGGAGAGCCGTACGCCATGTCAGAACCCCTGAGGCGTCTTTGGTTGCGCGGCGAAGAAGAGGGAACTAAAATCGCCGACACATGTGTCTGCATATAGATCCCTACCTACCTGTTCCCTCTCAGTTGTAATCCGGGAACATATCTAGGTAGGTGGGTGCGTGATAGTTCTTGATCGCCGATGGTGGCGTGTGACGCCGTACTCGTCGGCGATACCGCGTGCGCATGTGAGGATGTAGGTGCCTAAGGCGGAGAGTCCCCGACGATAATACATAGCACTCTCACTCGCATCTAGACCCGTATACCTAGCTGCCCGCCTGTCTGCTTAATGGCTCACGATGTAGCCAGCCGATTGATGCCTAGTCAGCTGTCCACCTGCCCTGAGCACGCTGTGGCAGGCTGGGCACCGAGGCTTGTGGCACCGTGTCTAATTCTGTTGCCAGGCACCCGGCCGAGCGGTGATCGCCGAGTCGCCTTCGACGCACGCGAGAAGAGAAGAAGAGAAGCAATGCGGGCAATCAGCGGCTGTATCGTCCCGTAGCCACCCCACGCGTCCGCCCCGACTGGTAACCGGTGGCGGAGAGAGGCAACTAACTGCGCTGTTGCGCTTCTTCGGGAAGGGGGCATCTGCGCCTACCCGTGGCGGCCTCTAGGTCTGGAACCTGCTAGCCTTGGGGAGCGAGTGATGGAGTAGAACGCCGGAAAATTGTCTGTTTGCCGGAACTATGGTCAAGGGCCAGGCCCCCCAACTCTAAAGTTCGGCGTCGGTTCGAGCTATGGGTGCTGCTCTGTCTGCAGCTCTCTGGCTCACCCACGCACTTGTCCCGGCGTTTCGGAAGGCGTTTGGAGCTGGGAAGGGCTATACGGGCTGGAGGCTGGTGGTAGGTTCATCTGATGCCCGTCTCGGCCGAAGTGATCTCTATCTGAGGTGATACGGGGGCGCTATACGCGTGAGCGGAACTATCTGCTTTAAAAGGCACGCTTCGTGTGAAAATAGAGGGGAGGGAAAGGGGTGGGATGGGATAAGACGGTGTGTGGCCCGTTCCCGGTAGACGTGTCAGGAATTGGCTCTATTTGGACCCCTATGGGCCATATCTACCCATGCCAGTCTTTTGCTCGGCCCTAGTCGGCGAGAAGTCATCGGACTGAGAATTCACAATGGGCGTTTACATGCCTATCTACTACTAGCATGCCTGCCCACAGCCCTCGCTTACCCCCCTTTCCTTTCGCCCAGACCGACCATCTCAACGTCCCATCCGCCATCATGCGGGCCCGATAGCCCAAGCACATCGCCGTACCCGCCTCTCCGTCCGCGCGCCCGCGCGCCCACCCACCCACTTACGTCCACAACTGCCCTCCTCCCGCCTGCGCACTCGACTATCAACCCGAATCCTTCCCAGCAAAGCACCGCCGCTCGGGGGGAGCACCGCCGGCCCCGTGATCCCCAGCTTCCTCCTTAGCCCCTAGCGAGGTGGGGCCCGCCGCCCGCCTTTGGTTGGGCGCGAGACGGCCGTCGTCGAGCTCGCAAGGCTCTCTAGTGCGGCTGAGTTATTGCTGCTGCTGCCTACAACGTACTCCGCCCCCTTCTGCCCCTCTACCGCGGAGAGATCCAGGTGGTCACCAGATCGGGTACCTGACTTGGCGCACGTCAGGCTGCCAGGGCGCTCTGGGCAGTGGCGAAGCGTCACGACGTCGCGACGTCGGACGTTGGGCGTCGGGCGCGCGGGCGGCGGAGTCGGTTAAACGGCTGGCTTGGCTACTGTGGGGAGTTGGGGGCGTGGAACGGGTCGGAGTAGGTAGTTATGCTATTTCTCTCTGTGAAACGAGCGGGCGTTGGGAATAGTTACTTTCCTGACTCGAGCGGGACGAGCGTGGTTGGCTGTTCTAGGGTGTGTCTGTTTGTGCCGGTTGGAGCGGATTGGATTGAGTTGGCTGTGTGAGTCTTTTCAGCGGATTATTTGTTCGCTCTATCCTACGAGTCTTCTTCATTCTGGTAGAGGCTCCCAACATCGACAGCGAGGCAGGCAGACAACTTGGAGCTAGAGAGGTTTACGAAATAGCAGCAGTAGCAGACTGTTTCTTGGATAATTATGACACGAGGCTCCACGTTCAAGAGGAGCAGTAGCCTTGATAATTTCATTTCATTTTAAAATTCGTCTCCTATTCGTATCTCGTGGCTCGTCGAAATTAGACCATTACATGGTAGAGTTCAAGGTTATTAACATCTATCCTCCGAGCGCAACGCAATCCGCGTGCGCCCGACACCGTCACTGTCGAAACCAATTAAATTAACTTCATCCTCGGACAAGAACGGCAAAGTCCGTCGTAGCTAGATAGGGAGGGAAGGGAGCGATGGGCATCAGCAGGTGTCTCTCCGGGATGATCGCTCCGGGGCCGAGGAGCGCTGGCAGCGTCAGTCCTTCTTGAAGGACCTGACGAGGTCGCTCCAGCCCTTAAACAGGTACTGGTCGGAGTGCCGACCGCAGTGCGTGTAGACGTTCACTGTCGGCGAGTACGGCTTCGGGGCCGGGTCGGAAGCCTTTCGGCTCGTGGCCTGGCTGCTCGAGGCCGTGTGGGAGTTATCGAATCCATTGCTGCCAGTAGCCGACGGACTTTCCTGTGAGTTGTTAGCCTCGGCCGGTAACCACAGATGGGGGCATCCGTGGCAATCGGTGCTACTAACCTTGCCCTTCTCCGAATAGTAGGAGTCAAAGCTATCCTTGCGGGTGTAAGAGCCGTCGCTAGAGGCCCGAGAGCCCATGAGGATGAGCGGGGTGGGTGATTCGCTTCGAGGCGGCATGGCAAGTCGAGGTCTGAATGTGTGAACTCGACTGGTAGATAAATTTGGTGGCGGCTATGTTCCTTTTATGGCCAAGTGTGATGAGTGGTAGGAAGAGATGGGACCTAGAACGTCAGACCTCTTCGTTGTCTCGACGATGTTTAGGACTTCCAATTAAGACGTATGGAATTTCCCGTCTGCTACTAAGCTTCAAGCTTTTCGGGCAGCGGACTGGACTGCCGGGTCGAGAGAAAATATCGAATGAGTGCCCCCCAGGGTTGCTGGTCTCGCACGCCTGGTGCAGTGAGATAGGTGGTGTGGATGGTGACGGTTGGAAAAGAGACGGCGCTCTAGTGAGAGAGATGGATGTAGGAAGACGAGCAACCTTGTTGCCTGGGGATGATGGTCTTATATACATGCCTCGATCTCTCGACGAGAGAGCTTGGCGGCCCAAGTGACTGGACCCAACCTAGCCAGACCCGACACCGATTACCCAGAGTTGTAGTAGCACGCGTACATGCATAGAGGCGTGCGAGAGGACTCGGCGAAACCAGGGTCTCTAGTCGGACGGGATCGCGAGAAAGCAGTGGGCGCATTGTGTTATCTGGCCAGCAGCCAATGGCATGCGCACATGGGAAGGCAACGATGCAGGGTGCTGGGGGAGAGACGGCGTGTGACTGAGTGGTAGAGACGGCGCTGTTAGTCACCCCACGAAGCCGACTTGCTGCTGCTGGTGGGACCTCCCTGGTTCAGCCCTATTACCTATGTGTATATCGGCGTTGCGGTGCCGGCCGTGATAGCCGGTGATGCGCAGCCAAGCCAAGGCAATCATGTATCATGATTAATTAGGTCGGGGCCGGGTTTCCTGGTCGTTATAGGCCCAAAATTGGGCACTTAATTTAAATACCCTCCGACTCAGCTGCCTGAGCGAATTCACATGGCTAGAATCCTGCGCTTTGCCGATTTCCCGTCTCGACTCACGGTAGAATCGCATGGGCAGCCGTTATCCTTATCTTCGTTCCTCCACCTGTCGCGAGCCGAGGTCGCTCAGCGAGCCGAACCTCCTTTACGGGAACGCAATCCCTCCGCGACAACCCAAAATTCCTTACATTGGTGAAATCGACTTGTTGCTTCTGCTGCCGCTTCCGAGCTGAGCCGGGAGGAGGGGGAAACGGCGTGAGACGACCGCTCTCGAGAGCTTCGGGAGCCCCTGCCTGCTGGCACGGCCAATGCATCCCTCCATGCTGCCGGTGCAGGTTGAAACTCGACGTCTCCCGAGTCTGGGCGGATGACATCAATTTCTGTCTAGGGGGGTCGCGGGTCGCGAACCACGACTCGCCGAGGTACGAGAGAAAAGGCGCCTGGGACACGGGGATTGGAGCGCGGGGAAGAGTGGGGTGGGAGAGGTAGTACTGGCAAGCCTCTGGAATTTCCCTTTGCTGCCTGACGCCATAAGCATTGCCCAGCCCAATCTTGGGCGGATGCGGCGCCGGGATGACTAGCCAGATGACTGATTGAGTGACTAACCGACCAACTGATCGCCGGCACTGGCCTAACACGCATATGCCGTGTTTCCTGATAGGCATCCACGACCCGCCGTCGCGAAAATGGCGGTGATGCTTCATCGACTATAGACAAGGGGGCATTGTCGTGCGGAGTGCGCGCGCAAGCTCTCGATTTGTTCGACGTGCTTCGTACCGGTCGTGTTCTTGCCTCTGCCGACTGTTTGAGGCTTCGCTTGCAACGCCTGTCGCGGCTTCAGTGTTGCAGGTTGTAAGTTGGTATGTTGGAAGAATGTTCTGGCTTGAGCAGGGGGTGAGGGCGGGCGAGCTCGAGTGGGTAGATGGGGATGGAAGCGTGGAAGGGGAACACGTGCGGGAGGGCATCGTCGAGGGCCTCCCTCGACTTCTTGTTTTGCTATGCCTTCTATACAGGTACACCTACTTGTTCTCACTATAAAACATAGGTACCTACGCCTAGAGGTAGGTATGTTATAGAGGTAGAGGGAGGTAATACAGGTCTAGAGGAGGGGCCTCCTGGTGAGGAGGCAGACACTGAAGGAGATGTGCATGCGCAGCAAAATACATGCGCCTGTGCTATCTATGATTAGGTACCTACATCCTGAGGCACCGAATGTAGGTGCTTGCCAACCGAACCTGATGGATGACTCCCAAGTCTTTGGATTGCAGGTTACATACAGGTACGCAAGGAGGCACGTAGCCTGCATAGGTACCTAGGTACCTGGTATATTGGCAAATCCAGTATCTGTTGTCTTTACCTTGGGAGAATATGTCAAGGAAATGTAGGAGGTAGGTAAGGAGGTAGGTTAGGTGGTATTGGAACATGGACCATCTCGTGGTCAGGTGCTTCCTGTCTGGGGCGCTCGGACCACCACGAGGCAAAGGGGATGGCCCCATCCATTTCGCGCCCGGCGTCGGCAGGACGGGGCTTGGAAAAAAAAAAGGGGGAGGGGACACGTTGACAACCTGGGCTGGGCGACGTCCAGCTACAGCTACACGTCCAGATGTACCCACCACAGCACCTCGCGGCCCCGACCCCTTCGGGCGGCTCATAGGGCTGACCTTGACTTTTGAGCCGCATCGTAGCGCCGTCGATATGATGTAAATCTGGAGGTGTCCCTTGACGATAGAGAAAATCGAAGACGGCCGACTTTGCGATTTGCATTTTGCCATATGCCCATCCCCTATCAGCCGTCGAGGCCCCGAAAAATAGTCAATTAGGTGCCGCCCGGGCAGGCGACCTACAAAAAAGCCCGAGATGGCGCGTGGGAGCAGCGGGACGGCAGGAATTCCGCATGTTCGAGGTGGTTGAGGTTCGATGTTGAGAGAATGGGAAGCAAAGGACGATGGATTGTCGGGCTGTCGGGGTTGGAGTTGTTATGGCGGATTTTGGTATGACACGCCAGGGACGACCGGGTCAAAAACCCCACAGCGCGGTTTTATTGGCTACGGTGCCTCTAAAACAATGGGTCCGTCACGGTTTTGCGGCTGCCGTTGCTTTCTGGTCTGTGCGCGTGTCCTGCGCTTTCCTTTGTCTGGCGTTTTTTTTTTTTTTTCGCCTGCCGCCCCTGCGCAGCGGAAAAGACGCGCGACGAGTTCACTAAACCTGTCTGGCTTCCCAACTACCAACTTCCTTTCCACAGGCCAAAACTACGTACCTACACTAAACCCCGTTACCTTACTAACCAAAGGCCTCTCTCCCCCCCAAGCTCTTCCTCTCTCCCTCTCTTTGTTTCTCTCTCGCTTTTGCGATTCTACCTCATTCTTTTTTTTCTCACCTTCGCCATCCTGCATCTTTGTCTCCCTCGGACGCCATCTCCATTCTACCTAACCGAATCAATATCAATCAATTTCGCGTCTGTTGTTCGTCGTGCGACACGCTCCTATCCCTCACCCATTTACATCATAGGCCAATCTTTTTGCGGACGCTGCCCGCGACGACCGTGTCCGAAATTTCCTAAGCCGTCGCGCATCCGAGTTTCTGTCCGGCATTCTCCCAAACCCATCCTATCCATCGGCCAATCTCCTCTCTACATGTCCTATTCCCCTGCTCTGCCTCTCGAGTTGTCGCGCCCATCTGCCAAGTCCATATCTTCGTCCTAGCCTGCAGCAACGCTTCGAGTCCGCTGTCCCAGCCTTCAGCTATCTTTCAGCTCAGTTCCCTCAGCTGGACGCAATAGGGTCGATCTTCCGATAACCACGGGGACACCGGCAACGGCCACGGTCTCGGGGGCCATCTTCTGGCTCCGGTGCCATATGCCTTGGTTTATACTTGTACGGCCTGCCGTTGTCGTTTCAAGCGTCGAGGATAACGGACGATCTTGTCGTGGCTGTCTCCGTTAGTATCCCGAGGCAGCTCCTAGGTACGCTGTGCCTTGGCGGGCCTTCTCTGGCAGTGCCCGCTGCACATCTAGCCGCTTCTGAGAATGCTGACGGACCTTCGTTGATTGTAGTTTCCCCTCCTGCTGTCCCAGGGGGATTGCTGGGTACGGCTGCTCGGTCGTACGTTGGTTATGAATTGGCTGAGTCGCGTTGAATTACCCGACTTGCGACCGAGACTCTGATACCCTTCGTCCGAGGACGTTTGGCTTTTCCGTCTTCCTCTGACCTGCCTTACCGGTGTCTTGTGTCGAGCTGCAGCTATTGCGGTTATGCCATACTGATATAGCATCTGTACGACGGAATCGTTGTGCTGCACTAGCTTAACACCAACTTTTTCTTTTGGTACGCGAATTCCGATCCATAATTGCCGCCTTCTACACGCCGTTCTTTATCTCCCGTTTGTTTGCTCCCTCCCTTCGAACCAGTTAGCAGATCTGGTGTAAACTGGAGAGAGGGACTCGCGCTGATGCTTGCTATTCTTAGTCCACGCCTTCCTAAACTAGGAACTCGCCTCGAAGATGGCTGGCAAAAGGAAGCGGGATATCCTCGATTTTGATCCTAATAAGTCCGATTCCAACGACGAGAATTTTGAGCCAGAGATCGACCGTCCTCGCTCGCGGAAGAAGTCGCGCCCGCACGGCGTTAACAAATCTAGTTCTCGCAGAAAAGGTCGCTACAGAGGGTCTGATATCGAAGACGACGATATCGACGACAGTGGACACGAGAATTCATTCGACGAGGACGACGAAGAGGAGGAGGAGCCCGAGCCTCTGATCAACGAAAATACCGGTCGGCGCGTGAGGAAGGCTGCATCAAAGCAGCACAACTACAAAGAGAGTTCCGAGGACGAGGTTGAGGACCTCGTCCAAGACTCGGATGACGACAAGGACGACCTTGTAAAGAACTCGCCGAAGAAGTCATCGCCCCGCCAACGGAAGTTAATCACTCTCCGGGTTCCTGCGTCTGCGCGAAAAACACGCGCCGCTACTAATACAAACGCTCCGGTTGGCACTAGAAGGATCACACGAGCACGAACAGTTGACGAGGACGATGTCGAACTGTTGGAATTAACAAATTCCGGGAGGCACGCGCGACCCACTCGAGCTTCTAAGAGTAAGAGCCCGGAGACCTTGGGTCGAAGTGGTAGACCAACTCGTAGCGCCAAAGGCGTGAAGAAGACGATATCGCCTGTTATGGAGGTGGACACTCAGGAGGAAGAGAGCATCCCCCAGGCCGAGGATGTGAAAGACCCCATTATTCAAGACGACGACGCACTGGACGCGAATGGGGTTGACCAAGCTGCGGATGACGATGCCGCTGAAGATCAGGGTCAAGAACATGAAGAGCCTATGGAAACAGTCGAGGCCAACGAAGATGCCGATGCTGATGACGATGACGATGTTCCAATCACACGCCGCACCCGTGGCGCCAGGGCTAACCAACCTACGGCCCCAGCTGAGGATGTTCCCGCCGACGATGCTGACAACGTTCCTCTAACTCGGGGCCGTTTGACCAGGAAATCTCGGCTAAAGAAATCGATGCAGGAGCCCAGTAGTGACTTTGAGCCGGGCAATGAGTCAGGAGAAGAGAACATGTCAGATTCTGAGGCTAATCCGGCCGAAGCCGCTGGTGACGACGGCGAGAACTCTAGTCCGAGTGCTCGTGGCCGGGGCTTCTCTAGGAGCAAGGGGGGGAAGCCCGCGAAGAGATCACGGCGACGGGCAGAGTCAGGGGAAGAGGATGAGGTTGACGAGAACGAAGTCGCCGAAGAACTCGAAGATCTTAGAGAAGATTCTCGTTCGCGGAGACGGCGTCGATCACCCCAAATTCTCTTTGAGGGAAAGAGACAGGAGACGAGACGACGCAGAGCCGGTCCGGTCAACTATGTCATCCCGGCGCTCAATCAGGTCCCCATCGAGCCGGAAGAGGATGAGGAGACGGGTCCGACACCGGCCCGCCGTCGCGGGCGTGCGAACGGAGGCGCTACTTGGGACCATAGTCTACATACTAGTGCCGGCCCCTTTGGTGGCGTAGGATTGACCGGTGCCCTCCTTGGTGGTCCTTGGGGTACTGGTGCTGCTGGCGGTGCCGATTCTGACAGTAGTGACAACGAAATGGATTCTCGATCAGGAGTAGCCGGCAATGTGGGCATGACACCTACCTCCGCGGCCCCTCAACTCGCGCCCTTCGGCCAACATCCAAACGTGGAGGGTTTGGGCGGGCATGTCGCGCCTACGCCGAATGTTGGGAAGATTAAGAGCCATAAAGCACTCGCCGATGCGGACCCGCTAGGAGTGGATCTCAATGTTGACTTCAGTCAGGTTGGAGGTTTGCAAGGCCACATCGATCAGCTTAAGGAGATGGTCCAGCTACCTCTGCTTTATCCGGAACTGTTCATGAAATTCCATGTTACTCCACCGAGGGGTGTCTTATTCCACGGCCCTCCGGGAACTGGAAAGACACTCCTAGCTAGGGCCCTCGCCAACTCTGTCGGTATCGGCGGCCGAAAGATCACATTCTACATGCGCAAAGGTGCCGACGCCCTCAGCAAGTGGGTTGGTGAAGCCGAGAAGCAACTCCGCCTCCTCTTTGAAGAGGCTAGAAGGACACAGCCAAGCATTATCTTTTTCGACGAGATTGATGGTCTTGCCCCTGTCCGGTCTAGCAAGCAGGAGCAAATCCACGCATCAATTGTCTCTACCCTCTTGGCTCTGATGGACGGCATGGATGGCCGTGGACAAGTCATCGTGATCGGTGCTACCAATCGGCCGGATAGTGTGGACCCTGCCCTCCGTCGACCGGGGCGATTCGATCGAGAATTCTACTTCCCTCTGCCTGATGTCGACGCCCGGAAATCTATTATCGATATCCACACACAAGGATGGGGGCTTTCGGACGAGTTCAAGACATCTCTAGCTAGAGATGCGAAGGGCTACGGGGGTGCTGACCTGCGGGCCATGTGCACTGAGGCCGCCCTCAACGCTATCCAGAGGACATACCCGCAAATATACTCTTCCAAGGAAAAGCTTGTCGTCAACCCGGATAAAATTACCGTGCACATGACCGACTTTATTCTCTCCAAGAACAAGATCATCCCCTCTTCGGAGAGGTCTGCCACGTCTGGTGCTTCTCCCCTACCGAAACCTATCGAGCCACTTCTCCGAGATCAGTTCAAGGCCGTCACTGCGGTGCTAGACGGCGTCCTACCCCGTAAGAAGAAGGTAACGGCTCTTGACGAGGCGATGTTCGAACCTTACGACGACGACGACTTTGGGTTTGGCCGAGAAGCCTTGCATCAGGAGTTTCAACGATTTCGTGTTTATCGGCCGCGCCTTTTGGTATGCGGTTCGCCGGGAATGGGGCAAGTTTACGTTAGCGCCGCCATGCTCCATTATTTGGAAGGTGTTCATGTACAAAACTTCGATCTAGCGACTCTGCTCGGAGATCCTCTCGTAAGTACTACCGTGGTCTATTGACTGGTTCCACACGTGGTACCCGCTGACTTCTCGACAGCCCGTTGAACAGGTGTTGTTCCAGTTTTTCGCCGAAGCAAGGCGCCAGAAGCCGAGCATCATCTTCATCCCAAATGTTGACGTCTGGTACTCAACCCTAGCTGGACCAGCACTAACAGCATTTTTATCTATGCTGAGAACGATACCACCCACTGACCCCATCATGGTCGTGGGGACGGCGGAGGTTAAGCTGAAAGATATCGACCCCGATCTCAAGCGCGATATCTTTGGGTTATCAAACTCCAATTCTGTAGAAATTGCTCGCCCGGTGCAGGTAGGTCTCGTCGGCGCCAGGGCAACAAGACGTAAAGCTAACAGCCAATCCGCAGGAAAATCGGCAGGAATACTTCAGCAGGATTATTTCACATATCAGAAGATTTCCGAAGGATTTCCCCGATCCTGCCAATCGGAAGAAGAGGGTTCTGGAGGAGCTTTCTGTCGCCCCCCCGCCTCCACCGAAGAAACTTACGAGGGAGGAGGCCAAGTTGGAGTGGTTGCGATATCGTCAGCTTCTTAACCTTCTGAAAGTACACCTGCAGCCTATCATGGACCAGATCAAACGCAAGTACAAGACATTCCGCTCTCCCCTGATAGCGCAGACCCAGTATCAGTACCTCTTTGACGAGGCGGATCCGAACCACGTTAGGCCCGACGTGGCTGACGCTTTACCGCGCCCTTATATAATTTCTAAGGACAGGGAGGGATATCCGGGCCTTCTGGAGACATCGACGAATAAGTTCTATTACAACCTTGACATTCAGACAATAGAGGAGAGGCTGGCGAATGGCTACTACACCAAACCTCTGGCGTTCTTGAAAGACATTGAGTGCATCGAGCATGACGCCAAGAATTCGGGCGACAAAGCACTTCGCCTCAAGGCCAACGAGCTCTACACTAACGTGGAGGTCGACGTCAATGATGTTGACCAGAAGTTCAGAGCTATGGGGGTTAACTGGGAGGACATGTTCAGCAAGGAGCAAGCGCGGAGAAACGCGCGCAGGGAGAGACATCGGAAGCGGATGGCGATACAATCTGCTGCCGACCAGGCGCAGGCTGGTGTCGGCAATGGGCGAAGCCCTCCACTCGGTCGCCCTGCGAGGTTGCAAAAGCTGCATACAACAATGGCCCACTTCCAACTCATTGGCGATGAAGCAAATGGAGACAAGGACGACTCGCTGCTGCATCCCACTGTCAACGGGACGTCCGTGCCATCTCGGGACGACGGTGACGATGTCACCATGACTGACATTGAAGGCCAGACCCTGGAGGGTCCGAACACTTCCATGCAGCCGCCATCACAATGGCCCCGGATGGATATTCGATCTATCCATACTTCGGTGCATGTGACGACGGGGGGGACGAACCAGATGTCTCAGGTTTCCGCTGTCCAGTCTCTGCCTGCAGGAGTATCGCCGTCCGCACTGATCAACGACGCATCAACCACCAAGACGTCGGATCCGTCCAACCGGTCTTCTAATTTTAGCACACAGGCTACCAACGGCATCCATAACGAGCATTCCAGTCTACTTGAAAATATCCCCGACACCCAACCAGTCCCTGGCACAAGCCATGCGTCTAGCGAAGATCAGTGGCTCCGTTCTGAAGTTTTGCGGGGGCACACCCAGCAGTCCGGGTCGTCCCAGGGGTCGCGCGCTCAGGCGTCACCAGCTGGTGCTCGATTCTCCCACGCTCCTAGCATGGCGAACTTGCTTAACGACCCTTCTCCAGATGAGCAATCGCAGTCTCAGCGCCCACCTGGATCATCTGCTTCACAGCAAGTCGAGCTAGATGAGACCCAAGGTCAGTTCTTCCTGGAGGAACTGACAAAACGTACCTCGGGTTGCACTATCGAACAGTTGCAACAGATCTATCGCGAAATGATGGTAGAGCTCTGGAAAACAAGGGGGGAGCACAATCGTATGAAGGTGCTCAATTCGGTCACGCGCGTGTTTAATGAGGCCATCAATGATATTGAGTCGATGCAAGGGTTCCTGGCACCAAGCCAAACAGTGGGTTAGAATAGTTAATATCGAACCGTAGTCGTTGACACACAGAGTGCGTGAGGGAACGTCGCTTTATGGATATACGAGCTGTTGGTCCCGGTATAGTTATAGATCAGTTAGAGGCGGTAGGCCCGAAAGACGCAAAGTATTCAGCGGGCTCATGACGGGTGGTCATTTGCACGACATTGTTTAAGGAATGGCGGTCGCCTACGAAGAAATTGGCTTCGCGCCTATTATGGGTGGGCTGGTATGGCATACTCGTGATAATACCAGATGCACTTATGTTTTCTAACATACAACATACTCCTACCGGAGACAGAACTAGTAACGTCAACCCCAAACCGATGTATTTGTACGGAATAATGCGAGTAGCAGATACTAATCATAGGGCGGCTTGAGAGCTGGTAGTGCTCTGGAATACAGTTTTTTTCCGTTTCGCCTCGCCGCGCCGTAGGAGAGCTTCCCAGGGCGACTTCATCCAGAACTTTAAGAGGTTTCCAACTTATGTGTCGTCTATCTCTAGCAATTGGATTCTAATTTACGCGCGTCCATCCCTCTCCCGTCCCCCCGCCGTATTCCGTGGAATAATAGGCTAAGTTCGAAAAGCCTGGTTATACGTGTGTCCGTCTACCATTCTGTTATGGCTGTTCACGATGCAAATGGCTACACAATTATAAACTAGCTACGCTAAGCTGAGGCGGTAAGGTACGCAGATATTTCACACCGGGAGAGCGCAACAAGAAAGGGGCCGTTGTATTTTTACAACATTTTTTTTTGGTATTGTATTCGAATGTAATGCAACCTTGGTAGGTAGCGTCATTAAGAAACGCGTATGTATATACAGTGTCTTATGTAGAGGTTTGACAAGATGCCGCCGGAGAAGTGCATGTATGCAAGAGGCAGGAGTAATGGTAAAAAAAAAATTATGTACAAGAAGAAAAGAAAATTGTAGGCGACCTGTATCGTCGTCGTAGCTCTCCGAAGAGCGCTTCCGTCTCTTATCATACGCCGTCGGATTATGTACACTTCATGGGGGTATTGGGGGTATATGCAGTCGGGTTGTTTTTATTATCTTTTTTGGTTTCTTTTTATTCTGTTCGTTCGTTCTCCCCTGTGCTCGGCCTCGCGCGTTCGTTCGTGGCTCTCGCTATCGTCCGTTGACGCTCGCCTTTATGAGTTGAGGACGGTGCCGTCGGCGGGGACGCCGAGGCTCAGGAGGTACTCGCTGATGGCGCCGACGGTCTCGCCACCACCGAGCAGGAAGCTCGTGTGGCCGGTGCCGTTGCGGGTCAGCAGCGAGGAGACGGGGCCGAGCTCCTCGTGCAGGCCGAGGCCCCAGGAGAGCGAAGTCGAGGGGTCGAGCGTCGACTGGACGACCAGGATCGGCGTCGAGCCCGCGTACTCGGTCGGCTTCGGCGGGTTCGTCAGCGGCGCCGGCCACCCGATGCACGCCGTCTGGATCTTAGCCATCTGGCAGGAGCCGAGCGTCAGCGGGTTGAAGGTGGAGCCGAGCGTCACCTTGGCGCGCACGTCGGCGAGCGTCTGGGCCTCGTGGGCCCAGTCCTGGCAGGTGACGGCGGTGCCGGCGAACAGGTTCGAGTCGACGTAGGCGTCGCCGATAGCGAGCGGCTGTATCTGCGAGAGGAGGGTGGCGTCGCCGCCGTTCGCGTCCTGGAGGGCCTGGCCGAGCTGGGGCCACGCCGTGACCGACGTCAACAGGAGCTGGGTGGAGAAGAGCAGTTCTTCGACGGAGACATCGCTGCGGCAGGCGCGGTTATCGCAGCCGGAGGCGCGGATGGGCGCCTCGGAGGCGCGCTGGACGAGGCGCTGGAACTTGAACTGGTGGTTGCGGCTGCGGAAGGCGCACTCGCGGCTGCGGAAGCACCAGCGGAAGAACTCCTTGAGCGTGGACTGGAAGGTGGTGGACTCGGCGAGGACGTTGGCCGACTCGGACTGCGAGTGCTGGAGGTTGCCGTCGAGGACCATGGCGCGGAAGCTGTCGGGGAAGAGTTCGGCGACCTGGGCGAAGAGCTGGGTGCCGTAGGAGAGGCCGAGGTAGTTGGCGGGCTCGCCGCCGAGCGCGAGGCGGACGGCCTCGTGGTCGCGGGCGGCGCTGATGGTGTCGACGAAGTCGATGAGGCGGCCGGTGCGGGCGCGGCAGCTCTCGCCGGCGGCGCGGTTGTGCGCGACGAGCTCGTCGAAGGCCTCCTGGGTCTGGGGGAAGAAGGAGACGCGCTTGTTCCAGACGGCGGGGTCGCAGCGGATGGGGGTGCTGAGGCCGACGCCGCGCGGGTCGAGGCCGATGAGGTCGAAGCGCTCGAGGAGGCGCGAGTCGACGGCCTGCGGGAAGGCGGCGATCTGGGCGACGAGGTTCGACGCCTGGCCGCCGGGGCCGCCCGGGTTGAGGAACAGGTTGCCGATGCGGTTGGCCCTGTCGGTCGCCTCGCGGCGGACCAGGCCGAGCTCGATCGTCTCGTTGCCGAGCGGCGTGTCCCAGTCGAGCGGGACGACGAGCTTGCCGCAGGTCACGCCCTCCGGGAACGAGTTCGGGCAGCGGCCGAAGCTGATGGAGCCGACGGAAGCGCCGCTGCCTGTGCTGTTATCCTCCTGCCTAGGCCGGAGGCCGTCGGGGACGCTACCGCTGCCGAATGAGGGAGCGCCGGGGACGGTGATGGTGATGGGTTTAGCGGATGCTAGGCTCGCGAGGGCGAGGAGCGCCCGAGTGATAGTTATGGAGCGTGTCATGGCTGTCTCGGTAGGTAGGTATGTGGGTATATGTTTCCTTTCGTTTCCCTATTTCCTGTTCTATAGTTTCCTGTTCTATAGTTTCCTTTCCGTGTTTCCTTTCCCGTTTCTTTCTATTCCCGTTGCCGTTCTTGTTCTTATTAATGAGATGGAGGCCGGTGAGGTGCGGAGGTAGATGGCCTGTTGGAAAGAAGTCTTGAGTGAATGGACCCAACCACTATGATTGGCTTGATGGGCCTGTAAGGAGACGATATAGGCAACCAAACATATCGTGAGGGTCGAGGAAACACCGTCTGCTTATATGTCGACCTTGACGATGCCCCCTCGCAATGTTTCTCGAAACATGGCTTAGACAGGATGGGCCTAGTTGGGCAGGCGGGCTAGCTGACACCACGCCTCTCCTCTCACCCTCTCTCGCTCTCTATGCGGTCTCTCTTGGCTGGGGACATGGCCCTTGTCCCTAACCCTGGCCAGGGTTACAGTTAGTGGGTTGCCTTATCGGGCTTCGATCGTGTCTCGACCCCAGGCACCAGCACTAAGACATCGAAGGGTTGGGAAGAGGGAATGAAGAAGCGAGCTACTCAGGATGTGGTTAATCCTAGTCGACCCCGGCTCGTTCTTTGTTTCTTCCTGCGCTGCGAGGGAGTCAAGCTCCTCAAGCGCCAGCACAGCCCGTGGGCCGTGGGCCTTTGGTGTTGTGGCGGGGCGTAGGTAGTTTCTTTTTTTAAAGGGTAGGATACCCACGATTACTACGCCTTTGGAGCGCCCTACGACTACTGCGTACGTGCATTATTATTCATAGGGCATGGCGACGTTGGCTGCCGTTTTTACCCCCTGTTCGCGATTCACAGCTGGCGATTGGCCCGACTTGACATCGTTATTGTTGCCAGCCACGTGCCATTCGCAACGCGACGAGACGCAATTTGCGGTTATCTTGACATCTCTCCGGATTCAGTAATTAGCTCCCAACCATGTTTTTCATCTATATGTAGGTATTCTTTTATTTCATTTATTGATTTGTTCATTTTTACTTGTATGATGATCATGCGAATGCGTCTGGCTCGTGGGGTATACCGGGTCTAGCGGGGACGGGCTGAGCTCAAGGCGGTCAAGAAAAGAGAAGAAAATGACGAGAAGACCACCAATACGCCGTATGAGTATGGAGCCCGTCTTTGCGCCGGGACTCGGCATCGCATTCGATGTGCGGGAAACGATAATAAGTCGGCCGACTCGCATACATGTCGCGTACTTGTGGTGAAGCGTAGGTACCTAGTTATACCTAGGTAACAAGAGAAAGAGCCGAACTCGATGCTATTTACGTGGATACTCGTATAGGAAATGCGTCAATACAGTCGCTCGCGATGGCTTCTCGAGGCGTGTCGGTTAGCCTGCTAGATGCTGCTGCGCGTCTCTCTGCCACCCAAGCAACGGCTAGTGGTGCTAGATAGCGTCACCTTCAGCGATCTGGTCGCGAGAGAGAGTCACGTGAAGCAGGGGGCGAAAGCGAGGGTCAGACGCAGAAAACGGTAAGGCGCCGTTTCTGACGTATGAAACAGAATCCCACACAAAATAATTCTTGGGCCAAAGTCCCCAGACAGGCAGACCCAAGCTAGGACTGGAAACCCATCCCAGGCACTTTTTTCCCCCGTGGCTAAATAAAGATTAAGCTTGCCGTTTCCCGTGGACGGAGGCCACTCAGCCTCGAGAGAATCGATGCTGCGTAGCATTACCGTGGTATTCCAGCACCCTTTTAGCAGCAGCGGCCTGAAGGTGAGACGGAGCTCAGGTGAACAAGAATCCCATGTCCGTCCCCAGAGCCTTTACCATTAGATTAAGGGACGGTGCGTCTCTGCCGACGCCTACGAACGCAGCTTATCGGTTCCCATCTTTTCTTCTTTTTCTTCCCTCCTCGACAGGGCATTCTTCTCCCCCTTCAGGAAGAACAAACCACCCTCTTCTGCTCTGCCACACTTCTTGGCGACACGAGCGGCTTACCTACATCGCCTACACCTAACTACCCAGCTACCAACCGACCTACCTACCCTACCTACCCCTGCCATGCTAGGTACATAGCCAGAGGCATCGACCCCAGTGCAGATCATGAAACGATCCCCTCGCTAGCATCGTCCCCGCGATCACTTATACGAGAAACCACAGGCTTCGGCCCTATCTCTCCGATCTTTGAATGCCTAGCAGCCCGATCTGTCCAGCTACCTACCTACCTCGTGTATCGACGGAAGGATTACCCAGTCTTCACCAACACAAAATAGAAAAATACTAGGTACCGACCTACATGCTCAGCTGAACTCCTCCATCCGCTTAGCGACTTGCTTGAATGCAACCCTTTCTATCGCCAGCAAACAAGGGCGAGTCGAATTTGGACTTCAGTCGGCGAGAGAGAGATAAGCGGAGCTAGTAGCTACCTCCCTGTGTGATGAGGCTCCCACGGTAGTAGGACGACGAGACACCACCAACAAGGCTACCGGTACGCGAATCGGGATGAGGGGGATGAGGCGAGCGGGCGGAGTGGGTAATGTAATACCTGCTATACGAAGCGTCGCTCGACTCCCTGGCGATTGGTCGTCCAACAGATCCACCGTCGCGCACTTTCGAACACGTCGAAATGGAGATCGAGTGGATTAGCCCTTGGTACGTGCGCGATATATTCTAAGGAACCTGTGGGCATCTCGCGAGTATGCCGATAATCACTCAGGGCCACCCTACATATGTGGACATATTGATGGTAGGTAATGGTTAGTGCCAGTGTCGATCATTTACCTAGCTGCTGTTGGTTAGGTGTTCATGTACTCGAGTCCCAACAGCTCGTTCAGCCTCCTTAATACACATTGTTATGCCGCCGTGGCATAGGGACCATGAGCGGCGACGAGCTATGCTGCGATTATTAGGGGCAACCAGCTCGGAGCGTTCACGGTTCGAGTCGTGTCCGTAGGCCACGTCAGCGGGCCGGGTCCTGTTAGTTAGTTCTGTCTCCACGATGCCACGTTTTCGTGCCCGAGTCCTACGAAGGGATGAGAAAACCCCCTGCCACGTCCGCGCACGCTGCCTCATCGTTTAAGAGAGCGGGTTTGAAGCCCGTATGTGTCCCCTCCCCCTTTTCCCTTTTTTGGTTTGTTTTCATTCGTTAGGATCACTCACCCTTTCCTTTCCTCTCTGCTTTCTGCTCCCCCTTCTAATTTCCATTCTCCCGCCCGCCGTCCGAATGTACTCGATAACCGCCAGAAATACAAATAGGAGCCTGTCCGCAACATAGCTGAATATGGGCAAATAATTACTGTCAATATTAGGTAGTAGCAGACGTCCAACTCTATTCACCACTGCCTGGGAGTTACGGGAGCTTCTTGGTTCGGGTTTACGAGGCATGGATATATCTAACTCAATATTTACAAGATAGGGCCTATTTTGCACTAAGAGAACGATACAGAATATCTCCAGGGTCGTACCAAAAGTAAGTAAATGATCTTCATATATCGTGACCGAATTGTTCAGTTGCACTATTATCCCTTCCGTTCTTAACTGTCAACTCGCCAATTGATGTATTGGCGCCGACACGGGTGCGTGTCCTGGCCATTTTTGTCCAAAATTCCCATTGGATAAACTTGTCATCTCGCACACTTACCTCTTCTGCCTCAAATACCGTCGCATTGCTCACGTTGATGCGAAACTCGGTCGACCTTGTCTAGCCGGCACAAGTGGCTGCATTGGCGACCCCCCTTCACGGCTCGGCGTCTCAACTTCACCTCCGTTTTGAATGGAGATCCCAATCAGCCCTATCGGACGCTGTTCACCAACCCTCTGCTGAGGCCATGTTGGTCTGGTAGCCGCCATATCCCCTCCCCCTCCCGAAGTTCCGCGTCTAACCCCAGGTCGGTTAAACCTACCCTAGCTATTGGTTGGCTACCAGCTTATATAAAGGAACTGTGGCAAGCCGCCGTGGGAACCCCAAAACATTATAATCTGAATTTCATTACATGTAAGCTTGAATAGGGGTATGGTCTACTTCTGGCGAGGAGACGAATGCTACCGTTGTGATGCGATTAAGGGGTGCGTAATATTCCAACACTTGCATGTTCTAGGATGCATCCGTTGTGATATCGCGTCCGTAACCAACCTATGCGGCTGCCACCGACAAATCGTGGTATTCATTCATGTACTCCTATTCTAACTAGCAGAAACTTGCTAAAGATACGATATATAGTATTTATATGTTTGCAGATGAGCTCGGCACAGTTCCGTCTAATCGTTAGCCGTCGCAACGGTTTGGAACAATTTATGTCAGTGTTAAAGGCGTTTAGTTCCGCTCGAAGCCCGGATGCTGCGTTTAATCGACGACAGAGTCTGTATACGTAGGGATCTTTCATTTGGCTGTTTCTTCTCTGTATCCTTGTGCTCTGAATGGTAGCTGGAATCCTCTGATACGACACTATTGCGTAGTCGTATGCTAGATAAAGAAACGGCGATTTGAGAATTGGATATCGACCGCTACTACATAGATATTTCACTAGAATAGGGGGCCGGTACGGAAATGTATAGACACAGCATTATCGTTGAATCTATCATATTTCATTTCCCGAGACCTAGAGAAATGCTCAGATATCTTTCTGGGCCTCCCACCAAATTCTGCATCTTGAATTCTCTCACGGCGCAACCGTCTGGATCTATATGGCGCTATGGCTAATATGATTCACGATACACAATTAGGCTACTTAGTACCTCTGCTGTCTAGCAACGAGTTCTTTCGATATCCCGATGGGATTGACCTTCTTGATGGAAGGGATTTGTCCAGGATGACACGGGCACCACGACTACGCCCTTCTACGGTGAAGCTATCGATACAAAAGCAACTTACTCACAACATCCCGATACCAACAGCACCGTTGAAGGTGCAGGTGGCCGCAATGTCTACCTCGTATGCTGGTACGGCCTAGAAGACTCAGAGGCAAGCACCCCTGAGAACCGGTTACTTTGGGAGAATGGACAACTGTTTACATAGTCTGACGCCGAGTGTAAAACCCCCAAAACTGGAAAATTTGTGGGAGGTGCTCGTTGATTCGACCATGTGTCTCTTCAACATCTTCTTCTACATCGCGAGCTCGATCTACGTCCCCGGCGTACCCAGTATCAGGGAATATTCCAGATCCAGGGAGACGGTGCCAGAACCAGGTCTCTCTCTCTTCACGCTGTAAGGACCACTTTCCCAGCCGACTATTTCCCTAAAGGGGAACTAAGACGAAGAGGCCCATCGAAATCCTCCGCCTGCACTTTATATGCTGTGCCGTTCGCATTAAAGGGTACGGCCTCAGCTCTACGCTCTAGTCTCTCATGTCCGAGATCCCGTGCCTTGAGCGTAGCGCCAACTGCTTCTCGACATTCCTCGCGCCCGCATCGTTCTGAGATTCGGTAAGTCAACGTTCAACCCTGAGATGGCCCTCCCGCCCATCTTCGTTGGTGCCGTCTCCCTTCTGATCTGCTTGTTCTAGTATACTTGGATGGCACGGGAGAGCGTCTAGTAGGCTCTAGTTTCTTCACCGTCGGCGTGGTCAAGTTTTTCAATTCGGTATTCAATTACCTACCTAGGGATATTGTACCCTGTAGAAGGACGTCAATATTTGCAGGAATCGCCTTCTTCGGCGCCTCGCTCCCCCTCCCCCTCCCCCAGCGGCAGCAGACACTTGGTTAGCAGAGAGAGAGCGAGACATGGTGAGACGTTTTCGAGCTGGAGGCGAAGAAGACGCCCACGATGTCGATGCCGGGGAACAACAGAGGGGTTATGCCGTGGTAGAAGAGGGCTGGGATTGTCGGCATGCAATTGCTGCACCTTGAAATCCACACGATTAGCTCTCACAACCTTTCTTCGGACAAACGAGGTTCTCATCCCTCCGTCTTCATATTTCGTAATACCGAAATCGTTGGTTTATTACGATCCCAGCCAACCCCGGGTTTTCGCCGAGCTAGTTGCCATCCATGCCTCTGGTTATCTGAGTGGGGTCGCGATAATCTCGGGATTGAATAAGCCGGCAGGATAATTTCGACTTGTTGCTCGAGTTCTGTATGCAGTGAGACAGGGAGAATGTATGCGTGCTGGACAGCTCGGCATCCGGGGTCTTGTTCTCGGGCCTCCTTGATCGTCTTCATACTCGTCCTCCGCTCGGCGCCGCTCGCATTTGATATGGGATGCTGTACCTGTTCCGAATAGGCAGTATCGGCGTGCCTGCACTTGGTTTCTTCGCCCATAGGAAAGAATACTGACATGGGGACGAGCAGATAACATGCTGGGTTGCGTATGGGTTCTGAGTAACACGATGCATGATGGCGCCCCCAATCATCCTCAAGAAAGAAGTGAATAAACGGGTGCTTACTCACAGCCCGTACTGTTTCGTAGTCCTCCCACTATGAGGCTGTATTCAACCAGATACAAGTTTCGCGCTCTGCTCAGAATATATATATATATATATAAGGAAGCAGAGTTTGTTGGTGTCAAGGAATAGTTTCGTTCCTATTATCATCAGCTTCATCATTGCAAGTCTGTTAAATAAACAGTATAACCATTACAACCTACTTAACATATTGCCATCAACCTCTCTTCGGCGATCAATAATCACGCAAAAGCCACCTCCTTACTTCCACTCAGAACCCAATCGACACTAACAGTTTCATCAAACAAGAGATCGATATCTACACCATGAGTATCCAAGTCGAATTCACTGAAGAATTTGACTTTATTGTTGTGGGGGGTAAGTCTGCTGTGACTGAATGTAAGTTAGGGAACATCGAGGTTTAGCTTACACACTTTATAGGAGGCACAGCCGGGTGCGCCGTTGCCGGCCGACTTGCTGAGTCTACCAAGGTCCGTGTTCTGGTCATCGAGGCCGGCATTGGCAACCCTGGAGATGTCGATGCTATCACCACGCCGGCCCGTGCCTTCGAGCTACGCGACAGCAAGTACGACTGGGCCTATAAGACCATTATGATCGACCGCCCCGAATACACGCGCGTCGAGAAGCCCAACACTCGCGGCAAGACTCTAGGCGGTTCCAGCTGTCTCAACTACTACACATGGATTCCGGGGTCGGCCGCCACGTTCGACGATTGGGCTCCGTACGGTGGAGACGACTGGAACTGGGAGAATTGTCGGGAATACTTGTACAAACCCGCGACATACCACGACGATAAGAACCTCTTTAGCAAGGAGCTAGGGTATATCGGCGCCGGCGGTCCCATCCCCATCTCCCATTCCGATCTTGTACCCGAGCTCCAGGGTTTCCGGGACGCCCTGACCAAGGCCTGGCTAAGCAAAGGCGAGGAGCTCACGGATGACGTCCATAACGGCACGATGAGCGGCCTCTGGAAATGCACCAACAGCATCTACAACGGCAAGCGCTCCTCGAGTTGGCTGTACCTCGAAGGTAAGCCTAATGTCACCGTCCTATCACAGACACACTCCAAGCGCCTGCTCATCGACGCCGACACGAAGAAATGCGTCGGCGTTGAGGTCATCGTCCCCTCGGGCGAAACCCGGAGTTTCAGGGCCAAGTACGAGACCATCGTCTCGTCGGGCGTCTTCGAGAGCCCAAAGCTGCTCATGCTCAGCGGGATCGGGCCGGCGGCGGAGCTCGCCAAGTTCGGCATCACGGTCGTCGTCGACTCGCCGCACGTGGGCGAGAACCTGCTGGACCACCCGATCCTGCCGCACGTGTTCCGGCTCGCGGACGGCAACGGCCTCGACCGGCACCTACTGCGGGCGGGCCTCGAGCGCGACGCGGCGGTCAGCGCGTACCGGTGGAAGAACGAGGGGCCGTACACGTCGGGCCTGCTCGAGCTCGTCGGGCTGCCGCGCATCGACGAGCGGCTGATGCGGTACCCGGCGTACGTGGCGGCGAGGGAAGCCAACGGCGGGCTCGACCCGTTCGGGCCGGGCGGGCAGCCGCACTTCGAGATCGACTTCGTGCCGATGTTCGCCGACGCCTTCCAGTGGCACATCCCGACGCCGGCGGGCGGCGGCGACTACCTGACGGTGATCGTGGACCTGCTGCGGCCGCGCAGCCGCAGCGGGACGGTGCGGCTCGCGGGCGCGGACCCGCTGGCGCCGCCGGCCGTCAACCTCAACTTCTTCGCCGACGAGCTCGACGTGCTGGCGCTGCGCGAGGGCATCCGCTGGGTCGACGAGCTGCTGACGACGGGCGACGGCGCGCGCGACATCGTCCGCGAGGACTACCCGTGGCCGATGCCGCGCGCCTCCGACGCCGCCATGGACCGGCTCATCCTCGAGCGCTCGCAGACCGGCTTCCACCCGTGCGGCAGCGCGCGCATGGCCCCGGCCATCGAGCAGGGCGCCGTCGACGGCCGGCTCAGGGTCTTCGGCGTCGCGAACCTGCGCCTCATCGACGCCTCCGTCATCCCCGTCATCCCCGACTGCCGCATCCAGAACGCCGTCTACATGGTCGCCGAGAAGGTACGTGTCGAGCCTAACAGTCCTATAGTTGATGTAGGCTAGTCTTCGCTAACTCTTTGCAGGGCGCCGATATGATCAAGGCCGATTATCCCGAGCTGTACGCTTAGGCTTTTCGTGTTATCGTCGATGAGGGGTGGGATTATTCGAACTTGGGTCTAGGCAGGATTTCTTATCAAGTTACGAATGGCGTAGAGAACTGGGAGTATCAAGTAAGGGAATTGAGTATCCGAGAGGCGATAATTGCTGGAACAAACTCTCCGTATTTTTCTGTTCTTTGAACCCTCGCTTCTTAGGTATTGAACTAGGAGGACTTATGGGATTGGGAGTAGGATGATCTTCAAGGTATTTCGACGTGGTAGAATGAAATGAAGCAAGCCAGCCCCTGAGGCAACTTCTCCCTGAGCCGAATGCCTAGACACTTTTACTGGCCAGAAAAAATCTGACCGACACTGAACGCCGAGGTTTTTCTTTTCCTTTTTTCTTTCTTTTTTCCTTTCTGCCCGATGGAGGCTGTCGAGTTGCCGACGGGATGTCTCGCGAGGAGGAGACCGGCGGTTACAGTCGGAGAAGCCCTAGATCAACCCGTGTTGCTCTCTCTCATCGAGGCGGAGAGGCCGCTGACATTTTGTCGATCTCCTCTTGGTTCGCTGGATCCCTTCTTATTGCTCTGGGCAGGCTAACCGGAAATGACCCGACGCGATGGGCCGCCAAGCGATGGGGAAACTGGTAGAAGCCTGAGTATTCTCGTTACCCGGTGGTCGGTAGCGATAATGGACCGGCAAACTCATAATAGTCCAGTAAAAGACCCAATAGCATCGTGGTCAGCCTTGACAGGATGTGGAAATGTGTTTATTTTAGCCCCATCTTGGACGAGGTCTGACCACTGGGCGTCATACAACCACCGTTGACGCCTCTAGGAGGATTCACGATGCCAGATCCGTCAGCGTTCGGTGAGGCCCGCCAACACGACTGAGGACGATTGAACAAACCACATCACCCCATCGTATCGTGATCAACCGAGCAACATCGCACCACCCCAGCCCAGCCGCAACTTACACGACTCGAGGGCGAACGGAACAATGTCGTCGATGGACGAGATCGAGGATATTATAATTGGACTCATATTCTGCCGTGTTGATGATGGATGTCACACTGCAGTCTCCAACACTCGCAAGTCAGTTACATCCGCTCAGAGCCTACAATAGTCAAAATCGACAACCCGGTTAAAAGACGTCGTTGCATGTACGTTCAGTACACACTATTACGAACCGGCGCAACACACCGTAGCATCACATCTGCATCAACAACCGCAAATATGCCTCTTGCACCCCACATGCATGCTGCCACCAGAGCCGCGGCGCCGGCAATTCCCAAGCTCGGCCCTGTCGCCTCAAGGTGCGTTTCGGATAAATATTTGCGGAACTCGCTTCGAATTCTGGGTCAGACGAAAGCTAATGGCCGATAATAGGGTACTACCGGGTCTCGTCGTAGCAGGTGTTGGTTCGTCTTCCCCTTTTACTACAAGTGCACTTTAAACGAATCCGAGCTCTCGGCTTCTTATCCCTCCCTGTTCCCCAACACCAACTAACCCTCTAAATAGTCTACACCGTGGGGTCGTACGTCTCCTCGCAGCTACACACCGAGGCCGGTACAATGGACCGCATCTTCGCTCAGCAGAATACGCCCGAGGTCGAGGAGGCGCGGAGGAGATCCCTTCAGGTCGACGTCAACGGCGATCCCCGGAACAACCTGCTAAACGTCCTCGGCTGGTCGAAATGAGAAGTGAGAGGGGATCGCTGACACGCCTAGAGCAGCGATATACGGGGCGACTATATCGTTGCGGGAAGGGATATTAAGACGGGCCCAGAGACTCGTTCGCGGGGTGGGTTTGAAGGGGGTTGATTGCGCATCGCTTGGGCGTTTGGAATTTCGTTGTCGCTGTACGCTGGGATTGACTGATACCCAGAGTGACATAAAATTTTATCACAGTTCGTGTAAATAATTGATCGTATCACTCAGCATACGAGAACACCACGCCTGATCGGCGGAGCGCATAATAGGGGGTGCCTACTATTTATTATAGACTCGGAAAGCTTATAATATACGAGGGCACAGACGAGACAATACATCAAATTTCCATCTTTACAGTAGGACGGCAGTCCTTGTCTAAGTATAGCTAGGTCGTATCCTCCACCTATGGCCTACTACGGCCTTGTGCCGGTTGGGCGCGACCGCGAACGGCGGCGCAGTGGCCGCCAGGAGGCTGGTGACGGCTTCGAGAGCGCTCAGCTGGACTCCGAAGTCCGACTTGCCGTCGAAGCCGCCGACGTACCACTTCATGCCGCACGTCGCGTTGCCGTGGCCGTCGCAGCTTGTCGCGGCGCCGACCGCGGTCGCCTCCAGCAGGCCGACCACCTGCGCGCGCACGCTCGGCACGAGCACCGCCGTCTTGCCGAGCCACCGCGACAGGCTCGCCTTGAAGCTCGTCTGGTCGACGTTGCACGTCGAGAACGGCTCGCACAGCTGCTCGTACATGACGCCGGTCGCGTTGTCCGCCGGCCCGAAGAACCGGCTCTGCGCCGCGTCGACGAGGCCCTGCACCCGCGCCTCCCAGGTCTGGTCCCCACCCGTGGCGGCGTACATGTGCGCCGCCCCGTGGGTGTAGGTCGCCACGTTGTAGGACCACTCGTCGTCGTTGACGGACGTGCAGTTGGCGCCGTCCTCGTCGCCCGCGCCGTCGAACACGCGGTGGTCGGCGCGGACGAGGCCGACGGCCGTCGACCAGTCCCAGATCCGCGTCGCCCAGTCGGCGAAGGTCTGGTTGCCCGTGTACCGCGCGAGCCGCGCCGCCGTCTGGAAGAAGCCGCCGTTCGTCACCGAGTTCTTGTACGTGTACCCATTCGCGCTCGGGTTGAACTGCCACTTGAGCCCGCCGCCGCAGGTCGCGCTGTCGTTGTTCCAGCGCGCGGCGAACTGCTCGAAGGCGTTCGTGCTGATCGCGAGCCACGAGCTCGCGCAGTCGCCGCCAGCGCCGGCTGCGGATCCCTCGCACGGGAGCGGCTCGAAGTCGTATTCGAGCGCGGTCAGCGCGTTGTACACCCAGTACATCTGGTCGTCGTTTGCCTCCCAGTTGGCCTGCTCAGGAGGGCAGAAATCGTACTTGGGGCCGACGTTCTGGGCGATAGCGGAGAGGAGATCACCTTGATACGTCGTGTCGCCGGTGTATACCGTGTAGTCCATGAGTCCGTTCCATCCCGAGCCGGAAAGCCACCAAAACCAGGGCTGCGGCTGGCGGAAGTGGCCGGTCGTTGCAGCCGGGTCATGATAGATGTAGATGCCTTTCGCAATCTCGGCTGCGGCCGCCTTAACCGAGTCCAGGTCGTTTACGTCGAGACTTAGAGCAACGCTGCTAGAAGCGAGCGCAAGTCCCGCAACAGTGCTGGTAGCCCTCACCATCTTGATCGTTTTCCGGTGCTGAGCTTGTTGGGGAAAGAAGAGAGGACTGACGACGATGCCGTAAGAAAAGAGGAGCGTACCTTTATCGCCCCTCCATGCTCTTATTATATTACGAAAACGCCTCCTTGTGAGAGCGATATTGTTTCGCTGTTTATCATTGTTTCCCAATAATCTCTTGCCGGCGGCAGCCAGTCGCTGGGGGTGGCGTCCATCATCAACATGTTGCGGCAAGGGATAACGGCAGACCAAAAAAAAAAAAAAAGAACAGTTCGCAGATGACTGGACCAATGGGAATAACAACGACTCTGGCTGATGGCAAGTGTTTGGCTATTGACAATCAGGGGTGGTGCATCAGGGCGGACGAGCGGTATATGGCTCCCTTGTTGGCTTCCTAGAGCTTCCTTTGATCGCGGCGATTCTTCAGAGATCTGTTTGCCCCTTGCATAGGTCCACGTTCCCTTTGTGAGTTTTACCTGTAATACCTGGGGAATTGTCCTCGTCTGGCACCCAAACTACCGGATCTGTACCAGGTAAGCTGTAACAATCCACTACATCAAACATATCCATATCACAGTAGAAAAGCCTCGTCAATGTCACCAAATGACAAGCGGCAGATCCGTCTATGTCTAAGTCACTATCAAGATATGTGCATGCTAGAGGCATTTCTACAAACACGAGGAGGAGATTGTATGTGCGCCAGACCGGCGGCTTTTCACTTGCTGATAGGTAGGAAACGCATCGCTACATAACTCTGGATTGATTAATGAACGGGTGGAAACCCCCAGTCCATCTGTCATCCGAAACAGGCCACCCTGATGACAGGGCCAGAGACGCTGCAAGAGTTGAGCGCTCACGTCAGGCCTGATATTGTACCGAGTCGCATATCACATCTACGCCCCCACCCCCTTTTTCAAAAATGGGAAAGGGGTATTTGCCCCATAAAGGTCCTCCTCGTTTGATTACCTCGTATAGCTCCATCCAAGTATTGATGCCCTGTGCAGTTGATGGCATATGTACGCGTGTCCCTCTTATGTCTTCCATAACTCTCAAGTTTTTTAATCTCGAGGCACCCTAACTCACAGCACGAAGGACGTTACTCTCCTAGTTCCTCTAGGTATTCATAATAGGCGCCTATTTCCTATGATATCCCCATGGACCCCTCAGTAGCCTCCCGTATAAGTGTAATAGGCAAACCACAATCCAACACCAAGGTCCGTCTGGTAGCGAGTCATTAGCATACTGCCCTTGCGGTCTCGCTATTGTTGAACCTGGCTGCCCGTTTCCGAATTGGTGTCATAAACGAAATAAATAATTTCCTCTATACGATACGATGTACCTGGAATAAAGGCGCGGGTGGGCCGGCGTGCCACTCGCACAGCCGCAGCATGAGCGGCTTCGCCATGTCGACGGCGGCGACGACGCCCATCGTGTCGAGCGTGCCCCCGGGCTTCGTCGCCGCGCTCACGTAGAAGCGCCGCATGACGTCCGTCACCATCCGCGCGAGCTCCGCTTGCCGGACGAACAGCTCGCGGCCCGCGTCGACCTGCGCGACGCTGTGCGCGCCCCGGATCGCCCACGTCTGGCAGTCGGCGTTGGAGCCCTAGCCCTTGCGCTAGGGCGACTATCTGCGCCATGAACGTCCAGTTGGTGGCCTCGGTGCCGGTGCGACATCGTTGCAGGAGAAGCAGCCCGGCCTGGTGCGTGCTCAGCTTGGGTCTTTCCAGATCGTCCGCCATAGTGCGCTCGGCCAGCTTTTCTGGCTCGGGTCGGCCGTCCGCGTTCGCGGGCCGCGCGACGCCGCCGGCCATGGCGGAGTCGTAGAACCGATAATCCAGCGCAATGAGGTACACGGCCGCAAGCAAGGGCGGCGAGAACATTCGGTGCGAGACGGCGTGCTTCGTGACGAACACGCCCTTGTGGAGGATGGGGAAGCTCGGGTGGTCAGTTCGGAAATAGAGGTCCACCGTGGTCTTCCCCGGCGGGTGGATGCTAGCCTCGATGGCGTCGCAGTCGGCAATGCGTTGTGGCTCGGATGCAGTGGCTTCGTCGGAGTAGATAAGAAAGGTCGTGCGATCATTGAGTCGGCGGGTAAGTCGTTCAGGCGAGGATGACGTTTCGGAACTGGTCCCTCCGAAGTCGAGAAGAGCTAGCTCCCAGTGATTTGTAGAGCCGACGTATTCGGGGTGCGTCGCAAGATCTAAGCCGAGGGAACCGTTCAGGAGTGGGACCGGTCCGCCGCCATCCTTTAGGGGGCCGGCCTGTTTCTCGGGAGCAGCCTCTGGACTACGCGGATCGCGCTCATCGGCAGGCGATGTCACTGCCGCCTCCGGGCTTCGGACTAGTTTTGGCCTTGAGGTGCTCGTGAAACTGCTACGCTGCTGTCGAGGCGGGGGCCGCGGAGATATGTGCACTGCTTGTCGTGGAAAGCGCAGAGAACACACTGAGACACGTTATCCTTCTTGACACATCTAGTCTTGCGTAGACGACATGTGTCGTAAGGGCGGAACCGAGAGAAATGCTCCCCAGAAGAGGAACTGCTGGGCGGTGTAGACACACCAGGCTTGGTAGCCTGACTTTCTGGTCTTCCTATCTAATGGATCTTGCATTTTGCTGATTTAAGTCCTGACTATCAGGACTTGGTGATAATTGCCAACACCTCCCTAGGACCAACTACGTCTCCCTTCCTGACTCTCATCCTCGCCACTTTCCCCTCTGACTCGCTGGTAATCTTAATTTCCATCTTGTTGCTTTCAATCCACACAATTGCATCGCCGGCCCGAATCGTATCGCCTTCCCCCACACAGCATTTGAAGCACCGCCCGGGGATGACTGCTCGAATCTTCTCACCCTCTACTGCAGTATCAGCCTGCTCGCCTATTGGCCACCCGGTCTGGTTTCTGGTATATGGTCTCGGGAGTTCGTCAAAGAAGGGCGCTTTGGCAACCGTTTCCTTCTGATGCGCGACAGTGTCCTCGATATCCTTCTTATTCTGCTCGAGCCAGGATTCGTATTCGTCCAAGTCCAGGACCCCGTTTTCGTCCACTCTAATGAGTCTGTTACTTCTACTAGGAGACAATTGGTTATAATTGCCCAATTGGGCTTCCTCGACGGCGCAGAAGCAAATCCGATCAAATGGACGGAAGAGCCATGCCTGGTCGCCCATCTCTACCCAGTCCTGCTCGCCGCTGGCATTCTTCGCATCGTCGTAGATGTAAATTAGCTTCTTCTCGTCCCAAATGGGCACGGTTCTGCCGATAAGCTGATATCCCCCAAGGATCTCTGTTGCATAAATGCACAAGTATTGACCGCCGATCCCCACAGCTCCCCTTGGTGTAGAGCTTCTTGGCGGGTTGTACTTCGTGCCGAACAGTCCGTGCCTAGGGTCGAGCGGCATGGCGCACGGACTGCCCATGAAGACATCTCCTCGGCCCAAAACGAGGAATTCGGCGTCGTTGAGGGGGAAATTTTCGATCGATTCCTCCACCTGTTTATCGAGTTGAACAGCCTCGCCGACGGTAATTATCTCAAATCGAATTTTATGGCCAGGGCGAACTTGTCCCAATTTCCACATTTCGGCCTTGGCTACAACGCAGAAGACGACAAACCCTCCCAGACTGGGTCCATCATATGTGAGAACCACTGCTTCGTCTCCGGTAAAACTGGAGCTACCCACCGAGACTATTGTGAATATTCGGCGGGTGAAATCCTGCCTCCCCACCTGTTCTTCTTGCCCATTGTGGCTTAGGACCAGTAAGTCGGACACCCAGCCTGTTGCTGTTATAGTGAACTTCCCACTCGCTTGAGAACAACGTGTGAAGGCTCTCGGGTTCGAAGAAATCCAGCGCACCATGAGGGCCCGGGATCACGCCGATGGTCCATAGAGGCGATGGCTGAGATGGAATGGGTATAGCCGGTGCCTTGGGGAAATGCTCATTAGGAGAGGCAGGAGAGCTATGGAAGCGAAAAATATCGCCGTCTTGCAATTGGCGGCCATGGTATCCACCGAAGTTCCCAAGTTCTAAAAGTGAGCGGCTTCCCAATACAAGTGGCACATTCATCCCGCCCCGGATGGCCACATACATGCGGTACCCTTCCTGTGTGACACCCACGGACACCGTCTGGCCGGCCCGAACGTAGAATACTCTGTTTATTTCGACAGGTACTCCGTCTAATGCAATACTCGTTGGAGAACCCGTCACAGCAACGATAGCATTGCTATGAAATCGTAAGGTCGGTCCTTGTAAGGTGCATTCAAGGCCAGCAGTACCGACTGGGTTTCCAACGAGGTGGTTTGCTAGTCGGAAAGAGTAGTCGTCCATGGGCCCCGAAGGCGGAATACCAACGTGCCATAGTCTTTGACGGCCGGGGTAGTCCTGTACCGTCGTAGCAGGGCCAGCGTCACAAATCTCGAACGCCGAGGAGTGAACCTCGAAACTAGCGAGCGAGTGGGTAGTATAACGCCCGCTTAGAAAAGACCCTGAATACAATATCTGGCGAAGGAAATCGAGATTGGTTTCAACCCCTGTAATCATCATATCTGCGAGTGCCTCTGAGAGCTGATGTATTGCCGCCCGTCTATCCTTGCCAGTTGTGATCACCTTCGCGAGTAGGGGGTCGTAAGATGATGTTATTTCCGTGCCAGACTCCACCCACGTATCAACACGGACGTGTGAAGGAAGCTTTATATCGACTATTCGCCCTGAAGTTGGTCGGAAATCCTGCAGGGGACTCTCGGCGTAGATACGGACCTCGATGACGATCCAGTCGTAAGGACTCCTCCTTTATGGTTGGCGAATAGATCATCGCAATTACGACTCGCGATCTGAACCATGCACTCCACCAAGTCGAGACCTGTAACGGATTCTGTGACGGGATGCTCCACCTGGGGTCGAGTGTTGACCTCGAGGAAGTAGAACTCTGTGTCAACATTGTAGATAAACTCCACAGTTCCCACGTTACGACAATTCACAGCAGCTGCCGAGGCCACCGCTGCCTCGCGCATACTGACGCGAACGCTTTCCGGCAGCTGCGGTGCCGGAGACTCTTCAACTACTTCCTGGTGTCTTCGCTACAATGAACAATCACGCTCGCCGGCGGCTAGGACCCTGCCGCTTCCATCCCCTAGAATATGGACTTCGATATGCCTTGCGTGCTGTACAAACCGCTCGAGGAATGCACCGTCGTCGCTAAAGTTGGCCTCTGCTAGCTGCCGAACGCCTTCTAGGGCTTCCTTCAGCGCGGCGGCGTCATTGCATCGCCTCAGTCCTATGCCACCGCCTCCGGCGGTGCTCTTCAACATGATCGGGAATCCAACGCAGCGAGTTGAAGAATTCGGGGCCCGTTTAGATATGTCTCTGCCACACTGTTATCCTCCAGACGTAGAGCAACATCTGCCGACCGGACACGGGATGGGTCGAATGCCTTCGGAACCGCCCCATAAGGCGAGCGTGTCCCAACCAAGCCGGTGGCGAATTGATCCAGGTTAGTCTTGCCGATTAGCACGGCGCCTGCTTCCTTGAGATTAGCAACTACGAGAGAGTCCGCGGCGGCAGGAGGCCCGGCGAAGGATGGGCGCACCACCGTGGTGGGGATGCCGACGGCGTCGACGTTGTCCTTGATGGCGAACGGAACTCCCCAGAGAGGCAGGTGTTCCGCTTCATCTCGGCGGGTTTTGAGATGGGCCCATTGAGCCTGGATCTGTTCAGGAGTAGCGAGATAGGTCCAGGCGTTCGAGCTCGCTGCTCTCTGAGCCTCCACATGACCGAGAAAGCGGCCCAGCGCGTCACCACAACGTTACGATGCCTTCCAGTCAGCTATGGTGACTGAGGACAGTGTCGAGTCTGGACCATCAAGTATGCCCTGACGTGTTTTTTGTTTCTGTCATGGTCTACCGCTCGAGAATCGGATCGTCGTAGAAAATGAAGTACGGCAGCAGAAGAGAATCGACGCAATCTACGGCAGCATTGGCGTCGACAGAGTGTCCGTGACGGTTCCTATGATCTTTTCTGAGCTGGTTGCCCGCCGTGGGCCCCTGGCTTGACCCCAGGACACAGTCTTGAAGTTGATGTCTGCCATTGGCCGGATGGCGAAGGCCCAGGCTAATACAGCTTAGACTACTACCTGTTATGACATGAAGCCGGGTGTAGGAGGAGTCGACAGCGGGAGCAGATAAGTAGAATGCGCGTACATCTGCGCGGAGGCAAGTCCTCCGTGATCAGCGGCATGATGGGGGGTGTCCCGATAGCAGCGGCCCAGGTCCCGTACGGGTGTTGTTGTCGTCTGGGAATAGAATATGCGATTATTAGCTAGTCCAGGCGTTGTAAGGCTCAACCGGGAAATGGGGAAGGGGCAGAGAGATATGTTGCACCCCACCAGCCACAGCCGGCGGCGACCCGGCGGCTTAAATAATCAGGGAACCCGCACAGACCACGCGCGAGAGGGTCCTGACCAGGGTTCTTAACCCAGGGGCTGCTCGCCGCCGGCCAGCTTATCTTATCTTCCCGCCGCAATATCCCCCTCTTTCCATGACAGACCGGCCTTGTCTGACAAATGATTATCTACCTAGGTAACTAGTATGACAACATATCGCATATCCATGCCCAGTCTCACGCCGACCACCTGAGGTGGATGGGACGGCGATGACGATGGGGAGGATTTGGGGTGGTCGTTCAAAGTCAGTGGCCGTGGACAGGGGAACTCAAGTAGGTAGGTAGGTGTAACACGCCCACAGCGATGGAGTATTCAGACCTTTCGCGCACCTAGTCTTGCTTCGACGACGATTGAAGTACTTAATGTGCAAGTTGGATGCTTACCCAACCGTGTGATCAACCCATCCCCACACTCCAAGGCTCATAGCCACCGTCCGTGGTGGAACTACCTACACTACTTCGATCCTGTGCTGCACCATAATGCCTCGCCCTGAAGCTTCCAACTGCTGGATACGTAGAGTTTCCGCATCCGCCGCAAGGGGTTGTTGACTTGGTTGCCCCTTTCCCGTAACTTGTACGTCAGGTTTCAAAGACTCTCTGGCCAAGCTGTCAAGACTAATATGGCCACGATAGTCCATGAGAGAGCGTTTAGGACGCCAGGAACGAAGCAGTGACCAGTTCTGGGATGTGTAGGTTTTCCGCTGAAGTAAAGGACGGAGAAGTGGGAGGTTTGCGCCAACCACGGCGAGCGAGCTCTCGATCATGGTCCAAGCAAATACAGGTGTAGTAAAGTCTATGACCATAATCAGCTCGGGCAATTACTCTGTGGGGGGCGAAAAGACATGCGCACAAGTAAGGTCGTTTATATTAGCGACAATTCCCCGGCCAATGTTGATGAACGTCACGAAGCGTGCAATGCCCGCGCCGCACACACTGCTCCCTGTTAGAAGTGACCTGTGATATACGTTCTCCTAGGACAATAATTACGTACACCGCACCGAGCAGAAGTATGCCTGCGACTGCGATCCGACTTTTCAAAGGCAACTTCAGTTTCCCTATGATTGGAAGTGGTGATATCAATATCAAGATATCTGTAATAAATCCTGAAATCGATACGGCGTAGTAGAACGATATGGTATCGACACAGTTCGTTCTCTCGTATTCGAACGTTGTCCAGATAGTAGCCGGATCCTTGCATTGGAACACAGTTGCGAAGAAGAACGATACCGTCCATGCCACGACGAATACTATCAAAATAGTGTTCACAACTAAGAATCGTTGGTGGATATGGAAGATCTTCCGGTAGAAACATAGGACGGAAGTCCTGCTCAGTCCCAAAGAGACCAATGGGAGAAGTTGAAGAACATAATTGCACTGCTATTATTAGCCCGCTTTCTCTAGGCGGCCTGAGTTGCATTCTTACTATCTCATAGTTCTTAAGCCCCTCTGTGAATATTGGCCCTTGGGGACCGATTTCGTTGGTTTGATGCTGTGCCATCTCCCCAATACATGCCCCTGAGATGCATCGCGGAGAAGGTTAATAGCCTTTTCCACCGTCGCACGCCAGGGTATTCCGTTACATACCAACAATCATGGCCACTCCTATTCCCACAACGAGCAACTGTGATATCCTTAGCAAACGACACATAGAACTGGGGTTAGGGAAGTATTGACCGCTGCGGGGATTATTAAGGCATCGTGCACGCCGAATGTAACCTTCGTAATAGTTCGAGCCCAAAATCTCAGAATGACTGAGATGACGGCGAGAAGTGCAAACACCACTGCAAGAGCAACAAAATTGGCGACGTTCCACGCCATAATAGCGTTCCCTCTCAACTCGCACTTTAGAAACGATGGCCGATCATTTGTCCTGATGTCTAGCGCTTGTGTAAAAGTAATAATACTTATTCGAGGGCTGAGAAAGGAAAAAGCGAGGAGCAGAAACGAGTTGAGATTAATAATGCATTTATCCCTTTCTACTTGATCGACCAGGACTTGCCAGCCGTGGAACGTGGCAGCAAAGGGATCGGCATCTGCCACCGTTTCCGCCGTATATTAGAGAATATGCCTTATAACATGTTACACTGGTGTGGTGACACCACGGTATCTACTCCAATAATGCTTACCTGTCCTATTTGGATATATTTTGAGCTATTAGATTCGAGTACGAATACTTAGCCGTTACGGCAGGTAGGTTCTCCTGGACGGCGTACTCGTAGGTAGGCTCCATGGATCAGCGCTGCCGGTCGAGACCATTGGGGGCTAAGAATGCTTCTCTCCATAAGCCGATCCAATAAAGTCTGCGATCTGCATGTAATATATGTCAAGAGACCACATGAAGACGACGCATACGTGTAAGCCGTAGAGAGGCATATTCCTGACCCGGTGTTGCTGCTTTAATTACTGTGCGTTTTGAGCTAGGAGGCATTAAAGTACACCCGTTATTGTAGAACGGCATACGAGGCTCTAAGTTATTGCATTGGTGGATTTTTCTTTCTTTTCCTTCTTTCTTTTTTTTTAAACCCCCCTCCGAGCATTAGCATTATACCTAGGCAGGCTCTAATCGTGGGCGCCTCGGGTCACTAGGATACATCGACACCTATCCACATGAATATGATGGCTTCGCACGAGACTGCCATTGATGATTCGGAGATTGAGCCTCTTTATCTCCTCTCCGAAGATCAAAATACTCATTGTCGACGTCAAACGGGCCAGAGGAAGAAAAAAGGACGTTTGCGATTCGCCTACGCATCTCTGGTGGCAGCGTACCTCGTCGTCGTGATTCTTTACGTTATCCTCTGGGTTAGACTTACGAAATTGGAGTCTGTAGCAATAGAACCTAAGCTCTTTCCGTGTAAGTTACCCAATACTCCTCTCTGAATTCCGACCCTGAGTTCCGTCGACAATAGCCCTTGCACGTTCCTCGGCATTTCGACAACATAATCGTGTTTTCCCCTTGACGGTGGTCGGTACTCCATTTGCGGGCGATCCGAGCACAGAACTTGATCAGGCTTGGCATGCTCTTCTAGAAGGTATGCATCCCGTGATATCTAAAGCTCACGCCAATCAATACTCGTACTAACTATTGCAGGTACCACGATCCGGGTCTCAAAAGAGGATCTTGACTATTACAACGTCACATCTTTACCCCTGGCGGACGGATCTGGGTTTGCGTCCGAGCTCTTCGTAACTCATGAACTACACTGTCTGGTGGGTAGGTCCGTCGTGAAGAACTCGGGTACAGGTGAATAACCAACTGCAATAGAAGAAAATCCGGCAATGGATCTACAAAGAGACATACTTCACAGACGTAAAGGAGCCCGCCCGCGGTGAGCTGAAGAGACACATAGGTAGATTCATACGAGGTCACGATTCCCACGCACCGACTGACCTTTGCTGCAGATCACTGCATCGAAACTGTAAGGCAGGGAATCATGTGTAGAGGCGACGTCTCCCTCGGGACTTATACGTACCTCACAGGCGGCAGTGATGTGACCGCTCGAAGCTGGGGTTCCCATCAATGCGTTGACTTCGAAGCCCTGATCGCTTGGACACGAGAACGCTCCCTCGACATCTTCAAAGCAGGAGTCTTGGCAAAGCCAGAGGACATTGGACGGGAGCATTTCACAGAGAGAAAACCACCCACATAGATATAAGAGAGCCATTTAATATAACGAAAGCCACGAAACTGCCGCAGTGTACTGTACACGGGCTCACGACATTGTATGATATAGGTATAACCGGGGGTCCTCCCATAGCTCAAGCACCATATACTAGATCGAAGTATCAACCCACAAGTTATCGCATATAATAGTATCTGAGAAATGCACCATCTATCTGTTGCTTAGGCCTGGAGATCTGAATTGCGGAGTGCGTCCTCTCTGGATATTCCCCAATCGTCCGCCCATACCTTCAGTCCCTCGAAATTTCTGCAAGTCCGTTCCGTCTCCCATCCTGAGACGCCTCGCGCGGTGTAGTTGAACTCCTCGAGATTCGTGTCTGCAAGGCAGATAAGCGACTGGCGTAGGTACTCGAAGCAGTGGCGTATGTGATGGTGGCTAGTGCGGTGATTCGCTTCCTGGTCTTCTTTACCCATTTCTTCCAGCTTTCCGTCCAGCGAGGCGAAGTAGGCCATTCGGAGAATATTCTACTCATTCGTCAGGAGACAGAACTAGCCGTGGGCGTATCTAGATGCCACCGACCAGACAGTGCAATTCGTGGAACACAGCAATGCCCGCGACGTCAGGCGCAAGCTTGGGGTGCTGGATAAAGCCTAGCTTTTCTGGAAAGAGTGAGCTCCATAGAGCATCACTTTCAGCATTCGATCCCCGAGGGAAAGATGCATTGAAGTGCATGTAGTAATGTAAGTCGCCGACGGGTTCTGCTGCAAAGTCAGTACAGCCCATCCCTATCTCCAATCCAGCTGCATAGCAATACCGAAATCTGTAAGCCTCAAATTGTTCACTCGCCAGGTACCAACAAGATACCCGAGTCCGAGCATGAATATCATGCTCGACACAAAGGATAGATAGCAGAGAGCTCTCCAACCATGCGGCACAGCCGAGTCTCGAGACGGCAGATCGAAGGCACCATCGTCTGACGAAGGAAGACGCGAATAACGCTTGCTCTCGGCCATGTTGATGATACCGCGCAATCTAAGATTCCGTAGACGTTTCGCACAGCCATACTTGTTAGATAATTACCTACAGCGGAGCGGAGATATGAAAGGGGGCAAGTTACTTAAGCGCCCTCGCTGGAGGCAGCCTGGTCTCGTCCTGGTAGTAAAAGCAGCAAGTTACACATAAGGCTTACCATCCATCTCAAGCAGCGCTTGTATGAGCCATGTCCAAGTACTACCAACTGGCTGACCGAAGGATTAGAACTGTTTGAAGTGAAGACCGACCGTACCGCTACATCGCACGGTATCAGATCAGATAATAACGGGTGTTGCGGCAGAACCGGACAGGGGGTCGAGGCGCACCACTACGGCGGGGAAATGTCTTAGCACTACCCTGCCCTTGGGTTGGGAAGCTTTCCCATTCGTGCCTCTTTTTCTCGTATCCGGCACTAACTTACTGGGTAGCCGACTTCCTGCACGGCCCGCACCGAGCACAGGGACTTTGCATGGCGATGCCGGAGCTACCAGCACGAAACCCGCAAAGGGAATCCTCCTGCGCCAAGGCGAAGGGCGAGGAACCCCAAATAGAGTTGTTAATAGCGAAAGGCCTTAGATAAACGAGTAGCATGGAAACATTCGGTGCAGAGACCATACGAGTGAAGGTGCCCATCATGACAGAATCCTTGGTGATGCTTCGGAGCAGATTTGCGTCAGACTTACCTACATGCGAATTGAAGTGAAAGGCTACGGCGGATTCGAGCCGTCAGAGTTGCTCTGACAGAGTTGTTCCTGTGCGACCGTCCGCCACGAAAACGTAAATCAAGGCCCGATGGAGAGGCGTCAAGAGAAACCCATGATGCGGCCATCGAGCCACGTCTACTGTTGGACGAGATAGGACTGTCACATCACCCACACCCAAGTTTTATAAATTCGACACCTCGCTTCCCTATCAAGCTACCAAGAATGAGTAGAACTGCCGGCCGCCGTTCGGTTTATTCGCTGTGCTGATCCCCAATACTCCACGAACCGGGTAGGATCAACGGGCTTTCAAGGTAGGTAATATAATGCGACTGGTTTCGCAAACCTGAGAGAGGGGACGTCAGGCTCACCCAGGACTCTTATTTAGGAATCCCCCGTACCCAAAGTCGCCCGATATATTACCCCAGGTTTCAATCGCATTAAAATCAACGGCTTTGTATACCTGCAAATATGCGCTACACTACGTTGTTCCTCTCCGTGCTGGGACTCGGCGTCCTGTGCGCGAGCGCACCGATTGATAGTGAGTACGGCCGCGATCTCCCCCCGCCAACAGTTCGTGTTCGGTAATAACCAAAACAGGCTCGGACACCTCACTTGAGACAGTCTCAAGCAACGATACCGTCGCCGCCGCGGCGCCGGGCTCGACAGACCCGTCCGGGGAAGAGGATGCGGACGACCCATTTGTCTACCAGTGGCGGCAGTAGAACTGAGGGACAGAGGAACGTCCTACATGTCGATCTTTCTCGATTGGGGTTCGCCCGCGGCTTTGGGGTCATGCGGTGCCGGCTTGCGTCTACGGTCATTCCTATTTGTATTCCCTAGACAAGCAAAGGGCTGGCATGTTCGTGTGGCGAGAAGAAGGACAACCACATCTCTGGGCTATTATTTAGCGTAGCGACTCTTCGGTGGCTGCGAAGAGACGGCAAGAGGGGTCTCCGCTCGAAACTTGATCACTCTCTTCGTATGCACGTTGGCTGCCCATAACTAGGTAGTCCGAAAGAGAGCATCGGTGACTCTGCAACGCATCGGGCCCATGGTATACCTAAGTCAAGCTTGGGTGCAAACTGCTTAGAAGTCCAGGTGCTAAGGGAGGGTTCTGCGCCTGATGAAAAACCTCATGCTGCGAGATTAGAAATACTTAATACAGGTACCTACAGGTTAGGAGGTCAGGCAACCTGCTCCTCCAACTCTGGGGTTCCACCAATTAATAAGTAGAGACCTACAATCCATCCACAACTCGGACGCCTCTCAAACGACCGGGATAGGCCAACCAACCCTGGGCTATTCTGAGCCGCCCCGGAAACTACGGATCGCCGTCACCGACGCCTCCGTGCAGATCTCGCGGTACATCAACGGCAGATGTTTGTTGCGTCAGCACACGTACCTGTACATCGAGAGGGCAGCACAATACCCCATTAGAACAAACGAGTAGTATGTGTGGTATACAGGAGGTAGGTAGGAAGGTAGGCAGAGACTCCCTTAATCAAAAGTACCTATACATATCACCTTTGGTCTGGCCCTAAAGTACCCGGTTAAGCTACCTGTACTTACAGGGGGTAGGTGACCTAACCTTAGGTACCTGAGTAGGTACCCAGGTGGGCGGCCGCCTTTCATGCCGTTGGTTACAAGGCATTTTCATAGTCACTCTCCCCGCCTCTACCTCTTCTTCCGACCCTCCTCTGCTGCAGCCTTACGTCTGCGTCACCTCTATCGATGGCCCGTACGCTCCGAGAATGCGACCGAGGCGGTAGGCAGGCCCTTGGGAATCTCACGTTGCCACTTGGGGGCGACCGCGTACATTGTCGGCCGCGCGGATTCGTACGATGTTGACAGGTCGGTTTTGCTCTTCCGGACCGCTCGGAGGAGCGCAGCCACCAGCCTATCCCTCATCATTCGACTCCTTCTACCCTCTCCTTCCTATTCTCCCTCCTTTCGACCTCACCGCTCCCACAAAGATCAACCCGCAATGGCGTCACCTCAGAGCAGGATAGCCGAGTTGGCGGCCGTCGTGGCGACTCATACCCAACGGATCGACAGCTACCTCTCTGAGAAGGGGCTGCCGCCCCCGTCGTTCGAAGCCGACGGCCCCAAAGACCTTGGACTGCCGCCCGATCTCGAACAATCCCGCAGTCTGGTCCTCGACGCGAGCCAAGAACTCAATGACCTCCTCCAGGGACCGCGGAATCTACTCTTCAACCACGAGGCATGTCTGATCTGCTCCTTGCTGATAGACCGGTCCGTAGAGGTTATTAACACATTACCCAATACCTAGCACAATCGCCTCCTCTATCTCAAGCTCATCTCGCGCTTCAATCTCGCCCGCAAGGTACCCGTAGACGGGGAGATCACCTTTTCGGACCTAGCAGCTACCATCGGCATCGATTACGCGGCGCTATGCCGTATCCTGCGCTTCGGCATCGCGTTCCGCGTCTTCAGGGAGCCGCGCCCCGGCGTGGTCGCCCACTCTGCCGCGTCTCGGCAGATCGCGGAGGACGCGAACCTCGCCGACTGGGTCGGGGCTAACGTAGATGAAATGTGGCCGTCAGCGGAGAAAGTTGTCGACGCGCTATCCAAATGGCCCCTCGCTGAAGAGCCCAACCAAACTGTGGGTGGGAGGGACCAGAGGACGTCACGGTGGTAGTCTGCTAATAGTTCCCAGGGCTTCTCGCTGGCCAACGGGACGGACAAGCCTTTCTACCTCGAACTCTCCGAAGATCCCGAGCGCGCGCGGCGTTTTGGCGGTGCCATGAGCTTCTTCACGACCGGTCCAGGATATTCCTTGCATCACCTGACGGACAATTATTCCTGGGATTCGCTCGGCGCTGCCACCGTCGTCGATGTAGGCGGATCCCACGGTGACGCAGCCTTTGCCCTGGCCCGGAAATACCCCAAGCTCCACCTAGTCGTGCAAGAGCTGCCCGAGGTGGTTGCAAACTCGAAAGAAGAAGCCGGCCTCGATGTCAAGTTCTTAGCCCACGACTTCTTCGAGGAGCAGCCGGTCAAGGACGCCGACGTCTATATATACCGTTGGATCTTCCATAACTGGCCTGACAAGTACTGCATCAAGATTCTCAAGGCTTTGATCCCCGCTCTGAAGCGGGGCTCCCGGGTCCTCATCATGGACTTCGTGATGCCACCTCCTTGCGTGCTCCCTAACAGCGTGGAGCGAAAGTTAAGGTGAGTTCTTTCAAAGTCCAGTCGTTATTGCAGCAATTGGGCGCACTAATACACCTCATAGAGCTATGGATGTCACGATGCTCGAGATAGGTAATTCCAAGGAGCGTGACTTGGACGAGTGGAAATCCCTCTTTGAACAGGCAGATCAAAGATTTGCCTTTAAAGGGGTCCAGCAACCGCCGGGTTCCAACCTAGCTATCCTCGAGGCGGCGTGGGAGGGGTGAAATGGGCAATTCATTAGAGAATGAGGTACTTCTCACCGGTCCGCCGCCGGTTTGCGCAGCGTTTAGTCTTTAGCGGTCTAGGTCTGTCATACAGGTTAAATATTGGAGTGTAGGCGACTGTTGGGGGTGTATTAAAAGAGAGATCTTTCGAATTGAAGAATGCTGGTCGTCGATACGATAGGCAACATATTCGTACTATTGCTATCAGAGGCGAAGCCCCCCCTCTCAAACACTGCCCATTCTGTCCGCCGCCCAACTAGATGGAACCGATACGATTTAACAGGTGCGGATTTGCGAGCCGTCTCTTTCCGATCTCATACATTCCCAACGTGCTCGATGACAGAAGGAGTGTGAAAGAAACGCAGGCGTCGGTCAACAGAATAAGCTGATATAGAATAAGCTACCCGCATACTAACCGGGGCCTATTTGTCTTGGCTGTCTGCCTTAAATCTAACCCCACACTCTTAACCGACAGCACATATATACCTACCCATGCCGCTCGTGCGCATCTCTTCGCCCTAGACCACCCCGGAGCTGTGTTGATCATGGCTCAGCAGAGCCCTGGTGGGCAATGCTGGGTTTAGCGTAATATTCAATGTGATGAATAGGTTAGATAGCTATTGTATACGGAATAGGCTCGTGTGTCTCGGTGGGATTCGTCGGGTTTACAGAGACCCGATGAGCCTGGCTTGGTACTTTGAGCCACCGCAACCCCATTCCCCTCCACAGAGACTATAGGGACCATGTTACGTAAAACGTAGACGCCTACATTCACGCTTTGCGGTATGTAGGCTTATATAGGCTGGTTCAACTACTACGTGACAGACCATAAGAGTATAAACCGCGGGCTCGCTTAGCAGAGGCGCCGTTTCCTTCCCCACACCCCCCCCCGGAATGCTACTCCAGCTCGACTACTGGACCCCCACCTACCCCAACTTCCTAGGAGCCGAATAGGCCCAGAGTCCCTAGTCAAAGAGACTAGACGTGGCATTTCGGGTATATTCACGCCGAAGAGCTATCTCGATAGAATACAAATGCCTGCACAAAGGATGTATGTCTTGAGGTCGGAGTTTTACAGGGACACCGCCGCTTTCGAAGCCGATTCGATATGACTCCTTCCTCCTTCCTACTGCTCTCGGTGCTGCCGGCCTTGGCGTTGGCCGCGATCGATAGGTACGTTTTCCGCCCTGGCTTCATAGTCCGCGGAAATCTGACGTGACGAACAAAAACAGACATGCCGTAGTCTCTCGCTTCAACGTCGTTCGGTCGAAGCTCCCGGAGGAAATCACCAATCAGACGACGCCTCTGCAGGTTGGGAACGGAGACTTCGCCTTCAATGTCGACAATACCGGCATGCAGACGTTCATCCCCTTCAACACTCTGTCAAGCTGGGGGTGGCATAACGACTCCATGCCAACAAACGGGTGAGCACAGCGGGATGTACACACACACACACACACTAGTTTAAACGAAGGATAGGGGGCTAACATGCTTCTTCGTAGGGAAAAGCTCAGCGATTATCACGGCGTGGAGGTCCTAACGCACGGCAGAAATATTTCATACGACCTCGAAGACCCAAATCTGCCAGAGATATCCAAGTGGCTGACCGCGAACCCGAATCGCATAAACTTAGGTCGCATCGGTCTGCGCTATAAGGGCGACACCCTCCCTAAGTCGTTGATCACGGAACCGCGGCAGGAGCTTGATGTGTGGAACGGCACCATCACCTCCACCTTCAAGGTCGACGGTAGAGACGTCAAGGTGGTAACTCAGGGAGACTTTGCAACTGATGCCGTCGCCTTCCAGATCGACTCGGACCTCATCTCGACCGGGGACCTCGAGGTTGAACTCGACTTCCCGTACCCCCCGAAGCACAGCGTGACGGCTTCCTCCGATTTCGAGATCTTCATGGGCTCCTATGACTTCCCGCTGAACCACACCACGTCCATCGTCAAGCCTCCTGCTGGGCCCCGCGACGGCGTAGCCCACATACGCCACGAGCTGCAGGAGACGGCGTACTTCGTCAACCTCCGTTGGCCGGGCCGGCAGCCATTGTCGCTGACCCGCGACGAGCCTGCGGGGTCGAGCGCGCGGACGGCCCACCGCTACACGCTCTCAGCCGCGCGACAGCCGTTGCCGCGCGGCAGCCGGGGGCCCGCGGCCTCAATCGCGTTCACGGCGCACTTCTCGCCGGACCTGGCGCTCGCAGCATCGCCGGCGGCGATCCGGCGGCGCAACCTGGAAGCGTGGAACGCGTACTGGCGTGAGGGAGGGTTTGTCGACGTGACGGCGTCGACGAACCCGAACGCGACGGAACTGCAGCGCCGCATCGTGCTGACGCAGTACTACATGCGCGTCAACAGCGCCGCGACCGGCCAGATCCCGCAGGAGAGCGGCCTCGTGTACAACGGCTGGTGGGGCAAGTTCCACCTCGAGATGGTCGTCTGGCACTGCGCGCACTGGGCGACGTGGGGCCGCCAGCGCTACTTCGACCGCATCTTCCCGTCCATGTACGAGGCGCTGCTGCCGTCATCGGTCGCGCGCGCGCGCCGCATGGGCTGGGATGGCGCCCGCTGGCCCAAGATGACGGAGCTCGGGACGGCGGGGATCGCGCCCGGCGAGACGCGGGCCTACCTGATGTGGCAGCAGCCGCACCCGATGTACCTGGCGGAGCTCGCGTACCGGGCCAAGCCGACAGCGCGAACGCTGCGAGACTGGGACGGCGTGGTGACGGCGAGCGCGGACTACATGGCGTCGTTCGCACAGCGCAACGCGACGACGGGGCGGTACGACCTCGGCCCGCCGTCGAAGGGCGTCACCGAGAACTCGTTCCCGCTCGAGACGCGCAATCTCGCGTACGAGATCGCGTACTGGCGCTGGGGGCTCGACGCCGCGGCTCGCTGGAAGACGCGGCTCGGCCAGCACGTCCCCGACGCCTGGACAGCGGTGGCCGAGAACCTGGCGCCGCCGCCCCAGGCCGACGGCATGTACGTGCCGTGGGAGGGCCTCAACGCGTCGTGGTGGGCGGACCCGGCACTGACGAAGGACCCGCGTAGCGTTATCATGCTGCAGGGCATCCTGCCGGACACACCAGCGGTAAGTAGTGGCGGAAGCAGAGAACGGGGTAACGGAATGTGAGTGGGCGAAATTATGGCTAACTGTGCGCCCGCCCGCAGGTCGACCTCGAAGCAGCGTTCCGGACGTCGGAGAAGGTGTGGGAGGTCTGGACCGACGCCAATATCCGTGGTTGGGGGCGGTCGGTGCTGGCGATCAACTCGGCACGGATCGGCAACCCTGAGCGCGCCATCTACCACCTGACGAACTACGGCTACTGGCCGTTCGACGACGCGGGAATGCCTGGCCGGTCGGGACCGAGTGCGTTGGGCCCTCTTCCTTTCCCTCCTCCCCTTCCTCCTCCTCCTCCTCCTCCTTATTCCCAAACCCGCAACCGAATGCCTACCTACTACCCACTAACCGTTGCTGAACGCGTCGATGATACCAAAACTTGACTTGCTAATTGACGGATGCAGACCCGTCCCCGCCGCCGTACTTCCCCGGCGGCGGCAGCTTCCTCTACGCGATCGGGTACATGGCGGCCGGGTGGGAGGGTTCCGAGGGCGACGCGCCCGGTTTCCCCAAGGACGGCACGTGGGTGGTCAAGCACGAGGGCCTGCTCAAGGCGCTGTGAGGGGACGCGTGTCCGAGCAGCGGACGCAGCGGACACCAGAGCCTGCGGTCGGGTTGGTTGAAGCGTAGGACGAGAACGCGCGTACGTGTAGGCCAAAGACGCGGGGACGATACTTGGCAGATTCGGCTTCGTTGGCGGTGATCAATTTAGACGAAACAGGTAGGTAATGCTGAACCGACGACGGCTGACCTAAGCGGGCACGGAGATTGGCGCGTGGGCTATTTCAGGTTAGGTGAGTCAGCCAGCCGGGGAAAAGGACCTCGGGGTGCGGAGAGATATGGGGTGGCCCCTGTCCAGGCCCGCCCTGCGCCCCCTGTGCGCTGCCCCAGTTAGGCCAACGCGTTGCCGCGGACAGGTACCTACTTGCTAGACCCGCGGGTTCCTCTGGTCCCTCACCAGTGGCCCCCTTCGAACCCAGGTTAAGGCCGAGGTCTGATCTGCTTGTCGACCAAAATGAATCGTAATAATTGTTGTCGATTGGACTGGGGCCCGTTCTGTCGTCTTCGCTTGCGTCTTCTCCTCGCCTCACGCCCGCCCCTCCTATATAATGACCGGCAAGCCTGCCTCACCTCGGCTGCTCTCTCTCCACCACCTACCTACCCGGCCTATCTACCTCCTATCTATCTAGGACCTACCTGTCTAGGGCCTACCTGTCTAGGGCCTACCTAACTGCTGCCCTTACTTCACACTACCCGTATACTTACCTATACACGCATCCCACGCCGACAGACAGGTGGGCAGCCGGACAACCGGACAGCCAAGAAGCTCCCGAGGACCGATCTTCGTTTTTTCTTCCTCGTCTTCCTCGTCTTCTTCGTAGCCATGTCGGGGCCTACGTCACGGTTGCGTAACCTCATCGGCCATCTCAGCGCCCCGGCCTCGTCTAGCAAGTCGCCCGTCGGCTTTGACCACGCTCACCACCTCCACCAGCTATCGCCGACTTTCTTCCTTGAGCGCGCCGCCGCCATCGAGCCCGATGCCACCGCCATCTACCACGTCACCACCAACGGACAGGTGCTGCGCCGGTCCTACGGCGAGTTCGCCGATCGCGCCCGCGGCCTGGCCTACTATCTGCGCAAGCACGGCTACAAGCGCGTCGGCGTGCTCGCCACCAACACCCCCGCCTTCCTCGAATCCATCTTCGGCATCAACGCCGCCGGCGGAGTCATCGTGCCCGCGAATTACAGGTGCGTACCGCCCGCGACGCCCCCCTCCCGTGTGTGGTTAGGAGATGGCGGTCTAAACCGCAGGATCGTACACGTAGACTGAAAGCCGACGATGTCACGTATATATTCGAATTCGCCGCCGTAGATTCCATCATCGTCGATAAAGAGTTCCTGCCGCTTCTAGATAAATTCGCGAAGAGCCATCCGAATGTGCCGTTCATCGTCGACCTGGTAAACACAATTCCCTTGCCTAGTTAAGTCCTGGCCACATCCCGAACTCTCGGGCGTACCTTTTCTGTTTCTGTCAGAAAAACAGAAGGAAGACGGGAAGGGAACCAAGAAATCACGTTAGCTGATGCATCGGCCAAGGATACGGACGCGACGGAGGGCGAACTCTCTGGCCCATTCGACGAAGCCGTGCTCGAAGGCTTGAAGCACGATCAAGCCCTCGGAGGCCAGGGATGGGCCGGCCTGCAGGTCCACCCTGCCCACGAAGATGACATGATTGCTCTGCCCTTCACGTCCGGCACGACATCGAAGCCTAAGGGCTGCGTCTACACACATAGAGGCGCGTATCTCGCTGCTCTGGCTAACATTGTCGAGTCTGGCCTCAACGATGACTACGCCAAGTGCAAATACTTATGGACACTTCCGATGTAAGAGTACCTTAGCCATTTAGTAACGTCGATAACTGATAAATTGCCAGGTTCCATGCTATGGGTTGGACGTTCCCGTAGGCCTCTCCCCCGTCCTGGATTGATGCAGCATTTCTTTTTTTTTTTTGCTTTTTTTCTCCAGTATCGGAGGTTACGCCAGCTTACGCAGCGCAGATGGTCGATAACTGCTGTACGAGGGACGCACTATTGCTTAAGAAAAATAGATTACCCCCTCATATGGAGGCTCCTTAAGGAGGAGGGGATCACGCATTTCAATGCCGCACCCACGGTGAACACCCTACTATGCGCTTCGGAAGGAGCTGAAAGGTTGCCCCGGCCCGTCCGCGTCACCGTCGCTGCGAGTCCACCAACAGCACACCTCTTCGAGCAGATGGTAGGCATCCCCGCGAGCCAGGGCCCAATACTTCTCCTAGTCTGACTAACACTCCGCGACCAAATTTCTCATTGTAAAAAAAGACCGATCTTAACCTCCGCCCGGTGCACGTCTACGGCTTGACCGAGACGTACGGTCCGATAACTAAGGGTTACCCAATGCCGGAGTGGGAGACGCTGCCACGGCATGACAAGTACGCGCGGATGGCGCGCCAGGGCCACGGATTCCTAACCAGCCTGTCGATCCGCGTGGTCAAGACAGATCAGCCCGAGGGTGTACTGGTCGACGTGGCGCGCGACGGCAAGGAGATCGGCGAGATCGTCTTCTTTGGCAACATCTGCTGCAAGGGCTACTACAAGGACCCCGAGGCCACGCGGAAGCTCTTCGCCGGCGGCGCCCTGCACTCCGGGGACCTCGCCGTCTGGCACCCGGACGGCAGCGCACAGATCCAGGACAGGGCCAAGGACATTATTATCAGTGGTACGCTTTTAATCCCCCCCCCCCCCCCCCCCCCAAACACCTCCTCTCATACACCCACCCTCGTTCCAAATACACGCGCGCCGCGATTCCGGATAAGGGTAGGAAGACAAGAGGAAATGACCAGGACTAACGCGCGGGTCCCCGAACCTAGGCGGCGAGAACATATCCTCGGTGGCACTCGAAGCGATGCTCGTGCAGCATCCGGCGGTGCTCGAGGCCGGGGTGGTGGCGGTGCCGGACTCGCACTGGGGCGAGCGGCCGAAGGCGTACATCACGGTGAAGCCGGACGGCGACAATGCGGCGCTGCAGCCCCAGGACCTGATCGACTGGGCGCGCGGCCACAGCGCCATTAGCAAGTTTATGGTCCCGCGCGAGGTCGAGATCGTCCCCGAGCTCCCCAAGACGAGCACCGGCAAGATCCAGAAGAACGTGCTGCGCGAGTGGGCTAAGACGGGGCGGACCGCGGCGTGATGGGCGACGGGCGACGCCGGAATTTTGGATAGAGCTGCGATTGTATAGACGTCCGGATATACGGCGTAGGCGAGGAGTCGCCGAGGCTTAAGAGCCGGCGGCGTTCATATCTAGATACACGCGTAATTACAAGCCGACGTACCCATCAGCAGGTTCGACCCCGACGCAGCGACTTCGATAGAGAGCTTGGATAATGATTCAAATGTGATGCGAGGATGGGAGATAAGGATAGCGAAAATAGCTTTCTTGGGGTCTGTATTGCGTGGTACACCGTATGCCAGGTGGAAGCGGGGGTCGAAAAGGGGAGCCAAGGCTTATTGCAGACGCGTCGGGATATGCCGATTCCGTATTACATCGCAGTCTCAGTTATACATATCACACAAGTACCTACAAGTAGAACATCAACCCGCGGCATCATCATCACACCCTGGTGACACGGCGGAACGAATCCACCTTTACCTACGTGAACCACGGGGCCGGGGCCGGGGAGCCTGTCGGCAGCGAGCGCATGCAGCTACCCGAGGGTCGGCCGGCCGGGGCGCCAGCCGCCGACGTCCTGGGAGACGAGTTCGTCCGGGAGGGCGTCCATGGTGGGGCGCATGCCCGGGAGAGGAGACGCAGAGGGAGGTAGATTATATATAAAGACGAGGATGCGCAAGGAATGCTATCGGCAAGATGTACGAGTCGAAGGCGACTATTGCCTCGTATTCTCCCCGCAGGGGGAGCCGGGCAACCGCTTTTTCAGGTTCCGGACGGACCCGGGACTCCAGTCCAGGCGGCAGCAAGTCCCGCTAATTTCATCAAATGCCGGCACTTGGACAGATGCGATGCCAGATCGAGACTATCTATCCAGGCGACTTGTCATATGTGCTATGCAGTACTACTGACTACCTGCGTAGGATGCCCGCATGAATATGCACTGTAGGAGGTAGGTAATACCAGGCCCGAACCCGAAACCCATAGAAAAACAACACAGGCCCGTTTTACGTCTGGGCATGTTCTCTCCCCGTCGACTAGCCGGCAATCGATCCCAAAACCGCAACCATAAATAAATACCCAATGGCAACCGCAAACCGCAAAGTACCAGTCAAATCATCTATAACTTATCATATAGAACCTACTACTCTCTGTAGGTATGCGTTACAGGCCGTAGTAGTCGTTATGTTACTATTACTTAATGATATTGAAGATATAGCAGCCGAACCGCCCCGTCGAAACCAGCTCGGCAACAATACACCAAAGACCGCCGACAGCTCCGCACAGAACCCGGTCCCGCTGGGGGGGGGGGGGGGGGGGCACTTCACCCTTCACAATATGCATGATCACTTTCCGAAAGCCGTCCCGGCTGCCTCTCCAGTAGTCCTGGGAGGCATCGAGCCCGTCTCTGGAGCCGAGTCGGGTTGGGAGAAGGCGTCCGAGAAGCGATCCTCAAGTTTTCAACTACAGACAGAACTTACCCGAACCCCGGTAGGGGCGATACGTCTATTCGGAGCATCCCCTTCAACCCCACATCCCCCCTCCCCTCCCTTCTTCGGCGAGAGACGTTGATGAACTAAATACGAATGGATATATTATTTCCTTTCCCCCTGTTTACCCTCCCGTTCCCCTCCCTGTTCCCCCGTTCTCCCTTTACCACCGCCCCTCCCCATTCGCGAACAGGACGATGTCGATATCGCATGGCGCGCATTTGACGCTTTATTTCCTTCTCTCTTCCCTACCTCATTCCTTTCCTTTTCGTCCCCTCCGTGATTTCCTTCGTTTTGCTGGCCAGGTAACAGGCAGATAGGTATAATACACCGACCGTCGTCATCGTACACTATGGGAGCGGGGAGAAGGGCCGAATTACCGAATCGAACTCACGGGCGTGGGCGGGGCGCGTCCAGAGGAGCCGATATAGATCAGAGGAGTTGGGCCCCCCCCGACTCATCTGTCCCGCGGCATAGGCGGCAGGCGACAGACGATGAAACTTTCGCCTCCCTCCAAATATAGCCACCCATATATAGATATATATGCCTATACAACCAATGGCGGATGGCATTTCGCCGTCCCAGGGAGAAGAGGGAGGAAGGAGGAGGGGTAGGGCCACGATGTGACCCGTCGTTTTACCTTTTCCCTAACCCCCATCTGTATATCCGATCCTGTATCTCCTCCCACGTTATCGGCTTCGACGAGCTGAACGGGTCCAGCGCCTCGTGCAGAACCACGGTCGGGGCCCCGCTCCCCAGGCCCTTGTTCCGGACCTGCCCTCCGACGACCATCGTAGCCACCCTGCGGAGGTCCTCGATCGAGAGCGCCTCGATCTTCTGGCACATCTCCTGGATCGGCACCTTGCGGCCGTGCACCTGCACCTGTCGGCCCAGATCCTCGAGCTCGACCGTCCGGCTCTCCAGGTTCATCAGCAGGCTGGAGCGGAGCTGGTTCTTGGCGCGGCTGACCTCGGCATGGCCGAGGCGGGAGAAGCCCGTATGCACGGTGAGCGCTCTCAATTCCTGGCATATGGAGTCGAGCATATGTTGGGTGCGGCCCGGCATGCACTGGGCGGAGATCCCGAAGAGCCCGGAATCGGTGTAGGAATGGTTGAAGGCGACGCAGGACTCTACCCAAGCATGCTGATTGAGGACGTTGGTATACAGCCTGGAAAACATACCCTTTCCGGGTCCGCCGGCGGAGAAAGACCCGCCCCCGCCGAGGAGGGTGTTTATCGTCGCTAGCGCATAGACGTCGTCCGAACCAATAGGCAATCCTTCGAAGGCGATGTGGATGTGGGTGAAGGTTTGCTGGTTGGGGATTGTGGAAGGAGGCTGAGGAGGCAGCGAAATGAAACCACCGGTGTAGTGAGCCGGCTTGGTGATCTCTTCTAGGCTGGGTGGCGTGACTACTGGTGAGCTCCATAAGGAGGCCTTGTGGCTTGCGGAGGTGGACAGGTTCTTGAACAGGGGTATCTTGGATATGAAACTTGAGGCCGAGGCTGAGGACGCAGAGGAGTGCGCCGAGGAGGAGGAGGCCGAGGCCGCATCTAGCAACGACGGGTCTACGGATGTTTCCGATCCTGCGCGTGATGTGGATTGTTGGGGATCTTTCATATCGCCGAAATATTCTGTCGCTAGATCCACAGCCTGGGAGTGTGGGATGCCTGCGAAGGCTACGACGGTCTTCCGCGGGCGGTAGAATGTATCTCGGTACGTCCGGATCGCCGCGCCGTTGATTTCTGATATCCGCTCCTTAGGGCAGAGCAAGGGGTTGCCCAGGGTGTTGCCCTTGAAGGCGGCCATGTGCACCAGCTCAGGCAGGATAAGCTCCGCCTTCTTCCAGATCTCATTGACCTCGTATTGGGCCGTCATCAGCTCGGCGGCAATCTCTTCGTTCGTGATCAGGGGGTTTTGGATGGTGTCGGCGAGAAGCTCGGTGGCCTTCGGAACGGCCGAGTTGAAGATGGCGGCTTGATACATCATGGATTCTCTCGAGGAGACACATTGTATGCCGCCGCCAAGCTCCGCCGCTATCTCATGTATCTCCTCGGCGCTCTTGTTATAGGTGGAGTGAAAAGCCAGCCGGTCCACGATGTGGCTTACGCCGGTCAAGTGACTATTCTCGAATCTCGATCCGCCCTCGATGAAAACGCCAACGCCGGAAAAGGAGCCCGGGAGGGCTTCGGAGGCCACCCGTATGCCATTGGGCAAGGTGGTTACTTGGTCGAGCTGCGTCGGCTCCTGCTCGCTCGCCGTCAGCGTGTTGCCGCTTCGATGTTGGTCGTAGGAAGATGGAAAAATACCTGTGCACTGGGAATGTCCACGGTGGCTAATGCACGGATCTGCTGCGGCCGAAGCAGCCTAGCCCATGGTCGCGGAGAGGCGAGGCGGGCTCGAGTTGAAAACCTGGACAAGCTGGCTCGAAACATACTGAGGGCACGAGACTTGCGACACGCAGCATAGGAAGGGCCAGACAGTAAGAAAAATGACAGTGATGAGAAAAAGTCAAGGGCTGTAGGGATGCGTTATCGGGATCTTATCAAACCAGCCCTTTTTCTCAGGCCCGCTTGGATTGGCCCCCACATTGTCCCCCGTTACGTAAATAATGTAGGTACCATTCACTGCATTACAACTTCATTACTAACCCTCTTAATGTGACTAAGCTTTGCCTAGTCAAGCTTGGACATCACACCGCCTGCCTCTTCTACGTAGTTCTGCCGCATCGCCCCTCCATCCCGCCCAGTCCCGGCGTATCGACGGTAGAGGTATTCAGTATCAACGGGAATACATATGGATCCCTAGGCGAGTGTGATGTTGCGTTGCAGCAGACAGTAAGCGAAAATGGAACAAGGAATCTAGCCTCTCCGCCGATCGCGTATCTGTGATTAAATCGCCGATTGCCTACCTATACTTACCTACCTAGGTTACGCGATATTTACACTAGCCGCACTTATTTATCAGCCAATCCCGAACACCTCGCCATGTCCTCGTCCCAGTCCAAGCCGGCCCACCTCGAGCCCTCAGAGCTCGGCACCAAAGAATAGTACGTCCGGCTGCTCTCCCTCCTCCGTCCAATGCTTCTCCCGTCTGACCTCGTCCGCCGCCCGCCGCCAGCTGGGACAACCTCTACGCCGCCGAGCTCTCCAACCATGCGCACAACCCGGCCGACACCGGCACCGTCTGGTTCGACGACTCCGACGCCGAGGCGAAGCTGACCGCCTTCCTAGCCTCCATATCCTCGTCCCCCTCGTCCCCCTCGTCCTCCTCCTCGGCGGCGCCCTCCGATGACGGCGACGAGCCGCTGCCTCGCCCCGCCCTCTCGCCCCCCCTCGAAAAAAACACCACCGCCTTCCTCGACCTCGGCACCGGCAACGGCTCGCTGCTCTTCCGCCTGCGCGACGCCGGTTGGCGTGGGCCCATGCTCGGCGTGGACTACAGTCGCGCGAGCGTCGAGTTTGCGCGGCGCATCTCCCTGTCGCGGGCCTCTTCCTCCTCTGCCGCCGCGGCGTCGATAACCTTCCTCGAGCACGATGTCCTGCGCGCGTCGCCCTCCGGCCTCCTCGCCGGCTCTCAGCAACCGGATGGGTGGGACGTCGTGCTCGACAAGGGCACCTTCGACGCGGTCTCTCTCTCGGCCGAGACCACCTCCGCCTCCCCCTCTCGCTCCGTCGCTACCGGCCGCCGCGTCGCCGAGACCTACCGCTCGCGCGTTCTCCCGCTCGTCCGCGCCGGTGGCTTGTTCCTCGTCACGAGCTGCAACTGGACGGAGGATGAGCTACGGCGTTGGTTCGAGGGCGACGACGAAGATGACCAGGACGTAGGGGGAACGGTGGAAAGTCAAGCTGGCGGCGGCGGCGAAGAGAGAGCTATTCCACGGCGGCACTGGCGGTTCGAATGTGTCGGCCGTGTCGAGTACCCCAGCTTCAGCTTCAGTGGCATCAAAGGTCAGACCATCAGCAGCCTGTGCTTTAAGAAGGTCGTGACTTAGCCTGCCTCTGACGGCGTATGTTGGGCTCGCGGCAGTGTCAGGACCTGTTGGAGACACTGCCGTCGTCTCAATTTTTGCTGGTATGATTGCAACATGTGGCTAGAATCAAAAACACAGAAAGAGAGAAGTGATACCCAGAATAGAAAAAAACCTAATTTATAGAATTGGGATAGAACGCAAGCTACGTAAGAGCTATCACCATAGCAATCTCTGCTAGGTCTCCTAGAAAAGTGCTGAACCCTTTTTTTTTTTTTGATTTGCCTCTATTCTTACATGTACCTGCATTCACCTGCCCTGCCACTCGGTGATGACAATGGCGAGGACGATGACGGTCACCAGCGCCCTCCTATTCCTCCCCTTCTCCTTTTCAACATTTAAAACTATTGTCCCCATCGCCTTCGTCGTTGTGGTCATGATCCTCTATAGAAGCTAGTGCACATAACTTTTCGAGGTCCCGATTGGGAGAGAATAGGGCCGAGGGGTTCTCTAGACTAGCGACGAGCGGCACGTAGAGCACAAGCCTCCGCAAACCAAATAGACTCTAGGCATTTTGATGACCGCGTGTGCTTGCTTGCCTCTCCCATACACGTCTTTTTTGTTTACTCTAAAAGCAAAACCCCTCGAAATCTAGGTATATTCTGAAGGGTCTCGTGCACGAGTTCGAGGTACGTCATTTCGGGGTGACGATCTCTCGAATGGTGCAACTTAGGGACGTTCTAGTACATGGTCGCACGTTGGGAAGGCTGCTGCTTTCTCTTCAAAGTTTTCGCTCATCTATGGCGATGTGTTCATAGGATCCCCGCCCATCCCGTGAATTCCTGCTACCGCGGTCGTAGCGAAGTAACGCACATCAACGTCGTCGTCCTTCTGCAGCTTCTCTAGGCTCGGGAGGATACGCTGCTGGATGAGCTCGGTCGCGCGGGGCGAAGCCGTGGTATTTGTCGTTCCCGCCTTCTCCAGACTGTAGATAGTGCCTTCGTCCGGGAGTCGCTTCAAGACGTCAATGAGCACGGCGTATGTCTTCGCCACATTAAAACGTATGTTAGGGATCTCGTCATCCACGAGCTTCTCTAGCATGGGGAGAATCGATTTGCCGATGACGTCCAGGCTCACTACCGTGGCCAGAGTCTAAAGAGAGTTAGGATACGGAGTAGGAATTTTTGAAAAACGGGACGGTGCAGAGCGAACCACTTACCGAGATCGCGAAGCAAGTCGTCATCCGGTACAAGTAGTTGGGGTGGGCTCCCATAGCCATGACCTTGGGTATGATGGCTTCACTGGCCCATTCGACCCCGAAGACTTCGGTGAGCTTCTTTAGGTTATGAGTAGCCGCCTCCCGGATTGAAAAGACGGTATCCCCGAGCCACCCCATGCACAACGAACTCAGCTTCTCGTCGAAGAAACTAACTCCGAGTTGGCTGGCAAGGAGGGGGATATACTCTATGATAGCGAGCCTCACTCTCCATTGCTTGTCCTCCGCGAGCTGTACGATGGCAGGCAGGAGGGATTGTGAGAGCAAGTCGATGCCGATGACTAGCAACATCAGCATTAGGGGGGAGCCCTCCACATGTCAAGATGCGGCGATACGTGCCTTGGTTGACCAGCTCTAACTTAGAGATGATATGCAGACGGACTTCAGGAAATTCGTCCTTCAGCATCTGCAGAAACATGGGGAGGAGGTGATCAATAGTCCTAGCATGCATTAGCGCTCAGCCATCTTGCTGAGATGAAGGGGAGTCCCTACTCCTGCTTGCCCAAAATTGGTGCCAGACCGCTGATCTGAGTGCCGAGAGCGGCACGGACGTGTTGGGAAGTATCGGAGACCAGATCCTCGATCGAACCCATCATATTGTTGAGGAGTGTGTTCCTGTCAACCAGGCTGCAGAAGCCGGGAATCTGGCCAGCAATGGCAGTTCTGACTTCAGCCTCGTTGTCCTTCAGCATCTTGACAAAGGCAGGCACCAGGTCTCGAGAAACGACCTCCTCATCGACGGCCTTGGCAATCTATACGACTCAATATCGTCAGCTCGGATCGTGATTCACGTACCGCCCATATGTCCTGAAATGAGGAAGGGGGGAGGGGAGCCCGTACCTTCTCAAACCTATCGGCGATCATGTACCGAACTCTCCAGCTCTTGTCCTCTATTAAATTTCGTAACGACGTGAGCAGGACACCGTGGCTGCCCTGTTGCTCCTTAGGCACCGCTTCGGCGATAGAGATGAGGATTTCTACGGTGAGTAACCGCACGCTGTCCTGGTCATCCTGCGCGAGGTGTTGGAAGAGGGGTATCATCTCTTCGATCACGATGGCCGCGGGCATCTCCTTCACGAACTTAGCCATGTTGGTGGCAGATTGTCTTCGGACCATCGGAGTCTCGTCGTGCACCAGGAGACCGAATTGCTGGCGAAGCTGCTCCTGAACAGGCGGAGATACCTTCTTGTACGGACTCGTGTAGAGGCCACAGCCAGAGACCTTAGAGGTGAACCAGTCTGCCTTGGAGAGTCGGATGGTCAGTGGGATGAAGTATTCTTCTACTTGCTGGGGCGACAGCTGGTTGCAGATCTTGTTGAGGGACTCGACAGCCTGCAAGGACCGGTTAGTAGAGGGTGGAAGGGGCCTTGCAGCTTCCGCAGACGGACCTTATCTCGGACGACAGGCTCTTCGATCGCTGCGAGGTTCTCGAGAGGGGAGAGAAGGACGTGGCCATACTGGGGGCCGCCGACATATTCGATGAAGTTGCCCAGCTCTTCGCTGAGAGCCACGAGGACCTCGTCCTCATCCTCGACCGACTCTGGTCGCGGCTAGTTAGATGATGCTCTCGAGATAGACACTCAAGGTGGAAGAGGGGAGAGAGAGGGGGGGGGGGGGGGGGTTGTAGTTGGCTGACCGTCTAGGAAGGGGATGAGCTCGTCGCGGGTGCGCTCGGCGCCCAGTGCGAGCGCGATGGTGGAGAGGCGATGGATGGCATTCAGTCTGAGGAGTACATCGTCGTGCTGGCGGCAGAGTCATCAGAGAGAGAGAGGCTAGCGGAGCCCCGAGAGGGAGTCTCGGGGCAGGGGCTGTTGGCCGGGGGGGGGGGGGGGGGGGGGTCACCGCCTTACCTTCAATTCATCTATGAGCACGGCGATGGGGTAGAGCTCATCGTTCGCATTTGGCGCGTCAGCCATGTCGAGAGGCAGGCAGGTATGCAGTGCCGGGGACGCGAGAGGCCGGAGGTGATGAGGCTGAAGGGACTTGAGGTTGGCGGATTGCGATGCTGCTGATCGCGTGGGTGGAGTGATGCAATGAATTAGGTCGATGTCGGGTCAAATTGGCGACTGGACAAGGGGAAAGACGGGAGGGACCAGCCAGACCAGACCAGACCAAGAGGCGGGATCGACGTTGCTCGTGCTTCTGCACGAGAAGGGGGAGAGGGAAAAAAAAGAGAGAGGAGAGATCTGAGGTCGACTGCGATGCTAGGTCAACGATGTGCTAGAGGGTTGGCCGTGGGTCTGGTCTGCCGAACTAGATCATCGAGGGGTATCATCAAAGGCAGGTAAGGCACTTTGTTTGGTGGCGGGTTCGGATTCTATTATGATCCAAAAGAGCGAGTTCGACTTGTCTCTGGTGGATGATGATAGGTTTAAGGCGGGCTGGAGCTACTACTACGTACTCCTTGTGCACTATGAGAGGTACCTTTAGGGAGCCAGACAGGCAGGTATCGAATGTACATGCCTACCTTCCCTGTACCTCCTGGTGGGTAGGGGTTTATGTACACCAGCGTAGGGGATGCTGGTGTCAGGGCACATCCGTGTACCTGCGATGTACGCACCGCGCAGTACTTGCTAAGTTTCATTTCCTGTCTGTGGACCTGGCCTGGGCCACTTTTGGTAACGTGCCCACCTCCCCCTTAGGTTTAGGTAAAAACCTACCTTAGGTAGGTACCGACGCTTACCTGCCCCGGTACTGCGATGGATACTGCGATGCTAGCACTGATAGCGGGAACCTACCTACCTAGGTAGGTACCTCCTACGAACGGGCTGGTATGGTGCGGCCAGGCGGACTTCTTTGTACCTATGTCAGGTACCTGGGCACTGATAGAAGGGTGTGTGGCTTCTACGATAGGAAACGCAGGCAGATTTCTGCCACAATCTGCCCCACTTCGCGCATCTACATATAAATATATCAGTATATGCCTAGGTACATCGGCCCATATACACCTTTCCACACATCGATTTGTACGTGAAATTCGGTTAGGTAGGTAGCCTCCGTGTCTCTTCCCTACATGTGCATATGCAGTTACAACTCTCTTACACCCGCGTTACCCCTATTATTAGTATTAGCCCAGTTCCCTTACTCCCATGTAAGCCTACCTAACCTACTTACTGACCTACATAAACCTCATCGAAATAGAATGGATCTTACTACATTCGGTACTTAACCTCCTCCATTTCTTGCTGAGGATGAGGGAATGCCTGCCAACTCGTTGGATACCTAACTCAGGCATAGAGGCAGGCAGACGGTTGAGAATTAGCAATTGCTGATGTGAGCACAAGCCGAGCATCATTCTGAAAAGCATGTCTGGTAGTCGGGTCCAACTCTCCTCCTCTCCCTCCTAACCCTCCTCTCCCTTCTAACCCTCACGCGAAACGCAACGGGACTTAAATGCAACGTCGCCTGTCGTGACACAGTTGGATGATGAGCTGTGATGTCACTCGAGAGCTCTCTGCCCCCGTCCCAGAAGGGGAATCCTGTCTGGCAGCTGAAAATTTGCATGCCCGGGGTTCTCCCTCTCTCAGGCATTATCGTCTCACCACCCCGAAGCTGACAGTCCACGTCAAATATTGGACATACACTAACGGATGATATCGATCTATCCTGGAAATAAACATATTTGTATATGAATGCTTCTGCCCAAGTTCGTCCTTATAATTACAACCAACGCCCACCACACCGTATGTCATTGTTACAGAGTTCAGCTCGACGCTACATAGTATAATCCAACACGGGATGAGATTGTCTGCCTCCTAACCTCCTATAGAACCGTGTCTATAAGCATGGCCTTCTTGACGGCCGAAATACCAGATTTATTTGCATGGTCCCTGACGAGCTCGGGCGCCTACATCATTCCTATATATGTACATGTGCATGCATGTACGCATCACATATGTACGCATAAGTACTGCGTAATTATAAGGCCGTGGATGCCTATCACGCTCATGATATACATGCATCTACCCAGGTCCTTACGTTAGAAGAGGTACCTAGGTACCTACCTACCTTTTAGGTACCTACACCTTTGATGGGGCTCATCAGCGACCTCTAGGTGGGTACATTAGGTACCTCCCATTTCCACCAGTGAGGTACCCCCTACCGTATGGGGTGTATATACGGGTCCCGGTATGCATATACGCATGTTGTCTACTCTCTACCTCCGATAACACTACTTAACAGTAAATTGGGGTAAAATGGTATTGCATAATCCCATATGGATGGCGGGGTTGCAGAAGGAAGTTGCTCGCAACCCCCTCCACAAGGTATGAATTTCTGAAATCGACGAGTGAGTCAAAAGTCGATCCGACTTTGAACTTCCCAACCCGAAATCGCGCCAGACTCCCCCAGACACAAGGCTCTCCCCCTTCTCCTCGCATTGACCCTCCCAGAGGGGCCAATATCGAAGATGCCTACCGTATCAGTAGACAAATATGACCTCTTCGAGGCTCTGGGTCAACAGTGCGTAGCTCCCCTCGCTGATCCCGTCCGTCGTCGTCACCCCCACCCCCCGCTAATATCGGGATCCGTTAAGATACACGACCACCGAGTTCGAGGACCTCTGCTTCGAGTTCGGTATCGAGCTGGACGAGGACACCGAGAACGATGAGAGGCCGATAGTGGATGGCGTGCAGGAGCCGCCGCAGCTCAAGATCGAGATCCCCGCCAACCGCTATGACATGCTCTGCTTTGAGGGCATCTCTCTCATGCTCAACATCTTCCGCGGCAAGCAGGCTGCCCCGAACTTCCGCCTCGTCCAGCCGAGGAACGGCGAGATGCAGACGATAACCGTGCTCGAGGATACCGCCAAGGTCCGCCCCCTCGTCGCCGGCGCCATCCTACGTGACGTTAAGTTTACCAAGAAGAGCTACGACTCCTTCATCGCCTTGCAGGACAAGTTGCACCAGAACCTCGCGCGGCAGCGCACCCTCGTCGCCATCGGTACCCATGACCTCGACACCGTCAAGGGCCCCTTCACCTACGAGGCCCGCCCACCCAAGGACATCAGCTTCGTCCCCCTCAACCAGACCAAGACCCTCGACGGTGAGCAACTGATGGCCTTCTACGAGAAAGACAAGCACCTGGGGAGGTACCTGTACATCATCCGCGACAAGCCTGTATACCCGGTCATCTATGACGCGAACCGCGTCGTCTGCTCGTTGCCGCCCATCATTAACGGCGACCACTCCAAGATCACGCTGAACAGCCGCAATGTCTTCATTGAGTGCACCGCCACTGACGCGACCAAGCTCGACACCGTTATCAACATGATGGTCACCATGTTTTCCGTCTACGCTGCCGAACCCTTCACTGTTGAGCCCGTCAAGGTCATATCTGATCACAACGGGCAGACGCGCATCACGCCGAACCTATCGTCGCGCACCGAGACAGTTGAGGTCGACTACATTAACGGCTGCCTCGGACTTTCGGAGTCCGCCGAGAGCATATCTGCGCTGCTTACTAAGATGGCCGTGACCGCGCGGCCGTCGGACGCCGACCCAGCCGCGCTCATCGAGGTTACTATCCCGCCGATGCGCGCCGACATCCTGCAGCGGTGCGACATTATGGAGGACGTCGGCATCGCGTACGGCTTCAACCGGCTGCCGCGCATCTCGGTGACGAAGACGGTCGGTGCACCGCTGCCGCTTAGCAAACTCGCCGACATCGTCCGGCTCGAGTGCGGCCTCGCCGGGTGGACCGAGGTGATGCCGCTGATCCTGTGCAGCCACGACGAGAACTTCGCCTGGCTCAACCGGCGCGACGACGGGCGTACGGCGGTGCGGCTCGCGAACCCCAAGACGGCCGAGTACCAGATCGTTCGCACGTCGCTGCTACCCGGGCTGCTGAAGACGCTGCGGGAGAACAAGGGCCACAGCGTGCCGGTCCGCGTGTTCGAGACGTCAGACGTCGTGTTCCAGGACCCGGCGGTGGAGCGGCGGGCGCGCAACGAGCGGCACTTCGCCGCGGCGTGGTGCGGCAAGACGAGCGGGTTCGAGGAGGTGCACGGCCTGCTCGACCGCGTTATGGCGATGCTGCGGCAGGCCTTCCTGACGCACGAAGAGGGGCTGGCGTCGCCACCGGGCAAGGACATCGACTTTGCGGTCACTCCCGCGCACGAGAAGCGAGACGGATATTGGCTCGAGCCCATCGACGACGAGCCCACATTCTTCCCCGGCCGCGCGGCCGCAGTCCACCTACGCCTCGGCGGCAAGGCCGCGCGCGTCGGCGAGTTCGGCATCTTGCACCCGTCCGTGCTCGAGAACTTCGAGCTCAAGTACCCCGTCAGCACGCTAGAGATCAATCTCGAGGTCTTCCTGTGACGGAGACGGACGCGGCGGCGACAGCGAGAATAGCGAGACCAGTCGGGTAACGCTTTTAGGGACAGGGGGAGACGATCTGGCCACAGGCAGGTGTCGGGGCATCTCAGGAGATAGCGCCTATTTAAGCTATCTCGCGGGGACGACGGCCGGCTGGTTCGGCAGCTTACCTACCTAGGTAGGTAACGAATCACCACCACTTACGAGCCCGCCTCCAGATCGAGGGCGGAGGACGAAGGGCAAGCAGGTGAAACCAGCTGAGATCTGTTCTCTGCCGGTCCGCGATGGGATTTTGGTGGCGGATATACCCACCTAGGAAGAGCTTTTGCAAGTAGCCTGTAGCGCGAGTAAGTATACTAGAAAGGGAAGAATGGGAATTGGCGAGTGAGTAATGAATGATCAATAATACCCTGCCTCCGTCTTCACGATTCGTACGCACGGCGTCGATTATACTTGGCCACCGTTCTACTATATTCCCTGTCCTCGGTCTTGTTTCGCGCGATTTCTCTGTCTTGCTTTTCCTATACCTATCAAAATCCTTACTGCATATAGCCAGGTATCCCTAGGCCCTTGTGTAGGTATTCGTCTTGTCCGTATTTCCCCCCTCGGCGGCCTATCTTAGTCTCTATAGCACGGCAGGTATATCGCACAACCAGCCAAGACAAGACACATCTTCAGGACCGCCCTCCACACAAGGACGGTCCCGAGGCGACCCAGCCCTGCCGGAATACTAACGCGAATCCCTCGACATGGACTTCCAATATAGAATCCGTTCCGACGACCTCTCTCTTCCTTCCTATCCCCTTCTCCAACTACTCCACCTCCCAGCCCGCCCCTATTACCCTAGACCTCGCACCTCACCCGAGCACGGACTCACCCGACGACGCCAACAACGACAGCAGTAAGACGGCATATCTATTATATTTCTCTTCTCTCGCCTCACCCAGCTGCCCGCAGAACAGCAGCGACATCATCAAACAACTACAATAACAAGAACGAGATTGGCGGCCATAACAACACCTAGGCCTGTATTCTTACAATACCAGTGTCACGAGATCACATACCAAGGCGATGCCGCAATGCCCAATTTCTCCCTCCTGTCTCTTCTCGCTTCACGCACACGGCCTAGTACTCACAGTCGCTATCGTGGACGTCTTAACTCGCCTCTGCAAGCCGCGCACATACGTGGCTGTCCGATGTGCGAAAGACGGCCCCCGAGAGCGGCAACAGTAACAAAAACATATTCGTTCTCATGAAGTCACCTCCGTACTGTCCCCCTTCTCGCCATTACCCGCCCTTGTCAATGACGACATGTCCGTCATCTCCTGTTCCCCCGTACTACTCCTCGGAGTGGCAGTATTCTTCCCGCTGCTGATGCTGCTGCTCTCTCCTCCGGCGGCGCTATTATTCGATGATCCGGCTCCGAACAATCCCCGTCCGAGATCTAAGCTGGCGACGCCGTCTCTGAGTTTGGAAAAGTTCGTCGCGAAGGCGCCGGGCGTGTCGGCACTGGCGCTATGCTTGAGACTTGCTGGCTGACTTTCCGCTGCTCGGTCCTGGGTGAGCGCCTCGTGCGCAGATTCTACGCCTGTGAGCACACTCTTGCTCTGGGTTAAACTTGCGGGTTGGGTATGAGCCGACGACCGCGATGATCTGCCACCGCTGTTTGGCGTCGTCGTACCGGTCACCGTGTAGCTGCCGATCCTCTCGTCCATCGTCGAAACTAGATCCAGATACTCATTCATCTCCGCATCCGTCCTACCGAAAAGCTGGTACCACCAACGCACCTCGGATAGTTTCGGGAACAGAAGTCTCTCCCGGCCGCTTTGCCTGTCATCGATTGTCGCGTCGTAGTCCCGGTTCACAAATTCCGGCTTTCGGGATAAAAAGTAATCCCACACCGACCTCGTATTTTCACTCGCACGGGCGTCCTTCCGGGCTTTTTCGCTGTTCCACAGAAACGTCCCGTACTGTCCAGCGTAGAGGTGGTAAAGGAGCCGTCGTAAAAATCGCTCGTTGAACTCGAAACGATTGGGATGTTGTCGTAGGAGCTGATAGGTGGCATCGAGAAACTGGTGGAAAACAGGGGATATCTCAGTCGGCCGGGTAGCTTCGCTAGCATCCGAGGTCCCCGAGGCGGGCTTCTTAGTTGGCGATGGGTCTTCGGGTGGTGAACTAACACCGTCACCGTCAGATTCGACGTTGCTTTCGCTACTACGGTTCTTGAAGAAACGTTTTGCGCTAGCGAAGGCATTTTCTAAGGCTTCTCCGGCACGGCCGTCTGACTCCCCAGGTTGTAGCGTAGAACCAGCCAGGGAATCCCTTTCGCAGGTAAACCACTTCTCGCAGTTCAAGGGGCCGGAGCGTTGTGCAAACATGTGTCCGAATGCCAACCAATCCTTTTCGACCAGTATGATGAATCCTTCGATCGTACGGTAGTAGGGATCCAGCATCAGCTGTGATAGGGCCGAGAGTTGGCTGGTACGGTCCCAACCATCGGAGCAATGTATCAAGACGTGCGAATGCCTTATGCCCACCTGGCGCGCGATCAACGCCGACCCGTCGAGAATACCGGTGATATGCTTGAGCCAGGCGCTTTTCGCGAGCAGTTCGCGATTCGGAGGTAGGCGGGAAATGTCACCCTCTTTGAGGGCTTCTATGACGGTGTTGAGCGAGTCTCTCATGACATGAATATTCTCGATATTCAGGTACGCCTTCTTGGCAAATTTATAATACTCCATATTTTCCGACCCTTTCCCCATTGCCTGCATTACAACCGCGTTGATGGTGGGCCGGGCATCCACGATGAGATTGCTTTGCTGCGCACCGTAAACCAGCCGCTTCCCGGTTTTAGAATCGTAATTAGAATCGTTCCCAGCGATGAGATCATCTTCGAAGCGCTCTGTATCCGATGTCTCCGCTTCCAGACTGTCTTCCCCCAGGTCTACCTGACTGGTAGCTGGACTGGGCTCTGTCGTTTCCGGAGCGGAAGCATCTATTCCATTAAACTCAACGGTAGCGGACGCAGAAAAACACGCGCTGACAAGCTTCTCATCCTGGATGCTACGATTCCCTCTGAAGCCCACCATCGGCTGCGAGCTTCGCGTTATGGAGCAGTTGTTAAGGGAGTGAAGATAGGTCAAAACAGGTATGCGCTGTCTGGACCGGTACGAGCCAGCATATTTTATGACATTGTCGGAGATCTTGGAGGGCACAACAAGGAGCCCTGGATAAGTCGGAGAGAAGGTGTAATCCTTGTTTATCAGAGAGATCCTCCAACCCCTGTCAACCGACTTGTTGCTAATCCCCTGACGTCGGAACTCGGCCCTCGGATCGTATAGACGCCACCCGTCGAACGGCTTCTCGAGCTTCAGGGGTTGGTAACTGAAAGCATACAACTTCTCTATCGTGCCCAGGCGACACGTGCGATTTCGGATGTGTTCAAAGGCTTCCCGAGCACGGAGCTCGTCGAGGAAGTTGAAGTTGATAAAGATGAAATCTCTACACCGTAGTCTTATGGAGGACGGCCGCCCAGTAGCGCTGGGACATGGTCGAAAGATACAGTTGCTGATTATGGGGTAGGCGATGTAGAGCTCACGTGTCTTCGGAGCACTTGGTTGTGATGGTGCATCGTGGGTCGGGGCATTCGGGAATACGAATACTAGGTGGTGGTCTGTGAGATGGAGCTCGCCGGAGTGTATCTCGCCGCCCCGGACGGCATCGACGTTGGGTAGCTATCAAGACCCACCAAGGGTTAGTTAGCAGTCAGCGGCAGGGTAGCAACAGCATCGAATATGACAGAAAGAGGCCATAGCAACCTTCTTTATATGCATTTTGAATCAAGGAGGCGGCACGCGCTGTTGCATTTGCTCCAGGGAACTGGTGAGTGCCTGAGAGAGGAGTGGTGGGAGAGGAAGAACCGGCAAAGCCAGATGGAGAGGGGTTCACGACCAAATAAGAAAAAGGTCTGAAGGGTGGAAGAATGGAAGAGGATTATATGTTATTTGGTGGGCAATGAATGGCTATGCAAGCCTGACAGATCAGCGCCTGGACGGGAGGGCAGTAAAAGGACGAGAAATGCTGGCATCTGGCAGAGCACACACTGCACTCGGAGCAGACCCAGCATCTCAATGTCAAGCGCGACGGGAGGTAGCGAGGTAGAAGGAGTGGTGGGAGTGGTCACATTGTTTCAGCCAGACGAGCAGATGGCCGAGGCGGTTGAGGAGGCGATAGGTGTGTGCGCGTGTGTTATAAGTAGCTGTCTGCGTCTGGGATAGGGCGATGGATGATGGATGGGACGGTATAGAGGGATAAGATGGACGGGTGGATAGATGGATGATGGGGACTTCCATGATAAGCTACCTAGGCTTTTCGACAGCCAGGGACGGCACAGTATCAGCAGGTACTCCTTGTGGCTGCAGGTCTGAGGTACTGGTTCATGTTGTACCCAAGGCCAAATACTTCCACCACGCTTCCACCACGGGTATCGACAAGCTGGTTGCTTACCCGTATCCCATATCGTGCTAGGCTGTACAGTGTATAGGTATCTACCTGTACTTACCCGAGGTACCTACCTACCTCCTGTGGTCCAAGGCAGGGGACAGGTACATCAAAAGTCACTGTGTATATTAGGTACATATGGTAAGCAGGGTTTACCTGGTACCAGTGGACCTTAATGTAAGGCGAGGCTGAGGGTTCGAGGGCAGCCTTGTTCTGCCCTGCCTCGCATGTGGCTGGTGCCGACGTCACCAGACCAGGGAAGTCGTCAGCGACCCACCTCTCCAAGTTATGAGCCGTATCCTTATCGTACTATCGATAACCCCAATTTGGCCTTGATGCTGGCACACAAACGCCCGAACCCTAAGAAACGAAAAATCACTAGCAAAAATCCCGCCAAGCATCCACCGCTGCTAACCCACCAATCGTCCCCGAAATTTCGTGACGACCTCAACTCTAACCCGGCAGCAGCACGAATCTTCGCTTCCTCCCTTCAACCTCCGAATCCACGAAACCCCAATCAACAATCCCTCTCCAGCATCCTTCGGTGAACACCCACATCCAAGATGTCCGCCCCGGGCTCCCAGATGTAAGTGGAACCGTCCTATCTAGAATATCGAGTTGCCCATCTATAAGCCACCCACGATAGCGTCCGTTTCAACGTGCGAATAGCACATCACATCGCTCATCTCACCATAATTCGAGCTTCGCTATTGTTGTTGTTGCTGTTTCGAATAGCGGTGTACTAATTTGTCTCCTCTCTCTGCAGAAGCTCTAAGCGCAGAAAGTTCGTCGCCGACGGCGTCTTCTATGCCGAGCTGAACGAATTCTTCCAGCGCGAGCTGGCCGAGGAGGGTTACTCGGGCGTCGAGGTCCGCGTCACGCCCACCGTCACCGACATCATCATCCGCGCGACGCACACGCAGGAGGTCCTCGGCGAGCAGGGCCGCCGCATCCGCGAGCTCACCTCCCTCATCCAGAAGCGCTTCAAGTTCCCCGAGAACTCGGTCTCTCTCTACGCCGCCAAGGTCCAGAACCGCGGTCTGTCCGCCGTCGCCCAGTGCGAGTCCCTGCGCTACAAGCTGCTCAACGGCCTCGCCGTTCGCCGCGCCTGCTACGGTGTTCTCCGCTTCATCATGGAGAGCGGCGCCAAGGGTTGCGAGGTCGTCGTTTCCGGCAAGCTGCGCGCCGCCCGCGCCAAGTCCATGAAGTTCACCGACGGCTTCATGATCCACTCCGGCCAGCCCGCCCGCGACTTCATCGACAGCGCCACCCGCCACGTCCTCCTGCGCCAGGGCGTCCTCGGCATCAAGGTCAAGATCATGCGCGGCTCCGACCCCGAGGGCAAGGCCGGACCTTCCAAGTCCCTGCCCGACGCTGTCACCGTCATCGAGCCCAAGGAGGAGTCCAGCATCGTCACCCCGATGAGCCAGGACTACGGTGCCAAGGCTGCCCAGATCCAGGCACAGGCCGAGGCCGCCCGTGCAGCCGAGGAGGGCGCGGAGGGAGAGGAGGAGGTCGTTCCCGAGGAGCAATAGGATTGATGTAGTCGGTGCTGGACCCCTCAATCCGAAACCTAGGGCGAAGAATAGGGGGTGTGGTTGAAGGGAGAATGGGAGGAGAAGGACACAGGAATGGTAAAAGGAAACGGGGGTTTTTCTTCTCCCCACTTAACCAGGGCGAAATCCTCCTTCTTCGGCGTCTTGATCATGATCATCATTTGCATTGCAGGGAAGGGAAACGAACAGGTGCTACTCGGGGCGAACGGATGCCCGGGCGCTATAGGACGGCTAGTCTACTCTTGTCTATCACCAATTGTGTACTAAATACACTGCGCGTGGTAGAGAGAAAGGAGGGCTGGGACGTAAACTACAATATAACACTCGTCATGCGCGCGTGCATGCATGCGAACCGGCACATGCGTGACTTGTCGAGTAGAAGGAATTGCCCAGTGTCTAGAGACCGATTTACCGATCAACTCAAGGGCCTCTGTGTCCGTCCGTCAGGTAGTCAGGACTACTAGACAATGCGGTATACGGGTTGGCGTCGCATGGCCTAGCCAGCAACTGAGTAGCAAGGAGAAGACTCTTAACTGGACAGGCCACGTGGGTAGGGGCCAGGACCGGAGGCTCTTGTACCGTACACGTAGATGACCCCTATCTCAACAAGGAACCCTCCCTACTCACGAAGGGTCCTCAGAGGCCTATACGTAGGCCTACGGTGCATTCTATCCCCTAGAGTCCTGCGTTAGCTAGACCCCCAGTAGCCCTGCCGCCTCGCCAACGGAGAGATGGGTGGATGGGATCCCGCGTATAAACAACACTCCTGGATAGAGGTCGGGCCCGCGAATTCGGTCTGTGAATCGGGTCGGCCGGCTGTGCCTACAGCGGGAATGCAGCTAGCTGCTAGTCTGCGTCAGTAGCTAATTACCTGCTTAGGGCATGCTTCACCGGCCCGCGATATCCCTTTATCTCACGCTTCACATGGCCGACACATGCTTCGTCACCACATCTGGTACTTACATGCTATGCGTGTATGTACGTGTATGTGCGTCTAGGTACGTGCCATGTATATATGTCTAGACGAATTCCTAATGAAGCCGTGACCTCAGCGCTCTATCGTAAGGACCTCGTAGGGACCCGGTAAGCAGCCTGGCGAGTAGACGAGCGAACTGCTAGTCACCATACCATCGCCCACTCGCGTACCCATATATCCGTCCGTTCGTCCATCTATCCTATTGAGACGGCTGGCTCTCTTCTTCTCCGCCGTACGTCCGCGTGTGCGCACGTGCGTGCCGGAAGGAGAGGTGGAAAGGGGATGGGAAAGTCTTGTATGCTCTGTCGATCGACGTATAGAGCTTTCTCTTCTGCCACACCCTGAGCATGGTAATAATCGTACAGGCGAGAAAAAAACAAGCACGCAAAAAAAGAAGTGGTCCGAGAGGTAGAAAATTCGGACCAGCAGGTAGCTCGCTACCGTTTTCGCGTCCACGCTTTCTCTCGCTTCCCTCCCTCCATGAACCCCGGGATCCCATCCCGCACCCGACGCCGAAATCTGCCGCAAGAAGGTTCCCCCCTTCTGCCAAAAAGTGCCCCTTGTTCCCCAGAACGCCGCGGTCGGGGGAAAACAGATTTTGCCCCCCCCGACACAGGAACCTCACAAATAGCAGGATATTACCTCCTTTGTGGTTCCTTGGTAAGCCCAATGCTCCCATCTCCTTCTCGTCGTAAACAAGGGAGGGGTGGTGGTACATTTCCGTTCCACGCCCTAGGCTCCGGTCCGGAATATGCAACATAAAACTTATGATATTAATCGTGTCCATCTGTGGAATGTCGCGTTGGATTTCTCGGACAGATGGAGTTGCGACGGGACTAAAGGGGAAAAAAAAGTATACAATACAGTCACAGATGAGATGCGGAGGACGATTTAAATGATGCCGATACGTGCTCTCTCATCGCTCAGCCGACTTCCGATTTTGTAATTCAATCGACTCGTGATTTTTGGGAGCGTGGTATCGGGAGCCGTTCTGACCCGTCGATGGGGACTCATCTTCGCTACCCTCGGTGAGATCGTTCAACCCGTATTCACCTGACTGCTCTAGGTCAAAAGCGCGCATGAGACCCTCTCGGTCGGAGGGTCCCCGGCTCCCCACGCTTATCCGCGAGCCCGTGCTGCGCCGAGCCTGCAAACTAAGACGTGTCTGAATACTTGAGATCATGTCGGTGCCAGTAACGTCGGTGCCTTGCCCCGCAAGCATATTCGTTCCGTTAGGGTCACGCCGCGAGAGGTTTAGTAGGTAAACGCCGGTGAAAGTTACTAGGAAGCCGCATAGCAAGGAGAGCGTATTGACCGTGTCGGTGGTGTTGAAGCCGGAGAAGAGGATGAAGGAGGCGCAGAGGGTGGCGGTGGTGAAAGTCACATAGTAAAGTGGGTTAACTCTATACCCATGTCAGCTCCATCTGTATATCCCGTCTCTAACTTGGGGACCCTCGTACATTTGCGTGCTAAACTGGCTCAAAGCCTTGTTGAAATAATTCATCTGGGTCAGGATACAGACCGCCGTAAGAATCATGAAGACGTATGTCGACGGATGCGAAAACTGGTTGTTCCCCGCGAGTGTGAGTTTCAGCGCAATGCCGAACGCCTTCACGGACATGACGGAGACGGAGCCGACGGTGGAGCAGATCGAAAGGTAGATCAGAGGATTCTTCTTGCCATGGAGCGGCGCGATCTTATAAACCATGACTCCCGCGAATATAGCCACGACCGTACAATACAGGAGGAAACCTGTCCCTCGCATATTAACACCGGAACCGAGCGCACGGCTGAGCTATGGATGCAGTCAACTCACCTGGTTGAATAGCGTAGTATAAAATCTGATCGATTGTCTGAATGTCCTCGTCAGGGGGCGCATGGAGAACGATGACGACGGCGCCTAGCAAGCAGATGGCGCAACCGAGCTTCCCCAAGGTTCCCAGCTCTTCCTTCAGAAAATACGATCCCAGGACGGCTCCGATCAAGACCGAAAGGGCCCCCAACGGCGTCACTAGAATGGCTGGGGCGAAGGCGTACGCAGCGAAATTGCAAATTTCTCCAATAATCACTTTTAAGGGGGGGGCTACGTGTCAGTCTCGTCGACACCGATGGCGCTAAGTTGGCGGGTGCTTACTCGTTATCATGCCTGCCCACCACGTTGGGCTTCTGAGATAGACAAAGCCATCACCCGAGAAACCATGCTTCTCCTCTGCTTGTATTAACCCCTGCGTCGTGTTAGCCATGGTACCGTACGATCACCAAGTCGCTTCGTATGTGGTCGAAGAGGGACTCTGTTGCAGCCGCTTCGGCATAAGAATGCGGTACCTTTTTCGTAATGACAAAACTCGTGCCTATAACGAGAAAGTCAGTTATACCCCGAGCAAGATACTCCTCTGCCCACATCCGGATGGCTTACCAATGGCTAGACTGGAGGATATAGCCAATGCTAACCCGATGTATCTGCCCGAAATTCCCAGTCAGCACATTGTCTTTGATGGCGGTAGTATTCTTATCACTCATTGGGGCGTAGGGGTTGGCATGCCGATATATTCGTAGGGCAAGTATAGGGGAAGGGGAGCCGTTCGTACTTCTCATCTAGCATCATCTTGAAGGGGATAGATGTATGGCCGCAACGGGAGTCGCAGCGTATATGTAACGAAGGAGATGGGGCCCGGGGGGGATAGGTAGAGTTATAGTCGTCGCCCCGTGGGGTGAATACAGGCCAGTTCGATAGCTCGCGCCGGGCGAGAGTAACAAACAACGAGGGTAGGGGGGGCCTCGAGAGGGGGCGTGTTGGCGCCGGGATGATGGGATGCCACGGAAGCCGGAAGGTGGTCAAGACGAGGTCGGTTGCGCAGCGGGAAAAGGCCGATGGCTGACGATCGCATGCAGAACGGCGCTTATTCGGCAGAGAGCGGATAGCACATCGAGGTGATCGCGGTAGAGTACTATGCTTCGATAACCCCAGGGGGGCAGCTGTGTAGTGAGTGGGATTTCGCAACACGCTTGATGTGTGGTCTGTTTGGTGGCCTCAACTACACAGGTTAGTGAGGTGCGGGAGGGAATGGTGGGCAGGTGGTGAGATTCGGAAGAAACACAAAGGCTAGCGATGATTGATCGATAGACAGACCCTGGGTACCTCTTTTAGCCCTCCTTTGCCTCCGCAACCGACCTTACATAAGGCCAGCAGCAGGCTTGGAGGCGAGGTACCCGGTCACGTACCGGATGGAGGCTGATTTGTATGTCTGTAGGTATCTACCTGATTGATTAGGCCACATATCGAACCCCAGGTACCTCCCAAAATCAGGGATGTACACCTAGGTGGTTCCATATGAGGTTATGTACATCATGCGCACGTACATACCCTACATAGGTACCTGGATGCTTAGGTATATACTTGCATAGGCATATATATTTAAAGAGGTACATGACTTGGCGCTTAGGTACCTAACCTATACCTCGTAGCCCGACGCGCTTCACCTTGCTGCGGCCACCGATGGTACCTAACAGGATGTATCCAACAGCGATATTCGCACCTCACACCCACGCATCACAGCCGTCTACCCTATGCCTCTTGACCTCACGGGCTGCGCCGCTCTGCCTGCCTGCCTGTAGGTAGCTTTCACGACGCTTGCGCACGTAACCTTTACTACAGTGGGTGGCCGGGGCCGCGGGTTTCAGAGGTTCGAGGTACGGGGCACACTGGAGAGAGTGGGTCGGGCTAAGATGTAGCATACGTGCCATGTATCATCTCGGACCAAGATACCAGACGCTCGACCGGACGTTTCAATACGGATGCTATGGACAATGTGGCCCTCCACCTCCGTACCTCACACCTCCATACCTCTCCATACCTTACATTGTACGCACATTACTATGCGTAGATATGGACACAGTGATTGCACCCGATGCCCTGCCATCCACTGGTGCTCCTCTTCGGTTTGCCGGGCTTTACTGCAGGGGCCCACCAAAGAGGAAGGGGGTTGAAAATCGTCGGTCCTCCGTCTCTTTCAATCACCGACCAGCGACGCGCCTGGGAAACCGAGACGGGACCCCGTTATCCTTGGCTTCCAGCTGTTGCGCAGGTACGAATAATTAACCCAGCCATCTTCCAGGTATCTCGAGCACCACCCACCCATCGTAGCATGTAACTACCTATACTACGTGGTATGCATTTATGAACATGCTGCATACATCTGCACATGTGCAGCGGGAAAGAAAAAAAATGGGAAAAAAAAGGGAGGGGGGGAAGGGCTCGAAATTCCTCTCTTTCCGTATCTCTGTGTGCTCTTCATTCTTGGAAGGGTTGTCGGGATGCGCTGCGAATCGCATCTCGAAACGAAACCTTCGTACAACACCCGGCCAGGGCGTCGCTCTTTTGGGAGATTTTGGCCAATCCTTCTTCTCTCAGACCCTTCCCCATCCTAGATGAGGCGCAGCTAGCCTCCCCTTGCATCCGTCCACGTACTCCGTGCTCGACCTGATCCGCCGCTGGGTCCAGGGGTCTGCAGGTGGCTCTCACGCCTCGCCGAGCTTCGCTGTTGTGTGATACGACCCCAATCCGGCTTACCGTACGCCTCTATTTTTCTATTTTTCCCTCCTTTTCTTCAGTCAACCCCTACCGGAATTCGAACCCCCCCCAACCCCCATCCCTATCTCGCCTGTTCCTACTGCCCTTTTCTTGTCCTGTTTATCCCCCTGCTCCTCGCGGCTGGTCAACGCTAAATAAAAACCGATAACGTGATCACTGGACCTAACACCATCCTAATAATAATCTAACATGCCCGGTGGGTTGGCGACGAGAGGCTAGCAAAGCGACTCTTAGCAATTACGTACCACACATCGAGACGGGCGTATCCCTTCGTCGGTATCTGTAAATACGTAATCCTCTCCTTTCAGTGTTTCGTGTTGTCATCTTTACCGTTTAAGCTACTGTCTATAGCAGGGTTCGCGGCAACTTAACCCTTCGGATACGAACTACTATAACTTCACGTGGCTCTACGCGAGAAAGAGAGACGCTCTCACTCGGTTGCTTACTTAACTCTCTTATGTTAGGAAGCGACCTCGACTTATTACTCCCGAAGATGCGGTGAAAAGCATGCGTTAGTTGGTAGAGCGGTTCAGCGACATAAATACGACCTGTCCTATGCGTCTTAACCCTGCCACTTCTTCTGTTGCCGCTTGCGTTTACATCAAGGGCGTACACATAACACCCTGCTGCAAAAATGACGAATGCAACGTTGTGGTTATGAGCCTATTCTCAACCATCCCCGAGAAGCACAGAATACATCTCGTACTGGTCTGACCTTCCTCGAGGAAATGAACCTATTATGAGCCTCCTTTCGCACTATTAGAACGATAACCTCGACCCTGCGAGCTCAACGATGGCGTCCATAACAACGCCGTAACGCCTCATGTCGTCAGTCCCCTCGGTCGACGTCCGCCATGTCATTTTCCTTTTCCAGGACCTCTAGAGACCCTGGGATCCTCTTACACGGTGAACGCCTGTCCTAAAGCGTCGTGATTGACGAGCGCCGTACATATCGGAAGCGAAAAGAGATGTGCCGAATTAAAAAAATCAAAATCAAAATCAAAGGTGTCGTCTCGCCGTCGTTCTCGATGACGGGGTCGGCTCGATGCTAATTACCTGTAGTCATTGTTAAGCTCAATCGTCCATACCTGTATAGTTGCTTTTCGGTATTCGTAGCTGCGTCTGTTAGCATTCCGAATCGAGTCTTATTACGGAGAAAACAATGGTATGCATCTGTAAAGTTGAGTGTCGATGGGATGAGCCCAGCATCGGTTCGTTAGTAACTTGTCTGCATGTCGAACATAAGGGGAGAGGCGGGGAGTATGGAAGATCGGGTTGAGGAGAGCAGCGAAAAGGATTTAGGATCGACGACGCTTGATATCTAGATAACGTTAGCACGTTACGACACGGATTTAATAGTTTGACCCCATACCGTTCTTCTCCAGTTCGCCATCAAGTAGATCCGAGTCCGACCGGGTCCGCTTTCCGGAAGTCGGTGACACTTGTACCGTTCCCTTGGCAGCTGTCGGAGGCTCGTTCTTGGGGTCCTCATTATCAGACTCCCACGTGATTTCATCATCAATTGGCACATGAAGGCTCGCGGATGTGCCTAGGCCTTCGGTGGATGGGGCTTCGCCGCCACCTGTAACAGCGTCGTCGTCCTCATCCGAATAGTCTATCTCGTCTTGATCATCGCCGTTTAGCGTAACAGTGGCGCTGGTATTATCGGAGTGGAGGGCGTCGGTTCCTCTATCCACCGGTGGAGCATGACGGCCCGAGTCAGTATCTTCGGCTGTAGCCGTAGGATCGTACTGGTGAATGTCTTGTGTGCCGTTCGGGAGAGACGTGTTATCCGCGTTATCTTCAAGCATTTGAGTGTTAGTAACCAATGCCTGGTGTTTAAAAGGCGAGACCCCACTAGGGGAGGTCCAGCACATGGTGGACGACTTTGGTAGCTGGTCCGAATTGCTGTAGTCGGAGATGGGAGGGGATGGGTGACCAGTGCGATCAGACTTGGTGACACTGCCGCCAAAATATGGCCCTGAGAGACTGACTCTCCAACTTGCATCGAGTCGTTCAAGCTCGACTTCGAAACAGGCGTCGCACTGACAATCGCTCTTGTTGTTGCAATGGGATAAAAATGAAGGGGTAAGTAGAGGGGGGTTATGTTTACCCTTTGTCGCTGGCGAAAGGTCCAATTCTTCGTCAGAAAAGTCAATCAAACCATCCGCTGTATTCTCATCGACATTCGCACCAACGACCTCGTTAGGCTCTTCAATGCGCTCCTTCAAGTCTTCCGCAGCCGTTTCCGCAACGGAGTGTTGTGTTGATGGTGAGTCGTATTTTACCTCATCCCTAGCCTCCGTAGTGTTACTATCAACGAATTCGACCCCAACCGAATTCTCCTGGTCGTTCTCGTAGGCTTCCTCAAGGTCCCCATCATCAGCTGAGAGGGATGAGGCTTGGCTAATTTGTTGCTTGACCGGCTCATCATCAAGAGGTGTTGCTTCGCGATAGACAGCGATCGCCGAGAGGCCACGACCAGAGTCTGCGCTGTCCAAAAGAGCCATCAGGCGCTGGCGACAATTTGGTCTTACCATAAGATAAATGTAAAGAGCCGCTGGCGATTGCGTTTCGTCATTTGTAACAAGTCTATCATAAAGAGTAAGGATATCACCGAAAGTGAACTCTTCCAGTATCTCACAGGCTGAGGACTACAGAACAGGTCAGCTGAATATCGGTCTAGGGGTAGGTTGGGGACGTAGAAATACCTCCGAGAATTCTAGGCCTAGTCCATCTACGTGCATCACCAATTCGTCAAGAGGGGACACCTCATCTGCAATAACGTCCCGCAAGCTCGACAATAATTGGCCAAGGGGAAGTTCTAGAGCCGACATATTACTGAGGAAGTATTGGTTAGGATCATCGTCCTTCGACGTCGCGAAGAATCTATAATCCGTTTCTCCATATGAAATGAACATGTCGTGGCGAGCGGCAATGGAAAGTAGGCTTTCTACGTTAGCTTCCTGAGTCTGGGGATCCCCTTCCTTGGGGTTAGGACCAGCTGTCTCATCATTCTCATCGAGGTTCTCCTGGTCGTGCTCTTCTTGCTCTTCATGAGCTTCCTCCAGGTTCTTCTCGCTGTTCTCCGCTCTGAGATCCGAGGCATACGGCTGACTCTGTGTTTCATGGGGGCTAGGGGCAAAGACCTGGTCCTGAGCATTCTCTGGGGGCGAAGGAATTTTGTCATTGGCGAGCTCATAGTGTAGTTCGCCGTCTGGTTGTTGCTCGGATGCATCTTGTTTAGGCTCATCAATCTTCTCCTGCTCAATCTCTTCGGAACCTTGGTCTCGCGCGGGTCCAGGCGGCAGGCTCAAAGTAGGCGGCTCTGATACTTGTCTTTCGAAGGCACTGATATTTTCGTCATGCTGAGCCTCATTTGCTTCGGTAGCTAAATGCTGCGCTTCTTCATCCACCTTGTGTGCGTCGTCTCTTTGGTTGACGTCTCCATTCGACTGCCCCTCGACTTGCTCATCTCCCTCGTGATTGCTAGGGGCGACTTCATCTGCAGGTTTCTCGGGGTGAGATTGGAGGGTGGTATCTTGGTAGCTGTCAAAAGTACTCTGGACCGCAATTTCCGGTCCGCTTTCATCATTCCTATCATTGTTAGGGGTATTAAGATGGCTTGCGCCATCTTCCCTTGCCTCGGGTACTTTCAAACCTGCCTCCACGGCACCGGTAGGGACCGTACTTTGCGTAGCCGAGTTCTCACTTGTTCCGACTACACTGACATCAACTTGACCTGAATCTTCTCCGGCGGGCTTATCGCTGGGATAAGCTGGCGCCTCCAACCAGTCTCCTTCGCCACTAGTAGCGTGCTCGACATCTCCATTACCAACGTCGGCGCTGTCGACATAATCGATTTCATCAACATGCTCAAATGTTTCCCCATTACGAGCATCCTGCTGCCATACGTTCTCATCAGGATCACCCAGATCAATCTCGATATCATTGGAGGCTGCGGCCGTCTCATTGCGCTCGACATCATCGGCGTCGACCATGCCATATGATGCATCGTCTCCTTCGGCCATCAATTCATCTCTGGTATCTGAGTTGAAATTCTGAAGTTCTTGTATCTGGTCGAAATCTGCCAGCTCCAAGTCTTCGTCGGGGTGCCCAACAGCAAAATCGAGGTCTATGTCAATGTCCTCAGCATAGGCAGGGTGACCGAAATCGGTCGTGATCTCCATCTCCTCCCCCGGCATCATCCCCAGTCGCTCAGAAGCGTGGGACCCGTCGCAAAGGGATTCGGATGGCCGAGAGTTTGGGGGAAAGAAAACTCTGGTAGAAATTTCTACTGTACCCTGAGAGGGGTGGGCAGATATTCGGGTACACTCAAATGATGTAAGGTAATTAGAAGTGTTGAAAATAATGGCGCGGGAAGTCTGACCAAGGTAACTGGCTTGATTGAACAAAGCAGTCTAGGAAATAGCTGTGAATTTGGTTGATTGCGCGAAAGAATCAAAGCTGCCCTATTGGTACCACGGCATGTGGCGATGCCAGGATTCGTGACTGTGACCCGATATTAAGTTGACTTGTGACTAGAAGTCAACCACGGTGCCGGGGAATTTCCTTGTCGTCCTATCGGTCGGACACGAAAGGGTCAAAAAAAGGCGATGGTAAGAAGTCAAGAGAAAAGGTAGAGGTCATTTGCTGAGATTTGTGCCGATTGCCTGGGCGGATTGGTGTCCTCGAGAACAGTATCAGGCTGGGAGATGAACTGGGAAAACTGCGCAAAAGAATCTTATTATTTCGACAGAGGGCTGGTAGGACTTGTACTCGAGATCGCAGCTGAACGGAACAGGGCGATGAGTGTATGGCAGTCTATTGCGATGCGGGATCGGCAATGCGTCGATAGAAGATGGGTTGGAAATGGATGTGGGAAGAGGGTCTCGATGATCGGGGGGGGGGTGGATAGGTCGACGCGACTGGAAATCGTTTAGGCTGGGCTGGGGGCTTGCCTGAATTTACGTGCCTAAAAACCGAGAGGGCGTCCTGCCGGTACTGGACTGGTGGAGGGAAGACGTTGTAGGCGCAGGGAAAGACGCAATAATGCAGCGGTTCGCAACCTGTCAACAAGGAAGTTTTGGTTGAGGGAGGAAGGATGTGAAGACACCGTTGAGAGAATGATTTTATGAAGGTTGTAGAGGCGAAGTGAAGTCAGGTTGGCTTGGAGCTGACGACCCATGATGAAGTGTTTGGGCAAGTGGAGACTAGAGGTGACTGCTAAAGGCAGGTACCTAGGTACCTATCTACGTACCTGCTATTAGTCAGGTTAGGCACATACCTCTATCAGTACCGAGCACAAGGCACTTAAGTACCTCATACATTGAGATTCCCACAAGCCTACGAGATGCATCGCTGCCCATTTCTACAGGCACTATAAGGTACACCTCTAAGCCGCTGGGTTGGGGGGTGGGGGGTGCCTAATGTACGAGGTAGGTACCTAGGTACGTGCTGTAAATAGGTGTAGGTACCTCCTAAAGTCTGGGTAAATAGCGGCTAAAATCTACATAGCAGGAGACGCCTGGCTGGGAAATGTGGCTTGACTTTGGGGCTTGTCTTCCCAGCACTAACCACGTTTTCCAACAGGCAGGCATGAAGTTGAATTGGCTTGACAGCGGGACAGCTATGAATCTCGCCCACTGCGAATCTGGAATACCTACCGAAATCAGCGTCAGAGAACTCCCCTTGACCGGGACAGCCGACTCTACAACATCGCCTACTCCCTTCTTCGTTCTCCCTGACTAGAAATTGGTGCTCTCCTGCAGATCCATCACAAACACAATGGTAACCGTCTCCTGTCTTCCTGTTCTCCCACACCTGGCCTTACTAATGCCATATGCTTTGCGCCAGGTTGTCCTCGCTGCCTCCATCTGCACCCGAGGCGGGAAAGCTGTCCTCTCGAGGCAGTTCCGTGAGATGCCCAGATCACGCATCGAGGCCCTCCTCGCATCCTTCCCCAAGCTTGCCGACTCGGGCACTCAGCACACCACCGTCGAACAGGACAACGTTCGCTTTGTCTACCAGCCGCTCGACGAACTCTACATGGTCCTCATTACCAACCGCCAGTCCAACATCCTACAGGACATCGATTCGCTCCACCTATTCGCGCAAGTCGTTACCAGCACCTGCAGGAGCTTGGACGAAAGGGAGATCCTGAAGAATGCCTACGAATTACTGAGCGCCTTTGACGAATTGGTCTCCCTAGGCTACAGGGAAAATCTCACCATCAGTCAAATCAAGACCTTCCTGGAGATGGAAAGCCACGAGGAGCGGATCCAGGAGATCATCGCACGGGTACGGTTTCGTTACTCGAGTTCTAGATTCCCTTTACTGACGTCCGGCTAGAATAAAGAACTAGAAGCGACCGAAGAGCGCAAGCGCAAGGCGAAGCAGCTGGAGTTGCAACGAAAGGAATCTGCAAGGAGCGGACGTCCCGGTGTGCCACGAACACCAGTGTATCCAACCTACACCCCGCCTACTCGGCCCACGCCTGCAGACACGTACGATTCCTACGAAGCGGAGAAGAATAAGTCGGCGCATAAGTACGCAAGCTCACCACCATACCCTATATCAGTTTCGGACTAACGAGGGCATAGGACGACTATAATGAAAGGCAAGGGAATGCAGCTGGGCAAGAAATCAAAGACCACAGATATGTTCGAGCGCGTTCGAGGTGATATGGGTGCGGAAGTAGACGATTCGCCTCTCGTGCAGCCCACTCCTGCGCCAGCAGCAGAACCCTCCGCTCCGCGCGTGTCGTCTACCTTGGATCGCGATGCTATCCATGTCACCATCAACGAGTCTATCAGCGCGAAATTATCGAGAGAGGGATCGGTCAATTCTTTGGCCATCACCGGCGACTTGACTCTGAGGATATCCGACCCAAGCTTAACCAAGATCAAGCTCAACCTAGCCGCGAACGCATCACACGGCGCCCAATTCCGTACCCACCCTAATGTTGATCGTGGGCTCTTTGCAAGTTCCAAGGTCATCCAGATGAGCAATGTAGCACGGGGCTTCCCCGTGAATAACGCCGTCGGCGTACTGAGATGGCGAGCTACACCGAAGACGGACGACACGAGTGCTCTGCCTATTAGCTTCACGGTGTGGGTGAACAAGGGCTCGACCGGCAACTTTACGATAACAGTCGAGTACGAACTCACTGGAGGCGATGGCCTCAAGGATGTTTCTGTAGTCATTCCGTACGCTACAAGCGAGCCGACCGTGTCCAGTTTCGATGCCATCTACGAAGTGTCCGGAGACAGCCTCGAGTGGACGATTGGGACCATCGACGAAGATAACGCCAGTGGCTCTTTCGAGTTCGATGCGGAGGCCGATGACGAAAACGAATTCTTCCCCATGCAAGTGCGATTCTCGAAGACGACGCCGTTCGTTGACGTCGAAGTAAGTTCCGCGCCTACATGCCCAGAGCAGTCCCCTCGGCTAACATCCCACCGCAGGTCGCATCGGTTCTCCTGGTAGAAGAAAACGAAGAGGTAACGTTCTCTAAGGATATCAAGTCGGTGGCGGATTCGTACTTGGTCGAGTAGTAAAACTTAGGGGTTCTGGGCTAATGAACAATGTTACATGGTTTAACGACTACCGGCTTATAGAGTGCCGTAGGGGAAGTGAGGGTCTAAATAGAGCATGACAACGGAGTGTGAATAGTGTCGTGTCGTAAGCCACACCTGCATTTCCAAGTCACTTCGGGGTTGCTGAAAAAGGGGTCCCTGTGGATTTTAGACAATATGGGGGGTTCGTCCCCTATATTAGGTACCTAAGGCCGATAGGTAGGTACCTGCAGGTACCTACCGTTCCACTTGATTTGTTGATCTACCTAGATGCCTGTCTGTATCTCCCTAGCATGATTACTGCACACCCAAGATATGTAGGCATAAGCGAAGATAGGTATGTACCTATGTAAAATGGATAAGGCCTCGCTATAAGACACAGTCCGTTTGTAGGTATCGTCACTGTGCTGCCCAGCACCCAGTCCAACCCATTTTCCTGGCGTCCTAAGTCGTCAATGTCCCTGCCTCAACGCGACTGGGCGCACTGTGTCCGTCCATCGCCTCTCCGACATCACCAAGAGACGCAAGAACGTCACGCCAATCACAACAACTACACACCGGTACAACGTCCTCGTACGCGCAGCAATAATCTGCGTTTAAAGTAGCTGCACGATGGTCAACACCCTCCCGGATACCTCTGTGATTCCTGTCCTCGGGGGCGACCATGTCGGAGCCCATTGAGCTGGAGCTCCTTAGCGAATCGCGGCTCGACCCCCCGCCGCACGACGGTCTCCTAACTTACAACCCCAGCATAGAGCTCTTTGCTGGTGCCGCCGGGCCCGCGTCGCTGCAGATATGGAGATCCAACGGCCAGGTCGTGACGAAAATCAGCCAGCGCGGTGAACGGGATACCGTTGATGCTCTCCGTTGGAAAGCCGACGGTACGTCCTCCTTCTCCCCGGGGTTCTGGGCACGAGTGATGGAAACCCGCGGGCTGATTCACGATACCTAGGGCAGTTCCTGGCTGTGGCGTGGAGCGATGGCATAGTTCGGTTGATGGGCCTGGAAACCAACAAGGCTGTCCATCAGATACCAGTATGTGCGCCGGGCAAGTCCAAGATCACTTGCATCGGCTGGGCACGCAACAATGCAGGGAAGCGTCCCAACCCGCCCACCACATCGTCTACTACGTTCTGGGAGGACGCTTTAGCTCGAGAGCTTTTCCCCGGCGGCAGGAAAACGACGATAGACCTCCCTCGCGAGCTGACTTTTCTCGAAGTCGAGACTGCTCTGCCTAAACTTGGCCCTCTACCTGCTTCAGGGGGATCAGGGTAAGCCGCGTTCCTAAGCTGAGACCTGTAGTATGTGCTCGTTGACAACCGCTCCAGCGACGATATGTTCGTGTTCACCACGAGGGCCTCGTTGGAGTTTCTATTCCAGCCTTTCTCCCCTCAAGATAGTGACAAGGTTGATGTTATGCTCATCGGTACAGACGACGGGCAAGTTCATGTCAGCATCTACGATTCGTTTGTCATTGGGTCGTTCAAATGTGCCCTGCCGCTGTCTTTTGGGAAGGATACTGTCGCCATACAGCTACTCCACCATACCTCGCATCCCGACTTATCCACGCACGTGCTGGCCTTTAAGCCTTCGGGGCAGGACAAAAGCACTTCGCTGTACCTTGTTCCTATGGATCTGACATTCGTATACTCGTCGCCGGTGAATTTGTCCCTGCTGGCCTCCAAAACCACAACCCTACAGAAGCTACTGAGATACGTCAAGCAGGTGCAGATGCACATGATGCACGAGTGGCAGTCAACTCGTGAACTTCCAACTAGATTTCTCAATAGTATCAACGAGACGTTGCGGGAGTCGAATAAATATGGCGAAATGACTATCGGGCAAGCGATGTACCACTCGGTCGTGACAGGCCACACATTTCCGGAAGTCCAGGAGTGGTTGGTCGATCAGTTAGCAGAGCGGGTACGCGTAGCTTCGTTCCCATCGTGACGTCCAGCTTAGATAGGAAGAGCTAACACATCGCCGCATCAGGGCCACAGGCGGTGGGATAAAGCGGTCGTGTCGGGGCTCCAGGCGCTCCGGAGCCTTGTCCACGAGAACTTCTTGCCGGCCCTTGAGCGCATCGGCATCATCCTTAGTCGTCTCCTCGGTATCGCGCGCTTCCACGAGTCAAAAGCCGAGATCGGATTTTCCAGCGCGCAGATTACCAGAATAATGGGCATCGTGTCCTGTCTGATGTTGGTAGGGAACAAGATCCTCCTCTTCGTTATGGAGGAACTGGAGTTGTTCCAGTGCTTCTCAACTTGGCTTCGACACGAGATTGATAGGTTGGCTTCATCGTCGTCATCGTCCGATGAGCTATCCGAAAAAGAGGCCACCATGGAGCATGGAAAGATTCTAGCCTATATACAACAGTATTTGGCCGCGAGCCCTCTACGATTTCACCTTGATGCTATAGCTGCCAACCATTCAGAGAAAGGCCGGCAGCAAGCCGAAAGTGGCAGCGCTCTCTTGGAATTACTCACCAAGCAGCTCAAGAAGCAGGAGTCCGGGCAACCGGACGAAAGCGTATTCTCGCAGATCGAATTCCTGTGCGGATACCTGAGGGACAAGGCCGAAGCAATCTTCAACGGCATCGCCGAGGCGGAAAAGCGAAGCGTGCGGTTTGGGCATCCCGCCGCCATCAGATTAGACGCTCGCATCTCCAAGTCCGATATAAAGATGTCTGCTACTCGCAACGGGGTAATATTAATCAAAATCGTCTTCCCTTTATATGCCTCTGCTGAGACGGTGCTGACCCTCCCCTGTTTGGGAGACGTACTAGGGATTGACGTACACGGCCGTCACAACAGAGTCGAGTGAGAATACCGGTAGGAATTTCAACTTACCTCATGGTGCTATTTGAACATGCACTGATAACGGCTAATAATAGTATACGTATTCCGTACGAGCATGGACGTGCTCAATGGGATCAGCGGCCCCGTCACGACCGACGCCACGAGTATAGTCCTGGGCGGTGGGAAAGTGGTTGATCTGAAATTCTTATATGACAGTTTACTCGTCTTGTGGCTTTCTCCCGGTGAGTAAAACGCGATCCGATTCTATCTCTATATTCTATACGTACCTACATATCTACTACTAACACCACCCGCCTCCTTTTCTCTCTCGGACAGACCGGCAGCAGTTGCGGCTCATCCGCGTGCCACACAAGTCCGAAGACCTAGGGTACCGCGCCTATTCCCGGGGGAATGAGCCGGTAGACGCGAGCGCGGAGAGGGTGACGCCAGTCCACGTCCTCAGCGACGAGCAGGTCGCCAGCGCCTTCGCGAACGCGGTGGTGCCGCCGGAGCCGGGCTTCACGCCGGCGCAGATGGAGGTCAGGGAGGCGAGCTCCGAGCGCGGCAAGCTGCCGGCCCGGATCTGCCTGCTCGGCGCCGACGCGCGTACGTATCGGGTCTTTGCGCTGCCAGAGGACGGCCCGTTTGGGGAGGCTGCCACGAGTTGAGACTGGGTCGGGAGCACGGGAAGGAAAGCAGGGGGCGGGTCAGGGGATAGAAAGGTGGGTTTGGGGGGGAGGATCAGCTACGAGATACCAACATGTAGACGCGTACGCATACATATTGTTGGGGTGGCTTCCCGATCGGCAGCGGAATGTGGGTACGATAGTATCATGATAGACCGGCTGACTTCGTACGTAACCACGCTCCTTCGAGGGGGGCATGAAAATAAGACGAAACTGTGGCTGGCTGGCAACGGTCAGGGGTGTGTGTATGTGTGTGTGTGCTACATCTCAACCGAACAACAGCCAGCCAGCCAGCCAGCCAGCCAGATAGACCTGCGCATGCCATACCGCAGCCGGCCACATTCCCCTGCCCTAGCCCGAGAGAGAGAGGGGGAGAGAGGCGGGATTTGATCGGTTCCCGCCCTTGTCTTACTCGCCGTCCCCCCTGGATCGCGTCGGGACGGAGCCAACCAAGGCAGGGGGCGCGCCGTTTTATACGTGCGCGCAAGGCAACCTCGCAGCGCTCGCGCGCTCCTGTTCCCGCCCTGCCGTACGGGTATATGCCAGGCATGTCCCCATACCCGGCCTCCTCCCCCCCTCGCGTCCTTGCTCTCTGCGCGCGGGCGCGGTAGGTGGAAGGACGGCGTGCGCGCGCCCACCGCAAATCTCCCTCTTCTTGCTGTGTTCTCTCCTCTGGGTGGCTTGTTCCTGTTCCGTGGCGGTGGCAGTGGCTATGAGGGTGTGGTCAACTCTTGAAGTTGTGACCTTGTTTCTCGAGTCTGTATCTACTTACGTATGTGCTGGTGTGCCCTGTTCCCTGCTTCTGTGGATTTGCGTATTGTTGTCCGCGGGTAGCCTAGGATATCTCACGTTGAAAAGGGCTTGGCTATCATCATCATCGGATACGGGATCTTCGCTTCTCTCCCTTTTATCCGGGGTGCACACGTATACTCAGCGATAGCAACAGCAAAGACATCAGTAAGAACAGTTATCTTCGCATACATCTATATTTATATACGTATGCGTATGAGCGCGAGTGTTAGAACACGTCGGCTTGTCTATCCTTAGATTGTACCTTTATAAAATATTGACACGCGTCTCCTTTTTCAACGGAAACTGGCGCCGATCGGCTTCTTCTACTTGTTCCTTTCTCCCTCTACCCTTTCATCGTCGTTGCTCGGCATCCACACGACACGAGCAGGAAAGGAGCAAAAACACAAATACATCGAAATTACGTCGCTCTGTCTGCCGCCTTTTTGTTTTGTGTCAGGATTTTCCTCTATCTTCGTTACTTCTTCCCCTTCCTCTTGCCACTTCCCTCCTTTTTCGGATCACGCATAGACGATGGAGAAAACGTTTCGAGAGTTCAAATAGAACGTCAAACAAGAAGAAAACCAGGCGTGAACATATGTAATATATGTATATACGTCGATCATTCGTCGATGGCGGCGCTTACTTAATGTTGGCCATCCTCTTGGACATGCTACGCAGACGGGTATCATTAGCTCAGGATCGAGGGGTAAAATGGGGGAAGCAATGGGGACTGAAGGAAAAGGGGGGTGAAAGGTAAACTAGGGTGAGAACTTACAAGTCGTAAAACGCAAACTGGCTCGGGTTGCTGCCAAACTCGTACACGAAGCGGGAGGCGAGGTAGCTGCCGAAGATGGCGCGGAGGTATGCGTCAGGGACGCGGGTAATGACGGTGTCAAGGCCGATCTTATCGATGAGCAGCTTAGGTAGGGCGTCGGCGAGGACGGAGCGGCGGATCTTCTCGTTATTCCAGAGGTCTGAGTGCTGGAGTTCCTCATCCAGCGTCGTGATGGCGAGCGACAGTGTGTCCGACAGCACGGACCGTGGCACGCCCGTCTGCGCGTTTTCGCGCCAGATGGCCTCAAACTCGAGCCGCGCGTTCTCCTGGATCGTAGCCTGCACCTGCTTGACGTACGCCTTGTAGAAATCGGGCACCTCTCCCCGAGAATCGTGGCACATGTTCTCGACGAACCCAGCGTCATCGAAGCTCAGCGATGCGAGCACCTCGAGCGACGACGATGTCACGCCGCCCTTATTCGCCGACGCGTCCTTGAACAGGATGCAGCCCGCCTCCTCGAGGCGCAGTTTCGCGTCCTGCGTGATGAACAGGTTCGCGCCCTCCACGATATATGGTATCGTCGTCTTGCCGTCCTTAATCAGCTTCGACACCGTCGACAGATCGATCGACTCCGGGCGCCCACCACATGGCACGAAGCAGTCCGTGAGTCCGGAGTCCCGGAGATGGTAGAAGTTGCGGAACGGCGTGCCGTTGCCGACCACCTCTCCGTTAGGCAACGTGACGTTGCTTTCGTCGCACAAGACCCTGTAGCCGTCTTTAGACAGCTTGGAGAGGTCGAATTGTGAGATCATGACGCGCTTCTTGGCTAGGCGTATGAGCTCCTCCTTGTCGATGCCTTGGGGGTCGACGAGTACTCCGGACCCATCGACGATGGCCGTGTACTTCTCGTTGCTCAAGATGATTTCGTTGCTGCCGAGATCGCCGTCTGGACCGCCCGTCTGCATCTTCTTGACGGTGGAGGGATCGAGGTTCAGCTTGCGGTAGATACCATTGACGTATTCCCGGACGGACAACGTCGTCATGCCGTACTCGTCGTGGGGGATACCGCCCAGACTCGGCGACTTTCCGGTGAAGAACGACTTCCACCAGGGTGCACCGCGGGCACGAGCGTGCTCGGTCGCCCAGTCGACGAGATCAGCGGTGTTCTCGTCCGGCCCCAAGAATAAGATTTCTTCCTTGCGGTAGAGGTCCACGATCGGGTTCTTGATGCCGGGGGTCTGGGCGGGAAGAAGAAGATCCAAGATACTGTCAATGTACTTCTCAAACGCCTCGCGCGGACGGTCCTGCTGTTTGGCGTCAAGCAGGATCACGCCCTTCGAACCGCCCTCCGGGATATCCTTATTCTTGCGCTGCTGGGTGCTTGCAAGGGCGTAGTTCTCGTCGAACAGATTCCTAGCATTGATACTGTAGGCCTCCTTGCTACGAGACTTGACGATCCGGATGCCGCCTCGAGCCACATCCTTGAAGCGCAAGTGAAATCCGCGCGCCTCTGCGCTTATTACGAGGAACATCCCGTATAGGCGCTTGGGGTATTCTACCTGCGGTAGGAACGACGGGTCTAGGCGGAAGCTGAGGGCAACCTTTGTGGGCGTGAAGTAATTCGTCTTGAGCACGGCGTTGTTGAAGATGCGGAAGGCGGTCATCACCATTTCCTCATGCTCGTTAGACACTTCCCGTGTGATCTCATCCTTAAGTTTAGCATCAGACAGAACTTCTACAGAGGGCGTCGGCGCGATGACACTCTTCTCGAAGCCCGGGCCGACACTCAGATGGATGCTAGCGAATGCGGCATACAGCAGTCGGACAAGCTTAGGGTACGAGGAGATGATCTCGAGAATGTAGTCTGGGGTGAACGTTTCGGTGCGGAGGCGTCTCTTCAGCTTGGAGAGGATCTCTACGTGGGCTTGGTTCTTCGGATCCAAGGATTGCATGATGGACACGTACTCCGTGCCGAGGCGGTTGAGGAAGTGCTGGACGAAGACCCAAACGCAGTGGCCGTATACCGTCTCCTGAAGACTCAACTCCCCAGACGCAAACAAGGAGTGAAGCTTGTTCTGAGGTATGCAGTACAGCAGGGAAATCTCTTTGGTGATCTGGTGAATCGATTGTTCGATCGGCATGAGCTTGGTGTCCAGATTCGTCGCCGGCTTCAGGTAGATGCTCATAACAGTGATGCCGTTGGAGAATTGCTCCACGTACTTCCTGGTGCTGGTAACTCCGTAGTAGTGATAGAGATCGCTCAGCGCACTGAAGATACCGCGCGCAGTGCGGGCGCGGAAAGCCATAACGAGACGTTTCTCTTCCGTCCCTTCGATATCGAAGACCTCAATAACAGGTCCCGTCCTAGAGACGGCGAGTTTGATGATATCACCGTAAATCTGCCTGGTGTTCTTAGTCGCCTTGGTTAGAAACATCCGATCGCTGATGACCTCGAGCCGGGTCTCGTCCGGCTCGGCGTTGGGGTCCACGAATAGGCACTGATAGACGAAGTAACACCGCAGCGAAGCCTTGGAGGCAGGGTCGTTGGATATAGTACCGGGAGAGCGGAAGGTCTCAACTCGAAAGCGCTTCTTAGGGTCGGAGTGGTCTAGATACTTGGCCTCTAACTGGTTCTCAAACCGCGGACCCTGAAGCGAACTCTTCCCGGGCACGCTTGTGTCGATGTAAATAGCATGATCGGTAGCCTCCATGTCCAAGCGAATCTCCTCTCGCTTGTCCACTCGGGAGTACGCCGCAACCTTGGCGGCATACATGGAGGTGATGTGGGTGGCGATAACGTCAGCAGTCTCCATCTGGAAGTAGACATCGTCGATGCCAAGCTCGTTATAGAACCACGAGACCTGCTCGTCGAGATGCGATTCGGGGATCCAATCCTGCTTGCGGATTATACCCTTGACTTTTGGGCGTCAGTAGGTTCGGTAGGTTCGGTACGAGTTTGTTAGACTTACCATGATTGATCTGCTCACCACGGCCCTTAAACTCAGGAGCGATGTATCCTACCGTAGCAGAACGCAGAACCTTGTGGCCATTGCTGCCGACGCTCCCCAGCGGCACAGAGACGTGTGTGGGCTGGGGTGAAGGGTGAAGAGGCGGCGGGACTATCCCGTTTGAAGCCATGCTCAGGGTGTTGAGAACCTCGAGTGGCTCTTCAGAGTCGATATAATCAAGAGAGCTACCCAGAGATAAGTTAGTCGTCTGGATGGTCAACGCCTTGATCGCCATGGTTGCGAAGAGAGGAGAGACCGATATGCGCAGGGTGCTGGGGATAAATAAGATGAGGAAAGATGAGTCTGTCCAGTGGAACTGTGTCCGAACATGTTGGAAGACGGAGAGAGTACACTTGCTTATATAGGGGTTAGAGGGGGATGATCGAGATCGATCGATCGATCGACCAGGAAATAAATCAACAGGATAGCGCGGAAAATGTCATTGCCATGCTAACGATACAGATAGCTCGCCTTGACAGACATTGGCCGGCGATGGTTCTGGTGACTGGTGAAATGGAATGGAGTACGATGGGGAAAAGAGGTGGAAAGGGTGTGTGTAGTACAGAATCGCAGCGGCGTTAGTCGGGACCGTGAGGAGCCGGAACCACGTAAATTGAGGGCGAAGGGGGGCCCATGCCGAACATGATAAGGGAAAAGAGATGGTGTATCTCGCAACGCAAGTTCGACGTAGTATCGAGTAGGGAAACAAGGATACTGCCGCTGCTCCACGTCGACACCGTACCGTCTTGAGAGGGGCCAGGAGTTTCCCTTCACCGTTCGACAGCCCGAGCAGCTCTGAGTTGTTCTCACTTCCCGTGCGGCCCCCCCTCTCTCCCCCGGTCCCTTGGGTCGAGAAACTTCATGACATGGACAAAACAGGCTGAACGATAAAGAGACGTACCTCACAAGAGCGAGAGCGTATGTCTCTCTCCGGGGTGCGATTTAATCTCACGGAACGCACAATGGTCGTACGGCCAAACCAATGACGGGCCGTCAAGTCTAACCGAAGGCAAGAAGCAACCTGCGAGATCTGCACGTGTGTCAGCCCGGTTGGATAGATCGAAGATCGGCGAGGGAGGGCTGTAAAGGAATGGTTTGGTATAAGGTGATAACAGTATACGGAGAGACAACCAGCAGCAGCACTAGGACTGTGTGGACGGCTAGCCGGTTGATTGGTTGCGGGCCGGCGCTGCGAGAAGGGCGGTGGCACCCTCCTCAAGGCGATGCAAGGCTGGTCGGCACGCTTCAAACCACGGGGCCGAGCCGGATACAGCGTAGCAGAGGGGGTCGAGGTCTACCTTTTCTTGGTCTTTTATTATTCTATATGTCGGTAGATAGACCAGGGGACCGGTCCTCTGCAGCTCAATAGCTTCGGTTTCGAGGACAAGTAGGGGTGCAGGATGTACGCGGTTGCGGTTACGGTTGTGGCAATGGAGACGGAGACGGATATGCGAGAATATAGTGAGTAGTAGCACGTAGGTAATCTACGACAGCCTACAGGCGAAGATGGCAAGGGAGAGAGGTGACAGGCGGATTATAGAGTAGATGACGGTAAGGGGTGGTTGGTGCGAGGATGGGAGGGTGTGGCGAGGAGTAAGGTAGCGCTCTAGGCGAGGCCGGAGACGGGATGGCAATAGAAGAGAGGCAGGAGGAGATCGAGGTAGAACGGCTTGGACGGACTGGGAGAGGAACGTAGCGATTCAGAGAACCGAGTCGTTGTTGTTGTTGACTTTGCCCATGGCCATTGTCAATTGGAGACGATCGTGAAAAAAGGGGACCCAACAGCTTCTTATATATAAGCAAGCATGGGCGAAAAAAAGAGGACCTGGGAGGGAAGAATCCGTGCAAACCCGTCCACAGCTAATACACATACGTGTAGAGGGAATGCCCGGGCACGATAGCAACTGGCAGTGCTTTCGCTGTGCTGGTTGCTGGTGCTGCGTTGGGGGTGGGATGTATCGTGTACATCGAATTGTAAGCGGGTTCGCTGTTTTGTCACCGACTCGAGTATACCAAGGGGCAATACCACGGAGGCAGATACCTCTCGGGGCCCTTACGTACCTAACCTTAAGTACCTCCCTACCTTAGGTACCTACCTGTCTCACCTTCTTCTAAGCCCGCTCTCGTACCTACCTATATTATGGCCCTCCCTTGGGTGTCCGTCTTGCACCATCAACCCCCAGCTAGCACCCGCACAGCAAGCAAATCCATCCCCTGTTGAGCCGGACGCGCTTCCACCCTCTCGCCAGTTTTACGGCTTCCTTCTCGTGTTGCACACCGGTACTTCGTGCTATGTATTCTGGCTGGGAGGTACCTTGAGGCGAAGCCGTACCAGAGGCGTGTAGGGACGGAATGGACGGTAAGTGGCCCGAAAGCAGAGTATTTTACGGTGGACCAGACGTCGAGGCAACGGCTTGCTTGCCGGCTGTCCTGGAGGGGGCGTGGAAGGAACAAAAGAAAACACATCGAAGACTGCTGCAATCCACTTTCCATCCGTCACGGTGAACGCAAGAGGCAAGAGAAGTCGGGTCTAGCCATGCAGCTAAACTGGAACGGGCCGTGGGCGGCGCTGCCATTGGCCCAGCAGGACGGTACCTGAAGATCCACGCATCCGCGGTACCGTGTCACCTGTATTGTATGGAGAGGTACTTGCGTACCTGCGGTGACGAGTCACCCCGCGCTCCCTCCACCGGAGGAATTCGACCTCGGAGAGACGGGTAGGGGAAGGACGTGAAGGAAGAGTCCGTGATGAGGCCTAATGACCAACTCGCCCAGGGCCGTCGACGCCTAGAACACGTTTCGAAGACAGCACCAGAGCATCACATGCCGCGTCGGGCCGGGGTTAGCGGTGGATCAGTATGGGTCTCCTCATTACCATTCCCATGTCGCCCAACTGCTCGAGGATTTTTATGAGTAACGATCAGGGTACATAATCCCGGGTGCCGACTGGCTTACACCCTCAAGACCAGCTGCCCATTGCTATTACCATCCTATACCACCATAATACGTATTATTTTTGGACGTCCCCGCCTCCCCCCGGCTATTCGAGGTAGACGAAAAACCCTGGCCTGGGGTACGCTCTTGGCGATTCTCAGGTCAACCGGGTCGCCGTCGCCGCCGCCGACGCCGCCACGCCCTCCACCACATCACGAACGCCGACCTATCTGCCCCCGTTCGGCATACCCATGTATAAGCAAGATTGCATACATAGCAGAAAAAACGAGGACCTTGGCCGCTTACACGCCCATGCGGATCCCACGGGAAACGTTCTTTTCTTTCCCTGGGACAGGGCTGGGGTCTGGTTTCGGTAGTTTGGAGCCGGTTTGGAGTTGCTGCTGCAGATTGCCAGCTTCCAATCTTGTCCGCGGACGGGCTTCTCAACATATGCCATATGCGTGTCATGCTGTCGTACTTTGTTGACTAGCTCCTGTCCGACCGCGAAGGGAAATCAAACCGATTGACCTGCTGGCGGGCGATTGAGATGTTCCCTCAACCATGGCCACGACCATGGGCTCGGTTATTTCGATAGGATCGTTTCACCGACGCCATGCACGGGAGTCTCAGGTCCAACGGAGCGAACAAGCTCGATACAGGTCACGGGTCGCGGGTGAGGATGAGGGTGTGTGATATCTTTACCGCCTCTTCCATGGGTGTCCTGCGAGACCGATGACGGCCGTTGCGCAACTGCTGAGGCTGATGAGTCAATTTCGAGGTGGAAACACCTCGAGCTACGGGTGCTGAGGGGTGAAGGGAGGGTCCCAAGACAGAATTGATCCGCGACAGCACCGACGAGAGCGAATTCAACGACAGAGAAGAGCATCGTCGTGAGGCTTCCAGAGGCGTGCACGGAACCTATCGGGGATCGTAATGGCAGGCCGTCTGTTGGAGGCGCCTGTCATGCAGAGAGCTCCAAATGTGCGCATGGGTTACGCGTACCTACAACGGAAGTAAGTACCGTTGTAACCTGGGATGGATCTGGGATAAGCGGATGCATACCGACCTGCCTACCTACCTCCTACCTACCTCCTGCCTTACCTCCTGTACGACAGGACGGTGTACTCATACAGTCAGAATGCATTGAGTACGGTGCATGGAACGGAAGGGGGGGGATCGTATGGGGGTTAGGGTTGCTTTCTGATGTACCTAGGTAGGTATGTACCTAAGGTACCATACGTCGGATTTTGTACGTAAATTCAAGTACCTAACAATACGCACCCTTAACCGGCTCCTACCATTTTTCCGTCTCAGTCCGCAACTCCCCCTACAGCATGGCCCGCGGTTGCCCCGGCCCAATATACCTCTCGGGTGACTTGGCTGGGCCCCACTTCGCCCCGCGATTTCAACAGGAACCGGAACGTAAAAGTATGCCAGGCTGGTTTTCCATTACCCCCATATTACATGATAGCAAGCCTTTTTCGAGCCCAATGAAGCAGCACGAGGTCGACCGATTTGACGCCAGGCGACTCGAGCCCTCGTGATAGCTCGGCGTCTGGTTCTTGGCCCGCCGGCGCGTACTGTCGGATTCAGGGATCGGGAGGACTTTGGACTTTCCATTACTAACTCGTTGCGAGGTCAGTGGCTCGATGACTTCTTTTCCTCTCTCCCCCTGAGTAGGCCTTCACTTTTTCATGGCGACATCTGTCGCGAAAACAACGTCATGCGAATTGGTAGAGATCCCGAAGCAAAATCATACCTTCATCTCCCTGCGGAGCCCTTCGCAGACGATACGTGCTCGGTGGCACTGCAGTGACAATCATATGTTGTCCCTCGTCGAGTCCAGGATGGAAGGAAGTTGTGTTGACTAACTGTTCGCCCGTTTGTTCTCAACCGCATCCATAACCAGCTCCACGCCGGCTGCTTTTACCGCAATTCCACGATTGGGCTAGTTCGGACTCGGAACGGCACTCCTCGAGTCTTCGACCAACGTTTCTCGCTCAACTTGCTCACATATTTCCTATTATATTGCCCTGGAGCGGCCTCAATGCCCCGGTAGCGTACCACCCAAAAAAAAAAAAAAAAAAAGAGAGAGAGGTGGGGGCACCAGAAGTTGGGGAGATGTTTACGGTCCCACATGATACGCAGAGGAGCCCCAGCTCTAGCATCGCACAGTTTAGGTCCTTAAGCGACGATGCCCTTGGCTAGACTGTCCAGTACCGTCAAGCTATTTTTAACCCTATCCACGTTTTTTGCCCTGCCAACGCTGCCTGTCAACGATTTTACGCATACGTGCCAGACTTGGAGCCGTTCGAGCTCTGCCTCACGAGAAATTGTGTGCGCTGTTATAGCTGCCGAGTCTTGAAAATGAAATTCGCCTGCTCTCCTTCCTCGTCCCCTAAAAAGTGGCCCTTAAGCCCTACTGTCAGCGGAGTAGTCAGTTCTAACCAACCCTAGGCTTTCTCATTTAGGACCACACAATATGGCAAAAGAAGGGCGTGATATTGCGACCTCACGGCTCGATCCGATATTATGTCGGGTACATGCAATTGCCCTCTCAGCTCAAGGGGAGGCCAGAGGTTAACCCTGACATTTAGCCATACCCATACGGAGACCGCGAGGAAGCTCGACTAGTCCGTCTAATTCAGGAACGGCTCGGGACATGCAATCATATGGCAATCATCGTTTAGAACCGCTACGCCGGCGCTCATCTGATGTCTGATGTGCAATACACGGCGATGGCGTGCCTATGTCCGCGCTTCAGATTAACCGGTGGGTGACGGAGAAGGCCGCGCGACGGGAAGTTATCGATCTACCTATTGATCGCGGCTAGTGCGCGACTAACTGGAAGGGATTCGCATCCCCCTCACGTCTGTCGTCGTGTCTTCGTGCCCTCACGGCTTCATACCACACTCGGCATATTACCTAGCGAACCGGGACGACTCGGCGGGCAGATATTAACTCGGGGTAGAGAAGCACCCTCACCTTCCATGCCGGCGTTCCACCGCAGCGACGACGTGGGAAAATTGCCACCATCCTCGCTCCCTCCTCGCGCTCTGCCGCGTCGCAGAACAGTCTGCGCAATCTACTTGATCCGCATGAGAAAGCTTGACGAAGCTTGTTAGATAGCAGTGCGACACGACGTCTGGTGTAAGCTGTAGGCACGTTACGGACGTTAATCTACATAGATTAGCCTAGCTGGAGGGATTCCGGCTTCGTGAGGCGGTCGAAAGGGAGTAGATCGGCGCACAGGCGCGATCAGACGTACCATCAGCCAGACTACATTTACCTACTCGTATGTATCACGACGAGAGAGAGATGGTTGCGTATAAACATGTCACCGATTTGCCCTAGTTGGACGATTATGACTAACAGGAATATCACTGCTCAGCTGAAATCGCGGGAAAGCGGCAGCCAACCTAGTCTACCTACCTAGGCAGGTAGGCAGGCAGATACGTAATATGCGGAATTGAATGACTTGCATCCCGTTGATCACCCAAGAGTTGTGCCCAAAACAACTGAGAGTATACTTTCGCCGTGACTTGGGTAGGTACCTCTAGAGGCAGATTGGGTACCTACCTCTATAAAAGATGACGCGCAGGCAAGCAAGGGATAGGTAGGTAGTGTGGTGAAAAAAAAGAGGGGGGGGGGCTAAATCTTTTTACGTGGTTCTCGCAGGTACCTGATGTTGTGTAGAGTCGCAGTCGTTTTACTCAATTAACACGGTGGCTCTGATACGGTCTGCGCCGACTTGTGCTGTCCGATCCAACCCCGCCTGCCCCTATTTCGGAAAAAAAAGGAGGGGAGGGACCAGCAAACGGCGAGGGGCAATTTGTGATGTCATCTATTATGGTATATATCTACCTGTAGGCAGGTATACCTAACTCTCATCCACGGATACCTGCTAGGTACCTTCTTGGCTACCTTCTACGCAGACGAGGGCTACCTGATCGGAGCAGGCAGGCCTGCGGAACGGTACTTGGGGGAGGAGGTAGACCCGGCGTACCGAACCCCGTTTCCGTCAATCGGACGGAAACCCCTCCCCGTCCCTAGCAGGTGCACTAAACTACTTACCTATTACCACGCAAGTTCTACCGTCTCTCCGTCCCCGTCCACACGGCCCGTCTTCATCCCATCGTCCATTCTTTTTACTAAAACCTTCAAGGTTGGATTCATCAACCTTGACACTTACCCTGGGCTGGCCAAGGATTGCCAACACGGTACTCGGGAATCGCTAACCACCTTACTTGCTACCTAACGGTCCCCTCCGTGATCCTACATGTAGGTAGCCCGACTGCCTACGCCCACCCATTCTCGCCGCATCGACGTCTGCATCCCATATCGAGGCCCCATATCGCCATCTATACTTACATGTGTAGCTAGGATGGCCGCCTCATCCGACCAATCCCAATATCGGTTTGCGAACCTACGTGCTCAGGCTGAAGTCCTGGATGGGGAAGACGGCCTCCGCCATCTGAGAGATGAATTTCTCATCCCCACCAAGGAGGATATCAAACGGGTAACGTTGGAGAAACAGCAAGGTGAACTAGCTCCAGTTGCCTCTTTCGAATCCTAGCGAGAGAGACGGACACATACCCAAAGGGGGAGAAAGGGGGTAGGCAAAGGCAGAGAGAGGGGGGAAGAGAGGGAGAGAGAGACGGGAGAGCCTTCGCTCATGCTGAACTTCTGTAGATGGTAATACTGCCGCCCCAGCCGATGAGGCAACCGCATGTACATACCTATGCGGGAATTCCCTGGGACTGCAGCCCAAACGAACTGCGACTCGCATCAGCCAGTACCTCCAAACCTGGGCCACCCAAGGTGTTCAGGGGCACTTCAAACCCCTTACCGACTCGCCTCTACCGACCTGGCTAGATGCAGATGCCCGGGCGGCCAAATTGATGGCTCCCATCGTCGGTGCCGACGAATCAGACGTTGCCGTCATGCAGACCTTGACGGCAAATCTTCACCTATTGATGTCTACCTTCTACCGTCCCGACCCCAAGGGTAGGCACAAGATCATCCTGGAGACCAAGGCATTTCCAAGCGATCACGTAAGGCCTAGCCCTCATGGCGGCAGAGGAGTGCACGCGTGCTGAGATGTGACAGTTTGTCGTAGAGAGCCAGATCCGGCACCACGGTCTCTCTCCGGAAACCTCCATGGTGACGGTGAAGTCACCCTACTCGGAGGGTACCGGTATGGTCTCCACTTACGACATCCAGTCGATCATCTCAAAGCACGCCTCCGACACGGCTCTCATACTGCTTCCCGGCATCCAGTACTACACCGGTCAGTTGTTTGACATCCCGACCATCACCGCGTTCGCCCACAAGCACGATATCCTCGTCATCTGGGATCTGGCCCATGCGGTGGGAAACGTGCCTCTCTCCCTGCGTGACTGGGATGTAGATGCGGCAGCCTGGTGCACTTACAAGTATCTCAACGGCGGGCCAGGTTGTATCGGGGGCTTATTCATCAATTCGCGGGACAGCTCCGTGACCACAGCCGTCACCGACGAGGAACCCGAGAGGGGGTACCGCAAACGACTGTCGGGATGGTGGGGGAATGACAAGGCAACCCGCTTTCGCATGGAGACCAGATTTCACCCGGTAAAGGGGGCAGCCGGGTTCCAGCTCAGCAACCCCAGCATCCTCGACATTACGAGCTTGAGCGCGTCGCTAGAGGTCTTCGAGCTCGCCGGTGGTGTCTCGGCGTTGCGGGAGAAGTCCAAGAAGCTCACCGCGTTCCTCGAGCAGTGCATCTCGGTGCTACCCGAGGACGTAAAGAAGCTGTTTAGGGTCATCACGCCGCTCGACCCCGACCAGCGCGGCGCCCAACTGAGCCTGTTACTGGGGGACAACTTGCTAGATGCCGTAACGAAAGAGTTGGAGAGGCATGGTGTTATCGTCGACGAGAGGAGGCCGGACGTGATCCGCGTAGCCCCGGCGCCCCTATATAACTCTTTCTACGACTGCGTTAACTTCACCGAGGCTTTCGAATCAGCTCTGCGTATAGCTAGCAAGCCAGCATAACCCCATACCATCCCTTCTCCGAGTCGTCTGGGGGTACTATCGTGTAGCTAGCCATCAAGGGCAAAAAGGATTCTAACTGGCGGCTATCTGCAGAAGGCAGGGGGAGATTGAAGGTACGAACAAAGTAAATAAGACAGGATATATATGTGGCGATTCGGCTCATGTATACGCTTTTCGCTTAGGCAATTATCTGCTCAGGTAAATAGTTTACACGGACCCTCTGGGAACTTTGTTGTCGTCTATGTGATTGGCATATATTGTCGTATCCAAGTCATCCTCGGTAGGGAACATCGCGAACCGTCTGCCCATGCACTGCCACTCGCCAACACACCCTCCTTACAATACCTGACTTACGGAACGATGAACGACAGCCAACAACAAAAAATGCAGTACTATAGCTTCTCAACCAAGGCAGGCTTCGCGTCGGAGGCACCCGTTTCTCTTCTTGCTTGTGCCTAACAAACGAACGAGCAAATAGCAACGGATCTTCATTTTCACGTCGCGCCCGACGCTACTATGGAGGGCGACTTACCTAGTAACTAACACTGCATATCCAGCACCCATGATAGCATCTGCAAAAAAACGGCCACGCCGTGCCCCGGGCGAGTGAGCGGACGTGTGCCCGACTTCTCCTTATTTCTCTACCGCAAAGCTTGCTCGTCCCGCCGTCTAGATTCCCGTGTACCGCCCACTTCTCGCAGCGGCTCAGCCCCATTCGTCCTTCCACGGTCGCCCTGTCGCTAGCTTTCCCGGGACGGCCACCGGTGGGCAGGTACCCCCTCGCCGCCCCCTTGACCACACAGCCCGCGTCCTCGAGGTTTACCTACTTACTCCCTGTACCCGCTCGCGTCTTTCCTCGCCCGCCTCCACGTAGCCCCTGGTCGCGCTGGGGATGGATGCAAGCGGACGCCGGCACGCCTGCTCGCCGCACGGCGACGACCGGCGGCTCTCTGCCCGTCCGGGGCCTGGGGTCCGGCCCGCGGCTTTCGGTTCCGGCCTTACGCGGCGTCGTCCTGGTCAGCGCTGCTAGCGGCAGCCGAGGGGGCTGGCGGGCGCCGAGGTGGTGACGATCAGGGAGGGTGTCGCGGCCTCGGTGGTCAGGGGGGGTGCTCTGGGTGGCAGGGTATGGCTATCTAAGGTGGGCAGCTGCTCTATGGTGACCCAAAGAATCGAGAAGGTGTCTGTGAGTCCGGGGCTCAGGGTGTCTGTGAGCCCGGAGCTTAGGGTGCTGCGCGTCGGACCGTCATCCCTTAAGCGGAGTGCGCCGGCCGACGTGATCGGGGGCTGCGGCGACCCGGAGGCGGTGCGGCCGGCTAAGCCCAGTCGGGGGTACGGAGCGGGCGCCGCTACTCCGGGGCAGATCGCTGTCGATCCGGAGTGGGTGAAGCACTGCCACGGCAATTTGTAGGTCAAATTGGAGGTGGTAGGGTTGGTGTCGGTGATGTTCAGGCCGGTGGGGAAGACGGTGGGCCACAGCGGGAGGCCGAGGGCAGAGGGCGCGGCTATGAGAAGGGCAGAGAGGAGGATCTGGCTAAGGAGCATGATGGAGTGACATGAGATGAGGATATTATATTGTAGGCTTGGCTTCTTCGTCTTCGTGGTGTACTTGGTTGTTTGCTATGATATGCGAGTATCGTCGGCGAGGCCAAGCGGCCGCCCGAGGAGGAACGAGGAGGCGGACGGGCGGGACGGATATTTATACGTATCGGGAGGGGGGCGTGCGTCCTTCTTCGGTCTCGTGCCATGCTCATGGTTGCAATGCCGTCGCTACGAAGGTAGACGAAGACGCACATGGACGTTTCGGACATCCCCTCGTCTTGATTTACACGCGGGCTGTGTTATGATGGAGCGTGGTAGCATAGGGGGACCGCAGAGAACGACGGGAGCAGTCTACACCGGCAACTACACAACCTAGCTCAGCATGCTAGAAAGGTGCTACTATTTTGTACGCACGTAGCCGTATAGACGGAGCCCATTGCACGCGGTAGCGGTTGGTTACACTCGAGGTATGCGACGGCCGTGACACGGTACGCCGGTTCGAGCTGAGGCAGAGTCTCGAAAGGTAGATGTGCTTGTCTGGATGTTCTTGGGGGAGTGATAGAGAGATAACCACGTACAAATATTGTATCCCCCCCGTCTTTACTTGTTACCTACGCAGATGGCCTCGCGTATCTTCTTGTTCTCCTATCTGTATGGTGATTGTGTGTTGGGATTGCAGAAAATCCTAGGAGTGCCGCGACCTTAGCTCCTTCACGACGATATCGCTGGTTAGTCAAGACCTTGGGTTTGCAAAGTCGGAGCCAGCCGGGCGTAAATTTAAATATGCATACACACATATATATATTACACGCGAACTGGTTAAGAGTATTTGCAGTACTCTCTTTGACATTTATTGTATCTAAGCTGTGCGAACTTTGGTAGTAGTAGGTAGTTCAACCCGTGGCACCGCATCCGCCTCCGTACTCGATACGCCCGTATTAAGAAGCAACAGAAGGGAGAGTGCCATAAGACTCGAGCCCGTAATCAGAGTTCCCAGACGTCACCTTTAAAGGCTGTGAGCACTATGCCCATTATGAGGTCAGAATCGGAGAGGCACTACCCAGCCCCTCCCTGAGCAGAACAGCCTTATTGATACCTACCTATATCAGGGAGGTTTCGTTGTGCTCTGACTTGTTGGCTGCTATCTACGAATTAACCGTGGGTATACCTGACAATACGATTTGTCCAAGTTTTAGGTAGCAGTCGAAATCGGTAGGTAGGTATGCACGAATCTCTGGTCTGGAGTGGTCAGGCCAATTCTCGTAGGGTAGAAACTGGGAATCCCCTCACGTCAACCGATGTCGATGTCAATGGGATCCAGAGAGAACAAGTGCCCGACAGCTGGTAGCAGGTACCTCAGGTGGGTACGTGGCTGATAAGATCCAATGGAAGTGGGCCTTGGAGGCAAGGTACCTGAGGTTAGGTACTTAGGTACTTAGAAATGTTAGGTTCCTTAGCTTTGGGAGGTAGGTATCTCTAAGAGGTAGATCACGTACCCTGAGATTTAATTGGTCACGATGGCCTGGTCCTCCCTTTTCTCCTTTTCTCTCAGCTGTTGGCGAGTGGCGCTTCCGGCGCGTGACGCATTTGGCGATTTGGCGGTGCACTATCTAACCTGCCTGAGTGGACGCCGCCCAATGGACGGGTCTCGGCGAGGGCGGTGGTTTGGAATTCAAGGCCCGCGCCACACACGTTTCTCTCGGATATTGGCAGATTACGCGCCTTGGCCAGACTTCGACCGCTTCCTACGCGCTACGCTCAGTGCTCGCCTATCCCCAGGAGGTCTTAGGTCTGCGGAGGCAACCGGGGCGGCGAACGGACTGGCTCCGAGGACGAGAGATATCGACCTTGGTTTCGCACCTCTGCGTCGTGTCTGCTGCTCAGCTCTGTTCGTCAACAGGTCCATCTTCCCCGCCCGCCGATTTTTACCGTGATTTTCTCTTCTTTGCTCTTCTCTACATCACCTACCTAGGACCTACATACCGCCTCCGTCACTCCGCCTGCGCTTACACAAACGCCTCTTACTCACGCACACGTACGGCACATACCAGGCATCGTAACTACCGCTAGGGAGACAACTGCCGTGTGTTCTACTGCGTCGAGATCCAATCGGCACCGGTGAGCACCAATCCAATCCAATCCAACCCTACCCAACTCAACCCAACGCCCCTTTACCGGCTCTTGTCTACCTACCGGCCGATCCGTAGTACTGACCAGCCTCACAGGCACTAGGTCAACACGATCCATCAGTCGATACGAACGACGACATGCCTTTCTTCTACACCAAGCACTTCGGCGGCCGCCACTTCGGCACCAGCATCACCGCGAGCCGCCATGGCGTGCATCGAGGTCCTTGGCGCTTCTCCTTCGGCAAATTTAACTGCTTCAAGAGCAGCTAGAGCAGCAGCAGCAGCAGCAGCAGCAGCCTTGGGCAAAGAGTGCGAGGCGACGGGGAACAGACGCGGAAGGGCGGGCTTGCTTGGTGGGCGGGAGGCGAAATACTAGACGCAGATAAGAGCGAGCTGTCCTGGCGGGTTCTTCAAGACCCGTCCGAGCCGGCGAAGGCGTTCCGAATAGGTGGGCAGTGACGGAAGCAAGGGAAATTTGTCCGTGGGCGAGGGAGGCTAGTGGATGCGACGAGGCGACGGCCTGTCTCGGCTACGAAGCCGGCATGTGTGCGTGGCGGTCGAGGCGAGAAGAGAGGCGGGTGCGGGAGATAAACCTCGACGGCAGCAAGGATTGCGACGATGGGACGAGCGAGGAGTTCCGGGTCCGGGGTACGACGGCAACGAATCTGTTATTCTTCTAGGCTTACTAAATTGCGCTCCCCTGGACACAGTAATGAGAGAAGATTAGAAAAAGAGATCAATCTCTTTTTTTATTTATTTTTTAAACCCAACCAGCCGATCCGATCAAGCGGGAGAGGAGAGAAGGGTATGCGCTCATCCGGATCTAGCAGGAGCACCTACGACGCCTTCGACCGCCGACATGAAATATTGAAGCACTGCATGACGACTGCGCATGGATTTATTTCATGTGACGATGGCGAGAGCTCCCGGGTGCCCCAGGACTAGTTCCCCGGGAAGGCTGTCGATTTCTCCCGCGCATCTGTCACTGTGTAGACTGATATCCGTACTTACGTGCCTATCAGAACCGTCTACCCAGGCATAGAACACACGACACACCGGCTCTGCTTACCTACCGCATGCGTTGTCCTGCACACACCCACACCCATACACATACGCAGTTGGTATATATAGTATGTGTGGTATATATTTATATACGTGTATGGTACGTCTACACGCGTCGAGTCCGGGTTCCGGGTTCGCTCGCGCATACAGATCACGCAATCAAGCTTTCCTCCCCCTCCCTCCTTTTCATCTTAACAAACGCCAGGTTCGACGTCGCATCAATGAATAAGCTACCTATGCATGCATGAGGTCTACCTCGGCGGAATCTGCGAGAGCACAATATTGCCTCGAGATCTTAGGGGTTGGCGAGCCTCCCTTGCCTCGGTCGGGATGCTGAGCGGCCGGTCTGCGACCCCTGGTATAGCGAATCGCGTCGCGATAGTGCGTATGTGCGGGATCGAGTGGGAGACGGAGAGACGAGGACGACACGCAACAAGTATGGCCACCCCGACGCCTCCGTCGTATGTCAGGTTGCAATTCCCATATAGCACGTACATGATGCATACGTCCTGGGGCCCGAGAACCAGGTTGAGCTGAACAGGCCGGACTGGCCCAGAACGCATCCAGCTCCAGGCCCCCTGGGAGAACGATTGTAGGGTTGCAACGAGATCATGTGTGATGAGGAATCGTTGCCACCTCCACGGCTTCTAGTCCCCTTTCCCTTCCGCATATCCCTGGACTGGCTTCCATACCATCGTCACGTCTTACTCGGGCCCCCGGTCAAGCAGGGAGATGCGATACGAAGGTTACGCGTACCTACCTCCATGCATCCCGGAGTAGCACAGCACCACGGCGAGCTCATCCTCCTCGCCCCCAATGATAAGTAGGCCTATGCCCGGGCGTGACTCGTCATAAATCGAACAACCTATGCCTACGAGTAGAGGTATGCTACCCAGGGCACGCATGAGATCAACACACCACGATTCGCGTACGATCAACACACTCGGGACGGCAAGCAAGGCCTCGCCCTCGCTACATCGTGACACAAGCACACCAAACACGCCCACGCCTAACACACTCATCTGCCAATCATGCCTGACGGGCGCGCGAGAGCAGGACGGGGAGCCGGGAACGCGGGCAGAGGGCGAGCCAGAGAATCGAAAATCGCAACGGCTCCCGGGAAGCTCTCCAGCGAGGGAAACACCGCCTCGTGGGGGGGAACTTTTCCTCGGGGCCACCCCTCCTTTGCTCCCCCCCCCGGATCCGCGAGTCGACCAGGAATTGCTACTTCGCGCAGATGAACCCCGGCCGACCGAGGAGGAGGGAGGGAGGCAGGGAGGGGAAGAGCGGAACCAAACTTGCCTCTGCCTCGGGCTGGGAGTCGGATCAAACAAGAGCGGCGCATGGGTGGGTGGCCTGCTGCAGCTGCGGGCGCGGCCGGTTCTCGCCCTCTCCGCCTCGCCAATCTACGCGCTCTCTGTCGCTCCCTCGCCTCTCTCGCAGGCCGCGACCCGAGAGCCTGCCTGCCCGCCCGCCTGCCCGTCTGCTCACATGAGCGCGCACACCCGCGCAACGCACGCACGCATGCATATCGCGGCCTGCCTCGCCTACGTCCGCGAAGGGAAACGGTTGCGAGCCGGCCGGCGGGAGGACGTGGGGGGAGCAGAAGAAAGGGGGGGGAGGGAAGGGGAGGGGGACGAGCAGCAGGACCGAGCGGGAACAGCGCGGGGGGGCGACGAGCCATCGAACGGACGGGCGGCCGGTAACGCCTCCCTCTCCCCCTTGCGACCTGCGTCCAGCGTACAGCGCACATGCATGCGTGAATGGGCGCGTGCGCGCGCGCCGCTGTCCCGTGTCTGCGCAAGCTGACTG